GGTTTATATCAACACATCAGAAATTTTTGAAATTTTGAAAATGTTTGTATTTAGTTTCTTAAAAAGCAACAATTAAGAGGAGCAACAAATTGGAGAACTGAAGAATATTCGTTCTATTTCGAGCCATTCTATTTTTGTCGCTATAATCCGTGGTAAAATTAGTCGAAAGGCACCTTTAAATGTGCTCATTTTGGCACATTCGCTCGCCTCGCACTCATCCCTTATGTGCTCAGCCGCTCCTAATGATTTCCGCGCATTCTTTTTTTTCTGTGTGCACAAATGTGTTTTGCACTTCAAACTTTGAGACAAACTCAAGTTTTTGAATTGGCGAGTGTGAAAATTAGAGAATACTTGCACCCAATCAGTTTTGATCTCATTTCTTTTTTTAAATCTTAGGATGGAAGGGGGTACTAAGGAAGCACTTGTGGTCCCTTTTCTCGATTATCAAATCTACTTGAGCTCCATGTACATTCTATTTTTGTCCAACGTTGTTTTTTTTCCACATGTGCTCTTGAATCTAATTTCGTTGAAACGCTTCATTTTTGCTTTCTTCGACTTCTTCCTCGAACTTCAGCTTCTCCTCAAAATGGGATCAGCGTCAACGAATTAAAATAAGAGGTGATTTGAGACGCAACGAAATGCATTCATTCATACCCATGTCATTCGTTTTGTTCATCATTTGAGGTAAAGGGACCATCCAAAAAAGGAATGTAGTTCACACCATAAATAATAGATATTCTTTCGTCGGCAATTTCTAATCTTTTCCATCATTCTTCGTCTCACTTCCATCATTTTTTTTGGTATTCAGTGGTCCTCAAAAAGGCGATAAGCGAGAATGTTGTTAAAATGAAATGTAATGTGCAGACGGATTCTTGCTTCCGCCTCCTCCTTCTTACTATATGTGCTCACATTAACTTTTTTTTTCGTCATTTATATATGTATGTGTCATATGCTCTCTCGTTATTCAATTCTTCTTCTTTTTTTGTGTGGTTCGTCTATTCCATATGCTAATTAACTCATTTTTATTTAAATCGACAATGTTTCCAATTTATTCGAGACTCCTCACTCAATTTTTTTTTCTCAAGAGAATTGCCGTCCCCCCAAAAAAATATTCCTACCGTCTCCTCATTCATCAATTTTCAGCTTCATCGGGCTTCATTAAATCGTTCAACACAACAACATGATTCCATCAAAAACAACAATTCTTCATAAATTCTGTTTGGCCAATGATTATTATCTAGTGAACTAGGGACCAAAAAATGACCGAAATGTGGGCATTAGCAATTCCCGAATCGAGTTGCAAGCGATGCTTCACATGTTTTTTTTTTCATTTTTTGTTCGCCTCTCGAGACTCATGTTTGCATCAAAGATTTATTTCGCATGCTTTGCAAATTTATTAAAATTCTAGCGTCGTCGGATTTCAGCGATTTCAAAATTACGGCCCCGCCCCCCACCCCAGGCAATCACTAGAGTGTTTTGCCGAAAAAACGAAATAGAAAATAATCAGCCGACCGGAACATCCAATCATTTTTCGCAAATTTTTCTAAATTTCAAATTAAAGACGTCAGAATTCGCGTTTTCGGACAAATATAAATGCTTTAAAAGCATTAAAAAGAGAGTTTGAAAAAAACCACAATTCTATTTTTTTTGTTTCACTCTAAATTGTTTCTTACAAAAAATGTGATTACCCATTCGATTTTATGATTTGTTCCATCGAATTATGCTATAATCAATTTTTTTTCGCTAAATTTAATAATCAGAAAGAAATTGAGTTTCAGAAATTCAAGAAAAATTCAATAGACATTTCCAAAAATTTACTATCATATTCAATTTTTTTTAATGGTCCATTTCAACTGATTCAACTGAAAATCAATATTTTGTCGACGTCAAACGAGTGAAGGGAGGAGGGACCTTTAAATTAGCAAAATTAGTGTAGATTTAAATTAATCGTTGACTGAATATTAAATGCGCGTACACTATAATGCAATGTACGCAGTTTTGTGTACTTCTCGCTGCCTCGAGACGCATTGGCACATAGCCAATCATTTTTTAAAATTTGGTCAAATCGTTTGCCTCCGACAATAATGCGTTAAAAAAAACAAATTTTGAAAAAATCACAAGAAGATCAAATTCGCAATTTTTTCTAGATTATATGATTCTAAACAATTTATTTTTTGAATCTTTTCCATGCGATTTCTGACAACTTATTTAAAAATTAAAAATTAAACTTGAATCTTTCGAACTGCTTGAATCCCTTTGAGAAGAATTCTTGGAAGTAATGATCACAAGATATATTCCAACCATTGCGGAAGTCGCATTTTTGCTAAACGAGAGATTAACTTGTCTGAAAGGAATCATTAAGTCATTATCCCGGAAATTCGGAATTCAATTTTTTCTACTCGATGTCGACGAAGCTGAGAAGCTTAAGAAGGTCAACAATTTGTGTGTGCGTCGAACAACACACATATGAAGCTCGTATCAAGCGGCCGCCGACGCCGTCTTCTACTTCTTCTACAGCTTGTCCAATTTGTTTCGCTCTTCGCTGTTGAAAATGCCTACTGAAGTGACATGAGGTTGAGTTTCGTCAAAAAATCATCGTATTTTGTGTATGTGTGGGAAACGGCCGCAAGCGTCGTCGAGTTTGTTTCGAGTACACGCGGCTTGTGTTCAACGCCGCCCGTCGAAATCCATTTAAAGCCAAAGTCGTACGCTGGTCGTCGTCGTCTTAGTTGTTGTTGTTGTTGTTGCTTTTCGTCGCTGAAAATATTTTTCGCCATAAAATTCATTTCGCACTCGCACAATTCTTTTTTTTTTGCCATCGTCAAAAATGCACCAGAATTGTAGTTCTGGAATCGACTCAAAAATTCCACGAATTTTTCTCTCGACAATTTTCCAACTTGTTTGAACATTTTCAGGCATTGCTTCAGGCAGTTGCCAGCCAGAACGATTTGATGTGATTCGATGATTTCGCTGAGAGCACTGCACAAACCTAGCAGTTCATTCGAAATCCGGCAAACCGATATCACCTGTAGAGTTTCAACCAAAAACAAAACGTGTATCTTCTTTGCTCACTCGTTTTTGATTTCTTCTACGTGAGCACACTTATGCTCATAATTCTTTTGCCTTCTTCTGCTGTGCACTGGAACATACTCGTCTTGGAATTTCAAAATCTTCAAATTCTTTTTTTTTTCTCTTCAAAACAAATACGTTGCCGTCAATTCTTCTTATATAATGCAAAAAAAAAAGAATTATTCGGTTTCGGTATTCACCTATTTCCATTGTTGAAGACTAATGAATGAAAGAAAAACGCTTAAATTATCAAATTTATTCTTTACATATTAAGTTTTCAATTCATTTTGACAAAAGCGAAAATGATTGGAAACGTTTCAAACGATTGATCCGATCCTTGAGATCAGTGTAGATTTACGAATGTCTAAATTTAATCGATGGCTAAATATTAAACAATCGACATGGTCCTACTTTGTCTCGAATAATAATATCCAATATTGTTTTTTTTTTTTGAATTTTGATCAGTCGTTTGAACCCAATAAGCCGTCAAAATTTTAATTATAAGCACTCAGCCTCTCTCGAAATTCATTTGGCTTCGATAATATACTGGATGTTTGATTTTTAAATCTGACGAGAGCAATTTTCCACTTAACATTACAAATTTGAAACAAGTCCTAACATGCGCCTTTAAAGGCGCAAATTCATCGCGAGTTCGAACCCGAACGCATTCGCCGTTTATACCCAAAGCAAGTGATCATATCTTATTCATTTTCAATATTTAAACTTTCAAAATTCACAAAAAATGATAAATTTGGCTAGTCTCTAATTTATCATACGTCCCATTTCGCATGACATCGTGAATCCAATATACCATTTTGACATATTCTCAATCTCCTCTCGCTTCCTTTCCATTTCCTCTTCGTTTTCCATTCTACCGTAATCCTCGGAATATTTTGTTCGCCGACCACCCGCAAGAATGACAGATTGTCGCACATCAACAAAAGCTCATCATCTCGCCGCCCCGAGTTCGTCGGCCTTCTTCCATTTATCAGACGATTCCATTTGTTTTCTTATTTACACGTCTGACATTCGTTATTCGTCATCGTCGATCTTCCATCGTTCCATTCTTATGAATGGGTCTTCCTTGTGTTTTGTGTGTTTCGTACACCGACCACCTCAACCAGCGTATGAATGCGTATATGTGCGTATTCTGGCAGGCACCCATATTCGATTTCATCTCATATACGCGTACGCACTTTTTTGGCACTTCTTCGAACCATCCCATTAATGCTTCCCACCAAGATGACGACGGGGTTCAACACGAAATAAAAAAAAAACAACATTGTGTTTAGTGCGGGGCAGAAAAAAAAAGAAATTTCGACCTATTAAACAGGCCGGGACCTCACTCCTCCAATTATTCGCTTCGACTCTTTTTCTTTGCGGCCGTCCAAAAAAAACGGGTCGAGCAATTAAAGTCATCGCCGCAAACGTTTGTTTTTTTTTTTGGCAACATTTGTTTCATCGCCTAATTTTTTTTGCTGCAATCCATTTGAATTTTCTTCTCGCCCTCCGACGACGAAAAACGCGTCGTCGTCTTTTTTTCCAAGGAACGCCACGCCCCCTTCTCAAGCGCCGCCCATTTTCCGAATTATTGGATAAACTTGTTGTTCTTGACGAAGAGAGTGCGCGCCACTCAACACCACAGATTTCTCAGGCTTCTTCTTTTTTCGGTCAGTTCATTTTGATCTTTATCCTTTCACAATCAATTTCCAAACAAGAACCTATCATTAAATTAATGTTGTTTGTTTCGCGTGTCGCCGTGTTTGGGGACCACCAAACGCGGGTATAAATTGCACATATATTATTCATTTCCAATACTCTACTTATATGTTTTTTTTTCTTCGCCATCTACTATTTATCGTACTACGAACCTCTCGTTTCTTCATCATCATTCATTAGTTTATTGTCGTTTTTTAAGATGCAATGACAAGATGCTGGAGAATCTGACGACGACCACGAATTTCGCCGAGTCACTGGGCGGGGTCGATGTGTTCGCCGACGTCGAACGGCCACTATTGCAGGTTGTTTATTATTTTGCTTGGACTTTCAGTCTAATTCGATCTTTTTTTTTTGACAAATATTGAGATAATCGAAATTAACAATAAATAAGTAATTAATTCATATACCCACCAGGTTGATTTCAAAGAAAAATAACGGAACAAATCATATTCGAAGGTAATTTCGAAGATCTAATAATCATTCTACTTTCAATTATTTTAGCGTTTTCTCAAGAATTTAATGTTGTCGACCAATTATAAAATTCGCATGATTTTCTTTGAATTCTTACATGTAGGTCTGTCTAGTGGACTAGTTTTTGCGAACAAATATACGGCCGCGGCCATATTAATGCCTTGGGAAAATTTGTTCATATTTTCAGACCGTCATTTTGGCTTCAGTTCTTCTTTTGCTGATCCTCTCGTGCGTCATCGGCAATCTATTTGTAATATTAGCGATTTTCATGGAGCGCGACTTACGCGCCCGTCCCCAATTTCTTCTCATTTTCTCGCTCGCCGTTGCCGATTTAATCGTGAGTTAATCGTGTTTCACTTTATTCTTTCCATTTGTGAGCAACACTATGAGCCCTAATCTTGTTGTTGTTTTTCTTAAACAATTTCAACCAGCAAAACAAAACAACAAATTTTTGTCGACAAAGTTTACAGTCAAAGAAAAGTTGCTCATTGGTGTGTGTCAGTTGCTGGCGTATAAACAAAACTATGAGCCTAAATTTGTATATAGATGATTTTGAAAGCTTTAGCTTCATCTCGCGGCTTCCATGCAATTAATAATTCAAAAATCATGTAATGTATTGTTTTTGACGACGACACCACGCGACCTACGGATCGCTACTCATTTATTCATTTGTGTATACAAATATGAAGCGAAAAGAATGAAGGAGAATATGAAACAAATGACGAGAAAAATTGTACTTTCATTTGAAAATTCTAAAATATTTATTTGGGTGCTGCAAACAAACTACTAGGCAAATTATCTTTGGTCGCTTGCAAGTTAATTGAAGTCGGATTACTTGCAAGTATGTTGGGATAGATTGAGGCACTTGGCGCGATTTCAAGAAACCGTCATGTCCCTTTGAATGTGACTCTGCTCAACCGGTCATGGTTGTTGTCACATTTGGAGATGCAGGACACTTTGCACAAAATCACGAGTTGATCGCTTGATGTCAGTTGAGAATGTGTTCTCAAGTGCATTCTCTCTACAGCATCACTCTTGTCAAAATCAAATTTTCAACGTGTGCGTGTGCGCATGTATGTCTCCTATCAAAAGCCATCCCATTTCCACCACATAATTCGATTTCACGCCTGGTTTTTGATACCCGATGACAGCCGAAACGAGCACGAGTGTTGCCAAATTGACGAAAACGTAGAAAAAAAAACCAAGAATGCACGAACAAATTCGCTTTGCCATCTCGTATCTGTGGTTCCATCGAAAAAAATGGTTCCGGGTGAACGGAACAGAAAGATGATCGATGTCTCGACAATTAATCTGACGCCATCGGCACCACTTTTAGTGTGTGTGGTCAATCGTAGTTTCGAAACGATTAAAAGTTTTGTTTTTCTGATTTTAGGTGGAAGAAAAATTGGGCTTTTTCTGGTTGCTTCTTCGATTGCAACCGGCTGGCCGTAAAATTTACAGCCGTGAAAACTAGACATTTGTTGAATAAACAACCGTTGCACCCAAATATTTGCAAAAAAAAGATACAAACGAAATTAAATTAATTTTGAGAAGTCATGGGACTGTGATTATTTATGTGAAACTGGTGTTTTAATGGCAAAAAACTAGCATCTTCAGTAAATTTACGAGAAGTTTGATTCAGCATCCCATTATTCGTATTATAGCACACATTCCGCTATTGAAATTTAAATGTTTATGATGGTCCGCAATTATTTAGGGTGATCGTTCGTTTTTTGCTATGGTTGCACAGTGTGAGAAACAAACGAAAAATTCTTAAAATATCTTCAATCGAAAATAATTGTTTGCAAAATGCAAAACACTTATGTCCATCAAATGCTTAATAATTCATTTTCGACGACGTTTCCTCTTTATTCTCGGCTTCACGGTGTTGTAGAAAAACGAGAAGAAAGAAAACGCGAGAATTGTTCGTAAATTAAATTCTGTGCAAAATTTTGCACATTTTTCGGACATTCAGATGAAAAATGATGTCAATATCTGTGTGACATTTACTCGCGAGAGTAGTAATTTGAGAATAATGATTCGAAGATGTTTGGTTTATTTTAAAAAATGAGACTAAACTAAAAATATTGAGACGCTGAAGCTTTATTGGGGCTTCTTAATTTGTTGAGAATTACTATCAGTCTCTGTTTTTTTGGAATCGACCTATTTAGAAATGGCATGATTCGAATGGTTTTTCTTCCACCAAACAAAGAAAAAGAAAACAATAATTCGTTTTGCTGATCCATCAAATCCCGGTCGACTAATCCTCGTAAATAATGATGCTCATCAATTATATTCATTTCACTTCTTCGTTTCGCGTTCGTCAATCTTTGAACACCGAAAAATTTGTCATTTCGAAGGCGAATCGTCATAGAACCGCCATCGAAAAAAAAGCACACATAAAACATTTGAACATTAATTCGATGAGCTTTTTCACATCTCCCACACGAACCCGCGAAAAAAAGAGGATGTGCCCTTTCTCTTGCAGAAGCGGCAGCAGCAGCAAAAATGGAATAGAAAGTGGTCTCAGGTCATTACTAGAAAGCCTCTGTCACATGGCTTATGGATTCGCCGGAGGCGATATAAATGTTTTGGTGGTGACTACTAAAAAAACACACAAATATTTGTTTTTGGAGGAGGGATGTTCGAGAAAAATCCAAAAATGAATTCATAAATAAACATTCGAATGTTTGCAGGTTGGCCTTATTGTAACACCACTCGGCGCCTGGACCACAGTAACCGGTTCATGGAAGCTTGGAGTGGTTCTTTGCGATCTATGGATATCGGTCGACGTTCTGGTTTGCACCGCTTCTATTCTGCATTTAGTAGCCATTGCGCTCGATAGGTAAGTAAAACAATTGATCTCGGAATGACTCGAACCACCAGCCTTCTGTGTGTTAGACTCGATGGAAGTTGGCAGCCCCTCATACATATTCAGAGTCGAAAATCACAATTGCTGGGGGAATGTTAACCCGAACCCGTTGATTGGAGGGCCGTTTTTTGGGGTTTTGCTTGATCCTCACTTTCCATTCGCGCTGGTCGCAATCGCTAAATGCCAAGCAAAATTTTGAGCCGCGCTCGGTCTTCGATAATCATTGGACCACGAGATCGACGAACACTGACACCGTGAGACTTGAATTCTTCAGGTACTGGTCGATCACCGACATTTGCTATGTGCAGAACCGAACACCGCGACGGATAGTGCTCATGTTGGCGGTGATTTGGTTGACTTCTTTGCTGATTTCATTGGCGCCAGTTGCTGGATGGAAAGACGAAGGCTTTGTCGATAGGTGCGAGTTTTGAAGAGGAAATCACAATTGTTCAATTCATATTTCCAGAGTTCAAAAACAAAAGCTATGTCTGATCAGCCAACAAATCAGCTATCAAGTGTTTTCGACCGCCACTGCATTCTACATTCCATTAATCGCCATTATCGGCGTTTACTGGAAAATCATGCGAGCCGCGAAAAAGCGATTTAAGCGCGAAAGAGATCGTCGAACGGTAATCCGTCCGCCTCCGGATGCTCTCGACGAGAAAAAAGCGCCATTAATGCCGAAGAAATCGAAAAAGATCCCATTACCGCCGGCGGTCGTCATCACAGATATTCCGACGAATCGAAATGGGAGTGTCAACGGAAAAACAGCGGTATTTTGAATTGCATGAAAATTATTTCAATGAAACATATTGAGGAAATTTAAGCAGAATAATCGGCACGAGTCAAGTTCGTCGACATCCGAAGAAGAGCGAACAGTCACACAGACGCATGAAACAACAATGGAGACGAAATTTGAAGGTTTACTCAAAAAATAAAATAAATAAAAATTTTCAAATGTTTTCGTAAGAATTTTGGCCAAATTTGGAAATAATCGAAAACGCCGAACCGCTCATTCGAAATGAAAGTTATTGCAGGCACAAAACCTTCGAAAATTCCTGGTCGCTTAATGAAACGAAAACGTCGGTCAAAAGAAAGCGCAGAGACAAAACGAGAGCGAAAAGCATGGAGAACACTTGCAATTATAACTGGTATTATTTGCGCTATTCAAAAAGATCAAAGAATGATTCCCATTGTGCAGGCACATTCGTCGCATGCTGGACGCCGTTCTTCTTGGTTTCCTTATATAGACCAATTTGCGGCTGCTCAATTCCTCCGGCAATCGAGCAAGTCACTTCGTGGCTAGGTGAGAACCAACTTCAATTTAACAATTGAAAATGTTTTCAGGATATCTCAACTCAGCGCTAAATCCGATCATCTATACCGTATTCTCTCAAGATTTCCGCGCCGCTTTCAAACGAATTGTTAAACGCTTGTGTCTCATAACCGAGTATTAATCAAAATCAATTTTTGAATAATATGCTGTGATAGTTGTATATACGGTACGCTTTTCCCCATTGTTCCATGCCATATACGGGTATTTTAAAGATTTAAATAATAAATATTGCATTTGCTTCGAAAAAAAAGATAAAAATGAGATCAATGTGCTGTTCAAAATGTGATGTTATCCTCTCCATCAGAAATCGCCATATCATCCTCCCTGCAGAAATCAAATCTCTTTTCGAAACAAGTAAATTTCAAACCTTGAAGTATCCAGATTCGCAACTTCAGTTTCCATACTTTCAACACCGGGAGGTTGCTGAGGAGCATTCTCCTGCTGCTGAACCTTGGCTATTTCACGGAATAATCGATTTCCTTCTTGACAAATCGCCTCATATTCAAGACATTTCGTCGCATACTCGCTCGCTTTTTCGTATTTCTTCTGACGGAAGAAATAATTGGCAAGAAACGCGATAGCGTACACGGCATTATCTTCCAAATTCTGAAAATACACGATTCGACGACGTTGGCATTCAACTAATCACCGTTAATCTATCATATACAACCAGGTAGACCTCGAACGTCTGTGCCGCCTTGTCATCATCGTTGTTATTCTCATAAAGCCTAAAACGCGAAGAGTTCAAAGTCGAAGAATCAGAAATTACTTGGCGAGTTGCCACAGAGCAGATCCCTCGACATCTCCGAATAAATAAGCTCCTGTGAAGCACTTCTCCGCATCTTCAATCCTGCTCAATTTGCAATAAATTTCGCCGAGGGCCACTAAGAGACGCGAGTCATGTGGTCTGTAATGATGAAATCAACTGAATGTTTCAAATTTACGAATTGCCCTCCTACTTGCACTTTTGAGCCTGCTGGTAGTAATAGAGCGAATATGACGGCATTTTCATGATATCGTACATCTGTCCGAGACCATACCAACCACGATAATCAGCGCTATCGATTTCTGGAATTCGATATCTTCCGTTTCCAATTCTCGAGATTATTTCAGACGGTGTAAAAATACAGTAATTAGGGAGTTATTGTCTTTTTATGAAATGAAAGAAAATAGTCAAAATGAATACTTTGAATATTACGTGCGTTTTGTAAAAAAAAAGATACATCGGTCCCGGTTGTGAATTGCGAAGATTCAAACAAAGCGGCTTCTTGATGGGTCTTTGCACTTCTATTATTATCTATACATTTCTGAATTTTAAATTTTGACCAAGAGCCACAAGCTTATCAAGATCTTCCGTTTCCTCAAAATTTTTTTGGTTTTTCCAAATCGACCTATTTTAATTTGAGTTACTAAGCAGTTTGAGCCCAGCATAGATAAATATTGATCGATTTTGAATTTAAAAAAACAGACACACCTATGGCTCGTCGGTATGAGACACAAGCGGCGGCATTGTTTTTCATTTCCATAAACTCATGACCAATAAGGACCCAAAGAGAAGCAACGCCGGGATTCAGCCTAAACAAATACAATGAAATATTTCAAATCGCACACAAAAAAGGAACCTCAAGGCTCTTTGGAAGAATTTAATGGAATGCTCGCTATCTCTTCGTATCGCGTGATAGTTTCCCACAATGCAGCACGTTTCCCATCGGAATTTGTAAACTTTGTAAACCTCCAAAGCAAGTTGCGACAATTTCTTCTGGTCGCCACGAATGTAGAGCGAATCCGAGAACAAGTTCAGGTCGGCGAGGCGATACGGGTCGAGTTTTCGAATCTCCTCGAAATTCTCGATGGCTTGATCATGATCGTGTCGATGATTCGAGCACGTTGCCACTTTGGTGATTATCATTGGGATTCCAGTGAGACCACGCTGAACCAAAGATTCGGCCTTCTGAATCGCCATGGTATCCTATAAAGAATCCTTATAAAAAATTTTTTTAATATATAAAACCTGATGGAATCGTTCCAATATCAATACCATAAACCAGTCAGCCATCCAAATCGACTTATCGCTGAATTTGACCGCAAACTGATCGGCGGCTTCAATGTCGTCGATTAATCGACTCAACGCCTCCCAAGCCGGCCACCATCTCGGTTCCCGCTCGACAACACTTTTCATTGTCTCGCATGCATCCTTTTTGAGGCCCAATTCAATTTCGATAAGTCCAAGTCTTTAAGTTTTCGACCAAAATTATAATAATATGCGGAATTCTTACAAATATTCGAAAAGTGGATCATCTTTTTCACGTGCATTATCTTCATTCATTTCCTAAAAATTAGAGAAAGTTCAAACTTTGATTCAATCGAATTGACCAATGAAAACTTTTAAAATATACAATTAAAATAATATTTTACCTCATATAATGTCGCGAATTTGGTTTTTTCCTCGCCGAAACTCGTTTTTCTTTCAATTCCCTCGGCATCATTTTCCATATTTTCTTGGTAATGCGCCTAAAGTTTGAGAATAACGGTTTCGTTTTTAATTACGAGATCGAAAATTACCAAGAATAAACATCTATAATACATGAAGTTGTCGAGTTTGTTGAGTTTTCGATTTTTTGCCAAAAAGAACGCGGCTCTCTGGAATTCTCGATTCCGCAATAGACTCAACGCGAACTGTGTGTTCTGCTCTCGTCGAAACTCGACAACCGCCTCCTCGCTGCTCACAAAACCTGCCGGGGCACCTAAAGACGTCGACGAAATGTTGCCATCTTCCATATCCTGAAGAACAAAGGGGCTACCCAAAAGGGTAAATTGTGGGAAAAAAATGAAGGCTTACACATTTCAATTCAGCGTACATCGACAATTTCTCGGGACAATATGCGAGTAATTCATTAGCCCTGAATTTATGAGAAACAAAAGTCAATAACGTAATAGATTTTCGATAGGCAGTGCGTAATTAATACAAAATAAAAAAAAACAAAATAATACCAAAGTTCAGCATCAAGAAATGAATGAGAATTCGCTTCCTTTCTCAGCCATACCAGTTCCTTGATAAACTGTGCGCCGTCAATCTTTGCTCGTTCAATCTAAAACAATTGAAACAAAACATTTGAATATAATAATGTTGTCTAACCATTGAAATCGAGACTCCCGACATTTGAGAAACATCAAACGGGGACAATTTGGTATGGCGAAGGTGTCCGGGGCCAGCCATACTTGCAAGTCCGCTCCGAGCTGCCGCCTAACAATTTGAAACAGTAATTTGATTTTTTTGTTTTATTCGAATGTTTGGGTTTTTGGTACAAAATATGCATATTTTGAAAAAATTAATACAAAAAAAAACCGGTTTAAAAAGCAGTTCGCCAAATAATTAAGGTTGTAGCGTGTGGTGTAAAAAAAAGACTTTTTGCAAATTTTTTGTTTCCAAAATTTGCAAAGTAACATTAATTTTTTGCAACGCATATTTCAATTTGTAGATAAAAAACCATTAAAAAATCAAATTGAAACTTCATATCACATTTTTTGAAACTTCATATCACATTTTTTTAGCGAAATGAAATAAAACAATCAATAATGCGATTTAAAACTAAAAAAATTGCCCCGATTTTTGGAATTCTTAAAAAACGGACGGTTCCGTTTTCTCGTTGATAAAAATAACTGAACAGATACATTTTCGAACAATCTTTGATGTCGTAATTATTGGTCTTTGACAATTTCGGACACGTTTTTTTTTTGAAATTAATTGGGCGCGAAAATTTAAACATTTGAATTAAAACCTGATATGCGACACATCGGGATTTTACTTGTTTAATTTTTAAAAGGTTAGAAAAAATTTTTTACAGTACCATAACAGGCAATGACAGTGGTCATGGCGCAAAATTAAAAGTGTAGAATTACGGGCCAAAGAAGGATAGGTTAACCAAGACCTTTCTCGAAAACTTTTTTGAATTTAGACATTTTCCGCGGTTATACGACGTAGACACAACATTTTGCCTATCAAAGATTAACAATTTCACTGATTCCCATATGAATCAGAATTGAAACAGAAAATAAAAATTGACATATTTACCTGCTGAATAAGCGTCAAGCGATCCGATTGATTGTTTCGATTGCTTGGAACGGGTGTATTCAAATCATCCTCCATATCTATCAAATTCGTATTATTTTATTCAAGCATTTTCAATTTTTTTAAAAGATTGCCGTTTCCGAAACCGGGACAAGGCATTTTCTCATATAATTTTATCAAATATTCAAAAATTTCTATATAGAAATCATTCAATAGCATTAATTCCAAGAAAATTGTTCTATCAACGAATTTTTCGTTCGGCCTATGCCCGACCACGGCCGAAAATTTCCCGGATCGACTTTAACACAAGAAACCTGATTTTTTTCAATAAATATTTCAACGAAACGGACATTTCGAAATTTAATCGTTTTATAACAAGGAAATATCTTTATTTACAACACATAAGTTTATAAAAACAATGCATAATTTTAATAATAGTGAAAAAGAAGAAAAATGACTTGAAAAAAAAAAGAATACAATATTTGAAATGAAACACTTTGTAACCAGTAGATCAATTGTATTGGAACCGGTTTTTTTTTTTCATTTTTTTAAGAGGCGTCTAAAGCTTATCAGCGCATAAATTTATTAAATAATTAACAAGAAAACGAGATAATAAAGAGAGGGGAATATCAAAATATGAAAACGAAATATCTAAGAATCCAGATCGTCGGAATCCGAGTCTTGACGCGGGAAAACCCTATTAAAAATTAATTCGAAACTTGTTTAAATTAACTAAAAATTACCCTGGTCTTCTTCGTAATGTCCTGTTTTTCATGCTTAATGGCGATTTCACCGAACTCGTCGAGACACTTTGCCTCGAAACTTCTGGTTGGATACCATTACTTAAAAAAACTCAAAATTATTTAGAAAAATCAATTCTTAATTTGATTCTTACGATCTTTTTTCATGAAGTGCTTCGCGAATTCGCGCCAATTCTTCAGCTCCAAATCGCGAATTTTTCGATCTAACTGCCCGAACATCAGTCATCGCACGTCGCCGTCGATCCATATCCTCTTGTATCGAATCTCTCGATGGTGACGGAGAATAATTATCAACTCGTCGACTTTGCCGAGGGCTGAATAATTCTCATTTGTTCATTTCAATTTCAAATCGATTTAATACACAGAAAAACGAGCCCCGAGCGGTTCATATCCAATATCGCCTTGTCTTCTGTGCCTGGGCTGATCATAGTTATTCGTGGTGTAAGCACTGAATGACTGGCTCATTGGATCATATGGAGAAAGAAGTCGACTAGCGACACTTCGAGGAACCCGAATAGAACGAACAGACGCACTTCTGAGAATTTTTCTTTAAAAAATATCGCTTAAATGAAAAGATTTACCCATTAATTCGACTATTTCCTCGCTTAACTATAACCTCATCCCAACCATCATCATCCTCATCGTCATCGAACCGAGTACCATATGAGGGTGGTGTTTCAGAACCAGCGTGGTAGTAGTCATCAGGTCTCTCAAGTATGTCACCAGTCAGATCATGGCACAATATCTCATCGTCCGTAACATGTTCGTCTTCTCCTTCGATGAATCGTGCTAACCTGTTACTTAACATAACAATAAACTCTCACCAAAACCAAGGGAATTAGTTGATGAAAAACACAGTATTTTTGAAAATTCAAAAATTACCGTCGTGCATTTCGTACGTTTCCTGCCAATCTCCAAGGCTTACTCTCTTCTTTTTTACAGTATTCTCTGAGTAGTGCAAGTTGTTCGCGTGTGGTTTTTTCTCCAAGTTCTTCATATTCTTCTTCGGTGAGCAAGCGACGTGATTTTGGAAAATAATATCTCCTAAATTGTTTGAAATTATTTAAAAGTTCTTCATAATCATTACTATACCACATCGATTTCACAGTGGAAATATACCAAGAGATACCAGAAAATACAACCCTTCTGCAGAATTGTTGAAACAAAAGGAATGCCATGGTTCCAAATGAGACTTCAACAATTTGGGATGAAAAGTAGATTAAAAGGAGGGCAACGAGCTGGAGAGTCCATTGAGCAATGTCGTGAGATCTAGCATCAGTTGGAGGTCCTCTCTTGTAACAAACAGCGAGAGAAATAAGAAGTACGAGCGACTAGAAAATAATTGTTTCGCAATTTTTCTTTTAACAAATGCTTACAAAATATCCTAAAACGTATTTTTGATATTCGAGCATAATATTTTGGACGTTGTTCCACGCGAAATGAAGCATGTAAAGAGAAACAGACCAACCTCCAATAAGTATTGGTACTCCAATGGTTTTCTAAATATTAATCAAGTTTTCTGTTAAGTTTATAAAAAATACCTTGGGTGCAATTCGCCATACGATAAAGGCTACAAGAAGAAGCGAGGCAAGAAGACCGAATGAGCATCCACTTGTGTAATAGAAAACGACGTTGCGAACTAGTAGACCGGCAAGAAGGAACAAAAGGATTGCTCCAGCAAACACTGCTAATCGAATGTAATTCACTTTCCAAATGACAACCGACACTTCATATGGATATGTTGTTGAAACCCCCACAACCGTGTCGTTGAATGGATTCAACTGGTGAGATCGCAAGATAGCCGCCTTTTTGAGAATTCCAAAATATCGATTATCGTTATCGTAATGATTTTGAACTTCCGTACAGTTTGCTCCCTGATATCAAAAAGTCTTCGCAAATTGAATATTAAAAATTACCTGATAGAAACTATAAACGTCCGGATTAGTGAGATTGATTTGAAGAAAAACATCAGTGAATGTGTGGAGAGCAGTATACGGCAAAGCTTTTTGAAAAAAGAAATCTAAGGAATTCGAATATAGCTTTTCACCCTTTTTAATTGGCCGAACAAGCTCTGAAAACCACAAAAATGCGCAATTTTTAGAAAGGTGAAATATTACGTAAGGGTTTCTCCAAGCAGTCTTCGAATAAAATGCCTGTCGATGTCGTGACAAGCAATAAAAACGTTAGAAATAAACGCATTCTGGAAATTTAGATTATCTATTATGTCGAATGAAAAAACACAAATCATTTTTGAAATTTACCAAAAATCAAAAAATTTAAAATTTGAATTTCGTATTTACGACACTCCGCATTTACACTAAGTGGATAAAACGAGGGCACTGCGTTAATTATTCTCCCTTTGTTTTTCGGATTCATCTTCTTTTGTTTTTCCGACTTAATTGAGATTTTTCAAATATAAAATTTTAGATACAATTAAATCATTGCATAAAGTTCGTTTATACAATATATTTTTTTCCATATCGTTTTTTTTTAATTCACATTAATGGTATTTTTTTCAGAAAATTGTCAATGTGTACATGAAATGACCAAGAACGGAAAGCCCACAGTTGAAGAGCTTTCCAAGGCTTTTGATTCAATTTTGGAAAGTGTTCTTGAAGAAACTGGCTTAGGAACTTCCAATAAATGTGAACATAAATCGTATGCTGTAGATCGTTTGTATAATTTTGCGGCAAGCGAATTCAGAAGACATGCGAGTCCGACGTGAGTTATCTTTCTGTCCGTGTTTTTTCGTTTTTACATTTATTGTCATTTTCAAGTACGTCGACATCGGAAATTGTTTCTTGCTGTGACGACTTCATTTCCGATTGGGAAACGTCAGGATCGAAATCTGCTGCTGTGCAACAACTCATTGCAGTTTTGAAACGACCCCATATACGAGTACCTTCCTATAGTTTTTCTTTTCAATATATTTTTGCATAGGGTTTATTATGGGCAACTGAAGACATAGCAGCTCAGAGATATGCTCCAGAACTTCCACCGATTCCATTTGAAGTTGATGAAGACGAAGGCATCGCGGTAAAAATTGTGAGAATCGTTCGTAGAGATGAGCCACTTGGAGCTACAATAAAATGCGATCATGGAAAAGTGTACGTAGCGAGGATAATGGCAGGAGGTGTAGCGGATCGGAGTGGATGCATTCAAGAAGGAGATAGAGTCCTAGAAGTTAACGGCGAATCTGTTTTAGATAAGCGTTCCGACGAAATCGTAGCGCTTTTAAACAAATGTGACGGTGGATGTGTATGGAAGCCGAATAAATGCCTATAATCTGATATCTCTTTTTCAGGTGACATTTAAACTCGTTCCGGCCGAAGTATGGAATAATCATGCAGCTAAATCGCATAATAATAATGATAAATCGCATATTCATTTAAAAGCATTGGTATGTTTATCAAGAAATGATATTTTTCAAATTTATTCTTTATAGTTCGATTACGAGGGAGGCAAAGATCCGCGTCATCCGTGTCCTGAAGCAGCGTTGTCGTTCAAACGAGGTGATATCTTGGAGCTTCTTGTGTGTAACGACGAATTCTGGTGGCAAGCTCGACGAATTGGCTACGGTGCTCTCGCATATTCAAAAGAACGGGATGATGAACGTAATCTATATTTGTATATATTCATTTCTTAATGATTTTTGTATAGATGGTTCAAAAGGAGTTGGTCTGATTCCATCTGAAACATTGCAACAAAAGACAAGAAGTCTCGAGAACGGAAACGAAAAGAAATCGAGTTTGAATAGCCTTACAAGGGGTGTGATAGCTAGTCGTCATAGGTTAAATGAGGTTAGATTTCTAGATTTTTAAGCGTAAATATTTAAAAAAAAAATATATATATATATATTTGTGCAACAATTTATATTTTCAGGCTAGTGAAGAAAAATACTACGAATCAGTGTGTCGCAGTCGGCTAAATATTATTCGGCCTATTGTATTGATTGGACCTCCAGGTGTCGGAAGAAATGAGTTAAAACGAAGGCTTTTGATGTTGTTCCCTGAACGATTTTCAACTACTGTTCCTCATACTAGTCGACAGCAAAGGTGAAGGGCTATATTCCACTTTTTTTTGAGAGGAAATGTCTATTCGTTTTAGGGTTAATGAAATTGAGGGTGTCGATTATTATTTTACCCAGCGAAAAGCCATAGAGAAAATGATCGAGAAGGATGAAATGCTAGAATTTGGAGAATTTAAAGGTATTTTCTTTATTCCAAATAATTTATTATAATAGTTGACGTCCGGCGACTGCTGGAAAATTTTCGTGTCGCGAGACCATTTTAGCCGTGTTCATCAGTCGCCGTACGCCGACTATTTTTATGATTATTCCAAATTTAAGGAAATCTTTATGGAACGGCGGTTTCGTCTGTTCGATTGGCACGTAAAAAGGGTACTCCACTATTAACTCCGCATCCATTAGCCCTGCGTAATCTGCGAACGGCGGAGTTTGCGCCGATCATTATTTTCGTACAACCGCCGTCGTTTCACGATTTTAAGGTTTGTTGATCCGTTAGCAATTGTTCGACATTATTGAATGAACAGCTGTGTTTTACTTGCTAATATTTCACTTTGTCATTAATTCTGTCTTAATGAGAATCAAACAGGTTGTTGAGACTGAACGGTGTTTTTGGTTATATTCGTCGTGGAAAAAAATCGGAACAAGTTTAATAATCTTTTGTACTTTACAAAGGAGATTTTTTTTTACAAAAATATTGTCAGTTGTTTAATCAATGTTCTTATTTTCATAGTTTTCTTTGCAATTTTGTTCCTTATTTTGGTAATATGCAGATTTCGCAAAAAAATCTCAAAGGTTGGTTTAAAAAACTATCAAAAGAAAATCTAAAGCCTTACACAGATTGCGTAAAAAAACTAATTGTTTTTTGAGTTTTTTCGAGTACTTACTAAAATTCTTACTAAAATCTACATTTCATCAGTAGATTATCAGAAAAGTCATCAATTACCTAAAAGTTTCCAGACTTTGACTGAAATCATACCCGAAGACAAAAGCTATCAAATTGTGTTCACCTTGATCGTTTCAAAACACTCAAAGTACATATTTTGAATTTATTTTCTTACGTACAGACTAAGAATTGCCCTGATGATAATACGGATACCAGTTTATCAGAGTGTAGACGTTGAGAGATCAAGATGTGACCAATTTAGCATGAAATGTAGACAATAAGAAATATCTTTAATTTTAGGAAACTCGCGAAGCGTTCCGATCCCGGATGACTCGTGCCCAATCAGCGGCTTCTTCAAACAATGCTTCGACGATGGGTAGCGGTCTTGGGCGTGGATTCACGGATACTGAAATTCGTCAAATCATTGACAATGCGATTTCCATGGAGAAGACTTATGGTCATATGTTCGACGCTCGAATAGTCAATACAAATTTGGATGACACGATGAGCGAGCTTATCAAATTGATACATTTACTTGAAACGAAACCCACTTGGGTGCCTCTTAACTGGGCAACTAAGCCCAATTGACTAATTAACAAAAATTACTCGTTTTCTAGGAATTTCTAACCCCCTCAATTTCCTTTGGCAATCTCGTTCTTCAGCTTTCTCACCCAATTACAGTATCTCTCCTCTCATTTTGGTGTTTTATGACTGTTCTTGCTCATGCTTTACATTGCAAAAATTTTCTTGTGTATTTTTCAGTATTTCTTAATATTTGTTTTTGTTTTTCGAAGTTCTTGCACACATTCCGCAGGCGTGTTCTTTTCCTTCTGTGTACTTTCAATTTCCCCAATCCGAACTATTGCAATGTGAATAATTGTGCTGCTCAAGAGCTTTTACCTTTTGTGTGTTTGTGTGTGCGTGTTCGGTCATGTCCCAATGTTGGTGTTTTTTTTTAATACTTATTTTTGTTAATAAATTTTCGCGAATTTTCGCTTATTGTTGTTTCAGTGTCTCACACGTGAATCATGTGTGACATTGGTCAATTTTGTGATGAACGAGATCGAAATGTGACACGAACGTTATTGGGATTCGCACAAAAACGAATCAGAAATGAGTGTCGTCATCGGGCATTGATCGCGCGACGCATTGCACCGCCCATCGCCGCCGACTACTACTGTAGGCGGAATTTGTACAAAAGCGAGTGCGCGAGTGATTCGATTCAATCGAAAATGCTTGTCATCGCTCGATTCTCCATTGTTCTCTTGATTCTCGTCGTTGCTGCCCACGGCTTTACACTATACAGGCCAACGGCGAAGCCCAAACATCATTCCGGATCCGACAGGTGAGATTCTCTTTTTTGAATTCAAGCCGTTGTTCTTATTTTTTTCTAGAAGAAGCCTAGACTAGAGAAACCTTGTAGACTACACTAATCTTGTAGTGTTTCGATGTTCGACACAAATATCTTAAATTTGTTTCAGCCGCGCCGTTTCGGAAAATGTTGATCTCGACGAAACCGACGAGGGCTCATATGATCGCTTGAAAAATGTGATCGCAAATTTGAATCCCAGGGTCGGATTGATGCACTCATCATTCCTTGGCAACGAATAGGAAACTCATTTCTTTGTCATTTTCTTTTGATCTCCACCATAAATATGTATATCTATGTGTGCATAATGAATTTATTATTTTAATCAATGTGCCATCTAAGCTTTTGAAATACACGTATTACTTGCGAACCGGCTTGTTATGAATTGTGAAGAAATAATCGAACCCGACGAGAATCAGGAATACTGCGATTGTGAAGCCGCAGAAAATGGTGAGAAGCACACGGTCGATGACGTTTGCAAGAAATTCCCATTCCAGCGAAACTCTGAAATATTTCATTGAAAATTCCCAAAAAAATAAAATTATATGAATTTTTAGTTTTTTTATTCGAAAAAAATGTGTTACCACCGCAAAAAATGAGCACTATGGAAAATTGTGGACCATCGCACTTTTTCGAGGCGGTAATTCAAATTCGAATTTAAATAGTGGGGAATTTTGTATACCGTACTCTGGATAACCTGCGAATCAAACTCGCTCGTTTTTTTTCGACTGTAATGTATGTTTATTTTTATTTGAACTCGGCTTGAAACCCTAAATGCAATCGACTTCAAAAAAAATTCCAATTTCCATTATTATATCGTCGACGTCGACTGCGGAAAATCGGCTAAATACCAAAAAAATTAAAAAGGGGTCAGCGCGCGGTGTGCTCCTTTAACCTATACTTATAAATAGGCCCGTAAATCTACACTCTCATTTTTGTGCCAAGAATAATATCATAATTTTTTGGCATTTAGCCAATTTTCCGCAGTCGCGCGACATCGACAATAAGAAAAAACTAAATATTTATAATTTTTCTTTTAGTGTATTTTAAAAAAAGTAAATTCGTTAAATATTTAAATTTTCAAAAATTGCACAAGAACGTTGTTTTTAGTCATACGAATTTTATTCGAGTATTTTTTAATAGTTAAATCCTCCCAAATAAGTCACTGTTTTTTTTTCACATATATATTTTATATTCCATTTTTTGATGACTTCCGATTTTTCCAGACCATCTTATCAAATATCGTCTCGATGGATCAAAAAGAAAAAAATATTACGGTTTTTATCAAAATATTACGGTTTTTATCAATGATAATACGTGCAAAATCGAATGTTTCTAAAAAAAAAACAAAGTGAGATCAGTTTTATCGCAGACTTTGTCAAAATATTTGCGGTGTTCATCTATGATGGAAAACATTTCGCTTTTTAACTATCAATTATTTCGTTTTCTAGACTAAATTATTCAAAAGTTATTATAAATCATCGGAAAGTATAAGCGATATTGAAAACACAGAGACACTCAATTGTCAAGAGAAATCAGAATTCGAAGAATCGCACGGCTCAAACTTAAATCAGTATAAACACAAGGATCACTTGTTGGCATTCGTACGTAATGAACTGATGATTCCCAACACCACAGAGAATGTTGAGTGATCAATTTTCGGCGGCGCTTTTTTCTTCTTCTTCTTCTTTTAAAAGGGATTGTTACCGATGACGTCATTAACACATCCGAACAATGAACTTTTTCCTTTTGATTTTGAAAATATTGCAACTGTGCAAGAATAATTAGAATGGTATATTCAAGAAATATTGACATATAGATGGAATGCTAAACTGGATTGCTAAATTAACAATAAATACAAACAACAAGATAAAGGGTGAATTGAAATTTTGATGAATTGAACTTTCTAAAGCGAAAGCTCATCTATTTTTTTTTTGTATGCTATTCACCAAAAGATTTCTATATTTAGAATTTATATTTTTTGAAACTAACCTTCTCTGCATTTTTTGCTTTTTCACATTCCTTGCTTGGCTTGTATCCGCCGACATTCGGTACAGAGTCTTTTGCCTTTCGCGCATTTTTGCCTAAAATTATCAAAAGAAAATAAAACTAGTTATCGGCAGGTGAAAACAATACATACATGTTGTGTGTATTGTCGAGTGATTGTCGCGAGTCGCGCGGTGTACGAATATGATGATTGAACATCGGACATTCGCGATTTGATGGAGCCGAAAAATGCGCGAGGCTCCGGCGTCGCGTGCTAGAAATACTGCCGATGAACGATGCGGATCGAATTTTTACCGTAATTGGATTGATGTGTTGCAGAAGGAGTGGATCGATATTAGTCGAAACTCGTTGCTCAGAAATCACTCCGAATTCCGTCCACAAATCAATGAGAGACGTTGGTGGACTGAAGTGGAAATTTAAGAAAAATAATTATTAATATAATAAACCTTAAAATGAATGTCTCCACAATTGGATTATATATCAATTTTCGAGTGAAATCCGAAATTGGAAGAGTATAATGCTTCTGGCCATGAATTGCTGCAAAAATGAACAGCCATATAAGTGGTTGGCCTCGTTATGCGAAAAAAAAACCTAATACAATAGTTGCGATGAATGTTCCTACTACAATAACGCCAATGATTCCCATATAATACCAGCCTGAATTTTTGAATTTTTTGAATGTTCGATGTTTGAAAAATGTACTCATTAAAGGGACATAAGTGCTCGTCGAAGGCATTTGGTTGCAAACCATCAGCATCATCACGGACATTGTCAGCAATGTGTTGATTCCAAGATATCTATGAAAATCTCAGATTTGATTTTCAATATAAACCCCCCCCCCTACAGCTTCTCGTCTCTTTCGCTCGACGATGATGTCGGGGTGAAGAAGCCGGTGACGGCGACAATTGTGATGATCGACGTTGGCACCACCAGATTAATCATGTAATACAGCGGTTTTCGTCGAATCACCAAATTGGCGTAGAGCATCACCCAGGGTGCTGTGCAGCATTTGAACGATTCTTCGATGCGAACGAAATCGAAGCTGATCACTTCCCATTCGTCGTTTCGAGCCATGTTGGCGAGATTAACACTAGGGAATAGGGGCCAATAATCAATAGTACTCTGAAAATAATTAAACCTAATTAAAAATATATTCTAAACTGGTATAGTTGGCGTCCGGCGCGGGGTGAATTCGATAATTTTTTGTAATCTTAATGGAATTATTCATGCAATGAAAAAAATTTAAAAAAATAAATTCTTTTTCATTTGAATTCCCTATGCACGCACGTCGAAAATTACAAAAAATTGACGCGATATATCGTAATTCTCCGCTATTTATTTTCAAAGGCGCACGCGAAAAGTTGCGCGGGTCACGTCGCGAGGTCGGTACTGTATTTTTTTTTCATTCTGTGTGCTATTTTTTTTTACAAAATAAGTCTATTTTTCGTCATTTAGATACCAATTATCATGAAAAATAGTAATATTTGTGTTGATTTGATGCAGACTTCGCTCGATGACGCTTCTGATGAATTTTTAACGTCGATTAAACAAAATACTTTTACAGATTTCCAAAAAAACGTTTTAAACGCCCAAAAAATAAAAATTCGAAAAAAACAGCCATTAAAAAATACAGTACCGACTTCGCGACGTGACCTGCGCAACTTTTCGAATTCAAATGAAAAAAATTGATTTTTTAAAAAATTTTTTTCATTGCATGAATAGGTCCATAATGGTGGATTCGATAATGTTTTAATGGAATTCCAAGAAATGCCAAACTCATCAAGAAAAAATCACGTGAATTCACGTGAATATTTCAAAACCAACGTTCATACGTGGCGAGACCTTTTCAAGGCGCATGCTAGACGCCGACTATATTAATTTAGAAAAAGAAAACACCTTGTCATGAGTCCAACTAGAAATGATAAAACTGCAGTTTTGGCTGTCGTATGGAAACCAGCGAACCTAAATTGGAAAATAATTAGTTGTGTATCGCATCGTTTTCGCATTTCCAACATCCATTCTGCACGACAATTTATAAATCGCGGGGAACATCAATTGGACTCGTGCTCCTTTCGAGTTATTCGACCAATATCCCGTTTCCAATTGCGCGTTCATTATCGATTCGGCTTTTTTCTGCTCGAGCTCTTCGCTGAAATTCGCTGAAATTTGCTGCGCATTTCATCATTTTTTTGAATAACCTATTATAAAGATATGTATCTGGAATCCAAATTTGATGAGACGGTACAATTGTGCGATTTATCATCCCATAATGTCTGGGATTCCAGTCAAGAAACTCGTCATACCAATGCTGAAACAGTTGTGTGAATTCACCGAATTCAAGTGCTGAGACTACCTGCACCATCCACACGTTGACTTCAATACTTTGCATATGTTCATCGACATCAAGGATCTGATACAAACTCATGCTCAAATTCACTCTTGTTGGCTCCAAATGGTTTCTCTTAAAAGTAAAAAATATAGCTAATCGAATCCGACATTACAGACCCTTGGATGTACTGTCTTCTCATAATACTGCGGATCCAGAAGCTCTTCAATCAATCTCCGTTGGTCGTTTATAAATTTTCCTTAAAAAAATGGAAAAAATGGAAATAATAATTGCAGTAAACCTTCGCATAGTTTTTCGAGGAATTTCCTTCGCTCCTCTCCAAGTTCTTCCAGAAATGTCGCATTATACGCAGCTGTCGTATTTTCTGAAAAATCAAATATTTTACATACAATATAGAAGAAGCTAGTCAAGTTTTAAAGTTAGACTCTGAAACCAAGAAAAACGAAATTTATCGAATTTTGCGAAAAACAATGGCATGCTTTCACAATATATTGTTTCTCTTTCTTTTCTAGTGTTTAGAAGTTTTGAAATAAAATTGTATTGAGAATTTAAAATAATTTTGATTTTTGTGCATTTCAAACCGAAATTTTATATCCGATTCCACTACATATCGACCATCAACAAATTTATTGGTTTATGTCACAAATTGGATTATTGGATTCAATTCCACTAACTGACTGCACCTTTAATTGATGTAGCCAGTTGAGGTGTATTTTTTTTCTCAACCTTACAATTAGGGAACCAAAAGGTAACGATTTTAGCGACTCCCCTCGATGGGGCGATTTCCCAAAATTTGTCTCAGCCCAAACCCGATGAGCCGAATCATATGATGTTTTCGTTTCGACCGAATATTTTTCACTGGAACTGCTCTTTTCAGAGTTTTGTTAATTATTAAGGTGCCACACGAAAAAATATTGAAAATAGAATGCATTTTCTTTGAATGCAAAAAAAAACCACGGACGTTTTCAAATGTTTTTTTTTTTTTGTGAAAATAGTCGTTCTCATTTGTCTTCTCTTAAAGATCACCTAAACTCCTTCGTAACTGTGATTTGAATTCCGCAATAGTGGTGACATTCGTGCTATGTTGTCGATTCGACTCATACCATTCCTTATATGATGATGTCGTTGGAGGTGATAAACTGAAAATGTCATAATATTCATATTCAATTCAAAAAATAAAAAAACAAACTCGATTCTCTTTCCATATTTTTCTAAACTCAATCCGTTTGTAATTTGAAAAAATCCATATATTACTAAAATCGTTTGAATTTTATCCATCTGAAAATCGTGAAAATGCTCATAAAAAGAAAGTTTGGACGAAACAGAAAATCATTTTTAAAAAAGTTGGCGATGGGGAATTGAAAATGCTGAGAACAGAATTGGCTGACAGGATTTTGACATCAACCAACCAATGCATTATTCTATTATACAGAGTGCGTAGGCTTGATGGCCCACCCAGATTGACGTTTTACTTTTGGTGTGCTACACTGAACTCTAATTGAAACTTATAACCTGCACTTTAGGTAGGCCGTCTTAATTTTTTTTTTCCAAAAAATTTCCAATCGAATCAACTAGATCCCTACCTGGGCAAACTTCTAGTTTTCGAGATACGGACCTTCAAATTTTTAGCCCTTCCCTCTCTGAATTTTGCATACAAATGTTTCGGAAACTCGAAAGTGAAATAGTGGAATCTATTATATCGCGCTGATTCGGCGCCGATTCCGCGCATTTGTCTGCTAATTTAGGGAGGGAGGGGCTAAAACTTTGAAGGTCCATATCTCGATAACTAGAAGTTTGCGCAGGGGGGGGGCAAGTTCATTTGATTGGAAAAAATCTAAACAATCTGTATGCAAAGAATAAAAATTTTTTAAAGCAGACTTCAAAATGACCTCCCTTGTTAGTTTAATTTTCTTATAATTTTAATTTTCTCGTTTAATTTTCAAAAAATATATGTATTATATATATGATAAATTTATCGAATAGTTTAAGAAAAAAATTATATCAGAAATTTTCAAGCATTTTTAAAAAGAATCAATAGTCTGAGAAAATCTAAATAAAAATGTGTATTGAATTCTGAAACATTGTCAAATCAGCAGAATCGTGTTTTTTAGAAAAGCTCAAAATTTTTCAATACTTGAAATTCTTGCAGTTTGATTCCAATTGAGGGGTAAGAAAAACAAGTTGTCCGGAAATTAATGGGCGCTTCGAAATTGCGATGACCATTAGTTGAGTAAAAGGAACTTTGTCGAGATTTTACAAACAAAGTGAAGAATTGTTTTGGTTTTGGTGAATTTCAAGAGGATAAGGTGTCTTAAAAATAACTAAAAATGAGCTTGTTGACGGCAAAATGTGGTGAGTAGAAGACAAGAAAAAAAAAACAACAACAACAACAATAAATGAAAGCTTTGGAAGCAGTCAGCACAAGGTGCAATCTGCCGAAAATATTCCATATACACAATTGCAGGTTTTTCCGGGTTCCATTTTTTTTACAAAAAAACATTACATCAAACTTTATGAAAAACTATTTATACTTCTCTCTCGCCAACTATTTATATTTCTTTTTGATAGGAAAAAAAGGGAAAAAAAAACTTAGACTGCGGCAAACGAATGGAAGAATGCGATTTATGTGATGTATTCAAACTCATTTAACGGGATGATGCGAAACGGACCTAAAATGGAAGTGGCACACTTAATTACTCTGCGTTTAATTGAAAATTCGATTCAAGATAGACTTGGCAAACATTTATATGGTATAATTAACAAATGTATTACCAAATAATATATCGAACACTACATATTAATTGTGAAGGTTTCGTCCAATTGTATGAATAGATTAGTTAGTTATTATTCTGAATAATGAAGTTCAAAATTAGTTCAGAATCGCTTTATTGATGTTTTCGAAGGAGAAAAAGGACAAATAATATTCGGACGAATAAATTTGGATAAAACAGATTCAAGAAAATTAGAAATACTTTTCATAACCTACTATTTTTGGCCATTACTACACACTTCCAAACGCTTGTCGCGTATGTAGAGAGCAAGGTGAGCAGAAGATAAACAAAAAGGGATGCATCGAACCGTGAACGAATTCATGAAGGTGGGTGTGCTTCATTTTGACTACCAAAAGAAAATGTTGAATGTTCGCCTCCAAAAAAACGGAATATTCGACGAAATTGCAAATTAAATGTGGCAAGGCAATAAATGAAAATGAAACCGAAACGAGTTTTCATTTTCACGAACACCAATGGGTCCGAAACATTGAGCTCAAGCACTATTTGATCTCAAATATTGAACGTTTATTCATTACACAAAAAAGGCAATTAATTAGAGTTTGAAGGATCTGAAAATGTTGATGAGAGATCGACGACGTTCGGAGATTTCGAACTCATTCTGTTGTGCCGAGCCAGCCATGATTAGAGCTGATCTGCAATTACAGTTCATACATCGGAAAATATGATGCTTTAAAACACACAGAAGCCTCTAATATATTTTATATTTATATGACATCATACTGATTCTAGTGTAACTCTTCTTCAACATGTGTAAATATTTCTCTTATTTTCTTTGATTACAAAATTGTTTTTAAACACGCAATGAAAATAAACCAGCGAAAGAATAAATATCGAAGACGTAATTTTCTTGCGATATATAATGTGGAAAAATGACGAATGTGCAAAACTGCAGCGAAATCCTATGCATTGTGTGCGTACACCGAGTCGTACATTTCAATCTACAGTAATCTCAACTAAAAATTATTTAATCAATTATTTTTTTCTGTGTTTTCTTCGCGAATTTATGATTTCATTCATATTGATGTGTTGAAAAAGTGTAATAGTAATCATTTTTGTATATTATTTAAATTTAATTGTTTTTTTTTTATAAAAAGAAACGATCAATAATTAATTAAATAATTTTCAGTTGAGATTACTGTAGATCGAGATGTGCGACTCGGTGTACGCACACAACGCATAGGATTTCGCTGCAGTTGTTTTTTTTTCGCAATATTAATACAAATGCATTTAAAAATTCGAAATTAATTAGAATCTATTGCTTGAAAATTATCTTCTAAAATAAAAAAAAACCAATAAAGCATTTTTTTTGAAATCGAAACTTTGATTCGAATATTTCATCATTGGCGGAACTCACCGATGGACAAGTTCTCTCAACTTCATCGCCTCCATTTCTCGATTAAGTTTTCGGACCATCAAAACATGCGAAAAATAAGTGTACAAAATGAACCCGATTACAGAACCCAATATGCAAAATGACATGAGCTGCGATGATTTTGTATATCTGCAAAAATCATCATTCAATTTTATGCGCCACTAGTTTGTGCTTTTCGAATTTTGTGGAAACAGCAATTGAACGGCACTTTGTGCTGAATAAATGATGGTCTTTCAACGACCGATGAACCCTCTTATTTCTTGTGCGTATTGATTTTGGTTAAGGGACCATCAAGACTTTCTGTCAACTCCAATAATCATTAGGACTAACGGAAGCAATAGGAAAAACTAGAAAATGCCCCACAAATCTGCTATAATTCATCAGAATGTTATTTAGATTTTGTTTTTAAAAAATATCAAAAACTCAAAAAAACCCTATTCAGAAAATCCTGTGAGATTATTGAGCTTCTTTTTTCTCGAAAATCGGCATAGTACCATTAGAAGTTGAATTTGAAATGAGTCGAGAAGACTCGAGTCCCACATTTATAACTCATTTACGTACTGGCTGGCTGAAGAATAAAGTGCAAAGAATACAAAACCTTTGGTCATAGTTAACTCGTTTTCCGGTATACGCACGACCATAGTCGGGATGATGTTGGGATTCGTGACTCCAGATGATCATCCTTCCTTCATGCGCATCCCGCCAATCATTTTCTTTTAACGTGATGAATATGCTTGTGTCAATTAACTTCTGAAATTGGTTAGATTTCAAAAAATTCCGTTAGTTTCTCTACTCATACCTGACTTGAATTATGTGCGGCGTTATTACTATTATTCGCGACAATCTCGATGATTGTCTCATTTCGATGAACAATTGGTCTCGACGCGAACTGCTGAGTAATTATTAGAAGAATGAGGAAGTTGAGAAGAAACCAAGCCAACATACGCCACCATACGAGCGGCTGAAATAATTTGGAAATCATTTCGAACAAAGAACAACGAATTCTGAAAAAAGAAAGAAAATAACTCGAATCTGCATGCCAAATGAATCCGAAGCAGCCAATTGAGCCGCCGTCAAGAATGAGCTCAGCTCGAAAACTCATCCGGTGTTTGTTCAATTGGCCGCGAAAATTAAACATCGGCAGGAGAAAAAAAAATGTGAAAAGTTTGATGTTGTATACAGGAGCATAAGACTCGTGTTTTCATTTACAGGGTGTCATTTAAGTTCCCGCACAACTTTGAAGACGTATATTTCTGAAACTAAAAGTCCAAATCAAACGAGACTCGAAATATTTTTTATCTATAGTACAACAAATAATTATCTATTAACTCTTTTCGATTCGGCCTCTTTTCGCAGCTATGACTTCGCGGAGACGCTTCGGGTAGGATGTGACTGTGGTACGCAGGTATTCGATGGAAAGATTGTCCCATTCCGCCAGTAATGTCTTCTTCAGAGCCTCTACACTTGAGTGGGGTTTTGCGTTGACCTTCTCCTGCAAGACCCCATCACGGAGAAGTCAAGCGGGTTCAGGTCTGGGGAGCAAGCAGGCCATTCGGATGACTTGATGAAGTCGGGAAAATGGGTCTGGCACCACTCCTGAGTAGTTTTGGCAGTAGGGGCGGGTGCTCCGTCCTGTTGAAAGACCCATATCTTCCCACCGAAATGCGTTTGGGCCCAGGGCATCATATGCTTCCCCAAAATGTCCCGAACGTAGACTTCTTTGTTCACTTTCACCACCTGATCCACGAAAACCAGGGGCACTTCCCGGTTGAGCAGATGGCACCGAAAACCATCACACTGGCAGGATGTGAGGCTGGATGAATTGTTCTTCCTTTCTCAGAAGCTTTCTGGGATGTCTGGGCAAGTACTCAATGGTTTTGTGAGTTGAATGCCGCCTCCACAGTGAACAGCTTCTCGTCGGAGAAGACAGTGGCGAGGTGTTCTCCAGACCGCGTGCGAGCAAAAAGTCGTTTTGCTTTTTCGAAGCGTCTCTGCTAGTTGACGGCCGATAGAATTGCCGCTTTTTGGACGCGATATGGGGTCAGTCCAAGCTTCGTTTTGACCATTTGTTCCATAGCGAAGATGCTCATTCCCATGTCTGACGCCATTTTTCTTATGCTCCTGTGCGGTTTTCGCCTGATCCTCGTTTTGACGGCGTTGATCTTCTGAGGAGTGGTTACTGAGACGAGTCTTCCTTGTCTGGGAAGGTCACTGGTCGTATTTAGCTCCTTGAAACGTTTGTTGGTGTCTTAAACCGTTCTACGAGGCACACCGAGGCGTTGAATGATCTCTGTCGGGCGCTCATTTCGCTTATGAAGTTCGATAATGGAAGCGCAATGGATGTTAGCCTTCGCCATTTCTCGGAAACACATCCGAATGAAGTGAAACTTGAAAAGTAAGTAAAATACACCTTATTTAACAAAAATAAATTGTATTGGTGCACGAAAAGTGCGACAGCCAAGCTTTTCATGGTGTCTAACTTTTGTGCGGGAACTTAAATGACACCCTGTATTGTTGCCATTGGAGATTCGTGACTAAAAATGGAATGAGAGAGGCGTGTCGCAACATATTTCCATGATTTGTTGTGCGAACATAAACGAACATTGAAAATTTTTGAAAATCACGCCGACTAAAAAGAAGGCGTTTCTAACTTGGAGAACATATGTACAAACGGAGCTTCATTGAATGAGAGTCAGGGATTTTTTTGTTATCGTTTAATGTTTTTTCTGACTTTCCAATAACTCATTTCATCGTGTTTTAATTTTATAAAAATTTCATGCTGAAAGACGTAATGAAATAAATTATTCTCTGCGAGACGCAGATAAATTGTTTGCTATCTCAAATTGGTCCAGTGCAGGGCTGTGCGGCAATCGGAAATTTCGGCAATTCGGCAATTCGGCAAATTGCCGAAAATCAAAATTTCGGCAATCCGGCAATTCGGCAAATTGCCGAAAATCAAAATTTCGGCAATCCGGCAATTCGGCAATTTGCCGAAAATCAAAATTTCGGCTATTAAATGTTTTCAACGATAATTCGAAATATAAATACCGAATTTTCACGATATCCCAAATTATTCAATGGACATTGATTTTTGTTTCGCCGATTTTTTTTTGATATCAAATTGCCGAAAATCAAAATTTCGGCAAATCGGCAATTCGGCAAATTGCCGAAAATCAAAATTTCGGCAATCCGGCAATTCGGCAATTTGCCGATCGAACGTTCTCTTCGGCAATTCGGCAATTCGGCAATTTGAAAAATCGGCAATTTCGGCAATTTCGGCAATCGGCAATTCCATTGCCGCACAGCCCTGGTCCAGTGCACGCCTTTCAGGTCTCTCGCAACCGAGGCAAAAAAGAACCAGATCTGCGCGGAACTTAAAATTTTCTAAAAACGGAAGACGGAAGGAGGAACAAAAAATTTTTTACGGGAAACGGAACACAAATTGAATCTAACTCGAATTTTTTGAAATTAACAGTTCAGAATGTGAGATTTTCCAAGTGCTCATTCAACAAAGACCTTCTTTTTGTCGAACAAATTTCTCCGGCTATGCTAAAACCTTATTAGATTCGCTACACGTGCTAGGTATTGGGAGATATCTCAAACGGAACACGGAATACGGAAGTCGGAATAAATTTTTTTAACGGAATACGGAACACATTTTTTGGACGGAACACGGAAAACGGAAGACGGAATTCCGTGCAGCTCTGGTTGGGAAGCATGGTGGCCTGGCCGTTTGTTGCAGCGGCGAGATTGCGTTTTTGCTAGAACGAGTCAAGTATTCGACGGTTCATATTTTGTCCACGCGAGACGAAAAGAACGAGTGAAAAGGGTAAAAACTCCAGCCAAAACGATGCAAAAACTTTCTAAAACGACGATTCAAAAAACGATGTTTTTTCTTTAAACTAGTGCTTTCGCCCGTTTTTCCCACGAGGTTACTGTAGCAGTAGTATGAGTGTGCGCGGCGGCTCGGCTGGGGCGATTTACGCGGCGCCATACGAGGGGGTTACTCAGGTAAATGAAAATCAATCGGAATCGAAAATAATTTCTTTTTCAATCTAAATCGAATGTAAATTAATCTGTTTCGAATTATTCCAAAATTTCAAATCGAATTTAAACACTTTCTCAATCGAATTTTAATTACAGTTTAATTGAATCAGGTTAATTTATATTTCATTTTTCTTCGAATTCGATTGATTTTCATTTACCTGAGTAATCGCTCTTTTTTTGTCGGAAAAGGTAAAATTTGCGAGATTTTAAACATTTACATTTCAAAATGTAAAACCGAATTTAACTATGATTATTGAAGCAATTTTTGCGTAAAATATGGCAAATTGCAGATTATCCGAAGTGAGATATTTTATTCTGAACATTGGAAATTTGAAGCTGAAATTTTTAAAAGACCCAGTATTAACTTTCGTTGTACTTTTTTTTGAAAGATGTAAACTCGAAACAATAACTTATGTAGAATAAGAAGTTGAAAAAAATTCATTTTGCATGGGACCATCCAACCTACGTACCACCTAATTAGAAGAATTTGAGCGGTTCAAAAATGAATTGCTCTGAAATTAGTTTAGGTTCTCTTTTTAGGGCGGAGTTGTCGAAAAAAAAACAATAAAAGACAAACACAAAAACGCCGAAAAACACGACAACTTTCAACTCAATTTTTTTCCTTCTTCTTCTTCTTCTTTTGAGGAACACGATAATATGAACGTAGACTTTTCGACGGCGTTTATGAATAATTGAGAATGGGACATGGAAATATTGTAGGTGGACAACTACTACTACTAAATTGTTGGCTCGGGACTCGCAGATAACCCTACGAAAACAGCCAACAAGGATTTGGAGCTCAGGTGAATAACTCGACATGACTCCAGCGTCTCCTCACTGACAACATAATTGGACCCGTCGTGTATTATTTTTTTTTGCTTGAGGATTTTAAAATTCTTTTTTTTTATCCGAAAAAAAAACAATCGCATATTTTTGTGTTGTTTATCGTTTCGTGTTTTGACAGGCTGCCGATTCGGTAATTTTTCGAAATTGATGAGCTTGTTTACTTTAATCCAAATGAAATTCGTCAATTCCAAAATTTGCAGAAATGCCGAATTCAAACAACTCACGTGTTTGCAAATTATATATATATTTTTTTGGACAAAGGAATTGTCGAAGGAAATTTTAACAGATTTGAATGATCAAACGCGTTAGCCATTTTTGATCGATCTTAGCGCGAAATCAACAAATTTTCGTATGCGCCTTTAATATCTACTGTAATTTTCAATGCATTTTATACTAGATCAAATTGAAAATGATTATAAGGAAATGATTATATAAAATATAAAAATGATGATATAAAATGTTTATAATGGCACCAAAATTTGAATAATGAGCAACGTCCCCCTAAATTCGTCCGTCCTTGACAATAGAAGGAAACTGTAATTCCAGGAACCAAGACTTTAAGATGGAAAATGTAGAAATTTATCAGATTACGGTGAGCTTGATTTGCAGGCTATCCAGAGTACGGTAGCCGAATTGAAACTGTATCAATTCGAATTTGAATTACCGCCTCGAAAAAATGCGATGGTATTTCTAAATCAAATGGGGTATGGTTAGGCGTCGATTGGAATTCGGCTTACATATTTGAATTATCGCTTTGGGTCTCGAATGGAAAAAATAATTCTTTTGTCGAATTCCTTTTTTAAACCATCAACTTTCTTATGAAATTGTGATAATTTAGCAGAATCAAAATACGATTTTGATTTTCATTAATTTTATAGGATTTCTAGGTATTGTAGATTTCAGAATGGAATTTAATTTTTTTTGAATAAATCAAAACGGATTTTCAGATATTTAAATTTCAAAAAATGAATTTAGAATTTTTATAACTGAAGGATAAAAACATTGATATCTCAAATACTATCGTTTTTATTTATGGCTTCATTAGTTTCTAAATATTTAATGACTAATTAAGCCAGCAAAAACGGGCTTCGTTGCAATTTTCTAGCGGAATGAAAATTTTTGAAAAAAAAACACAAAAAAACTCAAAAGCTATGCAGATTTCAATAAAAACCTCTCAGCTTTTTGTGCATTTTTAGAAAATCTGCACAGCGCCATAAAAAAACCACACTCGAAGAAATTCCAGAATCTAAAAATGGTATTCACCGATTTTTTGATCCAACTTTTTGAAACCAAGATTTTTTTTGACGCAACCAATTTTGGCCTGCGCCTTTGATTCATACTGTAATTTTGCATACATCTACATATAATACTCAGCCATCGATTATACCGATCCGCGCCAAAAATTGTGGCCAATAATTAAAATAAAGAAAAGACGATCGGAAGAAAAGAAAATGAGCGAGCAAGCAGCTCTCGAAAACCGATAAAACAAGAATGAAAAGAGAAGGAGGGCCAGTATTTTATTACCAAACCGCCGAGTGCCTTCTAACACTGCAACTGTGCTACAGACGAAAAATGGTGAAAAGGTGGATGAAAAATAGATTACTCGGAAAAGTAGATAAAAACTAGGAGAAAAATGGGCGAAAAATAGATTATCTCAAAAATTGGTGAAAAATATACGATAAATGGATGACAAATAGATGAAAAATTGGGAAAAAATAGATAGAAGATAATGATAAGAAATAGACACTGAAAGGGTGAAAAATAGATGGAATTGTGCAGTTGATCGTAATGTGAATGCAGATGGCGCCATGTTAATCACAATTTTTTTAAAAATCAATTTTGGAAATGCCTAAAACTCTTCGCCATCGATTACCCAAAGAAGGTCTCAAATTGAGGAAAGGTAGGTTTTTTTCGTATATTAATATTGCTGATTGTTTATTATTTTAAGATCAAATTGCTGGTTCGCGATGCATGCCGACCAAACGTGTGGTCTTTGCTCGAAAAAACGCCCGGCTTTCACTTCGAAACAAATCGTCGAACAACGAAAATAATGAAAATGATGCATCAACAACATCCTTTCTCATGAGAGAACGATCTGAAAGCGAAATTGAAGAATTCTCCGAAGTAGTCGGGCCGTCATGCGTACCGAATTACCCCGCACATGATCGTGTATCGGAATTGGCCGATGAACTATTATTGTGCATGTATAGTTCGGTACTCGGAAAAGATACAGAAAATGGTAAAACTAATACTTTTCCAAAGACAAAAAATGGTTGCAGGCTTTTTGAGACGACTGGCAACAATTAAAAACTTCATCCCGATTGAAAGAGCCCGCTCATTGTGGTATGATTTCAAGAAGAATATTATGAAGCGTTCAATATGCGAAAAGTGTGGATGTCGAAGAGAGAAAGAATGGTAAACACATATACCACATTTCAAACATTATTATGATCAATTTCAGTTGCGGCGATTTGGCGACTTTTCTTATGCTGCCTCTCACCGAACAAATTTGCGGGATTGTGGAGTCGTCCTTTGACGATATAATGGAAATTCGAAAGAAATTGAAGGAAAAAGCACCAAACTTCACACACAATCTTCAAGGAAGTTCTTTTTCCAGTTCATGGAAATACGAGGATGAAAATCATTGTGATCTGAGCATGGTGCTAAGTCTGGACGGCGTCAATCCCCGAGGACATTTCAGGTATTATTATTATTTGTTTATTAAAGATGTGCCATTTAGAGGAAGTTTGTGGCCAATTACTTTACAGTTAGTGGATTTGCCTACAATGAAGTCGCAACTTTCAATTAATCTTGTAGTCTGTGGAATGCTGCAATTAAAAGCTAATAATCCAACAACCCTTGTTTTGAATACCGTCACGGAAATTATAATGAATCGATTGGAAGGCGAAGGGTCAACATTTGTTGTAAACAATATTTTATTTTCTCCATACCTCGTGTCACTCGTTTCTGACCAACCAGTAAGGATTAAGTGATAAAAATTTCTATAGATTTCAGTTTAAGGCAAAAAGAAAAATTCTTGGAATGAGCGGTTTTTCAAGTCCACAAGCTTGTTTTTATTGCGACTCTCACGGAACTCTGCACAAACCACTACTTGGAAACGGTAATAATCAATAATAATTTTAAACCCTCTTATTCATCGCTTATATTGATTTAAGATCGACGATTGGACAGATTTGGGGATAAGACTCTAGAAGATAGTATTCGCGGTGTTAATGGATTTGGTCCTGTTGCGGCGAAAATGGTGCAATATGTCAAGCCGTACAATACAATCTTGGATGTTCTTCACACTTGTTCAGATGGAATTGTAATGTTGATACTAAAAGGTATCAAAATTAAGTGTGACCAAAAAAACGGCAGAAATTCCAGAGCTCATGCCTAAAAAGTTTAGATGTTCAAAGAAAAAATCTGCAATGTTCGAATGCGATGAAACCATGCTCGAAAACTTCGACAAACATCTACAATTGCCAATTGAAGGAGCCGATTTGACTCGATTGCTCACTAACGGAAGGCAAAAACTAGATGTATGTTTCAGATATAATGTTTTAGATTTTTCTTATAGTTATTCAGACTTCAAATTTTCTTGTTTGCTATCTGCAATTCAAGTTTAATACATACATATGTGAACAATGTTAAAAAAAAATTAAGAAGCATTGTTCATTGGATTAGATATTGCTCCAACGACGGATCAAGCTACTTCAGTTGCTGTGCAAATCAAAGAGTCTGCGATTACTTTCATGTAGTTATGCGAATGTTTCACTAAATAACACCATGTACTTTTAGCGATCGCCTTCGTTCAAATTATAACGATCAGAAAGGATCTCACCACGCTAGCAAAGTTATGGCGCATAGTTTGGCTATCAAAATTGGAAAAGAGCACCAACTCAAAAAACTGAAGCCCGATGCCGCTGAATATTTCAATCAGCATTTTTCTATTTAATTGAAATTTGATATTTCTAATGTTAAACAATTTATTGTATTTTTCTTTTTTTTTTATTTTGTTGTTTTCCGTTTACTGTTGTTTTTTCATAAAAACCATCCAGAAGAAAAATAGACGCAAAATAGATGAATAAGAGACAAGAAGTAGACAAAAATGGGTTAAAAAAAGGATGAATCATGGATGAGAAATAGATAGAAAACTGATGAAAAATGCAAGAACGAGGGACAGAGACAAGACATAAAATGGATGAAAAATAGATGAATCCAAGATGCTAAATAGATAGAGAATGGCTGAGAAATAGATGAAGCGCTGATGAAAAATAGACTTGAAAATAGATCTGTTACAGATCCCTCTTTCATCCAAAGTCTGCACTATTTTTCAACTATTTTTTAACTATTTTTCGTCTGTTAGCGCAGTTGCAGTGTATATCCGAATTATATGAGTCGGCGAAACTCGTTAAAACTCACTGCGAGAAAAAAAAACACACACACACGAGCGTATATTTCTATGAATTTTTATTTCGACTTTAAAAATCATCAAAGGAATATGAAAAGCTGTCAGAGACTGTATTTGAATTAGTATTGGTAATTGGTCAAAAATTTTTTCACATGACTTCCTTTCGCGTTCGTGGCCACACATTCATATTCGCCTTTGTCGGTCACTGATGTTGGATCGACTTCCAGATATGACGACATTGAGTTTCCGTGCATCGTTTGGCGAACCTTCAAATCGATGTGTTGAAAATCGTCTTAAAAGAAATGACTATCGAAAAAGTATGTAATTGAAGAAGGCCGATTTTCAGCGAGATCTTGATTATTCGGAATTTGAAGAAACATTTTTTGTGTTTCTAATGGAATTCTGAAAATCTCCAACGAAACTTTAATTTTCTTGCTTGAGCAAATCGATTTAAATTGATTCGTAAATCCGTTTTTTGTATTTCAAATTGTTGAAAAATTAAAGACTTACAGTTTTATTAGTGTCGAGATTGACTTCAACACCTCGATGATACCACGTGATTTCGGGTCTTGGCGCTCCAATGGCCTCGCAAAATAATTTGAGCTTATATCCGAGACGAAAGTCTTGTTTGAAGTAGGAATGGCGCAGAATGTGAGGGCTTCCCTTCAATTTATAGCTATAGCGACGAAATTTTGGGGAAAAAAATCAAACATTTGAATGATCAGTGAAATCGAGCTCATCGACATTTTCATGACGGCTCGTCGAGCCAATCACTTGTTGGCACAATACTGCGATGAGAATAATTTTGAGATTTTCGCTCATATTTCCTTCAATCGGTTTTCCCATGGCATTCTGAAGAAAAAAGATTTCGTTTTTAATCAAAAACAAAAAAAACGAGGCGAAATGTCGAAAAAACGCGTCGGTGAATATTCGGCGCCGATTCAATTTCCGTAATCGGTTCGAGGTGAGCAGAACGCGAAAATCGGATAAAGACAGCGAGTTCAAATGTTGTTTTGTGCTTTTTCTATTTTTTTTTTGCATCAATGAATGCATTTTTACACATGAATTGAAAAGTCATTGAGAGAAAGAAACAAATCAAAGATGATTTTTGGCAACTGGCCCAAAATAATCTAGAAATTCCAGTTGAATTTTGGAATATTTCGAAACAATCAAAAAGATGTTATCAACTCGGCTCATAATCGGAGCATTTCTCCAAAATTCGCTTCGTTGTTTTTTTGCTTCTCAAAAAAAATGTTATGAATAAATTATACTTGAGAGCAGCGCGCGCGTTGAAATTTATGCGTTTCGCCTCATTTCAAGTTCGGAGCAAGCAATGCGTCGAATGAGAAAACACGAATGGAGCATCATAATATGAGTTGGTCGTGTTGAGATGATACTCGAAAAGCAATGCTCTCTTCGACAAATCACAACTAATCCGTGTGAACTACACAACATGGATTATTGTTCGGGGAAAAAGACGGCGAAGATTTTGGAGGGACGCGTCCGACGAGTCGATTTACATATTTCATGGACCGCGACGAAACGAGTATTTCTATATATGTACATACATGCGTCTATAAAATGCACACACACACACGGCTCCTAATTTTTTGTCATTCTTTTATTGAGAACTGACTGACAGCTCTCGAAAAGGAAACATTTTTGATTGAAGGATTGATTTCGGAAGTGTTTGAAACGAATATTGCAAAAACAAATGTACTTATTGCCTTCTGGATAATTGCGATTCGGCTAAAATCGGGTTTCAATGGAAAAAAATATGCATATCTTAGCAATAATAATAATATGAAACACTATCAGCAGATTCCTTTACTGGTCCCAATCAAACGTTTTTTTAGAGATCGCATGTTTCTATGAATTTTGTTTCAATCGGGTTTATCTTAAAAATTTCAATATACATATTGCTGGCGTCAAACGAGTGAAGGGAGGCGGGGTCTTCGACATCGCGAAATCTCTGGTGAATGATTCCGAGTCATATACTCTGGTAACTCAAAACCAATCGGATCCGACAAAATTCGGCTCCGGAATCAACCTTATCCGATTGGTAATTCTACGGATAAGATTGGAAAATTGTCGGATCCGATTCGAATTGAAGTATTAAAACAAAACGGATTCGAAGAAAATCTAATCGGATCAATTTGTCGGATCTACGGATAAGATAGGAAACGTTTTTTGGGTATTTTCGGATAGGGTTAATTCCGGGACCAAATTTTGTCGGATCCGATTCGTTTTGAGTTACCAGAGCACGCTTATATCGCTCTTCAAACGCGACCAAACACGATTGGAATTTCTTCATATACAATTTGGATTTTCGCGTATTCTATTGGGACTTTTGCGGTTCATATACATACGGTTACAAACCATTCATTAGAATCGTATACGATTCGCATAAATGAATACAATGTTAATTTTATCTTATACGATGAAAAATTACTGGTTTTTCGTATACGACTAGGAATCATTTACCAGAGATCAGTGTATGTATAAATCGTTGATTGAATATTGAATGCGCGTACACTATAATGCAATGTACGCAGTCTTGCGTACTACTTGCTACACGCATTGGCACATAGCCAATCAATTTTTTTTATTTCGTTTTTTTTATTCTTTTATTTCGTCAAGTCGTTTGACTTCGATAATAATTCATCATCTAATTGGGAGTTCAGAATGTCATGCAACGATTCATCATCAATATGGTTTATTGTTGACACGCCAAAAATAGTTTCGTCGTGAGATACTTGATGTGTTGTGCACAAATACACTCGAGATGGTCGAGCGACGACTTCTGTCGGAGAAAACTTCATCATTTTTCCATCGACATGCGCACCACGGTGACACTTTTGTTATTGGCGAAGTTCGCGAAATCTCAAATGATGGGATATTCACCGTACGATTATTCTTCGATGCTTCAAGGTAACCATTCTCAATTTCTATTCTTGGTGATTGATATGATGAATCATTCCCAACTTGAACTTTGTCAAACGTGATTCCTTAAGGGTATTCATCGTACAATCCATTTGGCATGATGTACAGCGGATTAGAGAGCAACTCGTTGACGGGAATGACCGGTATGAGCGGAGGAATGACTGGCGGATTAGCCGGCGGATTGGGTGGTATGAGCAGCGGCTTCGAGAATTTGTATGGCCAGTACAATCAATTTATGCCGTATAACAATGGATTGTTCAATTTTGGTAAGAAAAAAATGTGAATGAACATTGGGAAAAAACGTGGAAAATTGCAGGAAATGGCGCGACAACAAATGGCGGATTTAACAATGGAATGTTTGGTGCAATGACTCAAACTTTCGCGAATAATAACAATAATGGTGGATTCGCGAACAACATGATGGGACCCAATAATAATAACAATAATGGTTTGGCGAGCAATTTTTGTGAAATTTGAAACAATTTAACCGCATTGTGAAATCTTGAAGGTTGTAGTGGAAACGCGTCACCCAACTGGAAAGAAAGTAACAACAATTTGATGAATAGTTGAGTTTTGCTAGAATAGAAATATTCGATGGGAATTTAATTAGTAGCAATTATTTATACATCTTACCATATTAATTATTTTGGAGACTATTTTGCTTAGATTAAAATCAAGTTTAGCTCAGAGAATTTTTTTCTAGATAGCCCGGGGTGAACCCCGCGTTCTCTGAGAATAACCATGAAAAGCAAGCTTGAGAATCGGTAGTTCGGAATTCCTTTTTTTTTTAAATCGAAACTAGAATTACCGTCCCAAAAATATGCGAGGTCCGCAATTATTCAAGGTCCTCGTTTGGTTAATATTTCAAATCGTTTCAATTCCAGTATACGGCGCCACAAATGCTCCTGTCAATTCCGGCACAAGCTTGAACAACGGAAATACAATGCGTGCTTATGGTCGACGAACTCAAGCTTTCAATTATTCGCCACCAAAAAGCAACAATTGTAATGGTGGACTGTTTGGTGGCTGCCAAGGCTGGATGGCGAAGGCAAAAAAAGTGTGATTTTAGATAATTCTCGCGAATTTTTCTCATTCTATTGACAATTTCTTCTAATAAATTATATGTACATATAGAGTTTCTTGTATTTAACTGTTGAAAGCGGTGTAAATAATTATTCTCGTCGTTGTTTTTTTCACACTATGTGTGCGATCTTTTTTTCTGAATGATTGTTGAGAAAACGGAGAGCACCAGACGAGAAACGGTCCCGAAGACGAAGCTCGCGAGCACAAACTTTGCCACTCTGCCACTCGTTTCTCTACCCGACTAATTGTTTCCATTGTTTCATTACTTTTTTTTGTCTTGCTCAAATTAATTCCAATTCGAGAAAATGTGAATATGGGAAATTACAAATCGAGGCCGCTCACATCATGCTCAGGTTTGCTATCGAGACATTGAATTTTTGAGTAGAAATAATTGAAATATTTTTGGATCTTGTTCAAATTGATTCTAAAAACGCTTAAAATTTATTAAAGAGTAATGTTTTCTTATAATAAGAACAAAATAAATATTTTTTGTTATGAAAATTTGAAAATTTAATAGTAAAATTGTCGATTTTTTGAGTATTTATCAAAAATTGCACATAACATTTTTTTTATTTTCATAAATCTGAAAATTCTCAATTTCATTCGATTTTAACAAATTGTTCTTTTTAAGACGAATTAAAAAAGAAGATATCCGAAGGATATTCGGTAATACGAAGTCGCTTGAATGACGACGTAAGACCAAGGACGAGCTCGGGATGGATCGATATTCAAATTGCCGCCTTGTATATGACAAATCAATTTTTCTGATATTTGAATTTTGTTATTCTTTTCAGCGAAAAATCGCCAGAAGAATTCAAATCAATTTTGACACCGGAAAATTTCGAAGTGCTATCCGGCCAAAATCTATCGCTTCTCCACATCATCTGCGCGGGACACAGCGAATCGGTGAGAAATTGACGGAGACGACATCTCGATGTCCAGTTGATCATCATCATCATTTCAGCAATGCGAAAAATTGAAATCTGTAATCGATATTTGCGACAAAGAAACGAAGAAGAAAAACATATTGTCGTCGATTTCGACAAATGGATTCTCTGCGCTTCACATTGCAATCTACAAGGCCGACAAAGAATTGGTCAAAACTCTAATCGATGCTGGCGTTGATGTTGATCAACCGGGCCGGCACATCCTGCCCCCAACGCATTTGGCCTCGATGACAGGCGATGTCGAAATTCTCAAAGTGTTCTGCTTATTAAAAATCGAATTCTAAAACGGTTTTCAGATACTTTTAAAAGCGAATGCCTCAATCAATTCGACAGATTTTGTTCATTTCACACCTCTCCACTGCGCAACATATTTCGGACACCAAAATGTCAAATATATCTTCGATTCGACTTCATTCAATTTGTTGGTTTTCAGATCATCCAAATTCTTTTGTCTCACAATGCCGATGTGAACAAAGGCGGGGCTGTGAATGATCGACCTCTTCATTTAGCGTGTGCCAAAGGAATGTCTGCCATCACAAAAATGTTGATCGATTCAGGAGCTGACCGTAACGAGTCGTTTTTTTCGCAATTGGTTCCATTGTTTGCATTTTTTCAGCTGTTCTCGATGATGATGAAGGAAATCAAGCGATTCACTATGCTGCGAAATCGGGCAACTTGACTGTTCTCAACATGATCTTGTCAAAAATCCGATGTCTGCCCGATGTAAGTGGACTCCTTTAAAGGTGCACAAACCGCAATTCGTCGCTTGCAGAAAATTTCGGCTCGCAATCTCTATGGCGACACCGCCCTTCATCTCGCCTGCTATTCGGGTCGTCTCGACATTGTCCGATCGCTTCTCGAATGCTCGCCAAGTCATGTGATCAATCTGGAAAACGTGTTCTCGGAGACGCCACTGCATGCCGCGTGCACCGGCGGAAAATCGCTGGAGCTCGTCGCATTTCTCATCAAATGTCCCGGAGTTGATCCGAACTATCAAGGCCAAGACGGACACACCGCATTGCATTCAGCGTGCTATCACGGCCATTTGCGAATTGTGCAGTATCTGCTGGAAAACGGCGCCGATCAGTCGCTGGCTTCAAGAGCTTTTGAAGGCGGCGCTTTGCGACAACAAGCTGGAGCTGCTGCTCTATCGAGGCCGTCGAAGGTCGCAACAGCGATCATCGCGTTGAACAGAAGCGATACTCCATCATCAAATGCTTCTTATAACTCAACAATTTCTATTGAGGTTGGTTTGACTGATTTAACTGAGACCCATAAATATTGCAACATTGTAGGATCAACAAACTCCGGTGATTTGGGCTTATGAACGCGGTCACGATGCAATTGTTGCTCTTCTCAAGCATTACGCGAGTCGTACTTCTGAAGGCGACGTTTGCAGTGAATACAGTTCCGGCGAGTCGTCCTATACCCCATTGCCGTCTCCAATGGGCAAGTTGACATCATTGACTCGAGACAAAGCTGAGCTTCTTCAATTGCGATCAGCCCTCCCTTCTCCATTTCATCTGTGTCTAGCCGAAATCGAATTTCAAGTAAGTGAGAAATTCGAGACATCAAACAATTAAATATTTAGGAATCGATTGGTAGCGGTTCATTTGGTAAAGTTTACAAAGGAACTTATCGGGGAAAACTTGTGGCCGTAAAACGGTATCGAGCGATGGCATTTGGGTGCAAATCGGAAACCGACATGCTGTGCAGAGAAGTATCACAGCTTGATCTACCCATTAAGCGTATTTGCGTCATTTCAGGTTTCAATTTTGTCGCGCCTCTCACATCCAAATATCGTAGCGTTCATTGGAACATCATTAGACGATCCAAGTGTAGAAATATCTATATTTTGATTTGTGTTTCAAGTTCAATTTCAGCAATTCGCCATAATAACAGAATTCGTAGAAAACGGGTCACTTTTTCGTTTACTACACGAAGAAAAGAGGTTCAAAAAATTTTGGAAATTACAAATGAGACAGTTTTTTAAAGAATATTGGATCCAGCATTTCGATTGAGAGTTTCACTAGATGTAGCTAGAGGTATGAGATACTTACATGAAAGTGCCGCGAAACCAGTTATACACAGGTATTCAATTCAACCAATTTTCAGCACCCATCACAATTTTCAGAGATCTCAACAGCCACAATATTTTAATTCATTCGGATGGACGAAGTGTTGTTGCTGATTTCGGCGAAAGTCGTTTTGCTAGTCAACGCGATGATGAAAACCTTACAAAGCAACCAGGAGTACCGAATTGGTTGATCATTCGCAGAATTTCACCAGATTTTTTTTAGAATCTTCGGTGGATGGCACCAGAAGTATTCTCGCAAAGTGGACGCTATGATCGAAAAGTGGATGTATTTAGTTTTGGATTGGTGATTTGGGAGCTACACACCGGAGAACTGCCGTTTTCTCATCTTAAACCCGCCGCAGCTGCTGCCGAGATGACCTACAAACGTGGGCGACCGACACTCCCAAATCAGGCGACCCCTCAGTTTCCTGAGCATATTCTCAAATTAATACCACAGGCTTGGAATCCAGAGCCACAATATCGGCCCGAATTTTCGCAGGTTTTTTCTATTTTACACCTATTTCGTTATTATTATTTTAATTGTTAAGATTGTACCCTTGTTGGAACCACATGTCGACGAGCACACCGATATTTCTGCACCTTCAACCGTATCTCAACTCAAATCTCAATGGGAACAATTAAGCTTGGCACCCCCAACGCGACCAGGTAACTAAAACGGTTATTCTTAATTAGTTACTATCGGTATTATAAGGATTCCCACCAATACTCTCTGCACTTCACGGAATGTCGGCGAACAAAACGGTTGAAGAACTCAGATCACGGATAGATAGCAACGGATACGTAGTGAATCGATTAGCGTGAATAAACATACTTTTCTTACTACATTTCTTGATTTTCAACAGAACTTTTCAGAGACCCTTCTGATCCCGGCAATTAATGCCAGAACCAAACTATGAAATGATAACCATACTAGTTTGGTATCAAAATAAATGAGTAAAACTTCGATGAATCACATTGGATATCGCATAAACGGACGCCGCTGAACACGATTCTGCCGCGTCCTGTCGGATTCCGAAGAGTTTTACCGTGGAGGGACTACGAATAAATCAACGACTAAAAAACAACAAGAAATAGCAGATCACCCGCTTATACGGGGCGACTGCATCAAACAAAACAGAAATAAAATAGTGAAATAAGGAGTGCAAAGCGTACCAACAGCTGTCCATCATATTGATTGCTGTGGTTACTGAAATACATGCATTTTGCTGGAAAACCACATAATATATATGATTTTCTAATGGATCTATTCAGTGAATGTAAATTAAACAAAAACGACAAATTTTCATTATGCAGCGATGTCGTTTTTGTCGCAATAAGCGCTTAATTTTACTGAGGGGTACTGTAGATCGCGGGTCGATATTTCAAAAAAATTGGCACATGCTCCTTGAATATCGATTTTTTTAAAATATTTTTTATATTAAAATTTTCGTATTTTCACTCGTTTTTCGCGGATTTTTTTAAATAATTTAAACTTTTTTTTGAGTAACACTTTTAAATAATAATTTCATATCGTTTTCGTTTTTTTCTATTCCAAAACTGAATCGATTTTATTCGAATATTGTTTTAATTTAAAGAAATTGAATATTTCAGATCGTTCCATGGCTAATTTGGATAGGTTACGAAATAAGAAAAAGGCTATAGTAAGAAATACAATTTAAACAAAAAACAAATAAATGAATTTATAGATTGCACTGCTTATGAAAAAACGAATTATTTTGGTTTGGATATTGAAACAAAATGCATTGAATGCATCTGAAACAATTGAAGTGATCAAGAAACAGAGCTTCGATCTTTTTTGTGAAAAAGTCAACCGATTAGTAGATTGTGGTGGTATTGAGGTAAGGAAACAAGTAAAACAAGTGAATTTCTGCATAAGTAATGTAGAATAAATTAAGTTCGTGACCGGCGTTTCTAACAGCACGTTCATGGAACTTCTGAAGATATGCCGAAATCACGAAGGTCGAATCAATGCGACAATTCGATTGGCAGTTTTCTTAAAATACACAAGAGAAGGTTATTTTTTAGTTGTTTGTTAGTTTTTTACAAGCATTAAAATTATAAAATTTATAGGTATTAGCCAAAATCTTCTTGCGAAGGAAATTGGAGTTTCGCAATCAACGATTTCTCGACTAGTTAGAGATACAATCGAGGATATCGTCCAAGTTGCCGGAGAACAAATCCGATTGCCACAAAATCGAAGAGAATTAATTCGTCTGGAAGAAGGATTTATGAACTCTTCTGATCGAACTCCTCGTCGAAGAATTCCATGTTTTGCCATATTGGATGGAAAGCATTGGAAGATCGAGCATCCTGCGCATACAGGATCGTTAAATTATAATTATAAGTCGTTTTATTCATTTAATTCTCTTTTTTGTTGTGATGCAAACTTGCGTGTTATATATTTGCAAATCTCTGAGCTTGGAGTAAATTCGGACTCCCAAATGTTCAGAGATGGGCCTTTGGGAGCACTCCTCGAAAATGTAGCCACAATAGGTGGATATCGCCCGCTTCCGAATTCATCCATTATAATGCCTCCATTTATAATTGCTGATAACGGATTTGGACTATCTAAGTTTCTTATGCAACCCTATAGGCAGCTTTCCTTGACTCCAGAAAACATGCGTTTTAACGAGATTATGTCGGCAACTAGGGTGAAAATTGAAAATTTTTTTGGTGTGATGCAGTCGAAATTCCAGATTTTCAAAAAAGCCCTTAATATGGACCCGTCTTCTTCGCGCGCCCTCATTGTAGCACTTTCAGTTGTACATAACATATCACTAGGTGCTCCTCCCGATCTTCCACCTGACCACAACTTTCCCTTACTTCAAGACCCATACAGCGATGCCGAAGATCAAAGAACGGCATTAAAAAATTATCTTCTTTATCATGTTTAATGTTTATCTTTTTAAATTTAATTGTTAATATAATAAAAAAAATACTTAAAAATAATTTTCGTCCAACAAACTGAGAGAAGTCGTCTGCTCATTTCTTTTGCCCGTCGGTTGGAGATCCATGATGAAAGCGATCGCTTTCGCTTCGGCTTGAATTTGATCCAATTCAGGCCAATCCGCAACGTGGCTGGCCATGACCCTGCACAATCGGTCAAATTTACATTTGGGGGTTTCCTTGGCTTCCTCATCATTCGATCTAAGCAGCTGCTTGATTTCGCTGTTCGTCTCGCGCAACATACTCATCAGCTCATCGCTGTCTAAAACATACCCATAAAACTCCATTTTTTATTGCTAGAAACCTGATTTTCTTCGTTTAGCAGTCTTCGGACTATCCGAGGGTCCCCGCGATTCAAGCAACTCAATACTTTTATCACCGCATATGAAGGCACTGTAGTAAAAAAAATTAACAAAAAACAGGTAAACTTACTTTTTAACTTGTCTTTTGTGTCTGACTCCATCCAAAAACTGTAAATATTCCGCAAACGGAAATGATGATTCCAATGTTCCAGTTCCAGATCGAGCATTTTGGATTCGCAACACATGTCTATTGAAATCGCGCGTTATCGAATCCCACAATTTCCAAGCCGTCATACCTAAAACTTCAATTTTACCGATAGTGGTTTTGAAAATACCATTTGGTCTTCCGGCGCGGAGAAATTTCTTGCACATGCTTTCGATATTCTGAAAGACCTTAAGCTTCAATTCTCTCCTGTGGTATTCTTTAATAGATGAGTCCCAAATACTTGGGTACTGCTCAACGGTCTTGATGAAGTCCACAATAAAGTGTTGTGGAAACTAAAAAAATTTAATTAATTTATAAAATCCAACAATTCATTTTTAAATACTCACCGCTTCATATCCGTCATCTACAAGTGGCTTTCTCCTTCTCGTGCGCTTAGCTTCTTCACGCTGTTCAGCAATTGGCAAATTTCTTGGCCCATGTGCCTCCACCACGTCTTCGACCAAAGAGTCGTTTCCTTCATACTCAGCGAATGACATGCTTCAAAAAGGAAATATATGCACAAATTAGTAGTTTTTATGAATATCACCAAGTGTTACTCAAAAAAAAGTTTAAATTATTTAAAAAAATCCGCGAAAAACGAGTGAAAATACGAAAATTTTAATATAAAAAATATTTTAAAAAAATCGATATTCAAGGAGCATGTGCCAATTTTTTTGAAATATCGACCCGCGATCTACAGTACCCCTCAGTAAAATTAAGCGCTTATTGCGACAAAAACGACATCGCTGCATAATGAAAATTTGTCGTTTTTGTTTAATTTACATTCACTGAATAGATCCATAATATAATTGATAATACGGATATTTCGTGTTTATAAAGGGACAATGCAGTAAAAATTGAAAAAGAAAAAAATGAAAACAATGATTTTTGTCTTTAAATAAATTTTATTGAGATGAAATTTTCTCCAGATTTTTCTTTTTTTTTAATTAGTCTGGATTGCCTTGTAAGATTAATTAAGAGGCATTGTTAAATAATTAAAACTCGGCGACGAGCGACATTCAAAAAAAAATCAAAATTTTGAAAACGGTTTTCTATTCACAATCGCCGGTTTCAAATGACTGATTGATCGTTGACTGAATATTAAATGCGCGCATTTCCAATTCGTTTCGATTCGAGAGTCAATTTTTTGGATTTCGATCAGTCATTTGAAGCCGACAGCAAATACATGAAGACTCACCGGATAATTGTAGAAAATTGGCAAATTAGACGCTGTGTGGGGAATATGAATCAAAACTGCAAATTAAAATTGGAATAACAACTTCAAATGTCTCTTTCATACCAGTGCTGTTGAAGTTGTCCTCAATTCGGGATGGATCAGCATCACAGAGAAGAGTTCATGAAATAAGGGTTATTATTTTGCTCTACTTTAATAGATATTTCGAATTTGTCGATAGCATTTTTTTGCCGAAATAAAAAGTTTCGCAATTTGAGAGATTTTTCAAACCACACAACCGCCAGCGGACTTCCTCCTTTACAGTCGTCGGGCCCTTCGGACCACCGATGCGGAGCGTTTCTCGGCGCCGGGTGGTTTGACCGGCGACCGCGCTCGTGCGGGCTTAATAGTGACAAATTCGAGTAAACGAATTCGTCCTCGATGAGCGAATCACAAGATGCTTGCGATTGACTATCGAGTTATCGCTGGCAGTTGTCCTCATCTCTATTTAATTGCGAACAATTTCAATAAATATATAAAAGCTTACAAAATACATCAGAATTTCAAACAAAAACTCACCAAGAAAATTGGACGGACGGTGCTGGACGCGAATTGAAATGAATGTGAGCTCATTGATTCGAAGCTCACGCAAAAAATATGTCACGCATAAATTTTATTTGTTCTAAAATTTTCGGTAAAATATTTTCACAAGATGTTAAGATACGATTTCATCGCAAAAAAATGGAAAATATTGTTGAGAAAAAAAAACGATATATTAGAAGCGCGTATTGAGAACAAAACGCGAATAGATAATTTTATAAACGACAAAAAATCTGCTGTTTTTACCAAAAAATTGATAAATATCGTTTAACAGTGCAAATTCAGTTCGATAAATACCTAAAACCGGTTTCTACAGATATAAAATAAATAATTTCGAAAGTTCCCGAAATTGGCTGCGAGGATTACGGTAACTCGCTCATCGCATTGCGTACAAAAACGCACGATCCCACGACATCTGGGTACATTTGACTCATTTCTTTGTCAACAATATTTTCCATTTTTTGCGATAAAATCGTATCTTAACATCTTGTGAAAATATTTTACCGAAAATTTTAGAACAAATAAAATTTATGCGTGACATATTTTTTGCGTGAGCTTCGAATCAATGAGCTCACATTCATTTCAATTCGCGTTCAGTACCGTCCGTCCAATTCCCTTGGTGAGTTTTTGTTTGAAATTCTGATGTATTTTGTAAGCTTTTATATATTTATTGAAATTGTTCGCAATTAAATAGAGATGAGGACAACTGCCAGCGATAACTCGATAGTCAATCGCAAGCATCTTGTGATTCGCTCATCGAGGACGAATTCGTTTACTCGAATTTGTCACTATTAAGCCCGCACGAGCGCGGTCGCCGGTCAAACCACCCGGCGCCGAGAAACGCTCCGCATCGGTGGTCCGAAGGGCCCGACGACTGTAAAGGAGGAAGTCCGCTGGCGGTTGTGTGGTTTGAAAAATCTCTCAAATTGCGAAACTGTTGTATTCCGGCAAAAAAATGCTATCGACAAATTTGAAATATCTATTAAAGTAGAGCAAAATAATAACCCTTATTTCATGAACTCTTCTCTGTGATGCTGATCCATCCCGAATTGAGGACAACTTCAACAGCACTGGTATGAAAGAGACATTTGAAGTTGTTATTCCAATTTTAATTTGCAGTTTTGATTCATATTCCCCACACAGCGTCTAATTTGCCAATTTTCTACAATTATCCGGTGAGTCTTCATGTATTTGCTGTCGGCTTCAAATGACTGATCGAAATCCAAAAAATTGACTCTCGACTCGAAACGAATTGGAAATGCGCGCATTTAATATTCAGTCAACGATCAATCAGTCATTTGAAACCGGCGATAATTTGTTTTTGAATAGAAAAACCGTTTCAAAATTTTGATTCTTTTTGAATGTCACTCGTCGCCGAGTTTTAATTATTTAACAATGCCTCTTAATTAATCTTACAAGGCAATCCAGACTAATTAAAAAAAAAGAAAAATCTGGAGAAAATTTCATCTCAATAAAATTTATTTAAAGACAAAAATCATTGTTTTCATTTTTTTCTTTTTCAATTTTTACTGCATTGTCCCTTTATAAACACGAAATATCCGTATTATCAATTATATTAGAAAATCATATATATTATGTGGTTTTCCAGCAAAATGCATGTATTTCAGTAACCACAGCAATCAATATGATGGACAGCTGTTGGTACGCTTTGCACTCCTTATTTCACTATTTTATTTCTGTTTTGTTTGATGCAGTCGCCCCGTATAAGCGGGTGATCTGCTATTTCTTGTTGTTTTTTAGTCGTTGATTTATTCGTAGTCCCTCCGCGGTAAAACTCATCGGAATCCGATGGGACGCGGCAGAATCTTGCTCAGCGGCGTCCGTTAGGCGTCTGTTGGGCGATTTGGTTTTTTCTATAGAAAACTCATTCGCGCGATATCCAATGTGATTCATCGAAGTTTTACTCATTTATTTTGATACCAAACTAGTATGGTTATCATTTCATAGTTTGGTTCTGGCATTAATTGCCGGGATCAGAAGAGTCTCTGAAAAGTTCTGCTGAAAGTCAAAAAAACGTAGTAAGAAATTTATGTTTATTCACGCTAATGGATTCACTACGTATCCGTTGCTATCTATCGGTGATGTGAATTTTGCAAGCCACCCTGTACATTTGCAAAATGCATTTCCGCTGTTTAAATTTACTGCTAAAAATTGGCTAAACGCCAAAAAAAGTAACGAAAGACACCATTTCAATGATAAACCAAGGTTTTTTAAAATATTTATATATGTATGGTATAAGTTATCAATAAATAGAAGTGACATTTGATTTTAAAAAAACAACCAACCAGTACCCTAAAAACAGAAAAAAAACGTAATAAAAGCTAGAAAGACAAAAAATTGGGCCTATTCATGTGATGAAAAAATTAATTATTTATTTCATTTCTGGACCTATTCATGAAATGTTCATCTTTACAAGGGTAGATTTTCCCATATCATATCGAAAAGTATGAAAAAAACGCGGTATATCATTATTATCAGCTATTCATTTTCAAAGCTACATTCGAAAATTCTCGCGGGTCACCTTGCAATTTTCCTACTGTAACTGTTATTTTTTAATTTCGTATTATTTATTCCGCTATATTCAAACGTGTGAAAACACATTGAAAAGAATGACCATTGTGACGAGATCCGCTTAACAAGGAAAAAAATGACACTAAAATATAGTCGGGGCGTCCGGCAACTGCTGTACGCGGGTAGATTTACGCGCATGCGCCTTGAAAAGGTCTCACCACGCGCGAATGCTTATTTTGCTGTTTTCACGTGAACGACTTATTTTTTCTTGACGATTTTCGCATTTCCTTAGATTTCCAACGTCATTCGATTTAAAAATTATCGAACCGATTCATAATATTTGAAATAACCTTTTAGTCCTTGCGAGACCAAGAGAAAGACGCATTGCCGTAAATCTACCCGCGTACAGCAGTCGCCGGACGCCAACTATAAATAAATATTAAAATGAGATTTGTTTTTTGTTTTCATCGCATGAATATGCCCATAAATGCAAATACTCGTAAAAGATTAAAAGCGAAAATCTAGAAAATGATATAAACGTCTTTCATTTCTTCTTTTTTCCATTTGCCATTTCTTTTAACGTTGAAACTCGAAGAAGACCACGAATATTTTGAGGTTGGATGGTCCATATACCACAATTTTCCATATTCATGCTGTAATTATAATTCTCAACACGGTTGTGGCTGCTTACTCAAATTATTCAGCAATCACGCTTATGAATGGTTTTGTTTATTTGAATTATCCCCAATTGAGAAGACTATACAAAATTTATGTTGACTAGTTCCGAACGCGCTTCTATTTATTATAAAACAAAATATGTATAATGTTATGCTTACTATATGTAGTTTCAAAACAAATAATAAATAGTATACCTTGAGCATTTCCAATGGTGTGCACGTTATCCAGAAAATGTGGCCATGAAGGTCAGCGGCGCAATACGGATTGTACGGAGGGTAGGTGTACTTGAACTTCGAACCATCCGCTGAAATCCATTTTCTCGCAATGGCAATAAAATGGCAACAAACGAGCATGTCCTCCAACATAACTAAATGTACCGTTCTCATTTTTTTCCGAATACATAAAAAATATATCGATGAGCATTGTTGATCCTTGCTTTCGTTGAACAGTCATTTCTTGGGAATCGTCCGGCTGTAACAATGAATGAATATTTGTTGGACAAAAAAAAGGAATGTTCTCAATACTTTTCCAAATTTTCGTTTTATTTTAAACGGAAGAGTGCCGTTTATCAAATGCTGAGTGAAATTGTCGTTATATTGTTCGGCGAATACAGCGAGATCCATGTCGTGCGTATGCGGAATGATAGTGCATTCGCGATACCAACCTAAACGAGCATATTCACAGCCGAATTGAGAATTCGTATGGAAACCCAATAAGGTGCCGCCGTTTAGAAATGCGAACATATTATAATCCAAAAGCAAATCTCGTAGAACTGCCAATGATCTCGTCGCAGCTGGCGATCCTTTCCAATAATTCTAATCGAAAGATTTATGGAAATTTTCGAAAATATTCAATTACCGTTGTGTTTCTCGGAATAAATAAATTAAGACAATCAATAAACTTGGATCGTTTCCAATATTCCAAAAATCGAGTGGTATCAGAAGGATAATAAACATTGAAATATCGTTTAAGATTATTTAATCTTTAAAAAAATATTTTTTTTTAATAAATGCGATTTTTTTACTTTGGTATAATTCGTTTCGGTTCTGTTTCAAAAGCAACGTAATCTTTGCTCGAATCATTTTTGAAATAGAAAACTTCGAATCTCGGATCGTTTGTTAAATACGAACTCGAAATGAATGAAATATCAACACCAATCTGAAACCATGTATTTTCGTTTTTTTTTGCTTTCTATTCGAATACCTTGATTTTTTGTGTATTCGCTTCCAAACAATTGTTGGCTTCAATTTGCTCCAATATAATTTCATCAATGATTATAATCGGAATCAGCGTATTCAGTGATTGAAGAAGATCGAAACAATTCACTTTTGTGTACGCTTGCAGCTGAAATTTGAATTTTTTTTTTGAAATTCCAAACGTTTCATGTTTTTCTTAAACTGAACACATGTCAAGTACAGAATGGTGTTTTTCGTCGAAGAAATTCGCCGAAATTCGAGATGAACTCGAATAATATCGATGAAAATGCCAAGAATTTCTCGAGAAATCTTCGAACGTTTAAATTTCTTCTAAAATATCTTTGAATTTATTTTTCAGGTATCGATGACAAATTCTAGAATGAACATGTCGGGTTGATATTTGACTCAAAAGGTTTCCACTCTAAAATCTTTTCAAGCTTAGGGACTTTGAAAGTTGCCCTCAAGAAGGAATGGGACCATCTAGACGCCAACTACACTTTGGACTCATACCTCGAAGAGACTTCGAGGTGTTATCAAGGCGAACAGTGGCAGATTCGAAATCAGCTTTAAAATATATAAAATATATTGGCTACTTAATAAACATTTGATTGATTTCCGGAAAAATTCTCTCGATTTGATATTTTTATATCGTTCATTTATTGGCGCGAAATTAATGCTCCACCCTGCAATTTTTACCTGTCCGGCCAATTTTCCGCCATTTGTAGTTTGATACAGAAAAATTGGTAAAAGAATAATGCATGGAATTAAAAGAAACAAACCACTGAGTCGCATCACCTGGAATACAAAATAATTGAAATAATCGATTAATAGATTTCACAAAGAAAGTTTTTTTTTGGGAAATAATGAAACTGTGCATTTTTGAGACAAATAGGAGAAATAGTAACTAATAAAATATACATATTTGAAACGAAACGTCTAGTTTTATAATTCAAAATTTCCTACTCAAAAATTGATGAAAAAAAAAAACGGAAAAACGTGCGAGTGTGCGACGACTAATTTCGACAAATGAAGAACGCGCACAAAGACGAAAAACAGATGTTGGCACTGATTCAGAAAACCATGAAATTAGAATTAATTCTCACATTTCCATTTTCCAAGTCTCATTGACAATTTGCAACAAAAAAAACAGCAACTATATACATTTATAATGTATTCATTGACGATGACGACAGTTGGTTTTTTTTATGAAAATAAAACAGGAGAAATGGATGAGCTAGAATACAAATGGGATATTCACGATGATTGCAAGACCACTTTCTTGGAAAATTGGAATGCTCCCTTTTTTCGATGCAACGTGCGTATTCGGAATAGAGTATTACGGTAAAAATTATCTTCCTTACAAATTCACAAAGCTGAACAAACACAAATCATGAATTACGGTAGAATGCATCAATGGTCGGCTAAATCAGAAAGTTGTTTCGCAATTTTAAATTGATATTCCAAATTTGCGAATATAGATGCCAAATTTCCCATAAACCAATCGACATAATTACTTCTATATATAGATAATTATACGGGCCCTTGAAGGTTGAACCCTATTTCCATGCTAATTGGTGCCAATGTATTGCGATAATTTATAGGGTTTTTTTTGGTTTTACCGTATCAAAAAAATCTGTACCAAAATATCATCGATAGAATTGTGTTTTGTTCGCACACAATAAAATTTTGCTCTTTTCAATCTCCGATTCCCATGAATAATTTTGCATAATAATAATAATACAAGTGTAAATATAAATCTGAAAAAAGCAAATATCACGATGAGCTTTCTCGATTTAAAACCTTTGATCAATTGATCACCGAGAGAAAAAAAAAACATCGTCAAGTATGTAGTTTTCACATTTGGACACTTCACTTTCGGTTTAATGGCAACGAATCCAATCGAAACGCATTGTGTTCAGGTTTCGCTACGAAGAATAAGACATATTGATATGACCTGGGGCCGAAAATTGCTGAGAAATTCAAGATTTGTGATTGAGAATCAAATGGACCGTGTTGAAAATATTTAAAAACTACTTAAAAACGAGGCGAGCGTTTCAATTCGTCAGTTGGAAGCAAAATGAGACAACAAAAAAAAACCCAGCAATGTTTATGAATCGACATTCTAAATAAGCTGGAGTGTGCCGCAATAATAAACAATAAACAGTTGCAACGCGGCGAACGTTGGCGGGCTTTGGCGGACACGCCACTTAACATGTGCTAGAACTAGAAATCAGTCGCGCATTATTGCCTATTAATTAATCGAAAGCCAATAAACAGACAACATTTATCCACCGAAAATGATTTATCGTATAACAATAACCAAATTCCACAAAATTTCGCTTCATAAGTTATATTAAATACAATAAGTGAACATTAAAGCGTCGGTTATATACATCTTTTGGTTATTGCGATTGGAAAGTCCGGCCGCTGAAAATTTCCATATTTTACAATGTGAACAAAAACCAATATCGACAAACCTGAAAGTTTTCTTTTCTCCTTTGATTTCTGGACGAGCTCGATTCAAAACTTTCAAAAAGTCGTTGGTCTTGGCACGCATTCTCGTATGGAGATAAACCTAAGCAAATTAATTTTTAGTGCTATTGAATTTAACGTTATTTAAACTATTTTTGGGCATGAATAAAAACAATATCATTAACGCAAAAAATTCAACGCTTAAAAATTATCAATTTTGTCATTTTTATCCAATCACTAAAGTTTTTGTTGAAGTAATTTGATATCTTCAATTTTATTGACAAATATAAGAAATGATTACCTTGGAGCACTTAATATGATAATGGAGGTAATCGCGGAAGGAATGAATCAAATCGATAGTGTTGTCCCTCGTCTTCTTATTAGTATGGCGAGGAAACAGAACTGAATAAAATATATATGAATTTTAATCCACATATTAATTAATAGCTCACCAAATGTAATATATCCTACGTTGTCTCCTACTTTAGCTCCTGGCTGACCTTTGAGCTCAAGTGGCGGCTCGCCGAGAGAATACAACACCGCGGGTGCTGTTTGGCTTGCTTTTCGACCCTCTCGGAATTCCTGAAGGAACACTTTTCCGATGATTACATCATCTGGATCCTTGAAGACGGTGCTGAAGATGACGGTTACACGATCCGCCTTCGCTTCGATGTACCTTTAAAATTATGATTTCGAAATAAAACCTTTAATTTTGCATTACATTGTTTCATCTTCGCGATAATTGATCACCGCACGCTTTTGGCCTTCTTGTCCAGCTTCTTGAAATTCGAAGTATTTCTCAAACACCGATGCAAAGCAGTTACGCTTCAATGCAGAAGCTTTAGAGACTGAAACGATTGCACATTGTCGGGTTTTTTACACCTAGTTTGCCTACCAAGGTCGCTGGTGTCTGTTGGAAGATTGTTCAGATCGAATTCCAACGTCACATTGAATCCAGATTCCGCGGTTGGTTTCAAATAAGACCCGTAAACCCGTCGAAGAAGCTAAATTGAAACTTAAACTTTTCGAAAACAATTTATAATGCATATACATCGTCGGCGCCATGCTGTTGGAGCTCAGCGTAGAATTTCAAAGCAATGCTGAGCTAAAAACTATTATGAATATCTTAGAAAATAAAAATATCAAACCGTAAGTTTGTTGCGATCGTTATCTGGATTCGATAATTTATACAAAACACCATCGAAATCGGCAAAAATCACATTGACCGCGTCATGTTTACCCCTGTAAAGAAGAGAAACATTACAACGAATGTTTAATTGAGATTCATACCCTTCTTTAGCATTGGCAAACTTTTGCTCCAGCAGCTCGACGACAACGCGATTGAATTGTTCGAGAATAATCATCTAAAATAAAAAGAATCAAATTATTGATTTTCTGAAGGTGATTGACGACGCGACCATGACTAATCCGTCTCAAGCAAACAAGCCACACTAAAACGGCGAGAAATACAGACATATGCAACAATTATGAGAAATAAATATTTTTCAAACGAAACGTTCAATGCTATTAATAAAATATTTTCAATAGTACGCAAAAAATGAGGTTATGTTAATTACGAAAACATGATTTAAAACAACTGTGCTTAATTTTTCAACAATAATCCCCAAGAAATAAATTTACTCCTATTGCGTGGAAACTTTTAAAGTTTAAAACGCAATATTGAGAAAAGGAGATATTTCAACACTTGTATGTACAAAGTAAACAAAGGAAATCACATTAAAAATTGGAACGAGCAGCCTCAGCGTAAGGTTGTATGCGTTGTCCGCAAACACCACTACGCGAATCGGAACTGGTGCTGTTTCAAGTTTAGAAACATAAACTATCAAATAATAATTTACTATAGTCAAAAAAGTTAATGAAATAGCGCAAATAAATTTTCAGTTAATGAAATATGGAAAACGTATTAAAGAATAACATATTTTTGATACTAAATGCACAGTTCGACTACAGTAGCATGTATTCAAAGAAAAAAAAGAACGAAAACTAAAATGATTAAAAATACATATTTTTTATAGAAATTATTCTAATTCATAGAAGAAATATTGCAATTTTCTAGCGCCTAATTGTGCTTTAATATGTATCAATTCAACCAAAGCAGGTGTTAATCCCCCAAGGATTAGGAATTAGTGAATAGACTCGAAATGAGACAAGTTGCTATGGATTCAATCAATGCATTAGATTTCCAAAAATGGCCAACGAAATTCGAGTTTTTCTTCAAACAAAACAAGGCCAGGACATTATTCGTCGACAGAAAACTGCTCATTCGTTGCCGTTCGAACCGGATGCCATATATTTCGATCATTTTGTGTCGGCAAGTCTCAAAATGAACTCCTGATACTATTCTTCTCAATTTTCTAGGTTCGACCAACATGTCTTGTCGTCAAAAAATTCTTTTTGCCTTCAGAAATCGCTTATGAAATCAGTTGGGACAAAATTAAAGAAGTTTAATCATTCATTTTGAGTCTCGATTTTCACCTATTCGATTTCAGATCAATTATAATCCACAGGCGAACGAGGATCGAACAAGAATCAAGGCGAAAGGAATGGATGTCGAAGGAAGATGGTGGGCTGTCGACGCTTTGAGGTATTTAGAAATAATTCGACATTCTTGATATCATTTTCGAAATTGTAGAGTTTACGAACGCGAATTTCCACTTTACAATATTCGAATGAAAGCAGACACGAAGCCATCAAAAATTGGATTCTCGGTCGTCGATTTGGGCAAATTTTTAACGGCGTGCCGACCGTTGTTAAATTTTAAGTGTAAAATTTCCGGCTGTAAATGGACTTGCGAATGAAATAATTTCATTAGTTTTGGCGCAAAATGAACATATGAGATTAAATTTGAGAATTAGTTAAAGGCGCATACCACATAAAAAAGTCCTTTCACTAATTTCTTTTTGTTGGCAATCTCGCGACGTCGTAAAAATCATTTCATTCATTTTTAAATTTGAACGCGTGATTGAATCGGTTAAAATTGGATTATTTAAATTTTACAACAAGAAATGGGTTACCAGGTAGATGATATTTGAAATATTGAGCGGTTTTCATATCAAATTTACAGAATATATTCATAATTTTAAACATATTCATTGCAAGTGTTCATTGTTTGAACGTATCCTACGAAAACCTCGAGCTTCATTTGCACAGTAGCAATTGTTTCGTCTGAAATACGGTCTCCTTTTGGTGAATTCAGAAAACGTTAAATGCTCAAATCAGCGGGATTGCGAGAAATTATTGAAGGCATACAATGTGATTTGTGATTTTTCGCGAATGGTTTACTCGGAGAAATTGAGAAACTTCAAATACGAGAAACATTGCTATTCGTGTAATCCTCGAACCAAATTTCGTTTTTCAAAAACGACATTTAAGATCGAACGAGCGGAAATTTGCCAATTCTTTCACAAGACCGAAAGCATAATGCAGTGTATTGTGATTTTCATAAAGATTGCAATGGACTCCATGAATATTGCCTTCGACGGAACGGAATGCTCGTCGATACAAAAACAAAAACGCCAACTCCGTTTACCAAATATGGAGTTTGTGTTTCGTGTAAGTTTCCTGCCAACTTCAATATAATTCTTGCGAATAGTTCCGAATGCGTGTAAAGACTCACAAGGAGTGTTTTCGTTTGCGTTTCGATCGCCCGTTACCGGTGGCGAATGTGCCCATCCTGAGCAATGCACACATCCATTCCCTGGAGCCAAACAACTCACGTGAGCTGATTTTCTTTTACTGCAACTGACCATTGATCCTCTTAAAGACGGACGTGCATGAATTTCAAACCATCTTTGTGTTGTTATGGTAAGTCAGCACACATATTATTTGAAGCGTCAAACGCTAGTATTGTCGAAAATCGGCGCGATTGCTGAAATTTGGCTAAAAGCCAAAAAATATAAAAAGTGATCTCGCTGCGTGGCAAGCTACATCTAGGCTCGCGATTTTGAATGCTCCGCCTCCATTTAGTCGTTTGATACCGACAATGCATATTGCCGACGTCGCGCAATTGCTGAAAATTGGCAAAATGACAAAAAATTTAAAGAGAGGTCTCGAAAAGCGTTGTAACCTATCCGAATATTTTGGCTCATTAATCTACACTTTTAATTTTTCGCCAAGACCACTATCATTGTTTTTTTTTGGCATTCAGCCAATATTCCGCAGACGACAGCAATGGAAAATTCTAATCAAATAATGAAATTGTCCGAAAGTCAAGGGCTTTTGTTTTTTTTTACCTATAATAAAAACAATAAAAATTCAAATAATATTGTTTTTTTTTTATTTGATGAGAAAAGATAAATATAATAATCGTGCAAAAGGCATTAGCGGACCCAAAAAAGGGAACGTTCTCGACTCACTCAAAAAATATGAAAATGTTGAGATTATGCGCCGATGCTCAACACGAATTGCCATACATCGGAAAGCTGCAACTCGAAGAAAAAAGTTTGTGTGATGTGTGATCGAAATTGTGCCGGCGGTAATTTTGAATATTGAGCGAATGGATCAATATGAAAATGATGATTGAAGAATCGAAAAAATGTCCCGACGAAATCACGGTGCGCAGTTTTCAACCGATTTGCAATAGTACGTGTAGTGAAGGATACGAATGCAATCGCGGTCGCTGCTGTCCAAGCAGTTAGTTTTTTTTTAAATAATCGATTCCCAATTTATCAATGTTATTGTTAGAATAGGTTAAAATAAGAAATGAATTTTTCTAAAATTTCTATTATTGAACAGACGATCTGATTGAACCGATAGTCACCAGAACGAAATGCCATCCGCTTCTTCCGATCGGAAAAGCCAATCTCGCATTTTGCTATGAACGATTGGGAAGAATTGCGAAACTCGGACGATATCATTATCGGACAAAAGTCAAAGTGCGAAAGACATCAAAGAAATGCGAAATTAATCGGTTTCGCCAGCACGAATCGGGTTTGCGAAAATTTCAATTTTCAGCGATTGCGGATCTCCTGAAATGGTGTGTGTTACTGTTGATTCAGTTGGAAGATGCTTTCACAATCCATTCGTAAGATTCCAACGCTCATCGTTGACATCAGCTTTTCTAGAGACCGCCTGTAGATTATTATTATCGGACATGGTCGGTTATGCTGATTCTTTCATTGGCATCGGCGACAACGTTTTCCCTGGCAACGGTTGGGTTTGGCATTCTTGGCTTTCGTGAATACATTTTCAAATCTTCAATGGAGGAAGTGTTCGTTTATTTTATAGTGTCTAGCAATCGTTGATGTTGATCTTTCTAGACTTATAACTGAAACTAATGGCGAGCTTCAAAATCCAATCCCGCTGCCTGCTGGTCCCACGATAACTTCTGACAGTTCTTCCGGCGTTGATTCAAAAACGCGAGCCGATAAGAAGTCGACTCCAACTGCACACTCGAAAAGCAAATATAAAAAATAATGCTTATAATTATATTAAATTTGGCATATAAATTTAAGAATTTTGATTTTTCGATTAAAAAAATTGAATTTTCAATACGTCGACTATTTTTGGATAAAAATGTATATTGCAAAAAAGCATAGCTACGTAATTGGTTAATCTATGCGTTTATTTGTGTGAGACTTGTGATTACCATATTTTTGAGAATTTTTGCCAACCAGCTTCCCTTTTCCAAGCCAATTCAATTATGTCTTGCTTATCTAGCAAGCAAGACCTCACACGGTTAGGAAAACGCCTTGACCAACAAGGTATACTTTTTGGGTGGGAGAATCCCACACGTCACTCAAAACAATAATTCATGTTGAAGAATCTGGACACGTTTCACTAACTCTGGTAACTCAAATCGGATTCGGAGAAAATCTAATCGGATCCAATAAATTACCAATCGGATCCGAAAATACCCAAAAAAAACCAATCGGATATGGTTGATTCCGGAGACGAATCTTGTCGGATCCGATTGGCTTTGAGTAACCAGAGAATAAAATTCCGATAAATAGATTCTTGTTAAATATCTGTGTAATAATTTTTTTGTGGCATCATCAGTAAAAAGAATAACAGAGTATACGGATGGATTGTTTCTAACTTTGTCATTCAGCACACTTAAACTAGAAGGTCTTCTGAATGTGTCCACAAAATTCCAGCCGCCACTGGGAGGAATTGTGGCTATTAGAAAAATTCGAGGTGTGTTCTTGCTCATCAAGATTCTCATTACGTTTCCCATTGTACGGAAATGGTGCATTTTCTGAAAAAAATTAACCGATCTTTAACCTAAACTATATTAAGCAATCTGATAAGGCTCTCGAAAGTGTTTAAAATCAAAAATCTACGTACCATGTCGTCTGAAAATGATGATAATGATTTGAAGCACAAAAATTTGATAACTCGAAACGGAAAAACCGGAGAGATAAGAATGTGCTACTGATAAACCGTCCGAAATCATTCTTTTCGACGATGGCCGCAAAGTTCGTGCTTGTCGTTTTAGCAGGTATTTTTTCTCAAATTTGAGCTATTTATAATGTCATTTGCCTTTTTCAGCATGTCTCCTTATGGAGACATTGTGTGCCCCAACCGAAGAGAAGAGGATTCGGCGAAACATGATCCGCGGAAGACCGCGCGGCGGTATGAAGAGAACTCCGCCGATGACAATGTTTGCCGGTAAAGTTAGCATGGACACTGTTGTTTCCGACGAATTCACTCAAATCCTTGATCACTTCGATACGTCGAACACGAAGACTTTCAAACAAAGATATTGGCACAACAACCGCTGGTACAAAGAAGGAGGTCCAGTGTTCTTGATGCTTGGAGGCGAAGGACCAGAATCGTCGTTCTGGGTGTCGTCGAGCGATTTGGAAATCACCAATCTTGCTGCTCAACAAGGAGCATGGGTGTTCGATATTGAGCACAGATACTATGGAGAGACTCGTCCAACTGCCACCATGTCAACCAAAGATCTTAGGTATTTGAGTTCAGCGCAAGCGATTGAAGACGTTGCCACATTCATCAAAGCAATGAATGAGAAGTTCCCAGAACTCGCCAAAGCCAAATGGGTGACATTCGGAGGATCGTACTCAGGAGCTCTTGCCGCTTGGGCTCGCGAGAAACACCCCGAGCTCATCTATGCGGCTGTCGGAAGTAGTGGTCCAGTTCAGGCAGAAGTTGATTTCTTTGGTACATATCAGTTCAAATGAGCTTGCATCAACATCATCAATTTCTAGAGTATCTCGAAGTTGTGAAGAACTCGATTTCTCGCAATTCAACCGAGTGTGCCGCTTCAGTTACTAAAGGTTTCAATCAAGTCGCCCAACTTCTGAAAACCGCTGACGGTCGCAAGCAGCTCAAAACCGTTTTCCAGTAATTGAGCCATTCAAACCATTTCGCTACTCAACTTTCATTTTAGCACCTGCACTGACATTAACATCAACGACGATAAGAGTGTCAAATATTTCTGGGAGACTGTCTACAGTCCATATATGGAAATTGTTCAATATTCCGGAGATGCCGCTGTATGTTTTCCTCATTCGAAATTCTCATTAATTTCTAATTTAGGGACTGTTTGAGCATCAGCTCACGATTGCTCATGCGATTTGCAGATTCCACAACAATCCAAAAACCACGGCACTGCAGAAAATGAAACAGGTTTATACGACAAAAAAATTCACAATTTTCATGTGAGAATATTTAAGGTCAACGACAATTTCGATCTTGTCAACATGTATTTCGGATGCAACGACATCAACTATTCGGCATTCATCGAGTTCATGAAAGACGAGGATTATGGCACTGCCCAATCGGATCGTGCTTGGGTCTGGCAAACCTGCACCGAGTTCGGATATTACCAATCGACAGCCTCGCCTGTCGCTGGTCCGTGGTTCGGCGGCGTTAGCAATCTTCCAGCGCAATACTACATTGATCAATGTACTGAAATCTACGGAGCCGACTACAACTCGAAGGAGGTTCAAGACGCTGTGAATCACACCAACGACTACTATGGAGGACGTGATAAACTTAATGTAATGATATAATGATATAATTATGACAAATGAAAATCGAAAAAATTTATAGACCGATAGAATTTTGCTTCCAAACGGAGATATCGATCCATGGCACGCACTCGGAAAACTCGCAAGCAACTCGCCGAACGTTGTTCCAGTTGTGATTAACGGCAAGCATTTTTTGTCGAATGAATTTATATGTATTAATACTTTTTAAGGAACAGCTCATTGTGCTGACATGTACGGAAGCTCGAGCTCGGATAGCGTTTATTTGACAGCTGCCCGGCAGAAGATTGCCACAGTTCTTGACGGATGGCTTAAAGCTTAATTTTACTCCATTTTGTAATAAATAATAAGTTTTTATACTGAATTTCGTAGTGAGAGAAGATGACACTAATTATATACAGTTCCATACAGTAAGATATACAATTTTTCGCCCTTTCGCCCTGAGCTCGCCCCTTCCACCGCGAGCTCACTGCGAATTCGCCGCAAAGTTGCACATTCCGAAATGAAAACGCGCCCCACTGCTAATTCTCATGCATTTAACATTTTTTCTGTTTTTTTCCTTCGTATATTAATTTTTTGGTAAAATATTACATAGCAGGCATATTTAAAATTGAAGTACACAAAATTTGTTTAAAAAATCATTCGATTAATATTACTTTCGTTCTTAAATATTCGTTTTGCAGCGTTTTTGTTTTTTAAAAATGTAATTAAAAATTTTATCTCACAAGGGAGGTGTTTTTACTTAGTGGTTTGGAATTTTTTCTAATTTTGCACACAAACAGATCAAAAAATTCCCTATCGAGTGTGCTATGTCGTTTTCTGCAAAAGTTCCAAAAAGTCGCAAAACTTTGGGTCCGAAGTTTCAAATTTTGATCCATTGTTTTTATACACTGTTTCATGATTTTTGCCATACTTCCTCACCACGCACAAATACCCCATTACGATAGAGCTGCGGCAAGCAGAGTTGGTTCTCTGGAATGTATACGGGTTACCAAGAAATGGGTTGTTGGTTCGATGGCCCTTCTCGCATTTTCTTTTGCAATTAATTTGTGAAAAAATTTATACCAGTTTTATAATTTGCGGAAAACAATAGACAACACTGGGCAAACGATTCCTCACTACCGATTTCTCACTCTACTACCGATTTTTCACTACCATATATTTAATTTTTAATATTTAATTTATAAAAACATTTTCTTTAAACTCGTTTTTTTTCTGAAATGAAGTGGATTATTGATAAAATCAAGAAGAATGACTATAAGAAAATTTGGTAGTGAAAAAAACTGTAGCGCAAAATCGAAAGTGAAAAAACGGTAGTGCAAAATCGGTAGTGAAAAAACTATAATTTAGGTAGTGAAAATTTGGTAGGGAAAAGTAGTGGAGTGAGAAATCGGTAGTGACGAATCATTGGCCACCTATATTACCACTGTGAAATTAATTTGTATGTAGCGACATAAAGCGTTGCATAATGCAAATTTATATATTTAATTTTCAATCACTTAATATATCTATTAGACTACTTAAGAACTTTCTTTCGGTTTTGGAATTAGATAATCGTTTTCAGCTTCAACTTCTTCAGAAATTTGTTCATCTTCCATCCATAGCATTTCCAAGGCGTATCTTTCTCTGCATTCTTCACTCATCACGTGAACTTGAATATCATCCAAATTACATATATACCAACCATTACTTTTCCTTGAAATTGTTTTTGCGTGGGCCTGAAAAAAAATGATTAAATCTGGAAAAATATTACTATTATAATACTGTTGGAATAGTGCCTTCATTCTTCAGCAAACTTCGCATATTCTCAGATATAGCAGAAGCCTGACGAGAGTTGAAGGCAGAACAAACAATCTGAACCATTTTATATCAATCAATCAATAAACTTCAAATGAAACTACAAACCTGATAATTATAAGGCGACAATAAATGGTTTGTGTCTACGACGACCACATCTTTCGCCTTCTGATCATTCAAAGTTTTTACGACATTTTCAAGGTTTGAATCAGACGACGTCGATGGAGTTATTCTAAAAGTGAACACATACATAAACAAATGCAGACATTCAATGGATATTCAATGGATACTTTTCAATCTGTTGTGTCGTGGATTCTTCCAAATGATCTTCGTAATATTCTTCTTCAAACTCTGGCAATTTCGAGAAAGTTGATGATAACCTTGAAACAATTCCACGACAATTTGAAAGTGTTCTTCTTGCAATCGCGTGAATCATCTGGCGATTGTTCCCGAGTTTTAACTTCGATTAATATCCAATAGACAAAAATAATAATTATAGGTTTTTAACTTTTAATACCAATTTATCGACTAAATTATTCGAATATCGTTGAAAATTAATTTATTTCGTATTTACAATGGAATGCGATCAGAGTGGAATCAGAAAATTAAAGCTATTGACTATTAATTTATTAATTGAAATTAGAATTCAGATGGCAGGGCAAACTCCACATCGAGAGCACAGGCTTCTTGTCTCAAATTGTAATATCGACATTGCTTCTTCATAAATTTTCGCGTCAGGAAATTCAACCTATAATAATATTTATGAAAACATGTTTAGAACAGTATCCCTCTCCTATAAAGTGCCCTTCGTCGGCAATACGCATTTACCTTTGTCTGTTTTCGATCAGGAGCGTAGACTATTGAAGTACAGCAAACTTGCCCTCTTAAAACTCCATCACCATAGAATTGCCATTGACAAACTTCAGGAGAATCATATCCATTATCTGAAAATAAAAATTCAATAAAAATATATCAAAATTTGCAACCTTTAACAAAAAATATTCGATGATGAAACTTCACGGCAAGTCTTTCGAATAGTTCTAAATTTTTCATAAAATGGTCATCAGCTTGGGCTGTATATGAGAATTTGTTATTATGACGATTAAGAAGAAGCTTTATAGTCGGCTATAAAAGGAAAGTGATTTCGGATAATAAGTATAGTTTTTCGCATACTTTATTAGAAGTTGCTATTACGCGATCGGCTTCTTCTTTCGAGGTTACAGTCATTATGGAGCACACACTATCATCACGATGAGCTGCTTTCAGCGTCTGTTGTTGAATCCATTCTTCGCATTCCGATTGAAGTCCCTATAAAAAATTGAACAAATTTGAATTATATTGGAACAACTTGAACGAGGAAGAATATCGCCTCATTTCGAATTTGTTCAACTTCCATTTTGCAATCAGGCAACGGTACACTTCCATCCCTCAAATAATCGAGAATCAGTCCAAAATGTCGTCCATTTCGATCAATATGAACCCATCCTTGATCATCACGCTTTACCTAAGAAATATCTTTGCGTAAAATCAAATATGATTCATAGGCAAAAAAGGAAAACAATATAAATAATTAGTTTTCTGGGATACCTGCATTCGCCCGCTAAACATTGCTCTCAACATTGTATCCTGCTTTTTAAGAGTAGCCAATGTTGTCTGAAATAATGCTCCACCGACATTTAGCTTTACATATTCTTGATCATCTTCCATTACTAAATCAAGTTCTACTTTAAAACTTCATTTTTACGATAATCGGCATAATTAAAAGGGGATTGTGCCTGATACGTTGAAAATTACTCACAATTTGATGTATAACAAGTTTATTGAATGCAACAAAATAACAAAAAAAATCAACAACAATTTTGGATTTTAAAAATAGTTTAACAAAGTGATATTAAGAAGCAACAAATTTCTTTGATTTTGGAGCCTTCGCCTTTTTACTCTTCTTATTTTTCTTGTCGATTTTAGCAGCAATTTCTGCAACTTCTGGAGCATCAATTTTTTCCAAGGTGTCGAATTCCTAAATACAATTTAACATGTTTTTTTTTTAACAAAAAATCCAACCTTTCCAACAGGATCCTCCATTTTCTCCGTCAATACTTGTGTGATCTCAGCCTGTTTGATCAATGCGGCCTGAAAATTGAGTTTGAGATATTCAAAAAAAAAGCTCAAAAATTACCTTGTTTTGGATTTCCTTCTCCAAATACGTGACCTTTCCTTTGTTCCGCTCCTCACGGCGAATGACATTCGGCGAAATATAATTCGGATTGTCGTACAAAGCAGTTCCTTCGAATGATCCAGAGAACAATCGAATTAATTCGAGAACAAATCTTGGACCTACGACAAATTGATTAATATTCTAATTATCGATATGTACGCTATTCACCGATTTCCTGGAGCTGAAGACTTTCATCAACAATCTGGAAGTTTCTGAACCAAATGCGATCGCCTTCACCGACAGAAAAATTAAAGACGTGATCAACGAATGGCTGGCTTCTCGGATGATGATTCGGAGTTCCAAGAGTCTGGAAAACGAATTTACTGGATCATTATTTTTTGTTTCTCACCTGAATAAGCATGTTTTTAATCAACTTCAACTGCGGCTTCTGGTCGAAACTATCGTCAAACGACAGAATTGGGCGAGACGCTTTCAAGCAATTTCCAGAGAGTTTCAGCTCTTTCATAGTGTGAACATTATGCACCAAAAACTTCATCGATGGACCAGTCTTGGCATTGGCGAACCACAAATAAGTGTCTTTACGCTTTCTGCTTTCGAAGTACATCACTTTCGAGCAATTCTTCATATCGGCAATTTCATTCAGCACATTTAATGACTTCTGCTGATCGAGTTTCGAGTCGGTCTTCGAATGTGGAAGCAAGTCTTTCAAATCTTTCATCAGATAGCGAGTTCGAACATCGGCTCCGCGCGAGCAAAGCAGCAATACTCGTTCGCGATTCGTCCACAATTCCGCGCGTTTCTTTGTCTCCTCGTTTTGTTCATTTTCAGCGTCATTCTATACAAATGTTTAAATGTTGAAGATTATTCAAATATTACCTCGGAATCGTCATCCGAACTACTATCGCTTGCCGCATTCTCCCATTCCATTTTCTCATCCTCTTCCTCTTCAGTTTTCTGTTGCAATTTTTGAAGTTTAGTGAATTTACCCATCTAAAATCATCGTATTAGACATATAAATGCAACTGCCAACAAATAAAATTGATACGGATGAAATGAACCGATTGATGAAAATTAGAAAATTTTATATCCCAAAAATACTTTATTTAATTTGTCAGAGAAACAACGAATGAAAAAAAAATAAATTATTAATTACGAATAAACGTGCACATAGAATAGAAGAACCCATAGAAAGAAAACATTTGGTTTCAAAATTATTAAATTAAACTGATTACACTCAATGAATGAAAGTGACCAAGTTGATAAAAAATATAAATAATTTTTGATTATGTTTTACTTTGAGGCATATTCAGTAGGCAGTTTAAGTGATACAGACTGTCTGGCTTGAGAAAGACGTAAGTATCCCGCATTTGGAACAACATTGTATCTAAAAATAATCACTTTAATACCTCAATTTTGATGCAATATTTTTTACCGCAGGATGAGCGTAACATTATTGTGTCCAAGGAGATGTCTTCCGTCATCCATGCAGTAATATTTAGTTCTCAATTCTCGCTCATCCATCACCACTCGGTTGTTTCGTTCCACAATTCTATCCCATAAAATTATTTGATTGACCTCCTAAATATACCTTGTAAAAATATGATTTGAAAATATTCTTACATTCTTCGGCGTCGAATATTCGGCAACAAGGAACACGAAGAGCTGTTTAACATTCCAGTTGAAGACCTTTGTGAAATCCGCTTTAAATGAAATCTTCATCGTCGCAACATCGGCAACTTGCTCATCACTCGCGTAGTCGACAATCGACCTTCTAAAAATATTTCAACTACGTTTTGAATAAAAATGATAATTTGAACATACACTTTCAAGTTTTTAACATCGTATGAAACATCCGTAGTATAATCCTCAAAAACCGCCGACAAGAAGCATGCTGCTGTAACAGCGGCAAGCACCCAAAGGGTAAATGCAAGAAGTGCGTTGGCACGATTCAACAAGGAATGCATTTACCTGAAAATAAGCATAAGAAACTTGAAAAAAAGCAATGAGAAAGGTATAAAAAGTGCATAAAACACTGTAAAATGAAGAAAAATAGACAAATAATATCGCTGGAAAATGTTTATAATTCTTCTAAATTGTTAAGAATACGTAAAATGCACGACATCGTCTAAATGATCATCTATTTTCGAACGAATTAATTCTTTAATGGGCGGTTTCCACGGACGAAAGGAGGTACGGTGCCGGGTATTCTTCGGGCTTTCTCCAGTTCAACGCGATAGGATCATTTGGTCGCACAACATCGTAGTAGCCGCGGTAGTAGGGCTTGTCGCTGTCGTTCAAATATTTCTTGAATTTATACGCTCCAATGAAAAGAGTAGCAACTCCAAAAGTCGCATAGAAGATCGTCTGCTCCGGGTATTTCTTGAGCATGTTGGCTGGCAAGTTGCTCCAGAAGGCCCAAAGACGAGCACTGCGGGAAACATGGTACTTAATCATCCTGAATATCATATTAAGGTAATATAAATAACGTTAAAAAACAATACTGATAAAGTCTTGGTTGAAAACCAGTGAAAAAAATGTTCACAAAAAGAATTGACATGTTTATTGTACCGGCTCATTTCCTAATTTGGTCCCGAAGCAAAAAAATTGGTTTCTAGCGATTTTCTGACTGAGTATCAACGTTTACAGAACACTAGATGAGTCTCCGGGAAATTATTCCTAATATTATACAAGAATCATGAAATCAAGAAACACATAGATTAATGAAGACGATATATACGATCATCTTCATTTTTGAAATCCTCTTTCAATTTCCACCAGCTCACAAACTTGTCGGTATGTGAGAATAACCTCATCCAAGGTGTAAAGCTTTGGGGTTCTCAAAATCAGAAATTTAGAATTAATTACATCCTATTTGTTACCTTTCTTTATCCACTCCTGCAGTTCTTCAAGTTCGACTTCTTTCACATCACTAACTTCATTGTAGTTAATATTGCAATTGTTCGCGCCTATTCCTTTTAATAGCAGGGCATAATCGAGCTCATGCTCTCCCCAAGGAGCATCGCTCATTTCAGCACGATAGATGTACCTCCCTTTGAGGAAAAATTCATTCGCATCAACCCCTTCAACCCCCAATTCATGCTTCAGCTTCCTAACGGCAGCTCTAAAAATTCAAGAAAAAAAATCAAAATGATTGAATAAATATGCTTTTTACTTTTTTGCTCCAATAACTCCGTTGATTTCCGAGTCGTTATGAAGGGGATGACTACAGCAGGTGTTCGTCCACAAATTTGGAAATGTAATCTATAAAAAAAATGAATTCTTATCAACGTGGTCTCAATTCAATTACCTTTTGCGGACTTCGTTTTTGCAATAACAGTTTGTTCTGCTTTGTGAATGAGAAAACAGAAAATGCGCGATGGAGAACTACTGAAAACAGAAAAAGATATTCGTCTTATGGTACTATGCTGATTTTGCAGAAAAGAAACGGTTAAAAAAAACTCTAAAACTCTCATGCAATTAGCAAAAAAAGGGAGTTTTAATCGTGTTTTTCTTCACAACCTGAATAACACCAATAAGTAAAAACAGGAAAAATTACATGTAGTTCAAGATTATACATATAATCGTTTTAAAACTTACAATGCTGTGATGAATGTGCTTCTTCTTTACTTACAGGCATTATTACGTTGTCCAGCTCATCAACACGAATGCACGCTTCCTTCATGTATTGAACCTTTAAATGACTATTTTATTCCAAAGTTGAATGAAAATTAACCTGCGTAGCATCATACTGCGATAATCTCATTCTCCGTGGGACTCCTATAGACGATAATCGTTGGATACTCGTCCTCATCTGTTCAAAAGAATTATAGTTAAAAAATTATGATCGAAAACAAAAAAAAGTATCATATTGGCTTAAAATAACCAAAAAATCACATGTAAAATACACTTGATTTAAAAATTTTATACCCTATTTAGAACAAAAAAAAAGAAAACACGGGAGTTTGTTAGAAACCGTTTGTATTACTCGTGCATGGCAAAAACAAGAAGCAACAATAACAATAACAGACTAGAATTTCAACAAAAATAAGACCTGGAATCAACTTGGATTTGCACTTCGGTGGGCTAAAACACACGCAGTCGTACAAAAATTGTAATGTGAATAACAAAAAGGTGTTCTTTCAATCACTTTTCCACACTGAAAATTATTTTTTAAAATTTTGAATTCAAAAAAAAAAATTCGAGAAACCTGGTGGCATCTTGTTATCGGCGGCAATCCGGCCAATCGTCGTTCAGCTATTTCGGCGCGTTTCTCGCGTTCCGACATATTCAGCCATTTCTCGCACTCTTTTCTTATAGCTTCTTCTCTCGCAGCTTCATCTTTCTTCTGTTTAATTTTTTCCTATCATACAATAAATTATTATTAGGCCAACATGATTCAATTACTGAAAACCTTTTGTTTTAATTTCTTTTCCCTCTTCTTTTCGGCTAATCTCTCTTGCTCTTCGATCGTCAACACCATTTTTTTCGGCGGTTCGGGAATGTGCGTCCGCGACCATGTGAATTTGTCGGGATTATCGGCTCGGAATTGGATAAACACTTCTTTGATTTGTTTATTGGCCGACAGTGAATATGGAGGTTTTCCCGACTTATCCTTACACGATGGATCACAGGAAACTTCGGTTAAAAGATAACTGAGGACCTTCGGAAGTTCCTTAGAAGCGCAAATGTGAAGAAGAGAGAAATTTTCTGGAGGGAACCGAACAGTGCGAAGATATTCTTTCGCCTGAAAACCTGATTTGAAAGTAATAATGACTTCGATTTTCGCAAAAATTCCACCTGTTCTCGATTTTCTTCATTAATCTCTTCGATCTTGACCTTCAACCCGTCTACATTATCAGTTCGAACCAATTGATAAATAATTTTTCTCCATTCTTCGCTTAATGCTGGCCATGGATCCACAATTTTTGGTTCAGCCGGCCTTATTTTGATGTGATCCTTCTTCCGAATATCCTGATTCTCATCATTCTTCTTTTCCTCTTTATTTCTCTGATTTTTGTCCCATTCTCCAATCCAGTTCTCATTCTTTTTCTTCCGTTCAACTCGTTGCACAACGCGTTTTCGTTTCTCATTGAGTTCCTTCATTTCTTCGCGGAACTGCTCCAAACTTCCATGTTCTTCAACAATTTGCAAACGGTTCCATGTATTCGACACCTCGTCAACAGTCGGCCGTTTTGTCTCGAACGGAATTGTCCTGAAATCTCACGTTTACGCTATTTTTTAAAGTTCAAATACCGAAGTCTAGGATCTCCTCGGAAAATTCCAGCGTCAGAATCCAAAAATATCGATTTCTGATAAGACGCACACCGTAGAAATATTAGCGGACTTTTCACAATATGTTCTTTCCATGAAGACAAGAGATGATGTATCTCTTCTTTCATTTTCTGCTCGTTGTACCTGAATTTGTAATTATGATTGAAACACTCTTCTTCCGTCTCGGCACAGACGACTTCAGAATATCTAAAGAACGTTAACACAATTTTCTACCTTCTCAATCCCGCTCCCGCACTTTTCGCGTTTCCTTGACTATTATCATATTGAGATTGAACTCCTCCTTGTTTCGCTCTTGCAACATAACGATGGAATGAGCGATGCGCTAACAAACGATCACTAAAATTTGAAAATGTTCGCTTTTGAATTTTTTAAAGAATTCTCACTTCACAAAAACTCCAGCAGCGAAATGTCCACCATTTAAAAGAAAAATTGCGCAGTCGAAAGGTCGTGCGAACATTGCGTTCGAAACGTTTGGTTCATCATTATGAAGAATACACCTAAAAACTAAATTCAATTTTTTAATGCAAACGAATCATCTTACTTGGCTACTGAGAACACATTGTTGTTTTGAATAAAAAAGCTCCTTCCAGCTGGCAGCATACATAAATCGATGTCCTCTTCATCAGAACTTTCCTCATTTTCAATCTTCTGGTTTTTGGTGTCTATAAACGAATCAACGGTTCCAAAAAAAATTGCGTTAAAAACCTTGAAAAGTTTCGTTCTCATCCATTCCTTCAAATTCTTCTTCACTGAGCACATTCAAATTGCGCGCTTTTCGTCGAACATTCGTTCTGAAATCTCAAAATTGTCGCTGTTTCTGCAACCATTCATACCTATGCCATGCAGATTGATAATGCTCAACTAACGCAACACGATCACCAAAATCAATATCGCATTCGCATGTCGTACACTTTTCAGAATCCTCTGATACTCGCATTTTCCATTCTAAATTTATTTCCAGAATTTATTTATATGAAAAAAAAAACTAACCAAGCATCAATGCTAGACTCTCATCAGTCGTGGCAACACCTTGAAGCTCAACATCTTCTACTTCCTCGTTGATTTTCTTGTCTTCAAAAAGTTCAACGCCATTCAGCCATTCGATACTTTTTAGTGTATATCTCATCTTAAAATCGTGATTAGACAGAAACAAATAATAATAATTCAGACACAAAGATAATAACTGGTTATTAAACCAATTGATCAATCAAAAAATGATTTAAAACTCTAGTAAATTTCATTGATGATGATAAAAATGAAGCGCTGTAAAATTGAAAAAAAAAATCGACAGCACTTTGGTTAGTTGACGAGAAAAAATCTGGTAAAAAAAGAAGAATAAAAATATAACAGAGAGACTCAACGATTATTCAATCATCAAACAATCATAAAATAAAGTGAATGTATGATGAAAAGTGATTATTATGAGTTTCGCATTATTATTACTCGCCATTATGTTTGGAAGCGTTAGTAGAGTAGTTATCCGCAATTTTCACTTGATTTTAAGTGGAAAAACAATGCGATAATGACAAATGCTTCAGCAATGGTCGAAGATAAAAAAAGGAATAAATTATTCAGTATAATACACGAAAAAAATATAGAGATTTGGGTGGGGGGAAAGGGAAAACGTCGTGAAAAAAGTGCACCAACCAAGATCCCGTAGTGTTCAAGTTGCGTAAACGGCACCTAGTGGGTGCTCTTTGGCCGTACTGGCTGCTGCTTGCTGATCGCTTCCGATATTTGACTAATCCAAGATTTCAAATCTTCGCTATTTACCGCACACATTCTGTACACGGAATGACGGCCTTCGACCATTCTCCCATCTTGTTCGGTTTTGCATGCCTTTATTCGTTCATCCGATAGAGAATATATCTACAGTAAGACATTTTCTATTTACAAACCATCAAAATTTCGTACCTCAAACATATGTGGTCTACTGGCTTGCTCAACTCGACGAATACCAACATTTCGAAGCGGAATTATTCCACGTGGCTCTTTGTCAGTTGTTTGCTCAAAATAATAGAGGCATGTGTCACTCAGAACGAACCTAAATTATTCAAAATAATACTAATACGAAAACTATAATGACTGACCACCGCCGTTTCCATGACAGAGCCCCGGAGAGAAATTGCCCACTGCTTTGTTTGTACAACCATCCTTCACGTTCAGCATGCAACAAAATATCACTTATACTACCTAAAACAAATCAACATAGAATACAACTCAAATATTTTATTTACCTGTATCATCCTGTGGTATTTTAAATTCGCTGCTTTTTATAGAATCATAAATCGCTTGAAGAGTTTGCATAGAAACTGCGTTGGCCTCCAAAAGCTCCTGAACAATAATTTCTTGAAAAAATTGAAAAAAATTAACTTTGATACCTTATTCATGTTCACGTAACGTTCAAATGTGGGCCGATCCTTGACATTTGGATTATGCAAAAGTGTATTGAGCATGATACAAGAGTAAGCGACTGTATGACATGCATCAGCCGTAGCAACAACATTTTCATTTTGCGATACGTAGTGAATCGCAAATTTTTCTATAATTCTGTCAATTTTCTGCGCTTCGCCAGGAAGACGAAATGACCAAAGAAACGAGCGGAGAGCGTCGACAATGAACATATTGGTGAAATCGTGGCATTTGGTGAATTCTTCTAATGTCTAAAAACATTATTTGTTTGGCAAAATCAAATAAAAAGCAAACCTCAAGAGCAAACGGATCGTTCGACCCTAAAACATCGCCAATTGAAGTTTTTGATAAACCATCGCCTTTGTACATCCATTGTGCAAATGTTTTAGGATCTCTCGCAACGAATCCCTTTTCGGCAAGATAATCGAGACCTTTCCACGGATCTTGATTGAACTTCTTCCGACCAGTGAGGAGTATTCGGTTTCGGTTTTTCGATGTTTCGTCGACATAATATAACGCCTCTAGTTCTGCTTCAACTTCGGCCACCTGTAAACCCAACGTTATGAAAAATTTCGCAATTTTCTAAAGCCGCGTATTTGATATTCAACAACATATCAAATGTCATTTTCTTTAAAACGTTCAAAACAATAAATTTACCTCATTCCGAATTTCCATAATTTCGGCTTTTAGTTGGAGCTTTCTTTTCCGAACCCGCGGCAAATTTGCTCTCTCCTCATCGGTCATGGCCATCTCTTCTGAAACTATTAACGTTGAATATTTCGATTGGAATTCAAGAAAATTACGAACTAACCACTGTAACACGCTGTCATTTTACACTTTGTCTGAAAGAAGTGTGCCAATTAAATGTACATCCAGAAAATCAATACCAACGCTGCAATTACGTTTTTTTTGTTTCGCATAAATATTAAAAAAGAAAAGAATGAAAAAACTAAGCGAAATAAATAATTATATTCTATGAGGAAACAACAGAAATTTTCACGAATAGCACCAAGAAAACACGTGTCGTAAAATATGGCGATTGAAAGGTTCACAAGCTCGTAAGTGTATTGCGGACGGGCGGAGAAATAGAGAAAACACAGATTGTGAGAACATAAATGGACGAGTAAGGTGAAATGGCATATTAGAGGATTTTGAAAATTTTGATCAATTTTCGTAGATTTTTTTAGTAAGAAAAAAGCATTATCAAGCTAACATTATTCAGAAATATAATATATAAAGTATATTAATTTTCTGAACGAATTAATCTAATTAAGCAAATTACCATGTTTCCTCTCAATGTCAATATAATGATTTGCGGTGAGACCTTCAATTTTTTATATAATTTTCCAGAAAGTAGAATAAAAAATTTAACAAACATAGGCACATTTTAAGCGGTTACGTTTTACGCCAACACTGAAAATTGTTTCAATTCCAAAAATAATCATAAAAAAACGAAGGAAATATACATCGAAACTCTAATTTAATGGTATTCCGCTTGTATACACGACTGTATTACAGCCAATCATTCACTGACGTTATTTATGCCATGCACATAAAATGCGCCAACATTCCCCCTTGACGTATTAGTTGATACTTCATTTATTTTTCGAATTTTCTTATTTTAATTTTTATCAACAAAATTTTAATTGAAATTTTTTCAGAAAGTTGGAAAAATATGTCGGACTCATCATCCTCAGATAACGAAGATGATCAAAAATTTTTGGTTAGGAAAAAGAAAGTGTTAAAGAAAAGTTTGTTGTTCAAATGTTTCTTTTCAAGAATTTGTATTGTAGAAAATGATAGCAAAGAAAAAGATGAAGATGCTGCAAAGACTGAAGAAGGAGAAGCAGAAGAGGAGGAAAAATCATTTGCCGAGTTGGTGGGTTTAAATTTATTGACTTTTAACCTGTATTCTTCGATTTAGGGCGTAAGTCAACCATTGTGCGAAGCTTGTGAGCGTCTGGGTTGGACAAAACCCTCTAAAATCCAGCAAGCTTCCCTTCCTCATGCTTTAGCTGGAAGAGATGTAATTGGCTTAGCTGAAACTGGCTCGGGAAAGACTGGAGCATTCGCAATTCCCGTTCTTCAATCACTCCTCGATCATCCACAAGCATTTTTCGCGTTAGTTTTAACTCCAACTCGAGAACTTGCTTTTCAAATTGGGCAACAGTTTGAAGCTCTTGGCTCTGGAATTGGACTTATTGTTGGTAATGGTATATTAAGTTTGCCCGGTGAAAATATAACTTTAAGCTGTTATCGTTGGTGGCGTAGATATGGCTGCCCAAGCAATGGCATTAGCTCGTAGACCCCATATTATCGTCGGTGAGTGTTTCCAAAACTAGATTGATAATTAACGGTTTATGGTTTCAGCAACACCTGGACGTCTTGTAGATCACTTGGAGAATACGAAAGGTTTCAATTTGAAAGCACTCAAGTTCCTAATTATGGATGAGGCTGATCGTATTCTCAATATGGATTTCGAAGTCGAACTCGACAAAATCTTGAAAGTAATTCCTAAAGAACGAAGAACATATCTATTCTCGGCAACAATGACAAAGAAAGTTTCGAAATTGGAAAGAGCTTCGCTTCGAGACCCAGCTCGTGTGAGCGTTTCGACGAGATACCAAACTGTCGACAATCTCAAACAGCATTACATATTCATTCCCAATAAATATAAGGTAATTTTAAAATACTTTACTTAATGCGCTATTCTTTTTCGTTTCAGGAGACCTATTTAGTATATCTATTAAACGAACATGCTGGAAATACTGTAATCGTCTTCTGTGCTACATGCGCGGCTACAATGCAGATTGCAGTCATGCTAAGACATTTGGGAATGCAAGCAGTTCCACTTCATGGACAAATGAGTCAAGAGAAGAGATTGGGGTCCCTCAACAAATTCAAAAGCAAAGCAAGGGAAATTCTGGTTTGCACCGATGTTGCTTCAAGAGGTTTTTATTTCAATTGTAATCCGATATTCCATAACTTGTTATGTTTAGGTCTCGATATTCCTCATGTTGATATGGTTATCAATTATGATATGCCTTCGCAATCAAAAGATTATGTGCATCGAGTTGGTCGCACAGCTCGTGCTGGTCGATCCGGTCTAGCCATTACAATTGTGACTCAATATGATGTCGAAGCTTATCAGAAGATTGAAGCAAACCTTGGAAAGAAGCTTACAGAATATCCATGTGTTGAGAATGAAGTGATGGTGTTGGTCGAAAGGACTCAAGAAGCGATTGAAGCATCAAAGGTTGAGATTAAAGAATCAGAAGAAAAGAAGAAGTCAGGCAAGAAAAGGTAATTATTTTGTATATTACCCTCGCAAAAAACGAGCGCCTTACATAATTGTGGATCACCGCACTATTTCGAGGCGGTAATTCAAATTTCGATTTAAACAGTGGGAATTCGGGTACCGTACTACGGATAACCTGCAAATCAAACTCAACGTAATCTTTACAGGACGCTCGTTCTTTTGCGATTGGAGAAATATAACACTTGCATTTTTTGAAAAAAAAGAGTATTGTTTTCAACTTTATCCCCTAGAGGTATTCAGAAAAAACCTCGTTTAAAAATACTTGTTCATTCTTCAGAAGCTTCAAAATGTTCGGAAATATCAATTTTATTTTTTTTTTCAGGCGCGGTAACGACGATTTTGGCGACACTGAAGAATCCGGCGGCAAGTTTAGCATGTCTATCAAAAACAAATCGAAAAACGGAAAAGGTTCCCAATTGAAAAAGAAGAAGTTCCGTTCTTGATACGCTCTGTAAAATTGATTGTTATATTGTTTGACGTTTGTTGTTATTTGTTATTGTTATCGCAAATATAATAATAAAGTTTTTTTTGCATAATAATTAAGTTTATTTAACGCTATGAATGAATTTAAAAAATGGGTAATTTAGTAAACTAAATAAATAATAAAAATTTTTGATTGAAAATGGTCAAAGCACCCGGTGTGGAAAAGTTGGGAAACAAAATATGAAAGACGAGGAGATCACTGGGGAAGCTGATGCGGATTCATCATCATCTGACCTCCCACACTCGCCGGATATCCGACACTTCCTGGATAACCGACACTCGCTGGCCCTACGCTGGCCGGATTCACGCTTCCAGGTCCGACAGACGGCGGATTCATCATCTGATGCGAAGCTGAAACGTCAAAAATTGAGTTAATGCGTCGGCGGATTCAAATCCTACGTGGTCCAACATTCCTCATATGCTGTTGGTGCTGCTGCTGTTGCATCATATACTGATGTTGTTGCATCTGTTGTTGATGATTCTGCTGCTGTAAAGATTGCTGAATTTGTTGGTATTGGGTTTGAACGGGTTCTTGAGCCGCTGGTCCAACTGACGGTGGCTGAATGATCGGAGGAACAGGAGATCGAGAAATCGGGTACGACCGATAACTGAATAATAGTTGAACCATATTTGAGAAACATTTCGAAAAACGAACTATTCGAGTAGGGACTGTATCAACTTCGTCAGCGAACATTCTCCATTCGATTCATTATTCGCATCCACCGCCAATTTCATAAGATCTTCTTCATTCGGATTCGGTGGCAGTTTACAAACATTCCTAAAAACGTAGTCTTTTCATACGCCAATAAATGATAATTAAATACGTTGCTAGAAGGTACTGTAGTCGGTAAATTTGTCCACTCTGTCTTGGTTTTCTCATTCCAATCTGTAATGATTCACTTCAAAATCTAGAAATTCGAATTCTAAAATCTCACCACAAGTTGGAGCATGCCTCCGGATGAATCCAACAGAATTCCCGATGCATGTTTTCGGCCCATATGCGGTGTACTCTCTCGCGTCAAATAAGAGAGCTGCATGTACAGAAGAATGTCCGAGTTTTCCGGGAATTCCTGCAAAATGGATTCAATACAATTTCTTTATTTCATTTCCGCATTTCTCTTCCACATGCCCAAGTTAAGCCGCGCGATTCATCAGTGCATACCAATAAAGAATACAATTCTATAGAATTCGTGCGATTTTCGAGATTCCCTATTGTCGATTCCTAATTAAAAATGGCAAAAATTTAGCGTCATTGTTTTTTTTTCAAACAAATTTCTTTTTTAAAGGTCGTCGACTAAATGTCAAAAAAAAACAATTATACACAACAGTTGGTGCAAAATTTAACGTGTATATTTACGGACCTAAGCACAAAGATAGGTTGAAGGTGCATTCCGACACCTATCGGTCACAAATTCCCATAGAGTTCAATTTTTTTTCGAATATCATCAGATGAATAATTTCAAAAATCTAAAATTCTAGCGCGACTTAAAGCTATTTTAAAATTGTTCTTTTGACATTGTTCGATTGTTCGAACAATTATAATCGCCTATTCAAATGGAATTATGTAACATCACATTTTTTCTAAACATAATTTATGCCGAGACGTTTGGCATTTTCGATGGCATTTCGAAATCTGGCTCGAATGAAGCATCAAAGAATATTCGAATATTTTTTTTTAAAACTTGCATCCGTTGCTCCAAAAGAAACCTTTTCATCCGAATTGCTGCGTTTGGCGTCACGATAACTATACCTCAAACACCTTGCTTTTAAATTCCCAATTCCCACATTTCTCAATATATCTATTGTTAGAGTTGCAGAAAAAAAAAATGATTCCTGCAGTGGACAGCTTGAATTGGCTTCTTGTTTAAAAGATTTTTATAATCTTGGTTCGCTATGAATAATAAATATTATATATATATATATATATATATATATATATATAAGACATTCTAAACAGATTGAAAACACGAATCCATAAAAGGAATGGTTACGAATTTACATTTATTGATATGATCGAATTTAGAGAAACTGAAAACTCCAAGTAAAGCTATGAAAGCTTATAAATTAAAGACTAAACAAGACAATAATTTTTTTTTTGGAAAAAATTGCAATATCCAAGAAATTTCCGAAAACTAGATTCTTCATTTTTTTTAAACAAACTTGAATTCCTCGCCCACGAAATCAAGCATCCAAAGTTGATGAATATTTGGGCCTGATGACTTTTTAATAAAGGTTCCTCCATCATGTCTAACTTATGAAAACTCGTTATTTTTGGAAGCCGAATGAATTTTGAATAACTAATACTATTTATTTAAATATGCATTTTTTCGAAACTTCTAATAAAATCCTTGTCGCTTCACTCAAACAAAAAAATAGAAAATTGGCAAAGTGCACTCAATGTTTGATCTCATAGAATTTCGTTGGGTCTAGGCAAAATGTTATCGTAGTTTCTCAAATAAAACAACCTAGTGAGAAAACGTCACTTACAAGAAAATAGGCGGAGAAAACAGGAAATTGTTCAAGTCAAAAGCCCGCAAAAACACTTGAATCGTATTTCGATGTATTCGTCATGTTTTGTGCTCAATCCATTTGCATTATTTTCAATTTTCTCAATTCAACGAATCATCTATCGGATTAATCCATCTCAATAAAGGGCCACCAACACCGCCAATAAATCCCCCCTCTCTCCGCCTTCGCTAGCTCTCATTTGCGATTCGAAATCACACAAAAGCACGAGATATTCTGCTCCATAAAAAATTCACGTCTTGCTTGAGGACTGGTTTCGTTGCCCCACATTTTGTACTAGCTAAGGTCCACATCAATCTCATATGGACTCGATAATTCCTCGCCGCGTTTGGAAAAAATAGAAGATGAATGTCAACTATTCCATTTCCGGCATTCAATCTTCACCACTCATAACTCATGCTCCCGTCATACAAGAAATATGAGTAAACACCCAAAAAAATGAATCTTTAGCAATTTCAGCAATTCGACTAATATTTCTTGGAATCCATTTCTTAATAAGTCTTTGGTTTAAGGTCAGAGCTTTTCTGAACACAATATAATCTCTTTCCAAAGGGACTTTGTTCGAATTTTTTTCTTTGATCAACTAACTGTCTTTTTGGATTATATCCTTATAAATTGACACCAAATCCAGCCTTCTGCTCAGAGAAAGACTGTTAATCATGTTAACGATTATTCGAAAAAAAAACGTATTCTGTCGAAGCGAAAGAAAATGGTGGGAAAATAATTGATTCCGTGTTGGGAATTTGTGCCTATCAAATCCATTTCCAAAAAAAACGTACAGAAAATTGGTCCATATTCTTCAATTATCGCATGCAATGTTTAATCAAACGACTTCTTTTTATGATTCCTTTACGATCTTCAAACAAAAACAAGCAATTAGAAACCCAGTTTACGTTTTTTTTCTCACTATATCTATAATGCCCATTTTCGACTACCTAAAAAAAACATATTTGTCATTTTTCTTAATTCTTAATAATATTATTTACATTCCCAAATTCTATAACGTTCTATACGAAAAATTAATGGTACCTTGCAGATTCCGCGAAAATTATCTTTGTTCAGCAAAGAATATGATAAAAATATTGAGAATTTTAAAATACATCGAGAATGATCTATAGAAATTTATATCTAGATATTAAATTAATCTTTTTTTTTTTGCAAAAATGGATTTCCAGGATTAACGAAAGTCCTTGTCGGTAGGTAAAAATAGATGGTTTAATAATTCATTAAATTTTCCTCGAAGATCGTAAAATATTTCGAAAAATTGAATTCAACGTCAAAACAAAACATTTTTATAGTTTTTCGTCTTTGACTATAATTGGCTCCACTCCCCATCTCAATTATCTCTTAATCTTCGTTGCATTTGCTATTCCTGGTGTTTCAAAATCGAATCAAATATGTGGGCGGGGCTCAAAGCATCCAACCAAACTGCGTGCAAGTTTCAGGAAGTCTATTACGAATTTCCTCGCTTCTTCATTACTATATCTCTAGTTGGCATTTTCAAGCAAAGATTCTCTCGATTTACAGGTAAAATAATGAATTCTCGCGCCGTTTTTGGCATTCTGATTATCATCATTTCGATTTTCGCCGTTTGCAATGCATACGCTCCGAGGGTATGTCAATTTCCCAATAAAGTGGAAAATTTTTGATTTAAAAAGTTTGACATGACAAAAACATCTTAAAATAAGTGTTTTACGAAATTTTCACGGGTTTAAATAATCGCCGGTGTTTGATTCCACAGAAACCAACAATGACGTCTTCTTCTTTTCAGAATATTCGTGGAGTGGGCGATGTCCATTCAATGTTTTTCTCGCCATTCCGAATGATGGGAAAAAGAAATCAATTCTACGGTCTATTCAAGTAATCAACACAAACTCTCTTTCTCTCTCTCTCAAGCTTTGAAATCTGCCTTATTATCTCTTTTAGGAAAATTCGAAGCAGTGAAGTCTACTAACATTATCTTGATGCGACCAATTGTAATCAAATCAGTTTCCCATGGATTTCGCCACCTTATCTGCGCATAAATTGCTGATCTGTTTGCTGATTTTTGTGTGAAACAAGAAAAAAACTTACCGCTTCCGACATAATCAAATAGTAGAATGTTTTTGTTATTTTGTAGGCGGTTACGCGGCACATGAGAATAAACGCAAGCAGTGCAATGCCGTTTCGAGACCGCACGATGGACTGAAAAAGAAATATCGTCGATAACGGACGAATTTAGGGGACATCGATAGTGTTTAAAAATTTAGTTCCATGAATCACGCAAAGAGCTATAGTAGAAAAAAAATACAAAAAAATACAATGAAACAGTAGTGTTTGTTCGAAAAATTTTTTATGACATCATTTCTGCTAACCTAGCATATTATTTTCTATAGTAGGCATAAGCAGGTAGGAATAATCGGAAATCCATATTTAGAAAATTTTCATTTAAGCTGATAATTATCGGATTAGCTTTAAAAGCCGGAAAGGGCGTTGAAGAAATTTTTGCCGCATTCGGCGTCCGGTATCTTCTCTACGTTGATAGATTTACGGGAATGCGTCTTTCGCAAGGGTCCAACTGGCTAATTCGCCTTCTAGAGATCGTTCCGATAATTTTGATTTGAGACATGAGAAATACCGATTTTATATTGAAAAAAATTAGCATGAAAATTTTAAATAAAATTCACATATGTCGCGATACCATAGCGAAAGGCGCACGCGGTAAATCTACCCGCGTATTGCAATTCCTGTACGCCGACCATAAGGCTACACAAAAGTAAGAAAATGAAACAGGAATTCAGAATATGCATACCTTTTCAAAGTATTGCTTGAAAGCTTCTTCAACTTCAGGTGTAAATTCGGGGTTGGCGCCTTCATCTGAAATGAATAAGAATAAAAATTTCAAAAATTCCTTCTTTTTACCATATTGAATGTCAATCTTCGGCTTAAGAAGTTTCGGACAAGCGTAAATTTTGATATTCACGTTCAGCGGATTATTTATTGTTTGACCATCGATAATCGACGCTTGTAACGTGATCTGAAATCAAGATTTTTTAAATTATTGATATCTCAGAACATCTCTATACGCTGTAGTCGTTGATCACCAATGACTTGACAGTTCCCAACGTCGCATTACCAACAACACAACTCTGCACCGCTCCTGGGAGCAACTGCTCAATAGCAATTCTTGCCTCTTGAATATATGTCAGAGAACTCAAATATTGGTGAAGCGGAGCAGTCAATTCACCGTCTAAAACACTTAATCGCATCAGATTGATCTTGAATAATTCTTACTTTCTTTCCGAAACTCGCATACTTTGTCCAGAATGTCGTGATCGATGAGAATCGTCGACGTCGTGGTCAGCATATTCGGATCATTATCTTCGCTATCAGGCGGTTTCGCTATTCCCGGTGGGATCACTTTCGCGCATGGTAGTTCCTCTTCCTCAATCAAACTTGCTTTTCCTCTGGAATATGGGATTATGAAGATGCCATTTCATCTCGTCTTACTCGGATATTTCGTAGAAGAACTGGAATAAGCCTGGACATCGCGGACGATATCGGGATGCGTCTCGAACCGCGATTTTTTCATCACTGAGCAACTTGAACTCAAGAATGACATGTCCGACAATAAACTTGATCGTAGTCTCATCGGCGGCGCTTATATGATACTGTATTTTGAATGGGAAGTATACATCCGTTTGGAGAAGTTGTGCATTGATCTGAATATCAAATATGCATCGCAACACTCGATAATTACAAAATTCGAAAAATACCTTCTGCGTTTTGAAGCTGATTCTCGAGAATTTGCCAAGCGCATGCAACGGACGAATCGTTTCAATAACGTAGTTGACAACCCAAACCAAATCGTGAGTTCCTTTTAATCTAAAACGTCGAATATTTTAAAGTCATGAGCTCACAAATCCTTCTAAACCTTTGTCTGAGGAACGCAGAAACTAATGTATGCGGATTCCAGGTAGGTTTCTTACTGAAATCTGCAGTAACCGAGTTGTACTCAGTATTAGGAACAGTTTTTCCGAAGTTGAGCAAGAACACATCGTCATTAGATGTTGGTGAGCACATTGCTTTAGGATCGAACGCAAGAACCAATAAATGGTCCCGGTTTTTGCCGTATGATAAAACAAGTTTGTGGAATGTATAAGCTTCAATCTGAAAATGTTCAGTTCGTTATCAAAATGCAGTAATATTGTGTTATACGTTGCAGAATTGATGGTAGTAATTTTGATAGGCAATTGAAAATTGATAGCACACTTTGTACATATGCAAATATCTGCGAAGACGATGGATGATCTGAAAACATTGAGTTTTGTTTTGAATACTTGAACGCAATTACCAAATCGGTGATGACTTCCGAGTTCGGACGCAAGACATGGGTGTTCGTCGCCGCGATTTCCTGAACCCACGTGATTTTCTTCATCGACAAGTCGTTAGAAGGAGCTAAAATTTGATATTTAAAAAATTCTAATTAACAATGTGGCTCACCGAATGGAATATCACGAACAATTGGAACTTCCTCGAATACCATTTCGAACAAGAAATTGACTTTGCTTCGATTATCGACACGAATGCAGCACCGCACACAGCAATTGAAGAATTCATCACAATTCATTGCGAATACTTTGGAAACGCTGCAATTAATTAAATGAATAACAAATAGTTCAGTGACTCCTCGAAGTATGTATGTATTTGTTGAATTTAGCGAGATTTCGGCTTACTCTGTGATATGAAGGGCAAATCCTCCAGGAACGTGCATATCATCGGATCGGAGTTCAACACAGAACTTCCTCTTTTCCATTTCTTCAGCTAAGAACATGTATCCTAGTCTATCCTCGATTGCTGCAACCGCGCACGACAATTCCCTATCTCGAGAAGGCCCCGATTTCCGACTACTTTTCTAAAAAAAATGTCAACATTTTAAATGTTCATTATTTTTAAGTAAAAAAATACCTCGGTTAGATTCATTCTTCCTTTTTTCAGTGCTTCTTCCACAGGTTTTGCATACAATTGCTGAATCTACAAAACATTTATATATGAATATAATACAAAATATATAAAGTATCGTGTACGTTTTCAATTTTCAAAAGTTGAGAACTGTCGTCGGAAATTTTCAGCAGATGAATTTTGGTTTTAACAATTTCAGTCGGATGCAAATCGAACGTTAAAACCAAATAGTGGATTTCGGTGCGAACAAATTGAAGATATATCTTATGTTCAGGGAACACATTCTTTAGCTGAAAATGACGAAATTTCGAAATCCCAGAGAAATATTTGACAAACATTTTTCACAAACGGTGACATTTCAGCTTCCTTCTTCTCCCTTAATGGCAATCCGTGAAGTCCTCGTCGATATCGTTCGATGACAATAGCGATCCTTCAATTTATAATGAGGTTATTATACTACACACATTGTTTTCATCCTCTTTACTTTATCCTATGCAACAGCTTCCGAATTACCGACATCGACCCATTGCTGTATAAGGCTTGTGCGAATTCATGTACATCCTCATTATCAGCTAAAATTATTAGTTTTTTTTCTCTCATAATAATTCTCCAAACACCCACCTAGAAATTGAATGTTGCATATGACTTTTCCACAGAATGAATTCACTGTAATTATGAGATTTTCCTGCGACTTTGCGCGATCATCTGTGAGAAGAGACATTGTTAAAGACGGCATCGTGCATCCAGTCAATCGGATTTTCAACGTCGGATCTGCAGTTTCCAAAATTCGACGAAGACGCAATAATCGTTCTCGACAACGAACAACAAAAGTATCGGATAATAATCGATCAATCGACAACCGACTGAAAATTACGAAAATCATGACGATAAAATGGTTTATTTCAAATACCCAGTCCTGAAGTCGAGTGTTCCCAAATGCGGCGCGTAAGGCATATGTTTCACTTTGAGGCCAGCTTCTTTATCATCTTTATCTTCATAAATTTGGAAACGATATTGTGCTTCAGCTCTAGAAAGCAAAATTGACACAATGATTATATGAAAACGACTTACTTTGGGGCTCCAAGTGTGACGTTCTTCGCCCTTGATCGTGTCACCCAATATCCCACTACCAAAATTCTTTCTTTCACATCGTACCGTTCAATCACAATATTGTCTCTGAAATATGATTTTTTAAATAATTACGAATTTAAAATAAGGAATTGGATGGTTATGAAATTATTACTCTAGATGGCATAGTATTATAATTTTAGTGCTACCTGAGCCTTGTTGAACATAAGCGAGTGCATTGGCAATATAGAACATCGAGTTGGAGGCTTACACAAAACGAGTGCAAAAAAGAGAAAGCCTCGTTGATGGGCTAAAAAATATTTAGATAAATTTAAAATCGCATCACTATCTTACTCTTCGCGACTTTGCCATCCGTGTTTGAAGAATCGCATGAAGATCATTGAGTTGAAGCGGATGAACAAGTTGCATACCATTTCCAATTTCATGATCTTCCACAAGAATCTAAAAATGTAGGAAGCGAATAATGACATTGATCAGATCACCTCACCTTGATATTCAGAAGGGTCCATTTGGTTTTTGCAGGTTCACCCATAATTGTCAATTTAATTTCGAACTCTCCCGGAACCGTCAAAATCGCCTGAGCATTTAAATAATTTTTGAAAAAAATAATCGCTATTTTCGTCTACCATTCCGTTCATAATACTGATTTCTTCAATCCTTGGAGACATATAAGGAGTTTCTTGAGATAATCGATATTCAACAATTTGGTTTAAACGTGCAAGAATGATTGCTTGTTCTCTTGGTGTAATTTTTGGTTCAGGGATAAAAGCTTCTTTGATTTTTGATGGTAACTTTGTATATGTACCCTATAAAATCAACATTCTTTAAAATATTGGAAGAAATGTGTTACCAAAGTAAGAATATCGATTGCCGGGGCGATATGGTACTCAGGAAGACGGGCCAAAATAAGATCCCCTCTGTAATTTCAGTTGAAAATCTTCAAGATATCAATGTTCAACCTTGTCATCGCCACTAGCCGATCGGCAGATTCAATATACCACTGGGATTGCAGATCCAATAAGTAATTTATTGACTGAAATGAAGTTTAATCATTTTTAGTATATTAAAATCTGTCATACCGAGCACATATCAATCCTTTTTGAGATCCGAAACCATTTTACTAATGCTACGAGTTTGACGAATTGCATTCTAGTGGCATGAGCGAAATTGACCAATGAAATTTTCTTTTCTTGATCATTTTGATCGCCTGTCCTCCTTTGCATCAATTCAGCAAGAACCGTGAGCTCGTGATACACGTGTTGAACGGCGAGATCAATGAGTACGCTTAGAGGAATCGTAGGAGGACCCCAACGATCTGGCACTTCTGGTAGTGGTGGCCGACCGTAATATTCATCTTCTTCCTCTTAAAGTTGCAGTTTCTTTGAACATCAAACACAAATCACTTACTGGTGTCCCCATTTGTACTGGCCGGAGTCTCCACAGAAGCTGGAGGCACTGAACCAGGCTGTACAGAGCTTGGAGCTCGCGGAGACTCGGCGGCAAGAGCTGCACGGAGTTGGGACGACAGATTGTATTCTACAATTTGATCATCAATTAGTGGGTGGGTCTTTTGAAAAAATCAGTTCGACAAATGTATTTAATTAATGAGCAATGTGTAGGAGGATATGTAAAAAAATACAAATATATATATATATACAAAAATTAGAATTTAAATGTAATTGAGTGTGGCGTTAACTATGTTAGCAATATTTAAATTCGCTTTTCCCATTAGAAACGTTAAATATGTCTAAACATCATTATACACTATTCTGGACATTTTCTAAATTTTTAAAGAAATTCTGTGTATTTTCTACGGTAGATTAAATATCAATGTATAAAATATAATGCAAATTTTATTTTAATCATGAAAGAAAATCCTCCGACGAAACGCACATTTTGAAATTAAGAGATCTGCATGCATTGTACCTGACGCAATACTGCGGACCTACAAAGCGCCCTTTCAAAAATTGAATTTCCCTATGTCCGAAGGGAATACAACATGCATTTCAACTTGAAAATGCTTTTAAAAAATAATTATTGAGTTTTTCAAAATAGAATAAAAACACGTTAATGAAGTATTTTAACGATAAGTTTTCGTGTTTTTTTTTTAATTTTTTATATGCAGTTTTCAGAAAAGGTATATAAAACAGCTTTTTCTACTATTTTTCGAAAACTATAATTTTCCTTATTTCTGCGTGAAAATCTGCTGCGTTCTCTGTTCGATGCCATTTACGGATATTCTCCTAGAAAGAAAGAACATGAGAGACGACGAGATACTCCACACACTCACACCGCCCTGGATGAATGCCAAGCTTTTCGTTTTTTGTTTTGCCTTTTTTTTATCCATGACTCAGAATCGTCAAGAGCAATCATGAGAGCGATGTTATGACGTCAACAGCTACTTCATCTGAAAATATGCCGCATTATTTCTATTTTTATAAGGCGCTATGAGTACTTTAGAATTTGAAGGTTTATGCGATTTTTTATTTAGCCAAGTTTCCACAATCGCGCGACCTCAATAATATGTTTATTTGGCTTTCGTACATGACATAAAAATGAAAGCTGAGTAAATTATATAGAAATCATCGGCTTGGTTTTGTTAGAATCGATGTCATTTCAAAATTTCCGTGGCCTTGACCTGTTGCAGTTAGCACCATTTTTCATCTTTTTTTTGCTTTATTTCTAATGTTAGTCTCTGATTTTTTGTACGATGTGTAAAATGTGATTTCTCTCTTCTATCTCTTCAATTTGCCGAAGCGTTCTCTAAGTGCACCAAAAGTATCATATTTCTCCAAGGTATATTGGTCTTTTGTGGCCCTGTACTATTTGGCTGAATAAATACTGAAAAAAAACCATATTGGATAATTGTGAGAATTATTTTGTTTGTCTCTCATGATATATTTTTTCTCTTAGACGCTGAATATATTTTCATTTATATTTTATTATTTTTTAAATACGCATTTGCATATAATATCAGTCGGAAATTTCAAAAGTTTAATAGAAATGCAAATAAAAGAGTTAAAATGAAAAATTGTGGTGAGTGTGCATTAGTACGGGGACGTGATTGCACCCTTTTGGACCGTAATTCACTTGTTTTCAAATGTTGGCGCAATATTTGACTCGGTGGTAGTGTTTTTTTTTTTCTCGGAGAATCTGTGAATTCTTTCAAACGACCGAACAAAAAAACCCCGCCATTTCTCCAGCGCGGTTTGCCAAGAAAATTTCATCTGATTTTTTTTTCATTTAACAATCTCGTCAAATTCATCGGGCGAAACAGTGGCGAAAACAATTTTTTATTTTCGTCCAAGTGGCGAAACCATATAACCTGCGGGTTTCGCCAAAACCGAGAAAAACCACTATTTCGTCCTATGAGTTTGCCGAGATATGTGCTATCAATTTGATTAAGATTTTATTGAATTCTTTGAAGATACCGCCGACATCAATATATATAACTATAATTTTAAACGTTATTCTTTGAAAACCAATAATATGAATTCCATCAGATTGCGTCACTTTTCGTGGCATTTTTTTTGCTCCCTCTCCGCCCATTTTTTGTTGTGTTGTTGGCGCAATTTTCCGCGCAATAACCATGCCTGATGTCATTCAACGAAAAGCACGCGCATTTCGATTGTTTTCGCGTTTTCAAAATTCAATTAGCTCAAGGGGTGTCAATAACATACTCAGCTTGTGACGTTTAATCAGTTGTCTTCCCATATGTCAACTAATTTCCATTATTAATTATCAGTTGCCCCCCGCGTTCTCACTAACATCGTTTTGTTTTCCATTTTTTTTGCAAAAATTATTTTTTTCCAGGAAACTTATAGTAATTAAACTCGCAAAATGGAACAAACCGCGAAACCAAGTAAGTTTCAGCCAAGAATATCCCGGCCATCACCAATATTGCAGAACTTGTGCCATCGACGCGTTTCGCGCTGTCATTGGTAATGTTCTTCGGATGTCTTGTCACTTATATGATGCGAACGAATATGTCTTTTGCGATTGTCTGTATGGTTAATGAAAATGCGACAAAGTCCGATGATTTATTGTCTGAAGTCGCGAAAACATCGACATGTGGTAAAGTGTCAGCAGAGAAATCTGAAAGCACGGTAATTGTAGATTTTTTGATTAAAAACTCAAATATGACAGCTGTAGGTAATTGGAGAATTCGATTGGGACAAGCCCACATCTGGAATGATTCTTTCTTCGTTCTTCTATGGTTATATTGGTAGTCAAGTAAGGGACCAGGTTCAATATTATCAAAAATTTTTCTAATAGATTTTGGGTGGGTATGTCGCTTCGAAATACGGTGGAAAACGTGTTGTGTTTGCCACTATTCTCGGATCGTCGTTGCTCACTCTAATAAATCCGATCGCTGCAAGAACTTCAGCGATTGCATTGGCAACTATTCGCGCAGCAATTGGATTCCTACAGGTCTCATTTTAAATTTTCGTTTATCGATTATTTTCTTGTTCAGGGTGCCACTTTCCCCGCCATGCACACAATGTGGTCCGTTTGGGGTCCACCGCTAGAGCTTTCCGTTCTTACTGGTGTAACATACGCCGGAGCTCAAATAGGAAACGTTATCGTTCTTCCATTGTCAGGATTCCTTTGCGAATACGGATTTGATGGCGGATGGGCCTCAATTTTTTACGTTATCGGAATATTTGGTGTCCTCTGGTGTGCCGTTTGGTGGTACATGAGCTCAGATAAGCCAGCGAATCATCCACGTATTTCTGCTGAGGAACGAAAATACATTTGCACGGCCGTTGAGGAAAGCATGGGAAAGGACACTGGAGAAGCCCCATCTACTCCTTGGATTAAGATCTTGACATCTCCGGCTGTCTGGGCTTGTTGGGCCGGTCATTTCGCTGGAGATTGGGGAGCGTATACAATGCTCGTTTCTTTACCATCATTTTTAAAGGATGTTCTCGGTCTTGAGCTTTCTTCGGTATTAATTTTTTCATTTAATTGTATCGTAAATGTATAATTTATTGTTAGCTTGGAATAATTGCCGCAATTCCATACGTCGCTTACTTCATCGCAATCAATGTTGGCGGAATTTTAGCTGATACTTTAAGGTCGAAAGGAATTTTGTCTACCTTGAACACTAGACGAGCCGCAATGCTTGTTGGTCAGTTGTATGTAAAAACAATTTATTGTTACTTCTTGATATTGTAGCTCTCATCGGACAAGGAATATTTCTGGTTGCTTCCGGCTACTGCGGATGCGGTCAAGACGTGAGTTGTGCAGCATTTCGGAATTCCTACTACAAGCTGTTTTAGATTCTTGTTATTTTCTTCATAACGTGTGCAATGGCAATTTCTGGTTTGCAATATTCCGGATTCGTTGTCAATTACCTCGAAATTGCCCCGCCGTTTTCCGGTAAACACTTATTTTCATTTTCACAACTATATAAATACATTTTATTTTTAGGAACCGTCATGGGAACTGGAAACACTATTTCGGCACTTGCTGGCATCATTTCTCCGTATGTTACTAGCTTCTTAACACCGAATGTATGTGGTTTTAAGTAATACGCCTATAAATTTTGTGTTCAGGGAACTCAAAATGAATGGCAAATTGTTCTTTGGGTGGCTGCTGTGATTCTTACTGCTGGAGCCCTTATCTTTTCGTTCTTTGCGTCTGGAGATGTTCAACCTTGGGCGAAACTCTCACCACAGGAACACGAATTGGCTCCTCTCAGAGATGGCGAGAAAATTGAGCTTACCACTGCTTAGTTTTTTATACTAACATTTTTAATCGTTTTATCTTGAATATCTTCAAATAATCGCATAATTTGTAGTTTTAAACTCTTGTTTTATCATTTTATCCTGTTTACATTCTTCTGTAACTTAAGAGCTTTACCTTTTCAAAGCTATCTCTTCTACTTCTTCGTTGATTTCACTTCTCCTTTTCACACCTAATTTTACAAATTACTTTAATAATAATATTATCAATGAAACGTTTCGACAAATTATTATACAAATTATTAGTAGGTAGTCAAATCCCGTAAGTTGTCTCCTATTTACAATGGGCATGGTACTGTTTCCGATATCATAGTCGAGAAAGTGTAATAGACGTTTTGATCGAAGAAACACATTGTTCCTCCACCGCGATACAGTTGGTGAGACTATAATAAATTGTGGCAAACAGAAATTTTAAAAATGGTATACCTGTCTGTTAATATCACCAATACAAACATATGGCATCGGAGGTTGTCCAAAAACTTCATTATAAGCCACTGCGAACTTTGAGTGGTCCTCATAACTCGAATAATAAATATTGAATGGAAGACGAATGTATTTTCCATTGAGCACTGACTTATGTGGATTCGGATTACATTGAGAAGGAAGGTTTGTCTCATTTCCACTTTGATGATTCCAGATTTCGACTTTCAGAGAAGAACGAACCTCAGGGACCACTAAATCGGCATACAAATCTGAAAATCGTTTTTGAATTTTTCATTCATTATTTTATTGAAGTTGCAAGCCTTTTCCAAAATTTCCAGTCTTGGCGAAATGTTTGAAATTCTTTCCATCGAGTGATTTGAGAATTTTGATGCTTGTATACGGTGCGTTCTAAATAATTGAAAACTCGAATTTAAATAAAACAAGAATTTAGATACCCTTTGATAATCGCCATTTTTGAGACGATTCAATAGTGGAACGGTGTTTGCAAAGTAATCGGGAACATTGATATGATATGTGAACGTGTTATAGTAGAACAATTGAAGCGCTAAATTTAAATACAAATTTTCCATAGTAATTTAGAATTATAAAACCAATATCGTTTAAAGTAAGTGTTGGGAATGAAATGCAGACACCCATTTGTCCGTACCAACGTGCATTTCGCGGAAATCGAAATTCGTCGACACTAGGGAACTTGGGAATACTGTGAAGCATCCAGAATCCGGTTGATCGATCAAAAACAGATACACCTTGAAAACAAAGAATATTTAAAGAACTCGAATTATTTTAACCTTTTGCATGCCCTGATGTTGGACTCCAAATATCACTATCTGGCCATTCATCGTTATACAAATATGAGAAAACTGAATTATTGTCGGATTTGTAATATTGTTGCAATGTGTAGAAGATTGCATTGTTCTCTACATCCATTCCCTCGTCCATTAATTTCTAAAAAAAATCAAACCATTAATATTTCAAAATTTTTATCAAGTGAAAATATTTCTTACCCAATTAGTATCAAATTCATCAAGATAGAGAAATCCTGTACCATTTGAAATGGGAAAATTGTCATTGTGATTATATAGATGTGGCAGTTTATAGAAAACAAACCTAAACGTTTATTTTGAGTTTAAAATTAATAATTCAAATGCGTACTCGCACTTTGAACAGCTTAACAATACTTTTTTCTAAGTACATGTTTTTTTTTCACTTTTCACCGCCGGTTACGTATAGCCCTAATGATGAGGTTTTGCGAAATTCGGTTAGAAAATGATATGATTTGAAAACAAAACACATTTATTTTTTTTTTCAATTTTTTCAATGAAAAAATTTATTAACGTAAAAGTGTTTTACACTATGAATTTGGATAGCCGTTGCGGGGCGGAGGTTAGTGGCAAATCGACCCGAAATTTTGCAAATAAGCTGAACACCTACCAATCTACGGGATTATTATTGTTGTCTTTACATTGAATCGAAGCTTGTGAAGATCCTATCAGCAGCGCCAACAATAAAATCTGCCGCCGCATCTTTCTTTAAAAAATCTACTGTGAAACCAGTAATAAAATTGCGTGGATGTATTTTTTCAAAGCTTAATTGAGGAAAATGTTATGTTTCAAGTTTTATTGAACATTTACTGAAAAGTATGAAATGCAGTAATAACAAAAATTGTTATTTATATTATAAACAGTAGATAAACTGTAGAAAAAATTCTAAGCAGTTCTGACGAGAATATGTATGAGAATGATCGCACACGCAGATAAGACCCTTTGATAAGCAAAGAGCACGTGGCTGGATTTTCGAGAACTATTTTTTAAAGATAAGGACCAAAATTTTCAGAAATCATTAAAAAAATTTTAAATGAAAATTTGACATTCGTAATTTCAATTTCTAAATATATTTAAGCGTTTAAGTTTGAAAACAAAACGATTTATCGCCAAATGCATTCAAAAATGAAGTACAAATCAAATGAAATTTTACCGGATGCTAGTATAAAATTCACAAAATTCCATTCTATCACGGGTGTGCACGTGTTCTTTTTATCACAATTTCTTCGTGTAGTTTCTTATCATTTGAAAGCAAAGAGCACACTTCGAGATACTGTTCTCAGAATCTCTTAGGCTCGCAAAAATTTTGTTGAAATATTATGTATGGGATATTGATCAAGAAAAATTATTTTTTTAAATAAATATAACTTGAAAACAAAAATTATCGCTAGCCTACGTTAAAGGATTAATTTCTCTTCGACATTTCTGAAACACTCCATGACAATTTCTACCCTATCGTTGATTAAATCGTCATTCATTGATAATGCAATCTTTTTAACTTTTGCATATATGGTTTTTGTATTGTCGAAACACGAGAGCGCCTACTCTGGTTACCCGATTCAAATCGAATACGAATTGACAGTAAAACCGAAATGAATACGATAGAAAACTAACTCGATTCGTATACGGCGCACGCCGAAAATACAACGTTAATCAAAGCTACGTAAAAATCCCCAAGACTTGTTAGTTCTTGGTATTGTTGGCGTCAAACGACTGAAGGGAGGCGGACCTTCAAATTCGCGAAATTAGCGTAGCTTTAAATTAATCGTTGACTGAATATTAAATGCGCGTACACTATAATGCAATGTACGCAGTCTTGCGTACTTCTCACTGCCTCGAAACACGTAGCCGATAATTTTTAAAATTTCGTCAAGGCAGAAATCTTTTTAAAAAACAATTGTCAGCGACGCACGACAGTGGAAAAATTAAAAAAAAAATCTACATAGAGGTCTCGGTGGGCGGTCTTTTTTGTTACCAAACAAGGCAATTCAAATTTGCTAAAACATCTTCGTGTTTTTTCATTATGTCCTTAAGAAATCGCAAAACCAGCATTTGATTATTTATATTTTTTATCGAGGCAGCAATCGAATTCATTCATCCACGAAAATACTATTTTTTAATTTATTAAGCGGACAAAAAACGGGCGGGCGAAAAGGAGTTTGGAAAGTTTGAAATGTCAAGGTGCGTTTTCAATTTAAAAAAAAACACTATTCAAGAAGACCGGCCTGATTCAAGGACTTCGTCACAGTCTTCAGAACAAATTATCACGAAGCAACTTTACCGTCAACGCCTAGATTTTCTGAAGAATTTACCTCAAGCGCCGGACTCACTGGGACACTGAAACAGAGTTTTGGTTTGCATCAGACTCTCACAAGTCCGACTCAACGAATGTGCTTGAGATATGCCCACAGGGGACCGAGACATTTTTTTTCCGAGACACATCCGAGACATTTAATTAAATAGTTACAAATTTGTATTTTCCGAAATTGGTAAAAACGATGAAGCGAAAATTAAAAAAAACCTTCAGAATCCGGGAAATTGTCACTATTTGCAGGCATCAATTGCTTCTCGTCGCACTGAATTCCAAGCCCAATGTACATGAAAGATGTGAGAATTATGGTAACAACTATTGAGCTTATAATAATAATGAAATATTTTTGAATCGGAAGAGAATCGATCGCGTGGTAATCTCGTAAAGAGATAATGCTACGACTAGATTAATGGTAAGTGCTTGTTCAGCTATTTCAAAAGATGCTGGAGGGTTTGCTCGGGGAGGAGACTAGTGGAGTGCAGGAAGTCTGCATCGACACCGCCATGCTTAGCCCATACCGAGGCCCGGCCAGGCATCGCCTACAAGTGGAAACAACCAAAAAAGCACCTTGATGAGTGGTTTTTACGGATTTCACCAACGCTCTCGATTTTTTCTTTAAAAAATTGTTGTGCGCTTTCCAAACGAAAAATAATTAAAAGCTGCCAATTGGGCAGTCTCCGCAACAAAATATCCCGACGCCACTCCACCGTGTGCGCCTAGACTTCCCCAGGCATTTCCCTCCTGGGTCGGACCCTGTGGGTCACCGAAGCGGGGTGTTCTTCCGCGTCTCGTGACGCGAGATGCGCGGCACCCGTGCGGGCTCTCTCAAATCCGACTCAACGAATGTTCTCGAGACACGCTCACAGTGGTCCGAGACATACGTCGCAGAGACTATAGAAAACGCAACATTTAAATTATATAGATATAGAGTATATTTTCAAAAATTTAATTTCGAATTGATGATAAATGACAAAACTAAAGCAAAAATCTTACACAGTAGTAGAACATCGGCTTTCCGACAGAAAACATTGGGTAGAATTTCCGATTTTCGCCTCTAAAACAATTAATTTACGTGTAAAAAAATAAAAAAAAACCAAGAAAACGAGATATAAATAAAAAATAGCAACGAAATACTCTGCAAGTTCTGACAAAACACCCAAAGAAACGACAGAAAATCTTTAAAAATTTCTTAGAAACTCGTGCAGATTAAAAAAAATAGTTTTAACCAGTTAGTTTATCAAATCTGTATAGAACTATTATTAAAAAATAGAAAATGGGGGTCAAAAGGTGGCAACAAAGCATAAATGTGGATAAATGTGGATTTTGATTACTGTAACCCTTTGAAATACAACTAAATGACATAATGCAGAATTTTCGCTTTTAATTTTCAACTCATTAGGCGAAACAGGTGTTAAAAACTTTTGCTTTAAAAATTCACCACCTTCCAGATATTCTCAACGAAAAATCGAGAACTTGGCAATGAAAATAAAATAAATACTGCATTATGGTTCATATATAGGGTCACGTTTATCTAAAACAAAAAACTGAAATAATTTCACGCACATCGACAGTTTTTCGGTTATTTCCTCTAAAATCTTTCATTTTCAATGTCTTTTGAATGCCCTTCAGTTAACTAATCAACCATCTTTGCAAGAATTTGCCACATTCTTCTAGTCATATGCATCCTTTCAGATTAAAAAATTAATTGACATCCCAACACTTTCTTTGACCATACAGTGGAATAATATTATTATTATATGTAATATTTATTCCGTTAAAAAAAGGAAATTTGCTGTACCATTATATACTGGCAAAAATGAATGGGAGTAATTCGAAATTATGACAAAATTTCGGTTTTGATTTCAGTTTTAGGATTAGGATTATCTTTCTTTCTTTCTTTTCGGTTTTACATCCTCGTGAATCTCATCTTTGATTTTCTTTGCCTAAATTAATGTTTCAATGATCTCTTTCCTTGTATTTGTGAGACTACTGTAGAACTAGGGCACGAGGATCTCAGAAGGCACTGAGAGCATTTTGGGCGAAGTGGTTGGCATAACATTTGGCCGAAACCGACGAGAAGATGATTAATTGGTTGCCATTCATCCCTTAAATGAAAATCAGCTTATTCACACCAAAAAAATATTTTTTAAAAACCACATAGAAAATCTTACTTTGGGAGTAATTTTTCTAATTCCACTCTTGTTTTTTCTGGGGTCGATGTTTTGATCCATCCTGTGTATTTTAACTGACATATTTAATATGTATGATTAGAATTTATACCCAATCGATTAGAAATACGATGCACATGGGTATCAACAGCGATTCCTTCACATTTCTGCCACGCAATCTGCATCACAAGATTCGCCATTTTCGGACCAACTCCAGGAAGTGTGCATAAGCCTTTAAACAAAATTTATGAAACATTAGAAGTACAAGCTACTGTTTTACCTTCTAAACTGTCCGGAATATCACCATCATATTCTTTTTTCAATATTTCAGCCGCCTTTTTGAGATAGACAGTTTTCCTCTTCGATTAAAATCGTTATATGTATAATAATAATATGTATTACCGTCGCAAAAAAAAAACGAGTATCTTGAGTATTTGGAGACCATTGTATTTTTTTAATCGTATAATTTAACCTTGGCTTAAACAATGTGATTCGGGTACAACACTAGACCAACATGCGAATTCAAACTTCCCGTATCTCGTATTTAGGGTACTCGTTTTTTTGCGAATGCAATATTAAAAAAAATGTGAATATACTTTGTAAAATCCAACAGGGCATAAAACTTGCTCCAGATCTGAATCTTTATACTCCAGAATTTTTTCAATTGTTAACTCTCTTTCCTTCAATCTCTGAAATCATATTATAACTAATTAATTACACCGATAATGCCGAATTACTTTCATTGCAGCAGCGTTTACCTCATCTTTCGTTTGACTTGATAACATCAAGGCGACTAACACTTGGAAACGATGAACCTATATTTTCCAACATTGTTTGAAACTAACCGAAATTTACTTTTGGTGGAGCTAATGGATCTGCGAGCTTATGACATCCCATAGTATCCACCGGTGCTTCAAGATCTTCCCGCATTTTTCGAATCATCTTCACATCTCGTCTCCATCCTTCGATATCTTCACTTGTTGTTGCTTCTTCTTTATCCATTATTTGAATATTCTTCATTATTTTCTTAAAAAAAACGTGTCTCGAATCAAACGTGAATCTACTAATTCTCATTCTTCTATTTCTGATTTATTTCCTACTAGCAATTGACCAACCCTATGCATATTCGCTCATTAATTCGTGTTAGACCCACCAAATATTTTAAGCCTGATTTATATGTCAAAAATCGCATATCCGGTGCCGATGCGATGCTTGTCGATATGGAAGAAGCTTCCCTCGACGATTCGTATAAAATGCAAAGTTTAAAAGCAATATTGAAAAGGTTTTCTCATAAATATTTTAAAAGTCAATATTAGCTCAATTTAGCAAATATCCAATGCCGTTGATTTTTGTGGATCCCGTGGACACAAAATCTGACGAATGGATGAAAATTATATGGAAAAATCGAAAAATTGAAGGTTATTTTTTTTTTTAAATAAATTCGTTAAGAAATTTATTTCTGCCTGAAGGAATCGCAATAAGAAATTCGCAAGAAACTTTGAATGAAAGTTTTGAAGAAATTGATGTTACTAAGCCAATTGTGAATAATATGTTCACAATGATCTGGAATTCAAAAAGACAACGGATAACACATTCAATCATTACCTATCATATGATTAATGTGAATTTGAACTTAAAATTCATTATATTAGAAATTAATTTTAGGATGGAGACATGGCTCGGAATAGTCGACTTCATAAGGCCGTCACTAGCTCATTGGAGAAGAAAATAATCCCATTAGCAAACCGGACATGCCGATATTTAGACCATAAATCGTTAGTTCGAATTTGAAAAATGCGAAATTTTTATGTTTCAGGGCTGTTTACGAATTCAATATTTTGAAAGAAGTCGGATTCACGGGAATCGTCCTTCGGAATCCAAATCTAATCGAGTTAACGAACAAAATATTCAAATGATCTCAACTAACCAAATGAAAATATTTCAAGTCACTATATACATTTTTTATCATACAAAATAAATATTATTGCACATTGGGGTAATCACTTTTAGAATCATCGGGGTTGAATAGATTATGTCGAACACGGGACTGGCTTGAACAATCGAAGTGAATGAAGCAAAAATGATATTGCACAACCAAAAATCGTCAGTAAATCACAAAAGAAACGGTTAGTTATGGCCATGATTATTTTGAGCAAGAATATAAATACATTTGTTTATATAATTTAATAAATTATTGTTTGTCTAGGCGCTCGTAGAACAGTAAATATGCCCCCTGTTTGTCAACTTCTTCCTCGCTGACTTCCTGAAGATACATGTATTTAGATATTCTATAATCATTTTTGCTAGAAATCATACCCGAACCGAACAATCGTTCAACATGAGCCATTTATTATCTTTACTTTTCGCATATGCAATAAAATGTCCGGCAAACAATTGTCCATAATGATTCTAGAAGAAATTAATTTCATCCAGACATCAAAACCGACACTTACTGCAAGAGCAATACACTCGTATACATGTCCATCCGCTTGATCAACAAATGGTGCAGGGTCAAAGTGTTTCAGTGGGAAATTGACAGTTCTTTTGCATTTTCCCATTCGACCGAGTTCACGAATGTACTCAAATCTCTTCAAATGAATTATCTAAAATTTTTAAAATCATTATTTTTCCCCTATGTTTTTTTTTTCTATTTACCAAGTATTTCGGCAGCTTCCAAATCGTCATTATCTTATCTCTCATCGTCTTCTTTCGGCATGTTTCGCATTCAATTGCAGCATCAAGGGTTTCCGGACACGAAAATTTCTCTAAGCAATGCTCCAAAGAAGACGGCGCAAAATGACGAGACCAAGTTTCAGCGACTGATGGATCGTCCTCACAAGCTTGTTCTTGAGAATGATTGTAACGAAGATATAAGGCAATCGGGAGCCAGTCAACGGCAATCGGAGTTTCTGGTGGTATATAAGCCTGAATAATTAAATGTCATTATGTTCTTCGAAAATTGTCATACTTCGATATCATCCGGTCTAATCGCGCAGCCTCGACAGAATCGAAGTGCTGGGCATTGCCCGCACCATTCATAATATTGATCAACAATGCAAAGTGTGAACGGATATCCGCTGGCGTCACCCTCGCATCTAAATCAATAAATAAAATAAAAATTAGAACCAATTCGATATAAATTACGGATCATGAGCTCTGCTCGACGAAATATTTGCTGATTGCTCCATAAATCTTCGCATCTCAAAAATGAGAAATGAAACAGAGAAAACGAACAAAATTGATATGAGAGAATTACCTGAAACATGACGTCGTCGTAGAGCTTCTTTCCCGTAATTCCTTTCTCAACACTAACAATCATTGGCAATCCGAATCTTGAGACGACGAATCCCGCAGTTGCACCAAGAATATGTGGTTCATGGTTATACTGTAGTTTGCGATGCTGTGCAACTCTCCAGGTCTGATCAGAAGAGTGTTCAGGAAGCTCGAGAGCATAAAATCTGCCACCAGATGGGAAGTTACAAAGGAGATGATCATCGTTGAGAATCATCTTGCGGAATTCTCTGTTCGATTCGTTCTAAATAGTAAGAATTTTTCTGAGAAAAATTATTATTAAAATGTTACAATGAGATTTCCTTTATTCGACATGTATTGAATCGTAATGTTCTCACGACTGATTTTTGCAGCGTCAGCAGTAACATCTCTCAATTTTCCGATGGTTGAATCTCTAGATAATCGGAATCCATAACGACGCGGAATCCGTCCATCACGTCGAACCACTGTAGCAAATAGCTATCGATGTTGTAGATTTCAATTCGATATACCGATAATTTGATACAAATCGACGTCTTCAAAGCCAATAGGCAACGAAAGTGAGGTGAACGCTTCGAAAACAGAAGAAGAGGAATTACACGATCGACAAACGAGACGCGATTTGAGTTGTCCAGCGAATAGCTCGGTTACCAAAGAATCATCGCGTTTTAAATACTCCATCCATGCCTAAATAGTAAACATACAAAATAATTCCGAAATAGCTAAAAAGGCAACCTTATCGGCTTTTTCTTGGTCGGTTACTGGTTCGGCGTGTTCCTCGATTTCTTTCGGCTTCGGCGGGAGATCCTCACTCATTCTGACTTCAACAATTGCATTATGGAGCTGTTCGAGAAGGTACGCCAGAAATTCTTGACAATCATGTTGTTCGTTACAATCAAACAAATCACTATTAATTCGAATAGCGTCCTTGAAAAACAAACTACATTATGGTTTGCATATTTAAAATCAATGAACTCACGTTAAAATCATTTGGAGCAATATTTTTCTTATTAGTTGTCCACATTTCCTTGAGCAATTTCGCGTACTCGATGGCCGTTTCAGTCGAGCCTTTTTTCTTCAAACTTGCTCTGAACATCTCAATTATTGTCAATTAAATAAGATCATTCCTTACTTTTTCATCATTTCCAAGTTGTGATCATTTAAAAAGTATTGGGTTAGAGGAGCGACTCGTGCAAGACACTGAACGGCGGCATTACGGTAGCAGAAATTTCCGTAATTTACGAGACCAACAGCTCCAGGACGACCTAAAAACGTTAATTAAATAATATAGTAATACATATTTGTGACTTACTTGAGGTTTCAGTTGAAGAAGAAAGGGTTGAAGCGGCGGTTATCTGTTTTCCGGCCATGGATGCGCGCAATTCTTCGAGCCATACTCCAGTCCCTTTTTCGCGCACTTCTAACAGCAACTTCATCTTGTTCGCCTTTTTTCCTTTTCCTTGCGCCATGTGCAATTGATGCAACGTTTGTGAGCCATCGTCAAGGAGTAAGCTACCGTTTTCGACATCCTTTAGCACTTGCCAAAGACGCGCGTCGCCATCACCAAGGCGAAGCTCTGTTCGACACAACGACAAGAGCTCATCAACGGTCATATTCAAGGAAACCTGCAACAGGTTTATTAAAAAGCGAATATTGGAAACAGAACAATTTTATATTTTTGATTACAAGCGGTAGATCAAAATTGTTTAAAATTTCGGATGCAATGAAATCACGTAGAATATTCTAGTAGGGTTTCATTAAATAATCATTACCTGCGCACAAGCCCATGGCTTTAGAGGTTTCGGCGCATTATCGTTTTCATCGACACTCGAACGTTTCTTATCATGTCCGAGAAGTAGCAGCTCCATTGGGTACAATTCTAGCCCAGGTTTTCCATCCTCGAAATAGTCGCCAGGCAAATATCTTCGGGTGAATTGACTATCAACCGCCAATGCGCATCCATGCCATCTAAGCAACGCTTTCCACAATGGAACGGGAATTGGAATATAATCGGAAGGTTGAAGGTCGGATCGAAGACGCGCCGATTCTGATGATATGCAGGCCACCTTATTCATCCAACTCTCTTCCCTATTTCCTTTGATGCTGGAATTGTCGATAGGAGTTGGTGGTTTGTCAGCATCAAGCAGATTGAGGAATTCATTATGCCAAGAGGAAGCGAGAATATTCCACTCGGATAATGGGAGGTTCGTAGTACGTTCCTCAAATTTTCTAAAAGAAATGGAAAAATTAATTCGGTGTTGTAATTGAATTCTTACGTAACGAGCTCCAATTCAAGTTTTCTATTTTCCGGTCTCAGCCCGAGACAAATATGCCCAATTTGTTGAGCCATGTTGTAGTATTCCTCAACATATTGCCCTTTTTCTTGAGCCCATATTCCAAAGTCGACTTGAGCAGCTTTACCGTCTGCACTCTTTGAAACTGTTTGATCTTCGAGTGGTACATTTAGATCGCGATACATTTGCGCTAATTCTTCATCATTGAGCATCTTATCATTGTCCGTGTCCCAAAAAAGAGCGAGATCTACAATTTAAATGTGTCAATTTAATTTTTTCAATTTTACAAATTTTTACGGTTTATTCGACCAGGTAATGGCCCTCTGCAAAGTGCGGACAAAGTGCATACGAGTTCTCGAAAATCGATTTGGCCATCCTTGTTTTCGTCGAAAACTCGAAATAGTCTCTCCGTGAAATCGGCAGGGAAGCAGTTTCCAAGAGCCATTTGCCATTTTTCGGCGGTCAATTTGCACACAATTCGATCCGAAATCGTTGCAAACACTTTTTCGAGTTCAATTACTTCATTCACAGACACTAAACAATTTAATTATTGGGATTTTAGAGAGGAAACTTACAATGCGTTACATACGACATAACTTCATAAAAAGATATGTAGGAATCGTTTAAAGGGATTGTCAACATTGGAGGTCGAAGACCCCAAGAAGAAAATTCTTTATATTCTTCGATAAATTCTGAAAAAAAAAACAATTATATTATAAGAAACTTGTGGAATAATAACTTGTTTGAACTTCCTCGACCCGGCATAAACCGACTAATGATGAAAGAAGATTGTCGAATGAGATTGTTTCTGCACCTTGTGAGAAAAACGAAAAAAGTCGTCGTCGGATGGTATCAGGTATATCGGCCCCACCGAGGACGTGATAGCAAAATTCCTTAAAACAATCGTACTTTCAATTTTCATTATTAATTGGGCATACCTCATAATTGATGTGCCCGTTCTTAAATCTGGAAAATGCGAGACTTATGCGGCGATATTCTTCGGGAGAAACTGAAAATTCGTTTTATTTTTAAGGTGAAATTCATGTTTCTTACTATACGATTTCGCATCTTCAATGCTAATTATAGGTGTAACCGCATTACCGCGGCCAGTAGTGTTTCCCATTCTAAGTGGTTTCAATATTCGATTTAGGGCATTCGCTGTAAATATTTTAAATAGAAAACATGTAAAGTTGAGTTTAAGAAAGAGCCCAATAACAATTGGAAAAGAAATTCGCCATAACGAAATTCCCATATGAGAATTAATTTGTTTCTGATGAGGCTATGAAACCACATGACTCGAAAATAATGAAAACCATGAATTTTTTAATTTTAATTTTTTTTAGTTAGAGTTGATTGAACGAATGATGAAATTATGAGAGCACCAGACCGTTAGACAGTATTTGCATAGCGACAAGTGCGCTCCAATGATAACATGATTTGGTTGAAATTCCAAATTCGAAATTTCCCTCGCCAAATGTTTTAAGACTTTTATTGTGTGCTGGAGCAATTCAAGTCGTCGAAAACATTACTTTCCGCATTAACATTATATATTTTTAGGTGTTATCATTATATATTTGTAATATGTAATTTTTTTGAAACATTTATTTTATTTATACATGCGTGGTTTATTTTGGATAAAATAGTTTCGAAACTTGATTTTTCCATAATTTTTTAGGACCGATGTTTGGTCAAAACAAAACGTTTGGATCGAGTTCATTTGGATCGACATCGACGACCGGCGGAAGTTTGTTCGGTAGCTCGAACCAGAACAAATCGAGCATTTTTGGTTCAAGCTCCGGAACAACTAACACCGGTGGCGGGCTCTTCGGAAGTGCTAATAAACCTGCTGGTTCCTTATTTGGTGGTAATACCCAACAATCAACAAGTATTTTCGGTTCGTTTATTTTTTTCTAACTAATTAAATAAAATGATTTTTAGGGTCTCCTCAACAGCAAAACACAGGATCATCGATTTTCGGTTCGAATCAAAATAAATCCATCTTCGGTTCATCTACTACAAACACGGGAAGTACATTGTTCGGAGGATCTTCATCTTCAACTAACACTGGCGGCTCAAGCTTGTTTGGCAATAGTTCAAATCAAACAACCGGGGGGCTCTTCGGCGGTGGATCGGTGGTCAATGGAACAACTATCAAATTTGAGCCACCTGTTGGTCAGGATACCATGATGAGGAATGGAAGTACACAAAGCATTTCAACTAAGCATATGTGCATCACTGCAATGAGCAAATATGATTCGAAAAGCATAGAAGAATTGAGAATCGAGGATTATATTGCAAATCGCAAGACTCCTGGATCAGGAACAACAACTGGCGGTGGTTTGTTCGGAGGAGCGTCGACTACGACTCAATCTGGAGGACTGTTCGGCTCCAACACTCCACAAAAGTCGTTATTCGGAAGCAGTAAGTTTTTAATTTATATTTTATTTACTAATCACTGTATTTAGCAAATACGGCCTCGCCTTTCGGATCGGGAAACAATAATGCAGGATCATCGATTTTTGGTAATACTAGCAACCAACAATCAGGATCACTATTTGGATCAAAACCGGCAACTGGCGGATTATTCGGATCGAATACTGGAACTTCAACTTTTGGACAAACCAATACTGGCGGCTCGTTATTTGGAAACACTCAGCAACAGTCAGGTGGAAGTCTTTTTGGAAATAATTCTCAGCCGCAGCAGCAGACGGGTTCTCTTTTTGGAAATACGTCGAATACTGGTACCAGTTTGTTCGGGGGACAACCTCAGCAGTCTGGGTTCAGCTTTGGTGGAAGTGGAACGGTAAGGATATGAGTATACTTAGTGGTAATTAAATAAACAATTTAAAGACTTTTGGACAACCTGCAGCTAGTAATGCCGGAACAAGTCTGTTCGGAAATACAAATACACAAGCCGCAGGTACTTCATTGTTTGGAAGCAAACCTGCAACATCAGGATTTGGATTTGGTATTACTGCTACGACAACTACAAATAATGCGTTTGGTAAGAAATCATTTAAAAAACTTTTAAAAATTTACGTCCACAGGTCAACCTGCCGCTTCGGGCAGTTTATTCGGATCAACGGCCACAAAACCAGGCGGACTCTTCGGAAATACGAATACTGGAACAACTGGAACATCTTTGTTCGGGTCGCAACCAGCAGCAAACACTGGTACCGGATTATTCGGATCGACCACACAGCCTGCAAATTCAATTGGCGGTTTTGGTTTAGGTGCTCAGCAACAGGTTGCTGTCGCTCAGCCACAGGTAGCTCCAGTTCCAGTCATCGGAGTTACTGCTGATGTTCTCCAAATGCAAGCGAACATGAAGTCGTTGCAATCCCAGTTGACAGCTGCACCATACGGTGATTCGCCTCTTCTAAAGTACAATGCGAGCTTAAATGAAGGGGAAACTGGAGATGCTGCAAGGTAATTATATAATTATGTGAAAATTCAGAACTCAAATAGTGTTTTCAGTGCCAAGAGACAAATCAGATTCCTTGCCGCGAAAAAGGCTGGAAGCGATGTTAAAGAAAAATCTTCGTTCATTTCAAATAGCATTAGCAAAGTAATGGGCGATCTGTCACCGGCTGTTAACAATAAGAAGTCGTCTGATGTTACCAACGATCTTAACTACACTTCAAAGGAAGCTCCGCCTACTCTTGGACGAGGTCTTCGCACGTCTGCCACAAATAATACTTCAATTATTGGAAATACCAGCCTCAATGATACAAGTGTTGTTAATAGGTTCGTATTCATTCTATAGTATTTAATATTTAGAATTTAATATTTAGAACTTTGGACACCGCTCTTGAAGCTTCGTTGAATGGTTCGTCAAACCGTCTTGGTGTCCGTGGCTCAGTGCGCAAATCGAACTTAAAACAATTGGATCTGTCCGTGCTTTCTGATGCTTCGAAATATACTCTGAATGTAGCGGCTGAGGCGAATGATCCTGATGCGCTTCCACTTTTGCAAAATTCTGCTAACAACGAGCCATCTGTTGAAACGTAACATTTTCGGTTTTTTTTTGCAAAATTTATAATTCATTTCAGACCTCAAAACCATCCGATTCGAAATGTCATCGAACGCCAACAAGATCGCGATCGTCAACCACCTGCGTTGAATCTTGATGAGACATCCGACGAGACTTCGATGAACAGATCTGCTATTACCACTTCAGCAACCTCTGTTGTTACAGCTCAGACATCGTTGAGTGACAATGATAAATCAATTTGCGGTGTTCGATTGACCAAGTCTGATTATTTCACAATCCCATCTATCGCGGAAATGCGCTCGCTTGTCAAGGACGGGGTTGTTGTAATTGAAGATGGTTTAACAATCGGAAGATCTTCATATGGAAGTGTGTTCTGGCCAGGAAGAATCGAGCTCAAAGATGTTGTTCTTGACGAGGTTAGTTATTATATTTAAAAATATTATTTTTAAACTCAATTTTCCAGATTGTCATTTTCCGTCACAAAGAAGTTACCGTTTACCCCAATGAAGATGAAAAACCGGAAGAAGGACAAGGATTAAACAAGCCAGCTGAAGTTACTCTCGAGCGCGTTTGGTATACTGACAAGAAGACGAAGAAAGAGATCCGCGATGTGGTTGAACTCGCTGAACGCGGATGGAGAGAGCACCTCGAACGTCAAACTATTCGTATGGGAGCGTCTTTCAAGGACTATCGTCCGGAAACTGGAAGTTGGGTGTTCCGTGTTGAACATTTCAGCAAATATGGATTGGCTGTAACAAGAAATGTCCATTTATGTTGTAATATATTCATGAATTTAAGGATGACGACGATGAGCCAATGGATGTTGCTCCACCATCCGAAAACCAACCACTTCAACCGGTAATTGCCAATATATAATAATTTAAAAAAAAAATTGTAAATGAATTCAGATTAATATGAACACTTCACCACGCGATGTTCAAAGCCAGGTTCAACGACAGCGTATTCGCAAAGTCGATAACAACCGCGAGGTCCGTTTTTAATTCTTTAGCTATTATTTTTTCTTTCATTTTTCTGGTTTTTCATCCGTTTTGATAAAAGAACTAACATCGAGCATTGTTATTGCTTTCAAAAGTTATTACCAATATCATTTCTCGATATTTTCTCTTTGTTTTTGTGCACTGTTTCTGTTTTCATGTTTCTTTTTTGAATAAATTTTGTGCTGAAATGAATTTGGTGAAATGATATTGGAAGTAACGAAAAGCTAAGGAAACAAAAATATATGTCAGTGTTCAGATTCAGTTGGATGTTTCCTCGCAGCAAATAGCATCGGATTCTGAAATCGCGGTACTTCCGCCACTGCCGCCTCGTGCGAATCATATTGGTCTTGGAGGAGGAATTGATCATGATGCTCAACAACTTGCAAATGTTACAATCGAATATCAAGTTGATGACGGAGAACAGCCAGAGAAGAAACCGAAAATTGAGATGTTGATTGATTTGGAATATGAGAGCAGCAAGTATTTGAAGCATATCCTCGATGTGAAGTCAATTCCGAAATGTGTTGAAGCTCAACATCGTTTTACTGGCGGAATTTCTGAGGTATTTTCAAAAAATTTTCTAGTTTTGATATTAACCAAAAATTTTAGACGAAAACTATTGGGTATAAGAAAAGCAAATATATCGACTTGGCTTTGGTGAAAGGAAGAAGCTGCCGCGTTGGATGGAGTGCAATGGGAACGATTGTGTGCTCTGCGCAACCAGAGGATAATCAAATTCTATGGGGAACCGTCGATAGAGGATCGGATGTTAAACAGGTGATTCTATCGATATTTGTGTGCATGTAAAACAATTTTCCAGGGAACCCTTCGTTCAATGCTTCTTACAACGATGATGCTTTCTGAATCGCGACGAAAGGGACCGCCGTCTACAGTCGGCGAGAATGAATATGAAAAGTTGTCATCGAATTTTATCGCTTACAACAGCAACTATGATGATCTTCTTGAAACTTACTACACAATCGCTTCCGAAGACGGCTATGAATCGCATCGCCTTGTTTGGAAATTGTGTTCGGCATTGTTCCCGAAGAGTCGCGATGGAGACTGGATGTTCCAGCGTGGAGAGAATGTTGCTGAATGGCTGCAAAGCATCACAAAAATCCATAAACGCAACGTGCCGAATAGCGATAAAGCTGGTAAAGTATGGCAAGAACTCACATTGGGCAACAAGATGGCTGCCTTCGAAATTGCGACTGAAGAGAACATGCTTAACCTTGCTTCGTCTATTTATGCATACAGCATTTGCCCGGAGACGACGGTTCACTGCTACCGAAAACAGATCGAGGTATGGCAAGAGAAGAATGTTCTTCATCATCTGGAACCGTCGCTACTCAAGTGCTATCTTGTGCTTGCTGGAATGTCGTACAAGGAATGGTTGGTGAACGGCAAGAAACACACTATCAACTGTTTGGAAGGACTTCATTGGACGCAAGCGCTAGGAATTCACATGTGGTACATTCGCGGATGGAAAGGTCTTGAAGACGCTTATGCCGAATATCGAGTTGATGTTGATGCGAAACGGGCACATTCGAACACTGGTGATTTGTACGGAGAACTTATCAAATTGGCCGTCGAATCTCAACATTCCGTCGAGGTTGTGCTTGACTGCGCTGCTGGAGAATCGCCGCATGATCACTTTCTTATGTAACAATAATTGTTTCATTAATAATTTTCGTTTCATTCTTTCTTTAGGTGGCATGTTTGGTGCATTTTGCACAACGTTGGTTATCGTACCATGAGCAAATCCGCGGAAACGCGGCTCCATCGGTCCTACGCGGCGCAACTTGAAAACGCTGACTTGGTCAAATATGCGATATTTGTTCTTCAGCACATTGAAAACGATTCGGAGTATGCTGCTGCTTTCGGATTTTGATTAAATGCTGTTTTGTTATTTTTCAGAAGAGCAGGCGCTGTTCAAGCGGTGTTAGAAAGAGTTGCAAGCAGTTCAACTTCGGAAAGTCTCGAAGAACTCATGATGGACTGTTTCATTCAACCAGAATGGATCGCAGATGCGCAGTATACGGCATTTAAGGTAGCTCTTTTTGTTGAAAGCCTGATGTTTAAGTGATTTGTGAATTTTTAGTCGTTGGACGATTCGGGACAATTGTTCGAACTTGCACTTCGGGCAAAGAATTTCAGAGAAGCTCAAAATTTGTTCGTAAATAGTGTCGCTCCGACAGCCATTGTTATCGGCGATTTCGAGACATTGAGAATTGCGTGCCGACTGTTGAAACCATACGAAAACTTGATACCAGAATGGGGTGCAAGAGGACAAATCTACTCGGAATTCTGCGATTTGCTCAGACTGACACAAAACGACGAAGCCGACGAAGATGTACAGAATAAGATTCGGAGTATTGAAAATCGGCTACATGCGCCAATTTTCAACACTTCTGTTCAAAAGTAAGAGGGATTTCATCAGAATGAATTTAAGTGGGTCCTTTTTTTTATAGAATCGCTCTGCAAACAATTGCCCGTCATCTGTTCGAATATCGCGTTGAAGCTGACGAAATTCCCGATTGGTCTCGTCTACTCGGACCACGCCAAACTCAGAAGATCCTTCGAGATATCGCGCCAGCAGCCAACGGCCATTTAACTATTGATTTTGATTGAAAAAATTGTGTTGTTGATTTATCATTATTTTTGTTGCGTTTTCCCCGAATCCTTCTCCTATCGTTTTGTTTATTTTGTTTTAGAATTCGGTGCAAACCCTCTTCAATGTTTTAACAGTATTTTACACATGTTTCCTTTCCTTAACTTCTCTTTCAATTAGCACTAAATTATAAACTGTTCTGAATTGAACTGACTTGATTTTCGAATGGCAGCAAAATGACTGAGTTTCAGATGCAAATTATTTTAGATCTTATTTTAGTTGTTTTTTCGCAGGCATCCGACAAAAAAAAAGAAAAAAAAAGCTCAGAAGCAGAAGCTTGAAAATGAGCGCGGAAACGTTCTGCAACACCCAATATTGTGATTCAAATATCGGCCCTAATTCGCAGAATGGTAATTCAAATTTGAATTACCGCCTTGTAAAAGTGCGATGGTCCACAATTATACAACGCGCTTGTTTTTTTAGGTCTCGACACGCAGTGTGCACGTTAAACCTATCCTTTCGGCCCGTAAATCTACACTTAGTTTTGCGCCGAAACCACCGCCATTGTTTTTTGGCAACAATAATTCTCTATTTGACAACACTGACAATTCAACCCTGGAGAAATTCCTGTTTTGCTACTTTCACGCCTTAGAACGAAGCAGCGGAAGCTATGAATTAGTTCAACAACATCAAATAAATAAAACAATAACATATAGCAGGTCACCCGCTTATACGGGGCGACTGCATCAAACAAAACAGAAATAAAATAGTGAAATAAGGAGTGCAAAGCGTACCAACAGCTGTCCATCATATTGATTGTTGTGGTTACTGAAATACATGCATTTTGCTGGAAAACTACATGATATATATGATTTTCTAATATAATTGATAATACGGATATTTCGTGTTTATAAAATGACAATGCAGTAAAAATTGAAAAAGAAAAAAAAAGAAAACAATGATTTTTGTCTTTAAATAAATTTTATTGAGTTGAAATTTTCTCCAGATTTTTCCTTTTTTAATTTAGTCTGCATTGCCCTGTGAGATTAATTAAAAGGCATTGTTAAATAATTAAAACTCGGCGACGAGTGACATTCAAAAAGAATCAAAATTTTGAAACGGTTTTTCTATTCAAAAACAAATTATCGCCGGTTTCAAATGACTGATTGATCGTTGACTGAATATTAAATGCGCGCCTTTCCAATTCGTTTCGAGTCGAGAATTAATCTTTTGGATTTCGATCAGTCATTTGAAGCCGACAGCAAATACATGAAGACTCACCGGATAATTGTAGAAAATTGGCAAATTAGACGCTGTGTGGGAAATATGAATCAAAACTGCAAATTAAAATTGGAATAACAACTTCAAATGTCTCTTTCATACCAGTGCTGTTGAAGTTGTCCTCAATTCGGGATGGATCAGCATCACAGAGAAGAGTTCATGAAATAAGGGTTATTATTTTGCTCTACTTTAATAGATATTTCAAATTTGTCGATAGCATTTTTTTGCCGGAATACAACAGTTTCGCAATTTGAGAGATTTTTCAAACCACACAACCGCCAGCGGACTTCCTCCTTTACAGTCGTCGGGCCCTTCGGACCACCGATGCGGAGCGTTTCTCGGCGCCGGGTGGTTTGACCGGCGACCGCGCTCGTGCGGGCTTAATAGTGACAAATTCGAGTAAACGAATTCGTCCTCGATGAGCGAATCACAAGATGCTTGCGATTGACTATCGAGTTATCACTGGCAGTTGTCCTCATCTCTATTTAATTGCGAACAATTTTAAAAAATATATAAAAGCTTACAAAATACATCAGAATTTAAAACGAAAACTCACCAAGGGAATTGGACGGACGGTACTGAACGCGAATTGAAATGAATGTGAGCTCATTGATTCGAAGCTCACGCAAAAAAAATATGTTACGCATAAATTTTATTTTATTAATTTTATAAAGGCTTTGCTTGTTAATTTTTTTTCATATTGATATTGATTTATATTTATTCATATTCATGCTCCTTTAATGAATACTGTAATTTTCAATGTATTTCGCACTATACCAAATTGAACTGCAAGACCAAGACGCCATGATTTTAATAATAGGAATCGTCCTCTTGCATTCGTCCATTCTTAAAGACAAACGAAAATGATATATGTTATCCTTGATCGCTTCAAAGTAATTAATGAAATGTTAACATCAATTTACAAGTACCAAAAAATTGTGGGAGACGATCCAGCGTGGTTTCACGGAAAATGATTTCTAGTTGACCGACGATTTTTTAAAATTATAAATATTTATATTTTTAAAATTATAATTATTTCCTCACTGATTTCAATGTATTCTTTTTCCAGACACAAATTATTCTTTTGTAGGCATTTTTCAAAAACATCATTTTTTAAAATTATTAGTTAAACTGAATTAGTCCAAAATGGTGAACATTATTGTGAAAACGAACACTTTTCGTATTGCTATTTTTCCCTTTATTCTTTTCATTTTTACAAGAAGAGTTTCGTAAATTTTGTCAATTTTTTCACCATCACTTTAAATATTCAAACGCGAGGAAAATATATTAAATAAAAAATGAAATGTCCGGCGTGTACGTTCTAATCGGATTTCGATCATTTCTTTGCAAAATCGCGGATTTGAGTTGTTTTACAATGAGCGATCTGGAAGTTTCAACGGTGGGTGTCGAAAGCCGCAAAAGATTCGAATCTTCGATGGGTCACTTCGATAGCCATCAAAAATGCGCCGATTTGTGTTTTCGCTTTTCCCTGTTTTTGTTTGACTCCCAATTCAATTGTTTATTTTTTTTAAAGATTTTTATTTCAGGCTCATTCGGTTAGCAATTCCGAATTACTGTAAGTTTGAATCAAATCCAAAATGTCTGAAGAGATTCAAATATTTTATAGAAAGATACTGGAAAATAGTAAAACTGCTGTTGACATTGAAGAATTTGATTTAGGTTTTAAACTTCGAATTTGTTGAAAAATCTTATCCAAAGTTAGAAGAAAATGATTTTCAGAAGAAATGGGTAAACGGGCAGCAAAAGCTCGTCGACGGGCGGCCCGTTTGGCAGCAGCAGAGCAACAACAGCAAGTCTCATCAAAATTATCATCTGAAACTGATTGTGAAGTATTTTAAATGTTCAAACAATCTATATAGATCGTTGTGTATTTCAGATTCCAACGAGTAACACAAAATCGCGATCCTCACGAATTCCAGTTCTCAAGAAAGGTTTAATAATTTTCGTCACAGAATTGTCTGACACCATTTATGGTTAGGATCGGCAGCTTCAAACTATTCCCCAAAGAATATCGAAGGAGGGAGTCCTTCGAAAATTCCGAGACCCGTAAATGTTATCTATATGGAACGAACTTCGGGCTCTACAATGACTTCGAGCGATTCGGATTCGATTGAAAGCGTCACCGGAGATGAATTGGTACGTTTCTCGTCAAATTTGGGCAATTCTCAAACCAACAATTGGCTGTGCTCAAAATGATTTGCAGTCGATTCAAACGTCTGAAATGGTGTCGGGAAATGAGGCTGGGTTAACGTGTCGTGATTGGGTGCCGCCCATTCAAAAATGTTTCATATCGACAGTACTTGATGCGTAGAAATGACGATCACATTGAAATATTGTAGACATCGGAAGCAGTGACGCCAAAAATCAAGCCGGTCGAGATGTCAAACGGCGAGAATCTACGGATTATCGCGGAATCGAATGGAGTCGAGGTTGAACTCGATATGAACGCGATGGTTGGTGGAATGAATGTCGAAATTGCCGGAATTAAAATCGCCTAATTTTTTCGTTTTATAAATTTTCCCATTTTTTTTTGGTCAACGAAATATATATATATATATATAGAGAGAAATTGCGTATATCACCCAAATCAATGTTATCATATGCCTATCCGCACATTCATAAAATACAATTAAAACGTATCCGATGGGATTCGTCGCTCATCCGCCTCCGAATCGCACTGTTAATATTGGTATCCGCGCGGCTGCGGAGGCGGCAAGGTCGGAATAATGTTGTCTTCCTCCTTACTACCTATTCTGTTCATTCGCCAACCGTCATTTATGCAATTACTATAATGCTATGTTAAACGTCGGACGGCCGAAATTCGGCCCCACACAAGTCGATGTTCACTTTCGACGCCAAATTAATTCGCAACACCCATTGTTTTGTAATTCTTCCCCCCCCCCTTCAATTTTTGCCATCAACGCTTCACCTTTATTTTTGAATTCAATTCGATGGATGGTCAACCGGTGATAACAAGTTTTTATTTGCTGCCAGTTGCTGAAACAATTTATGATCGTCGTCGGTTGTCGCTCATTATCTTGTCACGAATTTTCGTACATGTATTACACTAATTTTGAACGTCATTCGAAAGGAATTCTCTCGATTTCTTGATTGATAAATTGCTCTCTGATTGATCAATTGAATTCATGAGAATTGTATTCAGTTGTTCGTTTTCCTTCAAGAGAATGCCAAATTAAGCGAAGAATGTTGTTGCTAATTTAAGGAAAATCACGCTGGTCAAACAATGCATTTTTCTTTTCGATTGAATCACATTTTGCGGCTTTCTGAATGTTTTTATCTGAAAATTGAATCAGTCATTATGTTAAAAGAATGTCAGTATTTTTTTATAATTCTAAAAGCTGTTTTAGAATTTCAGCACCGACGCTTAGGACTCTCATTTCAAATAGTCTGCTTTTGCCATTTTGAGTGTATGTTTTCACTTTTCAGTTTCTTTGAATCATGCTGAGGATAGAATTTTGACTTATTTGCTTTGGGTGTTAGCTTTCACACAATCTCGTTTTGTCTACCAAGACACTTAATTGATATGCTCCTTTAGAGCTGCAAGTTTCCCCTTTTTCGGAATTCAAAAAACATTCAGATTAATTAACCATGTCGCAAATTGAATAAATTACTACAGAAGCCAAAAAAAAAATCGTTGACTAGCTGGGTGCCGTCCGAGGGTTTCCGAGTGTTAACCGGGTGTGTCCAGTCAGTCAGCTCGTAACCGGTATTCGGACACCCCCACGAATCCACCCAAAAATCGCTCGAACGACATTATTACCGCTTTCTTCCTTTTATGTTGCCATCCGTTCTCATTTTTCATCTTGCCGTTCTTCTTCTTCTTCTTCTTCATCATCTGTGTACTTCTTCTTCCTATTCGCCATTTTCCTGTGGAATTGTCTTTCGCTGCCGGAATGCCATCCATCCGAATCGAATCGAATTGAATTCTTCCTCGCCGTGCCGTCCATCAGAAACACCCTTGTAATCGATGTCTGTCGAAAATGTAATTCGCCCTCGCCATTCGTCTTGATATATCGTTGATGGGCATTCGGAGACTGAATTGCCAAGTGTCTTAGCATATCAAAAGTGTTTGAATAGAATTGAAATGAACAAGGCATGCCAACAAAAACACATAACGGATCATTGCTTAATTCTATTCTTCTTCCTCCCCCCTTCCTCTCAATTTCCCCCTCCTCCTCCTCCTCCCGCGCGCTCTTCTGATTGTTGCGAGTATCCTACTTGAATTTTGTTTTCTATTTCGATTTGACAAAAAAGCGAAAATAAATTTCCTCTAATAAGTGTTTCAAAGATATTTGTATTTCAATTCAATTTATAAAAAATAGGTCTTGAAATTCATTTTTTTAATCTCATTAAAGTATTGTATTGTCGAAGTCGGAAAATTGGATAAATGCCAAAACCAAATCATTTGGTATTGGCGCAAACCTAAAAGTGTAGATTTATGCATACCGATAGGTTAAAGGCGCACACCACGTGTCGAGACCTCTTTTTTAATTTTTTGGCATTAAGCCAATTTTGCCGCAATCGCGCGACGTCGACAATTCATAGTAATTTGGTCGAAATCATTTTTTTTAAAGAAGCGAATTTTTATTTTTTTTAAAGAAACGAATTTCGTCGGCAATTTGATTTGAAATGCTCCAGAATTTCAAAAAAAAAAAACACCCCGAAAATTTCAAAGTCAAACTCATTTTGTACAAAAAATGTCGACAGATGAACAACATTTTTTAAATATTTTAAACAAATTTGACCGTAGAAAATACTTCTAAGTAAATAATAATAAATAGTATAAACGGTATAAATGCGACAGACTCGAAACTCATTCGTTTCCTCCTCAATTGAATGTGTTTTTTTTTTTCTGCTGTCAAACAGGTTCACGATCTCTTTTCCGTTCGGATATTCCGTGTCAATTCGGTTCTTTTTTTTCAAATTCCCGGCCGTCACTTAAATATGAAGCCAATAAACGTTGGCAGGCAGCAGATTTTCGAGATTCTCTCAGGTTTTTCGAGCGATTAATTCTTCCCCTCGCCCTAGCTTTTTGACATTAATCATTTTTGAATTGTTGCCATCTTCGCGCCGATTTATTGTGACCAACAAAAAAAATTTTGTGCTTAACTTTTTTTTGTAATGAAGCTCACCCATTTTTTATATCCAGTCTTATAGAAATTAAATTCTCAATTGACTTATTAAAATAGAATTGAAATATTTTGAATAAAAAAATGAATTCAAAAAATATTCCCAAAAGTGTTACATTATGTCACACTCTTCTGATCATTCGAATGGGCGTGGCCTAGTTTGATATGTTTCGATTTTCCGTTTTGTATAGAATAAGATTTCATATGTTCTAATGTAGCAAGTCAGCTATTTTGGCGGCAATTCAAACCTTCTTCTCATTTCAAACAAATTTTCGACTTTTGGTGGTATCTTTAAAGTAAAACTGGCATTCATTCTAAACAACGGAATGAATAAATGATATATAGAATGGTCCAGTTAAACAAAGTAATTTGAGCCAAAAAGATACAAAATTTGAAATATTGGACAAATATCATTAAATTATAAAAAATTGAGAATCTTTCTGGATTCATCTCTTTATATTTGTAGCGGCTCTCTGTTGAACTTCCTCATTTTTTTTTTCAAATATTCACTTCCCAAAATCTGCCAGTTTTTTGCCAGTTTTTCCCTGCCTATGAGAATCCTCTCAAAAAAAAAATGTTAGCGATTGCGCAACTTCCGAAACGAAAGTCTCCGACAGACAGACGGCATAGGTCGTTTTGTTATTGGTATGATATGATAGCCGATAAGCGATATTCCAGTCGGAAGGTGTGCCCCCCTTCATACGAATCCGATTCGCTATTCTTACCATCCGCATTTCACTGCGTCTCTTCGTCTCGAACGCTCACTCGTCGAAACGAACGAAAGTTTCGCGCGGCGGTTTTTTTCGAGCTTGTTTTTTGTGTTGCAATTGGTCGTTTGCATGTGTGTTGATAAATATGACATAATAGTTGAAAGAAGAAACACGCCTAATTGGACCGATTCTCATCATCGCACTTTTTTTTGCTGTTGCTTCAATGATACATATTGGCAATTATAAGAACATCGTCTCATTTATCATCTCAAACAACGAAAAATACTCATCGGTACCGGTCCATTGGCCATATATTGATAGAGATACACCAATAGATTATCAATTGAATTTACACCTGATCATGGGATGTCATTATTACACCATAATTGGTTGACCAGAATGTGTAATGATGTTTAGCGAAATATTGAGAGGATGAAAAACGACAAAGAAAACAGATAGATTCTGGAATGGTCGCGCATAAATCTGAAAAAATAATGGGGGGTTTTGCGATGATTTTTTTCTAATGTAATCGGGAAGGAATTAAGTGATAAAAGAACAATAGGAAAACTGTAAAAAGAAGGTATTTTGTAAAAAAAAAACAACAATCGACAATTCGCGCGTGATTTTGCCTATATTGTTTTCCAGAAGATCAGACAGATTGAATTTGCAGCCTCAAAGACATTTTCTGTCATATTGAGTTTTGAATAAATTGCATAAATTGCAATTGCAGTACAAATCAAAGAGTCCATTAGTTTCTCATGCCATCCAAATCTGACTCAATTAGGGACCTCCTATAAATATATTATTCAACTAAATCTTCCCAGAAGCCCCGTCATTTCTTTGTCTTGATTCATCAGCATTTCGGGAAAAATCTTCAAGTTGAAACAAAACATATCTTCGAACAGTTTGGCATTCAAGGAATAATTTAAGATCGTAAATCAATGTCGCGTTACTTAGATAGTTCTCCATCGTTGAACATTGTTATTCTTTGTGTTCTTACATCTGAATATCCTGCATCCACGTTCGTTTTCAGATCACCGATCATATTTGCTGAAATGCAAAATGTATACATTGTTGTCCGTTTTAGCATTAAACAATTCACAAGCTGAAAATGTTACAACTTTAATTCAATCTCCACATTATTCGTCAGGTCAATGCACTAATGTTATTTTTGTTGCATTCATTCATTTATTCAATCGCTGGGTTGCGACGGCGCGTGTTTCATCGAATTCCTCGCGTCAATCCTTCTCCCAAATTGGCATTATCAGTTTCGCTTTCTTCTCACACAAACATGCCGACGTCGTCGTCCTTCTCCATCGCCTCCAACGTCTTCCTACTGTCAGTCAGTTTTTTGATGCCGCTGATTCAAAAAGGGCGTGTTCACCAGACGAAATAGTATTGCTGGAGGGGGTCGGCAACCAGCGAATCAATTATACTCACAAATCATCATCATCGTGCTACCGTTTTTGGGCATGCCCATTTTCGCGCCACCCGAACACCATTCGGTTTTCGATTTCTTCCAGTTGACACCACCCGGTTTGCTCTACTGTAAGGACCACCTAGTGGTTTGGGGGGTCCGTCCGCTGGGTTGGCTACTTGTGAGTGGGGCCCATTTTTGTTTTAGGAAATTGAAACATGCGCAAACTGGAATATCGTTGGAATTGACGGCGAGAGGTAATTTCGTCGCTCCGACATTACTAATAACTTTTTGCTTTTCATTTTCATTTCACTTGTCTACAAATTTCACTTTTGCGTTTACTTGTTATAATTTCTCCGCGATTATAATAGCAAAACATATTTTTGCAAATATTTTTTTTTGTTCAATCGACCTTTTGACATTCGAAATCAAATTTATTTATTTATTTTTGTAATAATTTTCAAGTTGGTTTTATCTTTTCTCAAAAAAAAAATACGATCAATTGATGTGAACTCCTCTGTCTTGGTGATCGGTAAACCGGTAGACTGCCATTGTTTGACTTCATCCTTCAACACCCATCCACCAACATCATCATAATGATGATGATTATTATTATCCTTGTTCTTTTCCTTTTCGTTGATATTCTATTCTTTTTAACATCGAGAATCCAATATGCGTAGACGCATAATGACGACGACGTTGACGAGGAAGAAGGAGTAGAAGAAGGCGAAGAAGAAGAAGAAGCAGGTCTGACGAAACGGATAAATTATGCGGAATGTGATATCATTCCTGCCAAAACGTACAACAAAAGAGACGATTTTTGACGGGCCAAAGTGTGTGTGTGGGAGGGGGTTTGGTTGGGGATGACCTTCAGCAATCACTCCTCGATTTATATTTACTAGACAGTATCAGTTTAGGTGTGGCACTTTTCCGATTTTTGTTTTGTTCTTCTTCTCTTCTCATTATTCGCTTTCTGTTCACAGCGATCACGTCGGATTTCGATTCTCGTTTTTGCAGGAGTCGATTCTCGATCAGCATGCGGTTAGCGGCCTTTGTGCTTCTGCCGGTGCTCGCACTCGCCGGTTCGACGTACAATCATAGGAATACTTACGGTGAGTCTTTTCATTTTTTTTCTACAATTAGGAAATTGCATTTAGAAAAATAAATTGTAAAATTATCCAAAAAAAAAGATATCTACCGTACCCACTCTCTGCGAGACCCAGACATTTATTCGACTCAAGAAATTGTGTGTGGAAACGACGGAAATAAAGTTTCTTTTTCGGAAAACGCCGACGGCGAAAATAGTGTGTGATTTTAAGAGACGGAGACATTTTTTGTTGTTTTGTCTTTCAAACAGTTTCTCTTGAATTCCTTATCTTTTTTTCAAAGTGTTTCGTTTGTTGTCGAATGATTTAACCGAAATTTGGCCATAAAAGGAAACGCAAAAGCGATTAGCATGTGTGTTTTCCGCAAACAACTAGTTAGTGATTGCGCAATCGGACCCCCCCCCTCCCTTTTGCACGACCTTTTGATCGAACGGTGTAATATTCCATTAAGCTTTCATTCCGCCGTCAATCGCTTCTTATGTGCCCAATCACGCATTCATTATCGTGCCCCATAAGAACGCCAGGGCGTGGCTCTAGAAAGAGAAAAATGGGATCGGACACACCCCGACCTTGCCAATCGAATAGGTTATTGGAACCAAATAGTAGTGGACAGAAATCAACGTGAAGATGACGCATTAAATGAAGAAAAATCGAAAGATTGAATACATCTATACTCAAATAAGACATTTCAGCTAGCCTACAATGTCGAGTAAACGATCCTCTATCATGCGATCAATCTAAAAGCGAGGTTCGAAATGACAAAAATGAATGTTTTCATAATAATTCCGAAAATTTCCTAGGTGTGCGTTTTCGTCAACGGCCAATATCGATGCGAATGTCCGGTTGGAGTTTCAAGGCTCTCCGATGGAAGGTGTCTTCAGGTCAACGAGTGCGCGAGACCTTCCTTAAATGGATGCCATAAGGATGCGTCATGTATCGACCTGGTAATTGCTTGTTTTCGTATCGAATGCGAAAATCGAAACAATTTGTCCAATAATAAATTTTTTTGGGAGATGGGAAGAAATCAATGAAAAAAAAATCACAAATCATTCGCTCGATAAGAATAACTGGTTTTCAGGCTGAAGGGTACACCTGCCGATGTCATGCCGGATTCGCCGACGTCTCCCCTGATAAGGTCAACAAGCCGGGACGAATGTGTCAGAAAACGGCCAATGAGTGTGGAAATAAGCAAACGTAATACATCGTAATAGAATATTCAAAACTTGATCGAATGGTGAAACTCATCAACGAGCATTTGTCGGCGTCCGGCGACTGCTGCGCGCGGGTAGATTTACGCACATGCGCCTTCCATATGATCTCGCACAGACTAACTGACTGATTTAAAAAAAATATCAGTGATATAAAGAATTTAAGGAAATGATATACTCATCTAGGAATGTTTTTAAAATAAACTTACACGTGCCGGACGCCGAATATAGCGAATTATATTTATCAGACTTTCGACTTTACGCAATCCCAACTGAAAATGTTTACTTTTTCTTCTCAAGAATTTCATTGAAAATCTACTATCTAGTTTGAAATTCTCATGAAATTGTTTTCAGCTATGGCGTTGATTGCGACGAGAATGCCGCTTGCGTCGACACTCCAGAAGGATTCCAATGCGTCTGCCAGCCAGGATTCGTCGACGTTTCCACGTCAATCAGTAAACTTCCGGGAAGAAAGTGCGTTGAAGCTGTCAACGAATGCGCCAACGGAAAAGCTGATTGCTCGACTAATGCGGATTGTTTCGATCGCGCCGACGGCTATGAGTGCAAATGTCGGCCAGGATTTGTCGACGCTTCACCAAATGTGGACAAGTATCCAGGAAGAGTGTGCAATAGACCAAAGTCTCCGGAATACTACGGACACCAAAGCAGGCAGCCGCAATGCTCGGGACCGGAGAGTTGCGGACCAAATGAGGAGTGCCGATTCAATACTGCTGGCGAGAAGGTCTGCCAGTGCCGACGCGGATCCGTTCAACAATCGAATGGAGTTTGCAAAGGTAAAACCAATTGAGACATGCAAGAAGCATTCATTTTTAATTCAGTGTTCTCCCAGTGCGAGCAGAGCAACGAATGTGATCGTAATGCCTATTGCTCGAACACTTATGATGGGGCAAAATGCCAATGCAAATCTGGATACATCGACGTCTCCCCAGATCCCGTCAGACTTCCGGGACGAAAGTGCCAACAAGGTATGGGAAACATCATTTCGAAGGCAGCTTCAACTTGAAAGATTATAGTGAAGAACGAGTGCGCTGATGGATCACATGACTGCTCGCCGAATGCGAATTGCGAGGACACTCCGACCGGCTACATTTGCACATGCAAATCTGGATGCATTGATGTCTCATCGAGATATAATCAGCCACCAGGAAGAAAGTGCAGCGAAGGTTTGATCTGAAATTTTTTGTGATTGAAACAATTCTTTGAAACTTCAACTTGTTCAGAGCATATTTGGAAAGGTAAGTGATTTTTCAAATCGAATGAATCGTTGCTTGAAAAGATGAAGAATGCTTTTGGTTTTTAATCGGACATACGAATTCAAAGCTTAAAAAATGAATTGAAATTTTCTTGCTAAGAAATGCCGCATCCGCTTTGCATGATTAGCTTTTGAATTTCATTCGACTCCCTGAATACCAAACTTTTCAGCCGCCAATCAATGTTCGGACAAGTCGCTCAACAGCTGCGATGCCAACGCCGATTGTGTCCAATTGCCCGACGGCTACACTTGCAAATGCTTCGCCGGATACGCCGACGTCTCCTCGAATGCCAACCTTCCACCAGGCAGAGTTTGCACACTATCCACTGCTTGTCCAGCTCAGCCAACTGATCTTGTGTTCCTAATCGATGGATCAGGATCTATTGGATCTTATGTTTTCCAGACTGAAGTATCGAATTTATTTGGTTTTTTTTAATAGCTATATACACACAGGTCCTTCGATTCCTCGCTGAGTTCACTGAACTATTCGACATTGCTCCACAGAAAACTCGCGTCTCAGTTGTTCAGTATTCTGACCAAATTCGCCACGAGTTCGGTCTCGACAACTATTCTGATAGAAAATTACTTCAGAATGCTATTCACAACATCGAGTAGGAATATATTTGCAGAAGCGAATTAAAATCGAATCGCTTTTTAGATATCTCACTGGTCTCACTCGCACTGGTGCCGCTATTGAGCACGTCGCCAATGAGGCATTCAGCGAGAGGCGTGGAGCTCGTCCAGTTGGAGAAGTCAGTCGTGTCGCCATCGTCATCACCGACGGAAGAAGTCAAGACAATGTCACGAGACCAGCCGACAATGCTCGTCGCCAAGACATTCAGCTGTTTGCTGTCGGAGTTACCAATCACGCTTTGGATGCTGAACTCGAAGAGGTGAAAATCAAACCAATTATGGCTTTCTTAGTCTAGAAATTTCAGATCTCCGGATCAAAGGATCGCACTTTCCACGTTTCTGGATTCGAAGACTTGAACACTCGCCTTCGAAGTGCTATTCAGCGTGTCGCTTGTCCAAATCAAGGAAACGAAGACACCTACAACAAAGGACCATGTGATCCAAGCAACCACAATGGATGCGACCGTTCGCTCAATCAAGTTTGCATGCTCAAGAACGGAAAATTCGTGTGCTCGTGCCCGCCAGGATTTGACATTCATCCGGTCACCAAAGTCTGCGGAGGCGACATTTGCAATCCGGAAATCGCGACGTCGTGCCCTGATCCAGAAATTTGCGAGAAGACTCCATTCGGAAATTGGCGTTGCACATGCCCAGCCGATTTGGGTTGGAGAGACCGTCTGACTGGTGTTTGCAGTAAGTCGATGAACCGATCGATGTCGTTTAACACGCTTTTTAGAAATTGGCGAGAAGCCAGCCGAGCCAGCACACTCGACAGACGAATGCCATCCGAACGATGTCAACAGTTGTCCGCCAAACGCGAAATGCGAACGCGGAGCAGGCGGAGAATTCATTTGCAAATGTGATGATGGATTTGTGCGAAATGGCCGAACGAATAAGTGCGAAGCTCCGGGAACCTGCGATCCACGCATTCCGGATTCTTGCGATGCCCGAAAGAAGGAGAAGTGTCTTCCTGATGGACGCGGAGCATTCTCGTGCCAATGCGATCGTCACCACAAACGACATCCCGTCACTGAAATCTGTCTGATTGACGAATGCGCTGCTGGAATTCATGACTGCGATCCGAACGCTCACTGTACTGATACGGACGAGTCGTACCTCTGTGCTTGTAATCAAGGATTCCTTGACAAGTCGCCAGAACAAAACAAGAAGCCAGGAAGACTCTGCTCAAAACGTATAATAGATCTGTGAAAGGAATGGATTAATTGGCAAATTTCAGAGCGCAACGAGTGCCTTGACAATTCTCACAACTGCTCAATTAATGCTGATTGTATTGATCTACCTGACGGTTTCCTTTGCAGGCACACGAAGCATCATTAATTCAGTTCCAATAATAATCGTTCAGATGTCGCGAAGACTTTGTTGACATCTCGCCAAACCCGAACGCTTTTGGTGGAATCGACTGTCGCGCTCTCGTCAACGAATGCTTGATCCCCGGAGGTCATACTTGTCACGAGCACGCGATTTGTATCGACACCCGTGACTCGTACAAATGCCAGTGCAAGGAAGGATATGTTGATCACAACGAGCTCAGAAATCCAGGAAGAGATTGCCGCAAGAGTATCGATTTTGTCTATTTTTTGTCAGAAGTTAGCTTCTTTTTTTTTTACAGTGAACCAGATTTGCGAGAGCGGAAAACATGATTGCGACAAGAACGCGAGATGTGTTGAGAAGGGCGCCAACGACTACGAATGCGTTTGCAATGCTGGATTCATTGATCGAAGTCCTTTGATGCATCGGCCTGGACGCAAGTGCGTTGAGCCGATCTGCTCCGATGACACCAAGCATGATTGTCACTCGGCTGCTATCTGTGAGGAGGACGACTCAGTTGCCGAGAAATACACGTGCAAATGCCGTGACGGTTACATCGATGTTGGAAACGGCGGAAAGAAAGGAAGGGAATGCAAGGAGCTTGTTAACGAATGTCTCGACGCTTCTCTTAACTCGTGCGATCCTGCGGCAACCTGCATTGATCTTGATGATGGATACACTTGCAAGTGTCCACTTGGTTCGAAAGACGAGTCGCCAGATGCAAAACTTCCTGGAAGGAGCTGCAAGGGACTCGTGAATGAATGCAACATTCCACACTTGAACAATTGCTCGAACTTTGCGACATGCATTGATCTCGAGGAGGGCTACGAATGCAAGTGCAAACCAGAGTATTACGATCAGGATCCATCGCATCCAGGAACCAAATGCAAATTCAGTAAGCATCTCGGCTAAAACAAATTATAACCGAATTGACTATTAAGTTATCAACGAATGCCTTGTTGAAAACCTGAACGACTGCAGTGTCAACGCCGAATGCATTGATAAGATCGATGGATATGAGTGCAAGTGCAAGGCACCATTTATGGATGAAATGCCGAGCAATCCTGGACGAGTGTGCAGGTGTGCTCCGAATTTCTCATTGTTTAACTAATTTGATTGATGCCAGATTTAACGAATGCCTCAACAAGAAGGACAACGATTGCGATCAAAATGCTATTTGCACTGACACTGAGGATTCTTACGTGTGCCAGTGCAAGGAAGGATTCTTCGACGAGATTTCTGATCCAAAGAAACCTGGAAGAGTTTGCATCGGTGAGTTCGGTGGCTCAATCTCAAGAAAATATTAACCGTCTGGAATATGTATTGCTTGGTAACCATTCATGGCAGAGTGTTACACTGGCACCTCTAAATCAGAACTTTTCTATGTTGCGAGTAATCGTTAAGAAGTAGGTCTCGTCATCGAACCACAAGTCCACGCCGATGATCAGACGACCGCCAATCCGAACTTGGTTCCATGCGGAAATGGACACTGTCGAATTGATCTTGGCGAAGTTTGTGTTGGAGGATCGACGTGTATGTGTCGACCGGGAGAGAGCAGAAACGGAAAAGACGAGAAATGTGTTCCAGTGACATCTGTAAGCAGTGCTCAAATTGCTGTGACTCATTTGATTATATTCAGGTTCCATTGGTTGTCCGGGTTTTGGAATACGACAATGAGCCAATTCAATACTCCACTGATTACTCGAAACCAGAAAGCCCACGACATGTCGAGATTGTTGAAAATGTCAAGAACGGAATTGGAAAGGTTCTCGGGAAGACCGACTTTGCTCCACGATACGTCACCACGGATGTCAACTACGTTACCAATCCAAAGGTGCAGAACAGCGATTGGGATAAGGGACTTCTCGTCAACTCAACGGCGCGACTTGCCGGAAACCAGGAGATCGACAAATGCCGATTGTATGAAGAATTCGCCGATGTCGTCAAGAGCATGGGAGGACGTGTTGAACGCATCAAATTGTCTGATGATGCTGAACTCGACCCATGCCGAAAGGAGGAGGAGCAAAAGGGAATCCCATGCGGCGACACATTCTGCTCTATTGAACTTGGAGAGGAGTGCATTGCTGGCAAGATCTGCGGATGTCCGAAGGGACAGAAGAGAAAGGATGCGACTAGCCCATGCCGATCTGTCGAGTCTTGGAATCTGCCGTTGTACGTTGTGAGAGATGGACATGACAAGATCACTTACTCTCCAAATCTCGCTAATCCTTTGAACGATCATTATAAGGATCTGGTTTCGAGATTCGAGTCCGGAGTTGCTCAGAGTTACGATAAGACTCCATTAAACAAAGGATTTGTGACCGCTGAAGTCAATGAAATCGAAAATCCCGAAAATAGAAAGAAGGTAATACAATACTTTTTTAATATTTGAAAGAAAGATGTACAACTATTCATTTACAGTCCTGGGATACTGGAATTCTCTACAACTTCACTTCCCACTTTGTTCGTGGAAGTGTTGCCGAACCATCGACAGTATTCACTGATCTTATCGATTACATCCAGAAGCACAACAACTTCGAAGTTGGAAAATCCAAGCTGTTCATATCACCAGAGCAGCTCAATCCATTCTCGAACTGCTATCACTCGGATTGTCATCCAGATGCGATTTGCAAAGAAGTCGGAAAAGGATACACGTCAGATAGTGACAATTTGAGCATATAAAATAATGTTTTAATTTAGGTGCTCTTGCCCAGACGGATTCCGTGATTTGAATCCATCCCGTCCAGGACGTAACTGTCTCTCTTACCGAGGGGTTAACGAATGCGAGAAGCCCGAACTCAACGAATGCTCGCCACATGCGAGATGCATCGACTTAGACTATTTGTATAAATGCGAATGCATCAAACCATACGTGAACTCCGCTCGTGGAGAGGAGCTGCCAGGATCAGTGTGCTCGATCGACTACTGCTCTGATGTCAACTATTGCCCACTCAACACAACATGTGTCAACGTCGACGAGCAAGCTCGGTGCGACTGCAAACCAGGATTTGAGGATCTTCGCAAATCGGATCACCTGTCGGAGGCTGGTCTCGGCGAGGCGATCTGCATGAGACTCACTGATGTCGACGAATGCGCTCTTGGACTTCACAACTGCAGTGCCGCTGCGATTTGCATTGACAAGAAGATCGGTTACGAATGCAGATGTCAAGACGGATACGATGATGGAAACGTCGAAATGCCGGGACGAATTTGCGCCGCTTCTCTTTGCGGTCTATGCAACGGACATGGAGACTGCATCCATGACTCGCTTTCGTCGAATGTTACCTGCGCCTGTCTTGACGGATACACCGGACAATTCTGCGAGACGGCCCCATCGAACGCGGGACTCATTCTCATGACAATTCTTGCGCTTCTCTTCCTCCTTCTCACACTCCTCTGCTGCCTCTACATGTGCGCTAGATGCCGCTGCTTCGGAGCCCGGGGACACAGTGAAGGATCAGCTAGTGGTCAGGAAATATTAGGTTCAGATTATATACCAATTCCAAGAGCCAAGCTCGCTAGATCGTTGTATGCGGTATGTTTGAAAAGTTTTCTACACAATTGAAACCAACTCGCAATTTCTAGGAGCCAATGGCTGACGACAACGCAGGCGCCCTCGCTGGTTACCTTGACGACGGAATCTCAATGTCATCCGACGGATCGCTCGAGGAGATCGAAAGACGTGTGACAACTGACGTCACCACTCGCGAAGTTCGCACCACCGTCGTGCGTGATGAGGAAGGCAACATCATCAGCCAAAGTCAGACGGTGTCGCATGGACCGGCTGAAACCGAGACCGAGCAATACGGAATGGTTTCTTCGGACCATTACAAGGCATCGGCCTCTCAGGCAATGGATGCAGCAATGGCCGCCGGAAATAGTGGGCATTCAAGTGTCCACCATCAATCACACTCGAGATTCGAGGTAACGCAAAAAAAAATGAATGGAACAATGTAGAAGTGTTTAATACTTGATTTAGAATGCGGGTTATGATTCGGACTCATCCGGAGACACAGACGCAGGACACGCCGTGTACGACAGAACGACACGAACGAACACAGTATCAGCACATTTGATTGAACGATTCGTTAAATTGAATACGTTTCAGTCCCACGACTTCGAGCCGGGAACCGACCCACGGACTGGTGTCGAGCGATCGAGACGCGAGTTCGTCACACAGACCAAAGCCGAAGAAGTCAACTATTTCTAAATAATAGCAATATATATATGTCACTAATTAATTTTCGCCCGTTCACACTTTCTCCTCGGTGCCTGACCTTATTTCATTCGAAACACTGCTCAATATGGTTGAATTGCCACAAATCATGTGTATATAAGTAACAGGGATTGATGCTCTGGCAACTCATTTGAGATTGTGATTAGAATTTGTTTTGTCTAATTATTTCATCTCATTCATTTTCCTCTGATCAAATTTCAAACGAATTGCCATTGTGTTAATACGATATCATAATAGAAGACCCATAGAATACGAAGTACGCTAGTGTGTCCCAACCCTTTCTTGTTTTTCCCCTCCCCAATTTTCTAACCTGAAAAGCTCAAAAATGTGGCCCAAACATCGTTTAGACCAATCTCAGAAAAATATATTCATTTGCTTGCAATCGATTCAATTTCTATGTATTATTTGCATTCTCTGTTTTATTCTTTCGTTCTTGCCAACTAACTGCCATTCAAAATGTTCATTTTCCCACTATTTATAAACAAACTCTTCTACCTATATTTGTAATGGTTTTTTTTTTGGAAAAATTTAGTTTACTGCGGAAGCTGAGAATCGTCTGGTTCCCAGTCTTCGGCCGTTCGATCACGTTACTCAATTCAAAAACAATTTGAATTTTCAGATGGGCCATAACTCGCCTGAAACCCCCCAGTGCAGGCTGGAATTTTGTGAACACACTCAAAAGACTTTCTAGTTTACGTGTGCAAAATTACAAAAAATCCTAAGACGGGAGGTAAAATGACTTCCCTTGTGGGAACTTTGGAGAAGAATCGTCTCGACAAACCGAGCACGAAGTACTCTTCTTCAAGGTGCTGGAGTTAGCTACTATTCAAATTTCTAATCGTTCACGTGATATTCGCATTGATATAGTTTGCTCATAGCTGACCTTGCTGACCTTGCGGCAATTCTTTTGTGAATAATTACATAACAATCAGCGAGATAGTGTTGGAAATTGAGAGGGTCAACTTAGAAGATATTCAAAATATCGTGTGCAAAACACCCGAAAACAATGGCAGATTTGCGACGCGAAAAGCCCAATGGACGGTCGATGCTCTTGACTCCGCCCACATCGACTATAAAAGCAAGGGATGCGGCTCAGATGGCGGACAATGGCGAGTTGTCTATCATCGAAACCTTCGGATCATGATTTGCTGATCTCGTTAGGGATTCTCGCCTCCGATTCGGTCAGACGGATCCAGCCCTTAAGTGGGTGGTTTGCAGTGTTGGGTTCAGGTGATGCTAAACCTCTCGTTTGAAGCCTATCTTGTGAAGAGGGCTAGATGATAGATAGCGGGCCGTTGTCCCCGTCCCCAGTGGTACCACTATCCCCTTCCCATCCCCCACTCCCCCCCCCCAGATCCTTCGCGATCGGGCTATGACCCACTCAGGATTTCCCCACCTGCTGCTGGTGAGCCTCCTCTTCACGTGCCGAGCCTCTCCGTGGCGAAGAGGATCAACTGACGATGCCCTCACTTTTGGGGGCATCGTCAGGCTAATCGGTACATCGTTTCACGCAGGTCGAGGAGGATTCCGAATCCCAACGGCCCTCTTAAGGGCTTTTAATTGTTTTATCTATTTTTCTCAAATAAAATTTTATCAACGTGTGTAAAATTGATTGAAATATTTCAAAATGTAAGAGCCTAAAAATGTTTTTTAATCCAAAAAAGGATATAACGTGGAAATTTGCAGAAATACTTCTTTAGTGTTAAAAAATTTCTTAAGCATTCGAGTATGACAAAAAAAAATACGCCAAATTTAAAATAATATGTTGGAATGGAAACTTACAAGGGAGGTCTTTGTGCTGTCCGTCTTAAAATTAAGCGCAATATAAGCAATAGTAATATAAGCGCGAAATAAGACATCACGCTATTTCATTTCGAATTTCCGCACATTTGTATGTAAAATTCATGTGGGGAGGGGCTAAAACTTTGAAGGTCCATATCTCGATAACTAGAAGTTTGCGCAGGTAGGGTCCTAGTTCATTCGATTGGAAAAAATCTAAACAATCTGCATGCAAAGAATAAAAATTTTTAAAAGCAGACTTCAAAAAGACCTCCCTTGTTAGCGTCGGCATAATTTAAAAAAATGTCTCAAGCAATAATTTCTTCATACAAATCATTTCATACGATTGAAAATGCATTTTTTCGAAAAAGTAATAACATTTCCCCCATTCCGTTTCTTACCCATCTATATTGGCCAAAAAACAGAATTGAACACTAAAAGAAAACTGAAGGAATCTCAAGTAAACAAATTTCAGAAATACATTAGTCGAAAATTGTTAATCAAAAAAAATTAGTCAAAAATCATGAGTCAAAGAATAAAAAATCATGATACAATTTTCATGAGTCAAAAAGTATGAGTCACTAAACATTGACCAAAATTGGGGGTGGTATCGTAAATAAAAGGAGGGGTTAAAAAGTCGGGGTGGAATAGCAGGTGTGGGGGTAGTTTTTAATAGACCGTTGGTATATTCATTTTGCGGTTTTCCTACACCTCTTCCATAGAGTTCCTCACTTTAATAATAGTTCAAAAAGATTGTTTTATTCTCCTAAATTTGGTGAAAATATACACATGTCGTGGGATCCTGCGTTTAGTACGCAATGCACCACTCGGCTTACAGTAAACTCTGGCCGAAAATAATGGGCGACATCGTCGAATATGGCTCGAGATTAGATTTTGGCGAATTCGCGCGCCGAAATCAATAATATCCTCACGCCACTGCACAGTACGCGCCTCAACTTTTTCCAGACATTTCACTCCTCGATTGGACCCTCTGGATTTATCAACGCAGGGTTTTGGTCCTCTCCCAACCCTATCTTTTGAATATTGACAAGACAAATTTCATTGGAAACATCTGAGGACATTGTCAGTAAAAAAGAAATGCTTGTTTGCGTTATTAGGGATTGCGGCAATTCAAAGACGGTCTCGTGTGGCACAGGCCCTGCAAAGCTCAGTGCCGAGTCAATATGGAATTTTGTGGAACCTTTCACAAAACATTACTTATTAAAAAAAAGTCTTTAATCAATATTGATGTGTACACACGTACCAAAATAGGTTATGTGATTTTATAAACACAGAAAAACTTTTTCTACTGATAAATGTCGAGCGTGCGAAAACGGTCATCATAATCTGTGCATTCACTCATAAGGACTCGCATATTCTTGCACACAATTTTACGCGCATGTTACGATGCACACTTTGAGTGTCTCTGGTAAAAGAAAGTCATTTGGAGAAAGTTGACAGCGAATTCTTTTTCAATCGCAATCAAATATATTAATCTGCTTCGAAGCACACGAGGATTTCAATCGGATACGATTTCAAAATTGAAAATCAGAAATAAATCAATCGATTTCGACGAAACCCTCAACAAAATTTGCCTTAGGATACGAACTAATAGACATTGGATCCGACAAATTCTCAAAACTAATCGGATTGGGCGAAGTTTGGTCCAATACTATTGGAAATTCTACGGATAATCTTATAAAATTGTCGAATGCGATTGGTTATTTCTCGATTCGAAATGTCTCATATCCGGCTGCTTTGCGGACATTATAAAATTTTAGTATCTGATTGGTTATTTTAGAATTTGTCTAATTCGGATCTGATTGGTTTTAATATAATAGAGTTTTAAGCTAGTTTAGATAAGTGGAATTATTAAGAACTATTTTATTAAAATTCTTTATAGTCGGGGCGTCCGGCGACTGCTGTACGCGGGTAGATTTACACGCATGCGCCTTGAAAAGGTCTCGCCACGCGTGAACGCTTATTTTGCAGTTTTCGCGTGAACGATTTATTTTTTCTTGGCGAGTTTCGCATTTCCTTGAATTTCCAACGTCGTTTGGTTGAAAAATTATCAAACTGATCGATAAAATTCGAAATAACCTGTTAGTCCGCGCGAGACCATTTCGAAAGACGCATTCCCGTAAATCTACCCGCGTACAGCAGTCGCCGGACGCCGACTATAATGAATAATTTTTTTAAATGAATTTTAGGCGTATTAATTTTACAGGAAATCCTTGAGTTCATCACATGTACAAAAAATCAAACATAAAAGTGTCAAGATAAGACATTTTTATGATGTGCGGATAGATAAAGCAGCGTTAAATTGGGCGTATGTTCTCTAATATTTATTGTTTTTCGCCAATTATCAATTTTAGGATGGACAGCAGTCAATTACTTTGTTTGGTCGTTCTTTCAATCGTCTCATTCATTTTTATTAAGTCATATTTTACGAATGAGAAGTCGTCAAAATCAGCAGAACGATCGCGAAGATCAAATGCCAGCGAATCCAGATCGTACGCCAATCGATATCAAACTCTTTTTATATGTATTATATTTTGCAAACTGCAGGGACGAAATTTCCGATAAACCAGAGGGCAGTGTAAAATTGCACACGATGATCGAATTGAGAAAAATGCCAATGGGTGAACTTCAGACGCATAATATACAATTTGGCAAGATTACTGATCGATATTGGAGGGAAATATTTCGAAGACAGTAAGCAATAAAATAAACTCAATTCTATACATTGACGCGAAAGGTACATTTCTGGTGGTGCACCTTTAAACTGTTACAAATTTTAGTTGGTAACCTTGATTGCCATTTTAAAATTGTTTCTGACATTCTGCATTTTTTCGTAATTGTTTGTTTAAACCGATTTTTATGCGATCAATCAATTTATCGAAAAATTATATCCTCTTTACAATTTTTGATTCTAAATCGTCTCCGAACATCAAATTCTAAACATGACGACAATTTTATAACTTGTTCTCATTTATTCAATGCTTCCTTCTCATTCAATTTACAGCTGTTTGCGTAATCTTATCATTTTTTGCAATTGTAAATACTTCACATTTTTAAGTGACACCAGACGTGTTTTTTTTTCTTTAAATGCACATTTCCGTGTTGATGTTTTTACTATCAAAATTCTGATGAAACTTGCAGGAACAATATTCACCAGCCTGATCACATAAATGTCGCGCGTCTCCAAACCTCCAACATTCTCACGATTCTCGACGAAAGCCTTCCGCATGGAGCAATGCATGAGCTAACAATTATTGGTACTGGAATGATTTCTGCTAAAAACGGAAAATGAAACTCAGGTCTCCCATCAAAAACATTTTCTAACCGGAAAAGCGAAGTAATTCGATACCTGCGAGATCGTTTATCATCGTATCCTCAATATGACATACTGTAAGTCCTCCTCCCCATTACCGACATTAAACAATCAGTCGCGATTCAGCTACCAATCCAACGAGGTACTGTCAATTGTGAAAACTCAATCATAATCATTTACTACACTAATTCGTAATTATTACACAAGAACATTTGTGATAAATATAAAGAAAAATCGAGAATCTACACTACAATCGGGACGGGAATCACTGGTGAAAATACGGGGAATTATGTGCGTTAAAAATAATTTACTTGGGTCCAAGCATGTTTTCTGGTTTCACCCATTGGTTAAATTGCTCCTCAGTGAGAATGCCGAGCTTAATCGCCTCTTCCTTCAAGGTCGTTCCGTTCTTGTGAGCCGTCTTGGCAATCTTGGCAGCATTATCGTATCCGATATGTGGGTTGAGAGCAGTAACCAACATCAATGATTCGCGCATAATCTAAACCAGGTTTTGATTACTTTTTCGCTACTAGATTCACACTCTCATACCTTTGCAATGTTGTCCTTGTTGGCAACAATTCCGTCAACACAGTGGTCGGTAAATGAAACAGCCGAATCAGCGAGCAATCTCGTCGATTGAAGAACATTTCTGACAATCAATGGTTTGAAGACGTTCAATTCAAAGTGTCCGTTCGATCCTCCAACAGTAACGGCAACCTGGTTACCCATAACTTGGGCAGCAACCATCGTGATTGCTTCGCATTGGGTTGGGTTGACCTTTCCTGGCATGATCGAACTTCCTGGCTCGTTCTCTGGGAGCGAGAGCTCTCCAAGTCCGCATCTCGGTCCAGATCCGAGGAAACGAATGTCATTTGCAATTTTCATGAACGAAACCGCGATGGTGTTGAGAGCACCATGAACCTAAATCTCGTCGTATATGTCGATTAAATTGAAGTTTCCAATACTTCAACAAGTGCATCATGCGCAGCAAGAGCCTCAAACTTGTTTGGAGCAGTGACGAATGGAAGCCCAGTGATTTCGGAGACTTTGCTAAAAATCGGGGAATTTGAAGATTCGCCTGAATCAACGAATTCTTACGCGGCAACCTTCTCGGCAAATCCCTTGCGGGTGTTGAGTCCAGTTCCGACGGCGGTTCCTCCAGCAGCCAATTGATAAAGTCGCGGAAGAACAGCCTCAACTCGAGCAATCGAGTTGTCGAGCTAAAACAAGGGTGTAAACGCGAGTTCTTCAAACATAGTTGAAGAATTCTTGCAGATCATATCAGAGGCCAACGATGTTCATCGTCGCAGCTACAACACTTCGTGAGCTCACAACCGATTGTGACGGCCACGAATGTGATGTTAGCGCTGCGACTCGCAGAGCAAGGATGTTTTTTCTTCATTTATGATCTTTCAATCTCTAGTAATTGAATACCTGCTGAACGTAAGCAGAGAACTCTTGTCCAAGAGTCAATGGAACAGCATCCTGAGTGTGGGTACGTCCAATCTTGATGATATCCTTGAACTCCTCAGCTTTAGCATGAAGAGAAGCGCGAAGTTTCTTCAATGCTGGCAACAACAAAGAGTTGATCTGAAAGGAAAATTGTTTAAATTAAATGGATTGATCAAAGTCCAACCTCTCTTCCGACAGCGATGTGCATGGCAGTTGGGAAAGTATCGTTCGATGATTGCGACATATTGACGTGGTCATTTGGATGAACTGGCTTCTTCGATCCCAATTCTCCACCAAGAATCTCAATGGCTCGGTTGGAGATAACCTCGTTGACATTCATGTTCGATTGAGTTCCGGATCCAGTCTGCCATGTGACAAGTGGGAAATGATCGTCGAGTTTTCCCGCGATAACCTCGTCTAAAAATGCAATCTTCAAAAAATATCTGTGAAAGAGACGAACGCAAAACGCCACATTTAATTTCTTGCAGTTTTTTTTCTAGATTGGGAATACTGAAAGAAGAACAAACCAGCAGCTTGAGAGATAGCATCGGCGAGCTTCTTGTCAAGTCCGAATTCGGTGTTGACCTGAGCAGCAGCCTTCTTAAGGATTCCGAAAGCATGGATGACTGGAATTGGCATACGCTCTTCGATTCCTCCAATTTTGAAGTTCATTTTCGATCTAAAACGTTTGATTTAAATTTTAACAAATCCCAAATTTTCAAAACCTGGCGGTTTGAGCTCCATAATACTTATCGGCTGGAACTTCAAGTTCTCCGAAAGTATCACGCTCCTTTCTGATCTGCAAAAATCTCAAAATTAAATTCAAATCGTAATTTCCAATTGTACGTGGTTTCCGGCACTAACGTTACGCACGACTGGATGTTTAATACGATAATAACTAGACTTGAAATGAAAATGATTGATCGAAAGTTGTTCATACCTTCATCGATGAATGTCGTTTCGATGATTTTCTACTATTTAATCCAAAAGTTTGAGACAAAAACTTGGTGAATTGCTCAAACATCTGCACGAAATTTGAGAATTCGCGTGGAATTGCATCATTCCCACAAAATCTAGGTCAAATGTTGGAAAATTTAATTTTTTTTCAATATTAAAAAAAATCACGTTTGTTCCGATTCTTAACAAATAATTTTTAGTTGTTTCTCGTACACTTTAAACAATACATAAAATATTCTTTACCGAGTATTTTTAAACACAATATTCGTTTTTGTTCAATAATCCTTGAGTAATTCAGAGAGAAGAAGGGGAAATCCCTAACTGCGCATATTGCACAACGATTCGCGAAAGTCACGCACGCATGGCAATGATTTTGTGCTGTGTTATATTCAAGAAAAATGAGATAGAAACTTTAAGAGGAGGGAACCTAATAAAAACCTTTCTACTTTTCGAAAATCATGATCTTTTTGGCAAGCATAAATTATTTAAGATTTATTTTTAAAATTTCATTAGATCGTCCAAGAACGAACGCAAGTTTGCCGTTTCCCATCACATAAAAAATAATTGTGCAAACAAAATAAATAAAACTCACAGCAGCCATTCGTAGCAGAGATGTGGAAAACTGTCGTCCACTGGCGATCTGCAAACCTCTCGCGGCAACGACACGAGCACTTCTGGCGATCATTTCGTCTCTGCCTTATTCGCGCGTATTTCTCGCGGCCCTGAAAATACGTACATGTTCGCGTTGGAGCCACGCAGACAAGCAGCGTCTCCAAGATGGAGATCACAAGAATCTCGGAGGATGCTGAGAAACGAGAGCATACGTTTCGCACGTCAATTTTTATCTTTTTTTAATAGGGTTCATGCGTGTTGTTGACCCCAACACACATGAACACATACACAAAAACAAATTGAAATTAAAATAAGATAATCTGGGTATCAACCAGAATAATAGGAAATCACGAAATTTGAAACATAAATCGAAATGGTTTATTTCACAAACTAATTAGGTTATTTTCTACGTTACCGTAAACCCATCTAAAAATCTATTTAAAAACTCGGGAATCTATGGAAGCTTGACGATAGATATCACAACTGTGCATTCGCCTGATATTCTTGACCTTCTGCAGCTTTAAGCTTCAATTTAATAGACACTCGAACATATATTACCATCGCAAAAAAAAAACACCGAACGGCATGAATAATAGAGGATCACCGTATTTTTCAAGGCGGTAATTCCAATTTGAATTTAAAAAGTTTGAATTGTAGTACTTACTGTAAATAACCTTTAAAAAAGCTAACTCGCCGAAAATCAGTGCAGGATGCTCGTTTTTTGCGATTGCAATATGTAGTATAACCGCTATGGAATTAATTACATTAATACTTTAATTGGAAACATCGTCGCAATTTGTAAGTGAGTCTTTCTGAGGAATGGAATGTACACTATTCAAGAAATAGGGTATCAAAAATTCAAAATGACACTTTGTCTAAAATGCGCTCATGGAAAACAGATAGAATGGAAATTACGCGCTGGGCAGTAGGTCAAATTGTCAAAAATTACATCCAGTTTCTACATTTTGTACAGGGTATAAAGAGCCTAGAAACATTTCAAAGCATATCCATATATCCTATGAGTGTTTGCATGCAATTCATCGCAAGATTCAAGCGACGAAGTATCTGAAACTCAGAAAAATTCTAGGTTTTATTGGATTTGAAGCCAAACCTCATCGAGATGTGGCAACTGACATTCAGCCATGTGAATGGAAAGGCCTTGTGGATTTACATTCTTTGGGACCATTTGGTACGAAGCGCATACCTGATGATTTTTCGAAATTGTTTCAAAAATCATAAAACAAACACAATTACCAATCTGCAGCTGGAAATATAGAAGGAAAGGAGTTGATCTTGTGGAAGTGGTGGAACAAACTTGCGAGTTGGTGGGAAATAGCACAACTCTAATAGACTTCTAAAAATTTTTTAAATATATTTGACTTGAAATTTCTGCAAACACCTTTTACGTGGCAGCTGAATCGCCAATCTCGCCTGACAAATTTCATTTTTTATATGTTTCAATTCCGATAGAATCTTGGAACCACTTTCTTTTGAAAAACTGAAATATGATCCTTACAAAAGCTATTTGTGCTTTAAAAAGTTGTACGTATTTGACTTTGAAAGAGCATCTAAAAACACTCGCATTTCGCAAAGACCCACAGTTGCTCGGGCAATATGATTTCCCAAATCCTGAAATTGAAAAATTAAAAAATGTTATGCAGAAAAGCAACACTCACCTGCAATTGTTGAAGTTTCCATTGAACATCTGGTTGCGCGACGGCCCGATAATAACCACCAGCAGCTTTTGGATACTTTATTGTAACTTCTGCTTGAATTACATTGTCGTCAAGCAAGGTAACCATTGCCTAAAGATAAACTGTTTAAGCATCAATTTAAATCAAATGGAAACTTTTAGATTATCGCTGGAACCATGTCTGGCTATTAAGGTATATTTTTCCGTGTTTGCGTGTTGAACCGGAATTCCTAAACGCTCATCGCATTTTTGCGACAAATGCAACACTATGCAACAATGTTTTAATTCTTCAATTGCCTGGAAGATTTCCCAATTGATTTAACAAGATATTCGAGTAAATCTTACATCACGTAACGTTAATCCAACGCGGTTCTTTTGGACCCAAATAATTTCCGTTTCGTTTCGATCCGTTGACTCATTTTGTTCTAAAAGAGTATTTTGAACGATGTTTACCAAAACTCAAACCTTTAATCGTGTTTCTGGTAGCAGCATTACCGCTGGAAACCCTCAAGTGAGACATTTTCGCGAAAATCACGTACAAATTTACAATTTCTAAAATTCGGGCGGCTGAGGACGAGGTTTCTGTTGCCCGAATGAACTTAGGTCGCAGGCCACACTTTGTGAGTAAAAATAATATGAAAGTGAAATGAACAATGTTAAGCAATAAATACGAAGGATAAATTGCATTCCAGTAAAAAAATATTTCAGAAAGTTTGATTTAAGTGAGCGCAATGATAGATTTTTAAAAAATCTTTGAATGAGTCATGAAATCGGTGAAATTATTGTTGAGAATAATAAAAATTGTTCACAATATTATTCAAAAAAGTGAACAACTAAATACAGTATTAAAGACACACTGGTTTTTTCCAAATTGGTCTTAAGATGAATTTGTTACTGTATTGTACAATTCAAAAATTAAATAGTTTACTGTAAACTCGCGTCGCTTCAATTTTTCAGTTTTATTGCGGATTTTTTATCGATTGATTATTAATTTTTTTTATTTTCGGATAAGAAAAATCATATTTTGCCAATAGTCATTAATTGTAAAATTTCTCCAGATATTTCACATCTTGCGCAAACGCGTTTTTTGATTGATGGATCAAAGTCGCGGGAAAGGATCACCAAGGGCTCGCGATTTGTGGAATGTAATAAAAAACCATTACGAATTATTATTTTATTTAAATTTAATTCAGACTCCGCGGAAGAATCAACGCGGAGATGTTGCTGAAAATCGACCACCATCGGTTCCATTGTCGTCTAATAACATTATGGTTCCAACTGTCTGGGACTGTAACCACATTGGTAAGTAATTATATTTTATGATTCTTTAAATTTTTTAAATATAAATAATCATTTCAGGCCCCTATTTTGCGATGATGAACTTAAGCGAAATGAAAAGTGTAGAATCTCCTAATCATTTTATTGGGCAGCCTGCTCCTCCGCCAGTTGTATATTCACCACCAACACCATTCACCGATATTGCCAATTACAATTATTTTCAAAACTTTGTACGATTTTCTCAAGCCCTTCGTTATTTATCTATAATTTTCCAGTCTCCAATGTTGCAACAATTACCAAGGCAGAGAAAATCGTCTCTCCTTCCATCGGATAGCGAATCATCTCAACGCACTTGGTCCGATGAATCCTATACCCACAAATTCGGTGATTTTCGACGGCCGTTCAGCTCAGCTGATTATCGGAGTTCTAATCGCCGTGATAATCTTCGTTACAACTCACAATCGACTAGATATAGCAGGTTTAATAATTTTTTTTCTTGTTATATCACTTCGAATTTATTATTTTGAGATCTTCTTCGTCAATGTCGTCACAACAATTTCATAGAAGTGACTCTAATAATAATTATACAAGCTCATTGCTTCCTCACTGGGCCCTTGATTCACACGGCGGTCTACGCTCGAATCTTTCCCTTCCTAAAATAGTTGATAGTGGAGAACTCGTAAAATTTGCAATGGATAAGACTGGTTGTCAGTTTCTCCAAGATTTAATGAGAAAACCATTGACAAATCCTATAAAAGATGCGATTTTTCAACAAATCTTGGGTCACGCAGAAGTGTTCCTGGTAAATGATTGCAACAAATAGGATTAATGCTTGTGAAATCTTTCAGAAGCTGAGCTCAAATATTTTTGGCAACTTTTTTATCCAACAAGTTATTGAATTATCATCGAATACAAACGATAGTGGATACAATGAAAGACAAGAGAAAATCAAAAGATATATTGGTTCACGCATGGCGGAGCTCTGTCTGGACAAGTCGGCATGTCGTGTGGTTCAGTTCGCGCTAGATGTAGATCGATTTATTAACCACCACCACTACGAAATGGAAATTGCAGAGTTTGGACCTGCCACTGTCAATTTGCTTAGTTCAACGTTTGCCACGCGATTCGCGTCTCATCTCGATTTGTCTCGACCAAAATGCAAATCACGTCATTCAAAAGGTCTCTTTTTTCTCGCAACAAAAATTTCGTTTCGAAATTTTCGTTTCAGATCGTCTCGGTTATTCCACTACAAAAATGGGAGTTCATTGTTGACTTCATCATTCAGCCGCAGCATCTTCGTCAAATATGTGCTGACAAATATGGTTGTCGAGTTGTTCAAACGATAATCGAGAAGTTGAATGTTGATTCGAGCAATAAAGATCTTACGGTAAATATTTTTTGACGTTGAAATCTGATCATGAAATTCTTTAGATAGCAGCCCAGAATCTTAGAGAAATGGCTCTTCAAAGATTGATGACTGCTATAATATCAAGATGCTCCGAATTGGCTTCAAATGAATATGCCAATTATATTATTCAACACATAATTGCTTCTGATGATATGGCGATGTATCGTGAAACAATTATTGAGAAGTGTTTAATGTAGGTCTTTCTGAATTCGTTTGAACGTCAACATTTTGTTGCAGGAGAAACTTATTGTCGATGTCACAAGAAAAATACGCTTCACATGTTGTTGAAAAGGCATTTTTGCATGCACCTTTAGGACTTCTCGCTGAAATGATGGATGAAATATTCGACGGATATGTCCCACATCCGTATTATTCGAAAAAAAAAAATATTATTTACGAACATGAGGATTTCAGAGACACTGGCAAAGATGCATTGGATATTATGATGTACCACCAATTTGGAAACTACGTCGTGCAGTGTATGCTTGATATTTGTCGTCTCGCCGTTGATGGAAAAAAGTTTATAATTCTCTTTTTTTCAATGATTCTATTTCCCTATTTTAAGGTTTGGAATGTAGTGAAAAAATAATTCCAATTTGGAAAGTATTAGATCAAACTTGGGATTTTCAGGAACACCATAGAAGGCGGATTCGATTACATGAGTCTTTTCTATGAATGGCGCGAGAAGTTGCGGACCAGAGTAATGCGTGAGAAGAGCCGTCTTTCTAGGTATCCGATAATTCCAGATGTTTTTTTTGTCTAATATATGAATTAATCAGATTCTCGTCTGGAAAAAAGATGATCGACTCATTTACCCATATAATGGATGCTTCTTATGCTCAAGCCGATTACGACGTTTTCACAACGACTTCTGAAGACGAATCGAAGAGCGACAATGAGAGTGTGTTTCTTGAGAGAAGACAATATATTCCGAAAAATATCTACAGTAATCAATTTGGGTGAGTCGAATCAAAATTCTAAAATTAAAAAAAAGCATCTCCAGAACCACAGGTTTCCAATAAAAATTATTAAAGGCAATTCCGAATAAATGACTCAATAATTAAATTCTGAAGCATAAAATCACGTGGTGTTAATTTTTATAATCCTCTAAATCCAAATGTTTTTTCTTTCGTATTTCCATTATTTATGCGCCAATTTTGTCGTTTTTTGTGGTAGGCAGGCTCTCACACTAAACAATTGTGCCATAGTTTTTGTTTTTGTGTGCACCTCAACCCCCAATCTGTAAAACTGTTATTGTTAGCTATAATTGTTTTGTTGTGTTCCTTGTTGTTTTTTTCTTGTTATGAAAAATGGCAAAACCCAAAATCAAGAAAACACATTTTATTAAAAGAAAAATGGGAGTATTTAAATACGTTGAGAAACAATCAATAGCGGCAGTCGGCAGCGTGTAATTACTTGTAAAATACACGAATCGCATGACGACGGCGATTGTGTTGTGCGAAGAATTGATAAGAAAACTCGTTGATATCTTTTTCACCTTGTGGAATCAGCATATAATCGATAGCGAGCTTAATCATGGTGAGTTTATTGATACGACTAAATTTTGTTACCTTGTCGATGGACCTTCCAAGATCTGAAAACTGTTTGAAGAAGTGGTCGGCGACGCCGACTCGAATTGTCAAAGTGTCTCCGCTTTTGATAACGCCCGTCGTTGGAGCAGCAACAAGATAAGTGTCTGCATTTGTCTAAAGAGAAATCAGCCAGAAAACTACGAAAAAGGAAGGGAAACCTTAAGAGCAAACATGAGATGAAGCGCTGAGATATTTGTTACTCGAATAGGAACTTCTCTGACTTCGCGGCTGAATTCAAGCTGAAATTGTTCGAGGTAACCGCTTTATTTAAACGTCTGAAATTGCTTGAAAACCTTGTCATGTGGATTCGTGACAATATCTGCACCGCCGTTCGTGAGTGTCATTGCCGACATCGACAAAAACTGTTGTCGATGAATTGGAGTCGGTGCGCGAATTGCTTGACGGAATCCCGTCGATTCGTAGCCGACGTATAATTTCTCTTCGGCGTCTTTTCCCGTTTCGACGCGAATCTGATTCTTCTGATCTTCCGGAGACGGTTTCTGAGTCGTCTGCATTTCCATCGATGGAATAAAGCTGCATGCCGTGGTAAGATCGAAATCATTCGGATTCTCTAATACGGTCGCTTCGGATTCGTCGGGAATTGGCGACGTTGGCAACATGTATTCTGATTCATCGTCTTCCGAGAATTGCGTCATCGTCGGCGATCTCGGCATGAAATCCGACGTTTCGGTGAGCTTCTCGAAACCCTGCGAATCGTATCGAGTGAGCGCTGAGGCGACGTGCGAAGTCGCTTCATCGATGAAGCGAAGCGAGCGTGGAATCGAGGACGGATTGGCGCGAAGAGCATGCCAGAACACACTGACAAGCAATGAGCCTTTGATGAAGTGGTAGCCTTGAGCATCGCCGAATAACTGATCAGCAAGTGCCATCACACCGTAAAGAGTCCAATAGAACAGGATGGAGTGCTGAAATCAGAGGGGCATTCTGGAATGGCGGAGAAGAATTGCTTACATATCCATCTCGAGTGGTTCTAGGATTGATGAGTACACGATAGGAGAAGAGAGCTGGAGGAACTGAGGTGAGTGCTGTGCATACTGCCTGCAATATCTTCAGCGACCTCTAGCGGCGATTTAGGGAGCTGCCAACCTGCGCATGCGTTCCATTGATCAGGTAGATTGAGAGCGAGACAGCCGCAAGTATTCCGATCTCTTTGGCTCCCACGAATCCGCCGAGCATTTTGTCTTCTTGCACAATTTGCGATTCTCTAGCCGCCATCATAATGTTGAGATCGTCGACGCCATCGCCGCCGCCAACTTCGGCCGTCGTTGAGAGTGTCGTGAATTTCTTACCGATGTGACTCATCGCGCTTCGTTTTCCATTGGTACTAATAGCCATTTCCGAATTTTACTATTTGCAAAATTTTACTTTCTTGAGAATCATCGAATTGATTCCGATTGTCATTCCAATATCTCGATCACGCGAACATTTTTCGTGGCATTCAATTAATCTTTTTTTTAAACGCCTCGACTAGTATCATTCATCTGCGGACAATTTTCATGGGTCCATTGCACCTCATCTTCTTGTCTTTCGTTCCCCTTGTGCACTCAATTAACGGAACCCCCTTGTTCGCTTCGTTTTGTTTAATTCGACCTTGAAAACGCGAACAATGTCGGGACCATTTATCACTTTTCGGTGTGTTTTTTTTTCTGTGACCCCCCCCAGTGCCACTTGCGTCTAATAGCCGTTTCCTTCTTTCCCATTATTTGCATAGAGATTTTGAATGTCGGCTTGATGGCACTATGCAGATTTCTCAAGAAAAACTCAAAAAATTTTTTAATTGATTTTTTTTGAGATTTTCGCGTTTTTTTTTTTCAAAATCTGCACCTACGAATTAATCTGTTCGAAAAATACGCCGATGTTGAAGGTTAGACGTTCGCGTTTTTGCCGGAATTCGTGCCGATCGCCGATTAGAAATTCCAATACAAGATTTTGGGAAGACGTGACTCTACGAGATTGTCCGCAGGTCAAAATTGTTTTATTTTCTTCAAACCACCATTGTTGACACGGTACATTATTAGCCTTCAAACGCATCAATTAAATTAATTGGTTTGTTTTATGCGGCGAAGTACCATTCTATCTCTCTCAGATCCCCCCCCCCCCTAATTTTTTGGTCTTGCGGCCGGCGGCCTTTAATGGCGGGATTTTTTTTTTGTTCGAGCGACCCTAAAATTTTTGTCAACGACTATTCGAGATCTCGGCGACACTCCTAATTTTCGCTATCAGATCGTAAATACGATGTCAGTTGGCCTCCTCTTCGATTCGATGCCTCCACACCTCGTCTGCCTCCAATCATCTCGTCCTCACATCAAAATTGTGGCCAAAACGAGACAATCGAGAATTACTACCATTAAACACAACCCCCCCCCTTCTACCATTCGAAAACTAAGACGAATGAATGAATGAATGATTGAATGAATGAGGAGAAAAGAGTGTCGGCGGCCCGGCGAGACTATAAATGTGGCAATTAGGCGACGAACCAAGGTCTTCACACCCAACCATGACCATATTTGGTTCTGTGTATGCGAATGCACACATAAGTATGTCCTTTTCGATTCGTCAATGTTTCCGGTAAGGTGTTCGACATCTTCTCCATCTTCTTCTTCTCCTTCTCCTTCTTCTTATTCGTGTTCTTCTTGAGAAAGTGATTTTGAAAATCGGCGAATTTGATTGGATTATGCGAGTCTCGCCTAATCCCTTCATTCAGCGTACCTCCACAACCTATTCGTTTTCGTTTCCATCATGTTTGATTCTTTTGATTCAGCCGCGAGACACCCACACACACACAACACACCCAATCGCACAAAAAAGTCGCTTCTATTCAATTCGGTGTTGACATTTGTTTGGGGCGAATTGAAGAAACATCAAGAGAGCCCTTTCCAACGGGGGGATTCTTTTGTAGACCCGACAAGAAAAATGAAACTCCGGGTTTGTTTGTTTGTTTGTTTTTTTTGTGAAGATGAAAAGGTAGAAATGAATTGCATTTGCCATCGTTAGAATTGCACAATAGCTGAGCTCCTGAAGCACTTGAAATAACGTCTAAAAATGCGAATACTGGAATTTTCATTACATTAGCAATTTTCTTTTTTTTAGGGGGGGGGGGCGACCAACAATTTATTTTCGAAGCGAACAATTTGGATAACTGAAACGCAAAACCGGAAAAACGCAGGCATTTTCATTCTCATTCGCATCCTCTCTCCCGAAATTTCAATCAACGTTCATTTTTCTCGTTTTCTCGTTTTGTTCAATTTTTCTGGTATCGTCGTCGTCACCCAAATTATTATATTCGAACACCGGGGGGGTCAGACCGACAGACAGACAGACGATGGGTTCAGATTAGACGAGCCGACAAATTTCGAGACAAAAAATTAGCTGGGAACGATGAGGGCGGCGGAAGACGTCGATGGCCGAAAAGAATAAGAAACGAGAAGATTGAGAAGATGGCGAAACGTCGACATCGTTGATCATTGCTGTTGATAAGTTTGACCATGATTGACGAGTACATCTATTGGCTGAGACATTCGTGCCAAATTTCACCCAAATTTTAGCTTACACCCAATTCATTTCACCATTTTTTCCTGGGTTTTCTTATCCGTATTTTTGAACTCTTCAGTTCGTTTTTTTTTTGCGGAATCGATTTGAAACGATATATTCTCAAAAAAACCGAATTCTCGTTTAGATCGAAAGTCATTTTTATAATGAATTTCAAATTGAAGGAGAAGAAATCACGGATTTTTCCTTTTTTTTTATAAGTTTAATTAATTTTTTAAGTTGTTATTAGAAAAAAATATTTGAGAGAAGACTAATTAGTCCGAAATTTTCAGCAAATTGAAGAATCTTTCTTAAAATATTTCAGTTCAGATTTTATCAAAAATCAATATGATTTATAATTTCGAAAATCATTTTTTCTAATGAAAAACCATGGCTTAAGCTTATACAGAAAAATTGGAAATTTCAAAATCTTGATAAACATATAAGAGATTAACTTATTCAAACCGACCAATTTTCCTTATTTCCATACCTAATTTGTCTAACAAAGATTTCTCATTAATTTCGTCATGCGTTTTGACGAACGGTTTATCTCGTCGTCGCATCGAGATTGATTGTTGTTTGATCGTTCGCGGTTTCTTTTTTCTTCGCTTCAGCTTCACCCACCCCCTCCAAATTCAATCATCATTTATTGATTTGATAAGGCGATTCATTAAAATGTCTTAATTATATTTCTTCCAATAAAAATGAAAGAGAGAGAGAGAGGTTTTTTTGGGGTGCCTGTGAGTCTTCCATCGCATCGCCTACCGTACGCAGTTTAGCCGCGCCGGGCGGCGACCGCCGAACGCTCCGCCCATTTCGCGCCCACGCCCCTTCGATTTTCCTGGCGATCCCGACCGTCGGGCCACTATTCGCACAATTCACCGTCGACCTCCGATGTGCTGCTTCTACTATTCGCTTATTCATTTCTAGTATTCCGAACACGGTGCGGTGAGTTCAAAACGAGTTGCCTGAGAAGCTGAAGAGAGCCGTCTATTGACAGTTCGCTACTCAATATGATATTGTCATGGAGTCGCTCTCTTCAGATGATCAAGGCTCCATTTCAATTGGAATTCGTTTTTTTTTTCAAATTTCGTTGAGAGACATTTCCAACAGCAAAATCGTGAGTTTATGGCGAATGTGTTCAAATTTCGATCGATCGCAACCGACGGAATTTGTCGTTTCCCAACGATGTTCTGCTCGTAAAATGCGTGTTTATGGTCGAATTGTAGACTGTCACCGTTTTCTTTTCAAATATGCATCCTCGTAAAAACAAAAAATTCAACAGTTGAGTTCGTTTTTCGTTTGCCACGTTTCGAAAATATTGGAAAGAAAAAAGAAGAATTCGATAGGAACCGTGAAATAAACGCGATCTAATGAGTTAATCAAGCGTGAATTATGGCGACGAAACAATCGCGACGAGTTTTGGATTTGACACAATTATGATCAATGAGAAGACCCAATGAAGTAATTATTTAAAAAAAATAGTAAAATAGTTGGATTGAACTCAAAAATTGTCCGAAGGTTGCATTTAGTTTAATGTAGAAGTATTAATGAATATCAGTACTTGCTTAAAGCATAATCAATTTTATGTCATTTTAATTATTTTTTATCAAGTCCATTTGAGATGAAATTATGATTTCCGCGTGGCAAATTTAAAAAAATCATTTCGATATTGGTTATGAAGCCAATTTTTGTGAAAATTCTATTAGGAGTTATTGATTTTTTTTTCAATATTGAAAGTGGCGAAATTTTTTGATTTCATCACATGACGATTTTAATTTCGGCTTCTAATTGCAATAAAACTACAACTCTTCGGTCCACCCGAAATATTGTTTTATTGATTCTTCCTATGACGCAATTATGAAATCTGCAACTCGTATTAAAATAAATATGAGAGAGAGAAAAAAAAAACATCCCAATGCCGCAAATGGGTTTGTTTTGATGAAAAATGAAAACAACAAACCATTTCCAATAAATCCAAAATTGGCCGTTTGCTGGATTCGAACACAATGAAGAAAAAAATCTATTTCTCGAGGGAAACCTGACAACAGCAGATGGTCGAATATATCGGTGTCCAGAAAAGATGGAAGCAAAGAGGAAAAAAAAAGCTGCTCTTCAATTTAATACAAATTTTTTAGAAAAAAAGCTGAAAAAACCCGTTAGTGCTTGTTTTTTTTTGTTAAAATCCTTTTAGAATTCTTTTTTTCAAGGATTCATTATCTGGAATTTTGAGAATTTGACCCCCGAAATTCACGTAGAACCATAAAAGGATTGATGATTCGAGTGTACCTAATTCTCACAAAACCACTAGATTTTAACCATGAATTAATGTTGTCCAATTAGTGCTAAAAAGCTTGAAAGTGTGACGATCAGTAGTTTAATTATTTCTTGTTTCGAATTCGGTCGATTCCGCGCAACAACGCGCCAACCGTTTCAATTATCGAATCACCGTCGTCTCCATCCGCCTCGCATTATTCTATCTAGACACTTTAATGCACATACACACACATACGTACATTCATTGGGTGTATGCAAACATGTACAAACATACTGTGTTAATTGATTACCGTACGCTGGTCGAATGGTGTTAAAGAGGGTCTTGGTGGACGGGGGCCAAAGGCCGACGAGAAACGGGATCGCACAAAATGTTTCATTGAAACACTTCAAATTTGATCGCGCGAACTCGCCGGAATCCTTTAATTGAACATTTCAATCCGAACAATCAGGATCTCGAATTATTTTTAAAAGACTATCTATCAAATTTAGCAAAGATTAATTGTTTTGGAGATAAATGGCCGTGGCCTAACTTTCAATTATTTTACAAGAGAAAATTTGCGCATAAATGTCGAAGATGTTGAAAAATTCATTAATCGAATACCAAAATGCGACATAACATTTTTAATAATTTTAAAGTGAACAATTTTATAAAATAATATTTTTATTATTTTTTTTTCTCGGCTACAGATGCCGATATAGGAGGGGTAGTCACTACAGCCATTTCGATATCCATTTAAAGATCCGTTTGATATTGAAAGCCCGATTAACAACTTCCTTTTATTTTGAGCACTTCCGTTATTTTTGAAGGAAGTCATAGGTTCGTTTTTTTTTCTCCGGCAGCACGAAAAACCATGCATTTATTGAATTTCAAAATAGTGATTTATCCGACTTCATTGTGTCACAAACCAGGAAGAAAAACGACTATGTACACAAATGAGAGCCCAAAACAATGTGTAAAATCCGAAATTTAAAAAATTTGCCGGTATATTTTCAGCGGAGAATGTTTCGATTGATTTCTGATCATTGAATATTTCGAATCTTCCCATGCCGATTTCTTATTTCGCAAACCTTTTCACTTAATTAATACTCTTCTCGTTATTGCTAAAAGTTTTAATCGCCGAATTTGGGTAATAATGGGTTTATTGAATGGAATGAATGAAGGCCAATGATTTTCAGAGAATTGCAGTAGTTGCCTTTAATTCTTTAATCTATATGTATATTTTTTCGGGTTTTTTTCATTACATTCTCATTTTTTCAAAATGACTCAAAATGAAGTTGAAGCTCGTCCACCATTTTTTCGGTCAAAATCCGTCATGCGTGAGAAGAGCTCCAAATCAGGTTGCAGACCAGCATTATGATTGACACATGTCTTTTCGGAAACGTTTGACAATTCAAAATTTCGTTTTGATGTCGGGAAATGTGGAAAAAATGAAAAAAAATTGATGACATTTTGAAAGAATTCCTAATTTGTTCATAAAATCCTGACCAATTAATTTACCTTTTTTTAATTCCTTGATTTCTCATTTAAATAATTTAAGAAAAAATTTAGTTGGAATAATTTTTCAAAATTTCACTCTCAATTCGAATAATAATTCAAGCAGTCCATATTTGGATCAAGATGGTTTTTTTTCCGTTATTTTCGTCAAACTAATTTCGATTAACACGACCAATTTTATTTCATAGAAACGATAATAAGAATGCCAAGCCAATAAGAATAAATGTCGCTCTCTTCATCATTTTCGTCAACGTCATCAATCGTCTCTCAATTGTATTCCCAAACATTGTCCAATGATGCTCGTTTGCCGAATCGCAATGGTCCGGATGGTCCGCGTCGCTTGCCGAATCGCAATGGTCCCTGCGGTCCGCCCTTTTTCACGTCTAAATATCGCCAAAATAACATTGAGAAAATGACGAGAACAACATGGATTATGTACGATTATGGATGGGTATCTGTCATTTTTCTTGTCATCCGAAGGGATTTGTTTGAATTCGATGGCTCGAAAGAATAATTGCGGTGAGTTTTCATTTGAGAATCTATTTTATTTTAAGAAGGCAATGCTCGAAAAATGAAAAAAAAGAAACTCACAGTTCTCGTAGAAGTCGACATCCGATCCGTAGGAGTTGTCATCGAAATCTGCAAATAATGAAAGCTATAAAAAGTTCTCAAAATTTGTTTTTTCAGGAGTTGGATTACTGTAGATAAACCCAAATGGATTACGGTAGCCTTCTCTCTCTCTCAACTTGAGTTCAATTATCTAGTATCGTCAGCTATTCATAATTCGATATAATTATGACGGCGGGTTACGGTATCCATTGTGGGAGAAGGAGAGCTAAGTGGGGCGACATCCGCACCGGATGGGAATAAAATAAAATATTTGGGGGGTTTCGGAATAATTTACGATTTCCATGTAGAAGCAGCGAAATATTATTGTCAATGCGAAACTTTTCGACGATATTCAAGGTTTCAAACATTTTGGTGCGCTTGATTCTGGTTTTAAAGCACCAGAAAAATGTTCGAGGTTAGCATCCAATGTTGAAAATAGTAAAGCTCGAGATAAAGCTTAAAATTTTCGTCTTAAACGCGCTAAACCGAGAAGACTATTATCTCTACGATTTCCTCGATAAACTATTCTGACTGCTGTGCGAATTCGGCCATCTCCGATTTCGAAGAAATCCATTAAAAAAAATATAACACATCACATTTTTGCAGTAGAAATCAGAACGAAATATGAATAATTCATAGCGAAAAATAAGATTCCTTCAATTTTTTTTCTCGATTCACATCATTCAATTTCGAGACATCGGTTTGAAGTTCTAGTATGGGGGAATTATAGGGGCTTTCTTTGAGCTCAAGAGTTTTTTGAGTTTTCAATCAAAATTATGAGAAGCCGTGTGTGTGTGTTTTCCCCCCATTTATCCATCCAAACTTTTATTGGAATTTCCTGATTGCTGGCGCATTGAATGAGTTTCGGATCTGAAACTCATTTAAGTGGCGCGCCCATGTGTGCGCGGAGCTCTCGTAAAAATAAAAAGCGCCGACTCATTTGGTCATCAAAATCATCGTCAACGCGACGAACAATACGCATTTAATTGGTCGAATTGACGAGCATCCCGCTTGTTTTTTTTCCGAAGCCACAAAAACCAGCCTCCTTCAGAATTCGATCCGAATTCCGCGCATCGATGCCCCTCAATAGAACGGCGAAGATCAGCTCGCGTTTGAATTTTCATTTTTGATTCACACAGTGTTCGCACTTCTCGGATTTGCTCGAGAATTTCGGAAATTAATCGACAAAACAAATGGCGTTTTTTTTTTCTTCAAAAACGGGGTGCTTGAGAAGGGGCTTGACGAGTTCATCGCGAGTATTTGCGTTGTGGAGCTGCGAATTTTAGACGTACACAAACAACGATTCGCGAAAACGACAAACGAAGGCGACGCATTCGTCTCACACATTTTGGACATAAATGGATCAAGCTCAGAAAGTCAGAGAGCATTTTGTAGTGAAGATTTGGGTACAGTCTTAAAATATTCGAGATGCTCGAAAAGTTGGTAACGCATTTGCCTTTCAAATATCCAACAAAAAGGTGCGACTCGAAATGAGTGCCTAACTATTAATCAGCAAGTCTTTCAATTGAATCATACCTGCGACGACGATCAGTGCCAAAACGGCGAGAAGGACAAATCGAAGGACACCAGCGAATTGCATCGTAGTCTTTCAAAACGCGTCGCGAGCTTGAAAATGAGCCGAACATGGAGGCGGAGCGCACATAGAGAGGCCCGCCGGAGTCAAACTCCGCCCCACAAAAAATTCACGTCATCCAAGATTCTTGGTGCTCCCATCGTAGTGGTTCAGATGAGACTATCGTTTACGAGTTGCAACCAAAATCCATAAAATCTATAAGAGTGGGTCGAAACAATTCGGAGGACAAGGATTTAATGGAAATTCCATGGAGATCTGTGGCAAATTTGAAGATATGGGCTCAAATTTCGAAATTCAATGTTCAATCTTAATATTTTGTTCTACCTTTTCTGAAGTTTTCTCAATTCGCGTACCGTAATCCACCAATACCGTTTCCGCTTGTGTGCGCACCTGCTACGGTACACATGAAGTGAGATAATTGTCGTGTTGCGAGGTGCAATAATTGTTACAGTAGTCAAATTACAAGGATGCGTACCGACACAATATGATATTTGAGAATCCAATTGACTTGTCGGCCTCAACAAAACCAGGGGTCGGTGAGGTGAAGTGAAATCATACTTGTCATCCACCGACTTTACTAAACATGAAGGTGTCGCTGAACGTTGAAGCGGAATTTGAGATGAAAACGGTTAATGTTTTATTCATTCCACAAAAAGGCATCCTGAGTAAACGAATATAAAGTTTCAAATTTGCAGGAAAAAATGTTAGGAATGGGTGTGGAAGAAATAAAATGCCATTGGATCGACCAAAGTTCTTGTCATCTACTAACTACCGGTCAAAAACTAATTAAAAGACCATGACAGCATTTTTCTTTTGTGAATTGTCACATAGTCTTTTACTAATCGTTTTTGTGGGCATTGACGTATCAAATTATTGTCATCGTTCCATTCCTATTTGTCATTCTTTAGTTTTATGTAGTCCACAATCACTCGCATTTCTTTTTTTCTCCCTGTGGAAAGTCTTTCTTCCAAATTCTAATCGAATTTTATTACATTTGATTTTCAATTTTATTTGGCAAGAAAGTATCGTTAAAAAATAATTAAGCGAATTAAACCATTAAAAATTTGAAATTCATAAAATTAATAACTGTGTGGTGTGAAAGTTCGTCATGGTATATACGTACTTATAAAAAAATTTAATTTTTAGCTCAAATTTTGAAAATTGTAAGAATGTCAAAGATCAGCATATTCAAAGTATAAACATAAAGAAAAAATCTTCTTCCAAACCGTTCTTTTTTTTCAAATTTTATCGTATTCTTTTTAACATACAAGTCGAAACTCATTTTTTGTATGAGATTAGTGTCAACAAAAATGTTTATTTTAAAAATATTTATTGACATTTCAATGATAAAACGTCGCATATTTTGTGTCGTTTCACGTTTCCTGATTTATTTTGCACTTTGAAAACGATGAAATCCATCGCAAAACGTTTTTCGGTTCTTGCAATTTCCCGATTCGATAGACGTGTGATATCTAACAGTTGTCTCTCGATGCTCTGCGTCTCTCATCTCTCATACACTCTTATCGGTTTATATGTTTTATCAAACAAAATACACCAAATATCATCATTTTTCTCTAGAAGAACATCATACGAATGGAGACCCTACTATCGGCTGGACCACTTCGCGACACGTTGATCTATTATGGTACGGTGACAGCGAGCTGCGAACTCGCTCGACATGTTTGCGATAGATTTCTCGACAAAAAATCCACGCTTTTTCTGTTTGCCATCGAATTTCTTGGAACACTTCAAGTAACAACAACGATATTCGAGAATGGTATTCTGAAATCAAACGGAATTCATTCAATTTATCATTAATAGTTCAGGTGTTGTTGACATTTACTTTGGTCGCCAAATGTTCGCATTGACACTTTTCACAATGGGATTGGTGTTCGCGTTTTGCACTCGCGGAGCATTTTGCTCACCATTGGCACCATTCGAACAATACGTTTTCGGCAAAATGAAGTAAGCTCATTCTATTGTCGACGCTGAAATTCTAATGAATCCTTTTCAATCTGAAAATTCTTAACAAAAAGAGGGTAAACTCATTGTTTTTTATTTTCTCAAGGCTAAAAGAATTTATTCGAACGATCATCGCCCAATTATTCGCCGGATATTGCTCATATCGATTTGCGCGAACAATTTGGACTCAAACCTATGTTCCATCGGAAGCGCACACAAGAATGGCATCTCTCGTTGATCAATGCCAGTTCAACCATCAAGTAAAATCGGTCCATAATTCGATAATATACTAGTTTTTTAAATTTCAGTACCAATTGTATGTCCACTTAGCGTTCGAACTAATCGGCACATTTATCGTTCGTCACGTTCTCGTTCGCGCAACTTCCGAAGAACGCGATAGTCGAATTCGTACAATCTTTCCCGCATTTTTCATGGCAATGGTCTTCACCGGAAGTGGGTTTAAAAACGATTTTTTTTTCATAATTGAACATTTAATACGACCATAATAACCACTGAAAATCTAGTTGATAAAAGACCAAAACGATTTTCAGCTGTCACCTATGTCGGAGATCAGGCTCTTGATCCACTAGTGGCAACCACATTGTTCTACGGATGCCGCGGAATTGACGTTCAACAATACATTCTCATCTACTGGCTTGCTCCAGTTGTCGGATGGCTCGCTTCTGCCTATGTCGACAACTCCAAATCGAAGAAGCTCAAGAACAAGGTAGAGAAGGAAGAGAAGAAGAAGCTGAAGAACCAAAAGAAGAACAACTAAATTCTGTAGTTTTTCTGTAGTTTTTTTTTCCGGGTTTCTACCGATCACTTGCCATTCAAAAATGCTTCATATTATATGATAAAACTTTAAAAAATACACAAGAAAATTAAAAAAAAACAATCCTCTGAAAAAGTCAACAACAAAACTGTGAGCAATTTGATAAAATATGATACTAAGAGCTTGTAATGGAGCACTTAAGGTTTTGGTTGCAACAAGAGATAGTAAATGGTCTATTTATATAATATATATTAAAAATAACTGCGAGTAGACAGGATGTTATCAATAAGAAATTATATACAGGAAATCGGAAACAAAAATTAAACTGGGCATTCACGAGACCATTATATCGTGCAAGGTGTGCGTGTATGTGTTGATGAGGAATTTGCATTAATAAGTTACATAGAATCACGATAAAACAAAATGTGCAACAATAATCGATTTAACAAAATCATTATCAAGATTTTCAAAAACGAGAATATCTAAATTCTATAAAATGCCCTATCAACTCCGACCAGCGGAAGGAAACCGGAATAAAAAAGAGATTACTAAGCCACGTCTTCTAATTCATCCACTTGACGCAATTCGGCGCACCGCACAAGCACGGAATCTTATCCGTCGAATCCTCGAGTTCGAATTGATAGTCGTATGTCAGCTGCAATTTTGCAATCAAGCATTTTATTTCAATTCATGGAATCATGAAGGACTATGATTTATTTCGATTTATTGTAGTAGTCTTGGGTTCCAGCAAAAGTGTTCCCCGTAGTTACGAGACGATCATAAAGAAGATCATTATTATAATATTACTAGGGCTTGCAGCGAAAATAAAACCCCATTATGGAAATGACGAGATGAATTTCCTATTAGGAGACTTTTTTCTTGTTTTAAGCTTTGAACCAACCTCTTCATGTGCCATTATTGGCCGATTCGCTGTGATTATAATCTTCTTGTCAGCAGGACCTGAACCAGCGTCCAAAATCCTCGTTGAGCAGTTGGGATCACACGAATGATTTATATATCTGAAAAGTTAGAATTGAATGGTTTTAAAGACTGGTAGGATTATACCTCGCTGGTCCGCCAGCCATAGTAGCATCAATGATGAGCTCCTCATCAATTCGGAACATGTAAACCCCGCGATTCTGTGCATTATAGCGTTTCTCTCGAACTTCGCCAAGTTCCGATCGAATAATTTCACCCTAAAAATCAATGATAACAAACATTATTTTACAAGAATAGAACTTGCTTTGTATTCAATGATAAAATCACCCATTGCGATGTCGCGACACGCATAAAGTCCAAGACCCTGTATTTTTGATCGAGCGAGATACACCGTGTTTCTCCATTCTTTACGCATTTTCTGGTACGCCGAGAAGATCTGCGAGTTGCTCTGAATCGGCTCCATTCCCTTTAGATACAGCGCTGCATATTCTGCCGACAATCCCAGTGCTTTGATCTGTGCGGCGGCTTGCTCATCCATAAAGTTCGTCTTCGTTCCCCTCGTTCTTCCAGTCGTCTTCGACGCCCTTTCGTCTTTCGATACCGCCGAACTCGATGCGCCCGGTTTTGTGCGATTGTGTTTGATGAGTGTACGAAGACGCGGCTCAGCACGAGCACATCCCATTGGATTCTCGGCAAGTGGTAGCTCAAGAATCGGCGTGCTTCCATGTCGCAAGTTGTAGCTATACATCGTGTCAACACCAGGAAGCTAAGAATGAACATTTGCTCACAATAAACTGAAATAAGCGTTACCGATTCGGTGATTTTCGTGATCACGTTCTCATTCAATCCATACAGCGTTTCTCCGTGAATGTGGCCGCTGAAGAATCTAAGCATATCCACAGCTTGTCGCACCTGATGGACCTGCTCAAACACTGGCTTCCAAGCTTCTAAAACAGGAATTACAAATAAACAAATAGTAATAATAAATTAGTGAATACCAGTAGCATTTCTTCCAGTATAACAAATCGCTGGATTCTCAACAGATTTAACTGTGAAGAACGGCTTAATGTCCTTATCAGAGATGGTACATTCGAATAGCATTCGATCACGATGCGAGTTTGGCGACCAGAACCAACGATGCACTTTGTATCCAACCGGATAGATGAAGTTGGCATTATGGAAGGATTTGAGTTGTTCGGGGAGCAATTGGCCGATGTTGTAGAAAGTGAGAGCACCAAGACGAAGACACAATTTTGGACCATCGCTGAGCTCAAATAGTTTCGCAAGGAGCTCATTTTCATCTCGTTGTATGTAGATACGACGAAGAGCGTCCAATCGAGTCACAGTCACGTTCGTAGTCACTTGCTCATGATTGCGACAGATGAATGTCTAAATATTGGAATTCGAGTTATAGAAGAACACATTCAAGTTTTACCCGATCTTTGATGAAGAATCCGTTTGTTCTCTGGGCACATAAAACGTGGAAACTATACATGCAGCCCATTTTATGGCATTTGATGCTTGCACCAGCACGTCCGCACAACCCGCAAAACACTTTGCTAGCACGGATGACCGCCCTATCAACATGCATGAGTCCACCAGTCGGATTTTCGAACACTTCGGTGCTCCAAAGGGCACAGTTAACATGAACCCAAATGTATTCGGTGAGAGACAAAAGACGTCCACATTTCGATGGTTCGCCGTCTCCACGCATTCCACAAAGAACACATTGGCGTTGGTCGAGCTCGTGTGGCGGGAAAGGCACTCCCATTTTTGGCGCATTGATATAATCTTGGTGAACAATTTGAAGGTTCTTAAAGGAGAGCTGATGATCGGCAGTGTACGTCGTCCATTCATCTGAAGGCGTCTTCGTCGTCTCCGCTGCAGAAGCAGCTTCGTTAGTTTTAGTCAAAGTGCTGACAGGAATCATCTAGAAATTTTATTTTCGACTATGAATGAAACATAAATTATTACCGTAATTCTCTCCTTTCTGCCCTCATCCATCATGAATCTTGTATCTTTTGGCGATATCAATCCTTCCATAGACACCGATGGCGCACAAGAGAGTTTCGATTTTCCTTGACTAATAGCCTTCACCAAATTATCGGCATGAATCTGCTTGAGACGATTGAACGTTTCTTCGCTGACATGTTGCTCGGCAGCATTGATCTCTTCTTGCGACAACGAAACCTTTGACGTTGCCATTAGCTCGAAATAGCAGCGCATCGAGCAGAACGAAGCCGTCTCCTCATTAGCTTCATCAGGAGCATCAGATGGAAGGAGTCCAAGTTTTCCCATTTTCTGGCGAACACATGAAACACCTTCAATCGACTTCGAACAGTGTTTACATCGTTCCGATTCGATCTCCTTCTTGATCACTTTGTTCATTATTTGCGATGATGGAGAATCACTACCATCATCAACTTCTGAAAAAAAGTATACGGTCGATCTACAACAAATTAATTAAAATTGTTACCCATTTTGATGGCCTTGTCCTCAACATTTTCCTCATTTTCATTAGATGGTCCGACCGAAGGAGAACGCGGCGGCGTATCGATTCGAACATTCAAATCTTCCTTGAGACCGAGAATATCCTTGATCTTCTTGATGACTTCCCCAATACTTCCCTTCTCGTCGCAATTTTCGCTCTCTTCAACGCTTGCAGTTATGGTGACTTCAACATCACCTTCTTTGCTTTCCTGAACACGAATTGAATTTATACAAAATTTTAGACATTGAACAAAATACCGCGTAGAACATTCGTCGCAATGGCTCGATTGGAATCGGAACATCAAATCCTCTCGAACTGGTTCGAATGTGCTCCAACGGATTGAGACGTCTCGAGTTGAGCCAATTACTGAGCACTGCCAATGGATGATAACTTGTTGATGGCTGATCGTATTCATCGAAAATAAATTCATCTTCTGGTGGAGGCGGCTGACTGTAGAATGCCGCAAGATTCGCGTTCGGAATTATTTCATTCATCGATGTGTCTTTGTGGAAAAGAACACGCGAAGTGCGATCATTTCCAGTGAAATAATCGTCAACATATGTCATTGTTAGCTTTCCAAAATCGTCACCAGTCAGCACATGACGATCTAAAGTCAATTAATTACAAGTCAATTACGAATGATATTTAATTCAAACCTGATTTTTCATTGATATCCGAAATTGCCATAGTTGAGAAAGCAGCACCCGGATTTTTGAGTGGCGGTTCTTTGGCTCTTCTTGGAATCTCTTGGCACAAACGGAATCGAGTACGCATTTTCTCAACCCAACCATCATACTCACTTCCACTATTTAAGGATTGCGCCGCCTGAATATTTGTTTTTCTAGAGATAGAGAGCACAAAAATCAAATATACCTTTTTCTGAACGGTTCGTTTCTTTTTCGGCCTTGGTCCTTCAACAACTGGCTCCATTTGTGGAGCAATCATGTTCGGAGGCGGATGTCCCGGCGGAAGATGCGGTTGTGGGCCAGCAGCTGCTGGATCTAACAATCGTTTTAGCATGTTATTCTCCTTTGGTGGCCCATCGATGCAAATCGAAATGTGGATAATAACATCGTCGAGCACTTCGTACACCTCCTTCTCGATGATGTTGGTAATCTGATCAAGTCGAACGCCGCCGAGAATCATTGATCGCATAGCTCTTCTCTGTTGTTGTTGCTGTTGAATAATCATTCGCCGCTGCATCTCCTGTTGCTGTTGTTGCTGAAGTGTCAATGGAGGTCCACCAGGACGGACCATTGCTCCAGGTGGTGGCGCTGCACCAAACGGCATTTGTTGAGGAACTCGCATCGCGTGCATCGGCATGGGAGCACCCGGTGGAATTTGGGGTCCTCCCGGTTGCGGCGGAACCCCGGGCATTCGCTGCTGCATCTGCATCATTTGTTGCTGGCGGATCATGTTAATTCTGGCGGTATCGTGAGCAACAGCAACTTGTTGATTCATCATCTGAGTCTGTTCGATCATTTGCGGTGTCACCTCACTTTCATTTCGAAGAATCGCATTCTTCACTTCGAAATCCCTAACAGAGCTCTCGTGAAGTTTCAGCTCGCGTTTCTGATTCTCTAGCTCCGATTGTAAAGTTTTTATGCTGTCGGTGAGCTGAAGGAAGCACAACTTATCCGCTTCGTTCAAATCAACAGGTCTTCCATCGTAATCTGGCGACTGCGAGACGGTCTTCGCCATCTGCCTTTTCTTTGCCGCCAGATTCTTCTTCTGCTTTCTCTGTTTGGCGAGATCCGCGTCAACAGCCAACACGACCTTCTCAAGATCGCTTAACTTGTCCAACATTTGTCGATATTGCTGATGAACCTAAAAACATTGGGCGTTTACAAAATAATTACAATAATCAAAAAATCGAATACCTCCGGAGTAAGATGACATGTGATTTTGACTTGCTTCGGTGGTGGAACACTTTCCTGATCATATCCTGGAGTGCCGCCGCCAATCGGAACAGCTGGTACTTTGAATCCATCGCCTCTTCCCATCTGGTTAGGCCCAGGAGATTGAGTGGTCGGACTGTCCACAGATGTAGAATTTGCAATAGCCTAAAATTAAATTATTGAAATGGTAAATCGAAAAACTCGACATACACGACGCGGCCGCGGCTGTCTTCCGCGGTTCGTACGATTTTCACGGGCACGATTCACATATTCTTGACGTTCTTCAGAGCTCAACGTACGCCAGAGTCTTTGAATTTGCTTCACACGATCCGACCATTCCGGATATTGTTCCTTTAAATGCCCGTGCTTTTCGTTAGCATACAAAACAGCGGCAGTGGTAGCTTGCAATCCAAGCGGCTCATCTTCTTCCCATCTAGAATATTACAATGAATCATCCTTCACAAAAAAAATGATACCTTTCAGAGAACTGGTAGCGCTCTGGAGCTTCAGCGTTTGTCGAGCTATTCCTGGGCGCATTGGCTCTAACAGGAGCCGGCGCGGTAGTTTGAACCGGGGGCGGCTGAGGCGGCATTGCCTGCGCAAAATTATTTCCATTTTCATTCAATGGAAATTGTGGTGGATTTTGTTGGAACTGGACACCTGATGATGATGGTTGATCCATGGAGAATGCTAAAACGAACCATCGAAGTCAGTTAAAAAATAAACAAAAATTCAATTTACAAGTTGGTTCAAAAGGCTTGATGTCTTCTAAATCGGTTTCTCCATTCGTATCACGTTCCAAACCAGTCAAACTATCCTCAAAATCGTCGTCGTATTCATCATCATTGAAAAGCAATGACAAATCGACGTTATCCAAATCCGTATCCATCTCGTGCAAGTCCATATTTTCCAAGAACTCGTTCTAGAAAAATCGAATTAAATGTTTAAATACGTATTTAAATGTTCCAATTACCTCATTAATATCATTTCGCAGCATCTCAGTTGCTTCTGAAGACAATTCATGCCCGGTTTCATGCTGTTGTCCAATTCGACCATTCCCATATTCGGCAAGAGACGGCTCTTCCACGGAAATATCGACAAGAGTTTTGCCTTCAACAGGTGTAATTCCGAAAAATGCTTCTTGAATTGCTGGAGGGTACGCGTCTTCGAGTTGAGATCTGAATTATTCATCATCATTTAGATATGATCTCAACAATGGTTTTCATACCGTCTTGGTTTTCGAGGTCTTTTCATTTTCTTCACGTCATCGTCGTCAAGACTATTCATGGCAGCAACTTCTTCCGTCAAAGCCAATACGCGATGTCTTGGAAGTTTCGCGTAAATTCCTCCTATTCCGATACGATGTGTTCCACGACGTCCGCCAGGATTTCCACGACCTCGTCCACGCTGGACATAAGTAGTTTCAGGATCTTCTGCTGGGTTATAATCATCGTCTCCGTCTGAAAATAGTAACACATTTTGAAAGCATCAGAAAAGTGAAAATAAAAATATCTTACAATGATCAAATGAGTCACGATATCCGTACGTTTCAAAAGATGGCCGACAGAGGCTCGGCATGAATTTCGATTTCAAAACTTCGTCGGCATTTTTACTCAGCGCAACGTTATCACAAATCACAACGTTCGCACTATCTGTTATTTAAATTCAATTATTAATCAAATTTATTTCCAATTCATTACCGAAACCAGCAGCAATGATACTCTTATTTGGTCTACATGCCGTGCATCTCATTCGGTTCAAGGCTGCTTGCTCAAGCATCTCATCGTTATACAAATTTTCGCAAACTCCGTGTTGCCATCTGAAATAAGAAAAGTATTATAACGATAAACTATCGATTGCTCACTTGTGACATTGACTGCATCGAATGAGCTTATCACCAACGTTGTAGGTTTTCTTGCATCTTGGACAACCTCGTAGTGAATTACACGGATGACAGATTCCGTCTCGAGTCAAATCGCTTCCCAGATTCACTTTTATGTTGCAACGGCGACATCTGGCACACCATTGGCAACGCCACGGTCCACTGGGAATCTGTTCAAGAGGCGGCCGAAGACAATAAATGTGATATGAGATATCGCATTCTTCGCAGAGAAGAAGCTTCGACTCATCCCCTCCGTTTCCGCATCCTTCGCAGACTGTACAATCAAGACAACGCCATCCGCGGAACATTACTGTGGAATTAAGCTGAACATATAATTATTGTTTTATTAAATCCAATTTCGTCGAAACCTTATCATGTAAGCCGACACAGTAAGTGTGATAAGTTTGTGCGCAATTTGAGCAAGCGACCATCGAACTTTCAGTGTCACGTCCAACAGCGCCACAAATAAGGCAAATGCACGCCTGGATAATTTAAACTAGACTTTGAACATAATAAAACGGAATACCTGTTTTAAGAATGGATCACTGGCGTTGCAAACAACGATTGTCCGAACATATTCAGCGTCATCCGCTCGTGTAGCTGACTGTCTTGAAGTCTCATCTTCCATCATAAGCTCGTCGACTTCGCGAATGGCTGGAGGAATATTCACTGGTGGATACATCGTCGGTGGTGGGAAAATATTCGAAGGCTGATTCTGAACAAGTTGCTGCATCATTGGCGGTCCTTGCATTGTATTCGCGGTTGATCTTAAATTAATTTTTAAATTTTAACTCGTTTATTTTAATAATAGCAGACCTTCCCCGTCCCCGTCCGCGGCCGCCACCTTTCGCTGGAGCTTTTGTACCACGCTTTCCGCGTTTTCCACGCGTTGGCTGAGTTAAAGCTTGAAGCTGAGCTGGAGAATAGAAGCCGGTTTGAGGGATGGTTGTTTGTTTTTTAAGTAGCGACGTTCCACGAGTTGGCTTCTTCTTCGCACCACTTTCGGCCCCACGACCACGACCACGGGTGGATCCTGGCACGAAATCCTCGTCAATATCGGAACTCTCCGCATAGAACGGCGAATTTCTAGCGCTATCGTTAGTCGCCCCGTCACTGATTTCGTCTATTACATGAGGTTGCGGCAGTGAAGATGGCTGGTGTTGTGGATAGATTTCGGTGAAGTCTTGAGGTGGATTTGGAGGCAAACTTGGCTGTGTAAAAGAATTGCTTATAGATTGAATCGATGGGGCCAACGTAATATGTGAAACTGCTGAAAATGCATTTCTAGAATGGTTGAAACCAGTAATTTTATTACTTGACGGCTCATGTAGAGGAGACAAAGTGTCTCGACTTGCGGCGGTAAGCATTATATCGGAAACCATTGGAGTTCTTCTACAATTCATGCAAACAAAACCTTCGAGACCTGCTTCACTCGAATCGCAGCTCAAATGAATCGACCTATTAAAATAAAATGTATTGACAAAAAAATGAAAATAGGAAGATACTTTTTGCATTGCGTGCAGTTTCGAGAATCCATTTGAACTGTGAGCGCGCACAATCCACAAACATTAATTGCCGATGCCATTGCACTCTTTAAATAGTAGATTTGATATAAATTGATTATTTATTAAATGCAATTACCTGCAGGCATATATTACCAGACATTCCGTTCATATCCATACAAAGCTCACATAGTTCGCCACCATTAAACGCGGTACCACCGCATTCTATACACTAAAAATAAAAAAAATGTATAAAAACTATATAAATTAACGCTTTAAAACTTACAATCATCTCCGATCAACTATCGTTTCATAAAAATGCATCAATGGTGTTGAAAAATGAGCAGCCTTGTCAGTTAACCTGTAATATTTCGATTTTACTTTATTTCACGTGATATAAAAATAAGCCCAATAAGATTAATGAATAAAAATAAATAAAGGGAATGAAGGAATAAAATAAATATGTTTGAAATTCAAAAATCCAGACACAAATTTATGAAAAGGCGGCAAGAACGCTCTATATCGATCTTGGGCATCTTACCAATCTTGCGTCTGCGTCTCACGTATTTCACGTGGGCAAGCACGTTTCCTAACATTTCCCGCCTAACCAAGGGACGCTACGCCAATTTTCCTTCGCCGTCTGCGCCCGTTGTTGGAGAGTAGCCAAGAAAAGGTCCGCAATGGTTACGACAGATTACGGACTGTACACCGAAATATACGACAGCATCATTATTTTAATTTTTTTATGTTTTCACTCACCAAATATTTAAGTATCCATAAATTAATTCTTAATAAAATTTTATAAATTTATATAACGAATGTTTTTCTTCACTTTATTAAAAAAAATTTTTGACAATGATTTAATCACAGTTATATTATCTTAATTTTAGGGTACATTTTTTATTTTTCGTAATGATTTTCAAAATATTCAATTTCGTCTTAAAGTCATTTTCAAAGTTATATAGTTCTCTGCTATATTTTTTTCCTTATTTACGTTCTTTTGAATGCAGATTATCTCCAGGTGAACATTGATAACCAACATCGAACTGATCAGCTGAAAATTACGATTCATTTTTAGTGGTATACTCGACATTAAAATTAACTTTACTTTCAGGAAAATCAGGTATTCAAATAAAACTGAATCCATGGCTGAAAAATTCAAAGTAATTTACTAAAATTTACGCCAAAAAATGCATTATTCAGGCATTCGTGGGAAATCTTCCACTAGATTGCATTACGAGCGATATTGAAACTATTATTCAGTTTCTCGGCTGGGATGAATCAACGGTTTTGGAAAATTCTAAACAATACAATTGATTTTTAAAAATCCTTTTTTGCAGACAAAACAATGCGAAATTTTTATGGTACACGATAAAGAATCCGGTCGATTCAAAGGATTCGCATATGTCTCATTTCCGACAGAGGAACTTCTGTTGACTGCAATTGAAAACTTAAATGGAGTGGTATGTTTATTTTCAAATATTTTAAAATGCCATAAAAACGAGTCTCAACAGAATTTCGTAAATCGTCCTTTAAAAGTGAACCGAGCTCTGCCACGTGAACATGGTCGAGGAGGCCGTGGAGGTGGTCGAGGAGGTCGTGGCGGTAGTTTTGGTGGACGGCGGAATGATAATCATAATGAAGGACATGGTGGACATCATGGTGGATCAAACGGCGGAAGAAGACCACGGAACAGGGTGCGAAGTCGTCGTAGTGAAACAGAACAAACTGAGACTGGTAAAAACACGGCAATGTGGCACCATTTTGTATCATATTTGCAGCAGCGCCAGCCCCGCCATCTGAGCGTCCAAGGCTCAATTTGAAGCCGCGTTCTACTAATCCTGAAGAAATCGCTGCTTTGAAAAAGAAGGAAGAGGAAGAACTCGCTAAACGTATGGAAAAACTTTTCAATTAAAATTACCTACTATCTTGTACAAATTACGCGTACCTTGCTCTGGGAACGGTAATCTGTTTATTAAAATTCAATCATTATTTTCTTTGCTCATTGTTTTTTTTTGTTGTTTTGAAGTCACTTCACTTGCAGTGAAACACATTGTTCTTAAAGTAGGCTTTTCTAGACACTTTTGTTTTTTTCTTTTGCTAATAATATATGAAATAATCAGAAAATCCTCACAAAACAGACCTTGCCCTATAAGATGCTTAACTTACTTCTTTCTTGAAGTTTAAAATCTGTTCTTTATTGTTATCAAAAATTTTTTTTCGAATAAATAAGTTTAAAAACTCAATTTTTACATACAAAAATAACGATACGATTTTAACATTCGCATTATCTTATTTCCCGATCTTGCATGATTTCGATTTGTCATCAGTTTTATTCAGAATGTCAATGGAATCTCGAGTTCGAGATTTGTTGCAAGTTTTGGAGCCAAGCCATTTGGTAATTTCTGCCGTCGAATGAATAAACTCTGTTTGTTTAGGTCGTTATTGATGAATCTGACGGATGCGGAGCAAAAATTAAAGTAGAAATTGTTTCCGAGCATTTTAATGGAAAATCGACATTAAATTGTCATAGGTGTGCTAATTTTAACGTTTTTTTTTAAACTTTTAACTCTAACATTTCAGACTCGTCCAGGAGAAGCTCGGAGATACTCTCAAAGAAATCCATGCCATTACAATCCAGGCGTACACACCGGAAAAATTCGCCGCACGGCAATCTTCCTAATTTCTCATATTTGTAGAAATAAATATTCACTCAATAATTCATTATCATCTATTATTTTTTCTCTCGCTCTGGTTCCTAACCACTACCTATTTTCGTTTGGTTTTTGTGTAATTTTCTTACTTATTAACAGTTTTAGTCATGTTCGTCGCGTATTTAGTGCAAAAGCTCAACGGGAAACGAGAGAAACCAGTTGAGGAGTTCGAGGATGAGGAAAGCGATGATGATGATGAGCAAGAGAAGGTTTGTTGCGCGTTATACCAATTCTACTACTATTACGCTTACGCATTTTCAGACTTACGCTTACGTATGAAAAATTACGTTTAGTCATAGGTTAGAAAAGCGGTAGGCCCTTCTTCACGTTGAATTTTTCATTTTGAAGAGAGTTTTTCATTAGAAATGCGCGTTTTCAATAATTGAAGCTATTACTCAGGTAAATGAAAACCAATCGGATTCGAAAATAATTCCTTTTTCAATCTAAATCGAATTTAAATTAATCTGTTTCGAAGTATTCCAAAATTTCAATCGAATAAGATTTCAAAATTGAAAATGAGAAATAAATCAATTGATTTCGATGATTTTTGAATCGAAACCAAAATTTAAAATCGAATTTAAGCGTTTTCTTAATTGAATTTGAATTATTTTTCAATCGAAACAGGTTAATTTATATTTAAGTTTTCTTCGAATCCGATTGATTTTCATTAACCAGAGTATATACAGTGCTCCACATAATTATACGGTCAATTGATTTTTTCTCAAAATTTCGAAAATTTTGAAAGTTTCGGGAAATCTTCCCATTGAATAATTATCCACATTTAGCAGCATTTCATCTGTTTATAACAAAAAATTACAAAAATAATTGTACATAATCTTATCATAAAATTAACAAAAAAATTGAAAATTTTCTTCCACATAATTATACGGTCAGTAATGAGATATGATGCAAAACGATTCAAAAACGTAAAAATAAACAAAGAACATTTCTTAATAATCAACTGGACCACCATTGCATCTGACTATATCAAAAATACGGTTATCCATTGATATATATAGATTATCAAGAAGTGTTTGATCAACAAGTTTCCATGAAGCGATAATCGCTTTTTTGAGGTCCGAAACATTGTCATAACACTTGTTACCCTCATAAATTTTTCGTACCATAAATCCCCACACATTTTCGATTATGTTCAAATCAGGAGAACAAGCTGGCCAATTCAAAATTGGGATCTTTCTGTCATTTAACCATTTGATTGTTCGACGAGCACGGTGACACGGCGCTCCATCTTGCATAAAAATAAGCTGGCGGTTGCGATTTCGGTGCCAAAATGGCATCAAACCACGCCTCAGTGTATATCTGTAGTCGGAGCCACTCATTTTTTTCGAAACAAAGCATAATTTGATGCGACCGTGTGAACTGATTGCGGCCCAAACCATTACACCTCCTCCTTTAAAGTTTCGGCGGGAATAACGCAGTTTCTGTTTACGAAGATCGTGCCAGTAATTGCGGAATCCATCTGGTCCATCGCAGTTAAACTTTTTTTCATCGGAAAAAATAACCTGACATATGAAACCAAATTTAAAGAGTGCAGCTGCAATCCTAACCTGAGTACAATCAGTATGCTGATTCTTTTTGGCGAATTGCAATCGATTTTCTCTGTGGATTCGGGTCAGCATTGGTCCTTTCCTCATTTTCCTGTTTTTAATAAACATGCTCTTGCTTAAAACCCGTCGGACGGTTTCATTGGAGACGGGAAGTTTGAGTTCGCTTCTGATTTTTGAACAGGAGATGACTGAGTTTGATGCTCTGCGTAGAATTCTACGCTTTTCTCGGTTCGAAAGGAGAGATGGGCGGCCAGTAGACTTTTTCGTGCCATATTCTGCTGGATTGGCCGCATATCGAGAAATTACGTCTTGCGAACGGCCCATATCTCTCGAAATTTGACGATGAGAGAGCCCTTGGGCTAATTTAGCGTCAATTTGACCTTTTTCATACTCTGTGAGCTTTTTTCCTCTACTCATACCTAGAAAACAATAAACGTTTATTTAAAAAATTTTCGAGTACTTGAAAATTGAAAAAAAAATTGAAAAAAGGTCAAAAAATAAAAGTGACCGTATAATTATGTGGATTTTTTTTTTTCGCACTTTTTCGAAAAAAATGAGAAAAAATTCGTTGGTCATGTTAATTTCGTATTCGCTTCAGGACCCAAACTGGATGGTTCGGGATATTCCTTTTGCTACCAAAACAAAATTGTATTCCCAATAGCAACTCCGTTTTTGTTATTTTTGTTGTTGACCGTATAATTATGTGGAGCACTGTATATATAATTTTCGTGAAAAGTATGCTACTAGCCTCCGATTACGTACCAATTTTGAAAATTCCGCTCAAAAATATTTGACATACGATAATGCAAAAGAACAATTGCTCATGCCAATACTGTTTCTCACGTTTTGGCCACAAATGCCCAACTACTCTTATCTAGACTTCTAATGTGCAATATTTCCAAAATTCGAATTTATATTCAGGTTGATCCAAAGCTGAAGCGCCAATTTGAAAGTGCTGCTTCCCATTTCGCAACTATTGTTTCGAAAGTTCCAAAGGAAGTGGCTCTTGAACTTTATGGAATTTACAAACGCGCTACCAGCGGACCAGCTGGTATAAATATTTTTTCTTTTAAATCTTGATTAAATTCCGTGTTCAGATCCAAACTCTAAGCCAAACTGGTATGAGCAAGCAGCGCGACTGAAATATGATGCTTGGACAAAAGTATGAATAAAACTTTAATAAAAAAAATATCAACATTATTGTTTAACCACAGCATTCGCATTTGACCCGTGAAGATGCCCTTAAAAAGTACTGCGATATTCTGAAAGGAATCGATCCGAGTTGGGATCCGTCGCAAGCGGCAGCTAGCGGTACTTGGGGTAATCGGCCAAGCCGCATGGCTGATATTGAGGTTATTTTAGAATTATTATTTTTTTTTTCAATTGATTAGTTTTTAAAGCCGGAACTTCTCGGAGATATGTTCATTGTCGAGAATGTTAAAATGGAGACACCAATCCAAAAGGAATGGTTCGCTGCAATGCGTAATGACGATGTTGCGACCATGAAGAAGCTTCTCAAGAAAGATCCTGACCTTCTTGAGGCCAAAGATCAACATCTTGCCGTATGGGCATTTGTTTGTCAATCATCATTTAGTAGAAATTGTTCAGATGACGGCTCTGACTCGTGCTATTGACCAAGGATGCGAAAAAGTGGCTCAATTTCTGATCGCCAGTGGAGCTGATGTGAACGTAGTTGATCAACAAGGCCAGACGCCACTCCATTTCGGTATTTCTCCATTGAATATATTGATTATTTCGAATTTTAGCGGCACAATGTCACCGAATGCGCTTAAGCGAGCAGCTGATGGCTGCAGGTGCAAATAAAAATGCACGCGATGTTGATGGAAAAACTCCAGCCGAATGCTGCGACGATCCGGCTCTTCGTTCTCTTCTCCGATCCTATTAATGCTTTCACACTAACATTTTTGTATAATAACGCTTCAAAATTTTTATAATCGATTCCGTTTTTTTACTGGTTAGTCGAAAAATCTTCCGCTGATTTAGAGTTTCCTCGATTTTTCTGGTTATGAGGACTTTCTTTTGTTTCAAATTTTCCCACATTCGTCCTTCCAAAAATCGTTTTTCGTGTAGTATTAAGTTGGCTTTACCGATTTTGTTGAAATTTCATAATCATCCTTCCATAGTATCAATTTATTCAAATATTGTCGAAGACCGACAAATTTATAGGAGCGTTGCCAATTTTGGTGTCATGGTTATGCAATCATTATTGTTTTTATTTAGTGGGAAATGCATTGCAAATTCAAAAATTTGTCAAAATCGTCCATCTTCGACAATGTTCATATTATATGATTAAATTATGTTGGTTATGATAATTTTTCTAATTAATTATACATGTTTTCTCCAAGTCCAACTTTGTTGTCCCGGATGAATGAATAAATAATCTCGGTTTTCCGGATTATTTATTCCATTTTTGTGTGTTATGAATTGCAAATCGAGATTTTCTTCCATATAATTACTGCGATGAATAGTAAATAAATGCACGTTTTATTTGTCGTACCGAATTTGAGCATTTTCTTGTTCAAAGTCTTTGAATGATTGTTGAGAATTTTTACGATCGCAGCTTTGAATCTGAAACTTCTAAGAATCTGCGGATTAACTAAAATACGACGTAAAACGATTTTCATGCGTAGCCTCATATCTCAAAACAATTATTGTCGGCGTCAAACGACTTGATGGGGGCGTGGCCTTCAGTATATCGTAACCAGTGTAGATTTACGAGCGGGTAGATTTACGCGCTGACCAAATATTAAATGGTTTTTTTTCTCGATTTTTTAATATTAAAAAATGTTATGCGCGTTTTAATCCTGATTCCCATTGTCATTTGCATTCTTATAATGAGTCGACCTCCATATATACGTAAAAGTTCACGGAACTAACGGCATTTACTTAAACAAGCGAAAGAACATTTATTGAATATTTTAAGAGCAACACAACAATGTTTTATTTACCGTAAAAATAGTATGAAAATTATTGTTCAAAGGGGAAAGTCATCCGATTAATTGAGAATTCTCGAAATGCACCAAGACGCCGCACAATTGAAACTTATAACCGAAAGCCCAACGAGCGTTGATTCCAATCGCCTAAAACTAGTAATAACTTCACATGGAATACAAAATTAAAAAGAAAAATGAGTCTACAAAGATTAAAAAAAAAGATAACGTACTTTTTGGAAGAAGCTTGAAGTCGTTGAGTATTTTTTTTTCTTTTCCCTAGTATTGATGAAGCTGTGAAGTACCAAGGCGAGCATATAATTCAGAATTTTGTGTCCGTTGGAGGTTGTCTTCGAGGTTGCGCGAAGGATTCAATATATGATGCCATTGTAGTCGCTGCAACTATAATGATAAAATAATGACAATTGTAAATAAAAATAAAATAATACCCGTCTTGTTAACTTCAGTAGTTTTCAAAGTCCTTCGGCTCCTGTTCAATGTGATTGTGTTTCCTAAAATGTACTAAAAATTAAGAAACGGAAAATGATGAAGAATAAGTTTTTACAATGTCAAATTAATTAAAAAATGCCTTTAAATATATGAAAATTTTAAACTATCAATCAGCGATTATAAAAATGTAAGATAAACCGTAAAAATAAAAGAAATTGGCTAATAAAAAAAGAGACACAGAAAAATTCTCAAAAAATAACGCGCCCAAAAACACGCTGCGCAAAACACGCTGCAAAGTGTATGCCACATACACTTCTCTTCGCCTCGAGACATCTGGCAATTAGCCAATATTTTTTAAAATTTCGTCAAGTCGTTTGACGCCGACAATATTCATTCATTTTTTTGCGATTGTAATATTTAAACTTTGAAAAAAAAACGAGAGCGCATCGCAACGCGTCTGACAACATAGAAGGGTAGCAAAAACCGACTACAAAAAGAAATTGATGGCGTATGTTAAATGAAATGTGTGCAAAATTGCGTCAGTGTGTAAACAGACAAAAAGTTGATAAAAACGGCACTGGAAATTTCACGATATTCTTCTTCGAGCTTCAACTTATTTGACGAATTAGATTTCATTGAGAGGTCATTGGATATAAGAATTTAAAATCTAAACCAAGTGGTTTTTCGGTTTAACTGATTTCTAAAGCTCTGTTTTTAAGAAAAGTTTTTTTCTTTGAAATTCGAAAAAGAAGTGATTCCATCGAAACACATGTTATTTTTGTCATTTCTAACAGCATCCCCGTACCCGATCGTGGCTCATATTTCTTTCATTTTCTAATCGGGTTTCTTCGAATCAACAACGCAATGAATTTTTTCGACGAACAATTGTTGCCGTCACCATCACAACTAAATTGCACGCCTTCTTGTTGCAGTAGAATTGGCGACAAAAGAGACGCTATTGCAACAAAAATAGTCATAGTAGCACACGAAGAAACACACACACAAACACGCATCCAACTGCTGGGTTGCTTGGCGAGGGAGGGGGGGAGATGAATGAATGATCCTCAGCATCAGTGTGTGCTCTCGAGAAAAAATTCTCGAGAAAAATCGAGAAAATTAACCGGTACCGAGAGAATTTCTCTCGACAATGTCTTCGAGACTCCCGAGACTTTCCAAAAAGTACCGAGACTTGCAAGAATTTCTCGAGACTTTCTCGGGAGTCTCGAGACTTGCGAGAATTTCTCGAGACTTTCTCGGGAGTCTCGAGAAAAATCTTCCGAGACTCCCGAGAAATTCTCGGGAGTCTCGAGACCTTCACGGGAATTTTTTTAGTGAACAAAAAATTTATTTTTTCTCCTTTAAGTTCGTTTCAATACTAACAAATGCTAACAAGGGAGGTCTTTTTGCTGTCCGTCTTAAAAGTTGTCAATTTTTGCATACAGATTCTTTAGAAAATTTCCAATCGAATGAACTAAGTTCCTCCCTACCTGCGAAAACTTCTAGTACGCAAAATTCACGTGGGTGGGGCTAAAACTTTGATGGTTCATAACTCGATAACTAGAAGTTTTCGCAGGTTGGGGCCTAGTTCATTCGATTGGAAATTTTCTAAAAAAAATCTGTATGCAAAAAATTGACAACTTTTAAAACGGACAGCAAAAAGACCTCCCTTGTAAGTTAAAAGTGAATGATATGCCACCCAAACTAAATAGTCACATTACACATCAGATAAAGAAAGAATTTAAACGAATGAAGATATTTCCTACATATTTGTGAATATTTTCGAAACTAAAAGAATAGCTGTTCCGCTTTAACCGCGACGCATACGCGTCGCGTTTCGGTTGTTAATCGCGGTCGGCTAAACACGCCAACTTGAAATTTTGGTCTTGGTGAAACATATGGCACTAAAACCTTATGGTACGAAAACCTTAGACATTACTTTAATCGCAAACAATCGTATGCAAAAAAAAAAAACGATTTATTTATGTATTAATCCCCTTTTTATACGGGCGAACATTTTCAAAATATGTTGACTATGCTAGTTTTCAAAACCCTACTAGTTATCAATTTAACTACTGAATTTCATCAATAAAAAAAATCCCGAGAAAGTCTCGAGACTCCCGAGAATTTCTCGGGAGTCTCGGAAAAATTCCCGAAGAAAGTCTCGAGACTCTCGGTTCCCGTACGCGCGACTACCCGTATAGTACCGAGACTAATAATTTCGAAAATTTCTCGGTGCTTCCGGGAGTCTCGAGAATTTTGTTTCTGGGTAGTTTAGGGAATTCTCGGGAAATTCTCTCCCGAGAGCACACACTGCTCAGCATGATGATTGCCGACATGGGAGGAGGACGGGGAAAAGTGGGAAAAAGACCGGGTTTTCGGTGAGAGAGAAATCAGACGATGCCCGTTGGAGCCCCCGTCTTCAACTAGTGCTTTTCTTCCATTCCTTCGCCCCGCCAGTTCATTTTTTGTCGCCGTCCTCGCTAACTAAGCTGGTGTGATAGTTCGACTCACTCTCTGACCTCTTCCGCTAGTTTGCATATTGTTGTTGGTGCGTCAAGATTCCAGACGATTTCCGTATTTCGGCATTTCTTTCTTCTTCTTCTTCTTCTCATTTTTCGCTTTTTTTTTTATTTGAGTGGTTTCTGAATAGGGTCGTAATTTGATATTCCTAGATACTTTTTGACTAACAATTTTTTTTTTCGAAAACTCTCGCTCGGCCTCGTTCTTTCGATTCGATTTCATTTTTGCAAAAAAGTGTTTTCAATAAACTTTCATGAATATGTTTTTCCCATATTTTGTTGCACTGGGAACGTTTATTTTGCGTTGACAATACTTCTTTCGGGCTCTTTGTTTGATTTTAACCACAATTCGTCAAAACAGAAACATTCGAAAAAAATAAATATTAATTTTCTAAACTTTTTTCTTGAGAACATTGAAATCTATTCAGTGTTTTCACGACATCCGAGACCAAAATTGGAAAAGTTCAATTTGTTCACTCAGAATCCTCCACTTCTGTTTCAAATCCTTGAATATTTCATCAATTTCTCACGGGGCGGAAGTCCCAAAATTTTAAAAATCATCGGCTGCCTTTTACATGAATGATTAAATTTGAAAGATATTTTATTTTCCTAAATTTATTCTATGTCCATCCATATAAAATAAAGTATTTTTTATTAAATTAATTAGTTCGTTGAAAATATAATTACTCATATGCACCTTGATTAATTGTGGACCATCGCACTTTTTTCGTGGCGGCAATTCAAATTCAAATTTAAAGTGTGGGAATTTAGATATTATACTCTGGATAACTTGTGATTGCTGGGTTTTCGAGCATTTCCTTCATATCTCCAAATTGAATTCAAAATTCGATGATAGTATAAAGCACAAAACTCAGACCACCCGGTTCTCTATTTCATCCGTTTTGATTTTAGCAAGCGCCCACGATTCTCATATTTCATAAATCTTTTGTAATGTATTATTTTCAAAACCGAGCGAAATGACGACAACAGAGAAACTTCATATTTGTTTCGTTGGTCATTCTAATTTCGAACCATAATTAACCATTTGAAAATCGAAACAAAACGGCAATAAAAATGCAAATTTGACGGAATCGAAATTAAACGAAACGGTTCCGTGATGCTCATTGCACACTTTTTTTTTTCGGCGGCGTCATTTCATACTACTAGGCGACAAAACGAAAACCGCGAAATGATAACATTTCGGAGAAGAAAAACGGATGAGTTGCAAGCCGACAAACGGATTCGACAAATGTTGCTCAAATATTATTATGCGATCGAGGCGAAATACTCAAATTTTTTTTCTCGTTGATGAACTTTATTATTAAAATCAACACGTTTTTCTCGAAAATTCTTGTTTTTCTTCAGAATTTATACATTTTACAGAAGCGAGAAAAAAAAAAGAAAGAAATTTGAAGATTTTTTAATTGTTTCTCTTTCGGCTCGTTCCTTTATGATGTCATTTCAGAATGCATGAATTTTCAGCGAATCTCGTTTTTTCTGACATGTTTCTATTCAAAAAAAGGACGCGAAATCTCATTTCGTTTTTTTTTCTTTCGCGAACGCTTTGAATTATATTGAGCTTATTGCGTAATAGAAGGGGCGGCTCGGCGAGCCTCTCAAATTTCAATCCTCTAGTTAGAATTTCATAAATGCCTACGAATTTTCAACATGTGTTCGTTGCTTAATTCATTTTTTTTCCTGTTTTTCATCTTTCTTCATTTTTGCAATTTCTTTTCGATGAAATTTCGTTTGAAGACCCAACACAGGAAACGTACTACATATAATCTCGTGTGGGAGTCAACTTTAGAAGATTGAACGTTTTTAATCCGTAAATGATGTTCTCATAATCTCTATTAGTTGTTTACCAACCTCAAAATTGTTGAAATTCGTTCGTTTGCTTCCCAATTTTTGTCCGCAGATGGATATATTCATAACATCTTTCAACTAATTCTACTGTTCCATTTTAAACTTGGTTTCCTGGTGTGTATTATGTCTTGTGTGTGTGAGTTTTGCAAGATCGCCATAAAAATGCCCAATTACGTGTCAAAACCCATGGCTCCTTCGAGAATACTCGAACAAAAATGTTTTATTTTTATGAAATTGCACTCGAAAATCCGAATAGAAGACGGGCAGCAAAAAATTTGGCAAAAGGATGGCACGAAAAAAAGCGTTTCGTTTCGCATATTTCTTCCGCTCGACGCCCCCCTATTATATATGTGTTTCATATATGGGATTCACTCACAAAAAAAACGACGACGACGACGAAACCAATACCACATTCCGTTATTCATTGTTTGAGCGCCAAATTGATTTGCGATGAAACGAATACGACGACGCACAATTTAATTGCGACCACGTTGAAGACTTATCTCAAATTGTGCTCATTTCGAGCACTTTGCTTCAAAGGTCGCGCACGCTTTTAATCTCTCCTGATTGCCTAGGGATTACGATGTTGATAGGCATTAATTATATGTCGGGTTACGGTATTATTTGGTCAATTGTAAATTTTAGAGCACATTGGAATTATATTTGAGTGTTTCCATTTCATGTTTTTTTCGAATTTTTCTCTTCGCTTGAAACAACTTGGCAGCTTTATCTATCCATATTTGCGCAATTTTTCCTCTTCGTTCTTCTCCCTTCGAATTAATGTTTAATCGGAATGATTCATTCACCGAACACTCATGACATTTACTTTCGATCTATTTTATTGTCGGCGTCAAACAACTGAAAGGAGGCGGCGTTTTCAAATTCGCGAAATCAGTGGAGATTTAAATTTTTCGTTGACTGAATATTAAATGCGCGTACGGTATAATGTCAATGTACGTAATCTCGCGTTATTCTCGCTGCCTTGAGACGCAATAGCCAATAATTTTTAAAATTTCGTCAAGTCGTTTGAATACCGACAATGTAAACATAATTTTTTCTCAAAATAGACGGATTTGAACAAAACGAATGGTTGGCGTCAAATTGACAAATGGGAAACGTCTCGATTGATGTGTAGCATTTGCTTCCGATTGATTCGTCTAATCCGGTCTGCACGCAACATTTCGAGCTGCAGGGAGTTCGCATACTCGAGAAAGCCGTTTAAATTAAATCCCATAGAACATTGATAGATTGCAGATGATGATAAACCCGGATGTTCAAGGTCCCGTTATAATTAATTCCGTCTCACGATCCAGAAATTCCAGGGCATTTTGGGCCAGCTTGCATCTGAAATGTTTTTGATGTCTTCGGCACAAAATTAGCAAAGATGTTGACGAAAAAGTTTTGCATTTTTTTTTTTCGAAAATCTTCCAAAACGGCAAACTTCCGGAAAAAAGAACATGCGAAATTCCATGAATCGCGAATTCTATTTTTTGTGTTATCCGCTCGAAAATATTCAATTCTTCATGACGAATGCTTCATCATCATCATCATCATCATTCGAATATTAGTATTTGTGCTCGCCGCCCGCGCTCCATCGCGCAACCATGTTCCATTCATCAAAACGCAATCAAAAATGCAAACGAGCATTCCCGAATAGTCCAACGGCAGACAGACGCCGCAATCGCAAACAAGACGAAAACGAAGAAAAAACAAAACACGAAGGCGGCAAATGAGACCAATAGCTTGGGCGAAAAAAAAAGAAAAAGTAATCGGGCCGCCCGTCGCTTTTATATTGCATTCGATTCTCGCTAATTTATTTCATTTCCTTCTATGTCAATTCTTTTACGTTTACGTCTTCCCCCCATTGTTTCAATTTTAAGGAATTCTTATCAAAATTTCAAAAAAAAAACCAAAAATGATCTCATTGAAAATAAATAATAATGAAGAGTTTCCTTCGAGAGAGCATTGTCGACGTTCAAACATCTTTCGAATGAACACCGAAATGAGAAAAAAAAAGTTGTTTCCAACTAATTACACAATTCTTGAAGTTGCCTTCTTTTTCGTTTGAAAAACGTACTTTTTGGCCTTTCCAAAACGAAATTTTGGAATGGATAAGGATGGCCTTCTAGACTTGAATCAGAGAGCTCTGAAACTGGCGTGTTATCTGCTCATAATGCTTTCGAAACCTGCTCTCAACAACTTTTATCTTCATCAAAATAATTCTTGGTCCGGAAATATTCAACTTCCTCTCTCATTTCCATTCATGCATTTTTCTCCTGCTTCTTCGCAATCGGTGTTTTCCGTTTTGGTCGCGATTCGTCAAAGTTTCATTTTTTTTCGTTTTCTTTTTCATCTCGCCAAATTACGCCAATTGTTTCGACTTTGGTTGCACTTTTACCCCAAATTAGCAAAATCCTTTTTAGAGTTATTTTCATGCGATTAGTTGAATAGAGAGGATGGTCCAATTAGATCGTTTTGATATTCTGTTCAATAACTCAGAAGAGGCCTACTTCGCCGGACAAGAAATCTCCGGAAAGGTTTGATTCCTTTTTTTCGATTATTTTCAAAAAGTTGCAAACTCGTTTAAGGTTATTATCGACAATAAAGAACCAAAGAAGGTCAATGAAATATTATTGGAGTTGAAAGGAAGAGCGAGAACGTATTGGACGAAGCATTCAGGTATGCGAGATAATTGAAGCTCTCATTTCCACGTGAAATACTCATTGGCCCGTCATGAGCATTTGTGTGCTCATCATGTCGCCGATGACATTCATTCATTATAACATTATAATTGCCCCCTAATTAGTATCGTTTCAGGAAAATCTCGAAAACACTGCTCACACTCGGAGCCCTATTTTCTCGAGCAATTCAACACGGGATACACGCATAAATTTACTGTCACGAAAGATGGCAAAGAGAAGGTTGCGATTGAGAAATCACATGAATTTGTGACAATCGAGTGTTGTTTAGGAGCGAATTCTACCCGCCGGAATTCATGAGGTCCCATTTTCGTACACTCTTCCAAAATCACTGCCAACGTCATTTGAAGGCGAATTTGGGCACATTCGATACACATGCAAAGTAGGAAAACAATTCGGGGAAAGAAAAAATACAATGGTAATATGAAAATTATTTGAGGCGATTTGCGAACGACCTTGGGATTTTGATATAGTCAGTCGAAAAGCATTCACAGTGATTGGAATCGAAGACATCAATTCGGATCCGAAAGTAGTCATATTGCTATTCATTTCAAATCGAATATTTTCCGGAATTTCAGCTGAATGAGCCGGTCACAACTTGCGAATCCAATCATGCCGTCACATTCTGCTGTAGATCTTCTGGAAGTATCACCGGTGAACTCAAAATTCCCAAAATTGGCTACACACCTGGAGAGAAGATCGATGTCTCCTACAAGTTGTTACTATTTCGAAACAAAATTTCTTATAATCGATATTCAGAGTTGCCAATAATAGCTCGAAATCTCGCGAATTGAGTTTACGCTTCGTTCAAATGACGACATATCGGTAACAGAAAAAAATTTTCGTTTTGAGATAAATACTCGATGCTCATTAATTCAGAGCCAAGACATTTGCTGGTCATGAGCACGTTAAGACGGTGGTGCGGGTTATTAGCAAAATCGACAAGGGCGAGGTATACTGTAGTTTCATGAATATTCATTCGAGTATGCGCATAATTAAGGTGCCCGGAAGAACCTCGACGGACTGGCAGGAAGAGGCGATAACGATTCCTGCATTACCTCCGAGACTCGGAAAATGCAAAATATTATCGGTGACATACTCAATCGAGCTTGAGGTTCGGCAGTGTTGGTGAAAACGAGACGATTTCTTTTTAAGGTTGAGCAATCAGTTACCGTATCCTGCAATGTTGTTATCGGCTCAATTCCCCAATTATCTCAATTATTAGTCCATTCGAAACAATCCACTACTAATGGTATTATAGAATCATTGTCGGAGTCAAACGACTTGATGAAATTTTAAAAAATTATTGGCCATTGCGTCATGAGGCAGCAGGAAAGTACGCGAAATTGCGTACATTGCATTATAGCGTACGCGCATTTAATATTCAGTCAATTAAAAATATTTATATCCGCACTAATTTCGCGAATTTGAAGGCACCGCCTCTCTTCAATCGTTTGACGCCGACAATATAAAATTTTGAAATTACAAAATTATTTAGGTAACACAGCTGTTCCGAAAAGCTCCATTAAAGATAGCCCACCAAAATTGGACACGTCGAGTGAGAATTGTGTTCAAGTGACCATAACGGACGAATCGGGACAGGTCGTTGAAGAGTTGGGCAATGAAATGGAAGCCCTATTATCATCACGAAAGCGGGTTCGAATGCCGAGCTCCATACTCAGCGAGCTTTACCCAACAATGCCAAGTCCATATTACAAGTAGATGCAACTTTTCGTTTTCCTTCTAAAATATTTGTATTTTTAGGGAATCATTTTTCGGCCAATCTGACATATCAGAAGAGAAGGAGCAATCCCAATATGGAGAGCATATGTTCGCACCAAAATATCCATTCTACACTGATTAATCAGCTATCAATTCATTTTCATATTATTTATTAGTTATTATTGATTGAGAGATGATATGCCCACAAAACGGTTCAGAATTCCCTCGTTTCAACCAACACAATTGTTTGTTTTGTTGCTCGTGCCTAATAAATTCTGCTTTTTCCTTGTTTTTTTTTTTGAAAATATTATTTATATGAGAGAGAAAACCACAAAATTCTGGCCAAAAATCACGAGCCACTTTTTACGAGACATGAGAGACCCATAATCAGTGGCTCGGTTAATGATTTTTCGCTTGAAATTTATGACTTGTGAGTTTTTTTGCTCATTTTCAGATAGCAATCGCAAAAAAATGATTGCCCTTCGCAGATTTACTGGACTCTGATGAATGGTTTGTGATCGTATACGAAACAGCAGCATTCGAGTGATTTTAAGGCTATTCGCTATGCGATACTCGACTTTCCACTGTTTTAAATCAAAATTTGAATTACCGCCGCCTTGAAAAAATCAGGGTAGTCACACAAAAAAGCCGGTCCGGGGCCCTCATTGTGGTTGATTTGAATTCCCGCCACAGCTAATTGTAAATTATCTTGTTACCAATTGAAAAACAGGGTTTTCGTTGGGGCCATGAGCCCTATAGAGCCGGTCCCTTATTTTGACAGCCCTTGAATAAGTATAATGGTTCACAGCTGCAGAGTTGCACGGGACTTGAATTTTCTGGAAACGGAAGACGGAATTCCGTACAGCTCTAGTCCATACGGTGATCGTTTCTTTTTTCACATACATGCAAATTTATAATTTTTTGGTGAAGAACGAAATAAGATTGGATGTCGAATCTCATCTCTGGTAACTCAAAACCAATCGGATCCGAAAAATTCCAAATCGGTTCCGACAAAATTCGGCTCCGCAATCAACCCGATCCGATTGGTAATTCTACGGATAAGATTTGTATTTGTTCGGATCCGATTGGTAATTTCTCTGATCCGATTTGTAAATTTTTCCAATTCGGATCCGATTGGTATTGAGTTACCAGAGATTATTAAGTTTTTTTTCTCTTTGAGGAGAAGCTACTCAACATTTTCAGTCCTCCGTAGGATAGTTTGACTTGTTTATTGGACTCCCATTTTTAGTCGAGTCATCATTTGAATATCTTATCGCATTTTGATAACCACCGGGCAGTAAGTTTTCAAAAACAGTGATCATTCAAATTTTGAGTAATCAACATGCGCTACACTTCAATTTTATTGCTAGCAATTCTCATTTTCGCTTTCACTGAATGTAAGAAGCTCAAGTAAGGAGATAATAATTGTATAATCAATGAAAATAGCCATATTTAGAAGACAAAAAGTGATTTATGTTCAAAAAACAAACGGCCAAAATCAATTTGCCAAGCAGGTTGAGCTTAAAAATGCGAATTCGCCAAGAATTAGAAAATATTTCAGTTGTCCGCATATGATGTCTGTAAAATGGAATGTCGCAAGGTTAGAGATACGCTCTCGAAGCAAGAGGTTCCTTATATACTACGAATCAAACGTCAACATTTCAAAAATTGCAGTATATTGAGCAACTCCGCCAAGAGCTCGAAGAAGCCGAGATGATGCTCAAAGAGCGCGAATCAGAAGATATTGCGAAGAAAGTGACAATCGATGGGGAGGATTATACGGTGAAGCACGATGATAATAAAGGACCAACATTGAGAAAATGTTAGTCATTAATTTAAGATTTATTTTAAACATTTTTATTTTCAGCCCCTTCTCGCTTTGAACATTTGAAAATGGCTGCTGCAAAAGCGGCTGAAACTGGAAATGAACTTAAAAATGCTGTAACAGGAAGTGATTCTTAAATTTATCATTATTATTATTATTTTACAATAAAACATGTTTTAAAGTCTGAAATTTACAAATAAATGAGTATATACCCGATATTCAAGGTAAAGCATAAAACGCATACAAGTGAATGCCTAATTATCGAAGTCATCTTCGTCTCCTCTTCGTTTTAAGATATTTGACACCTGATCGGGACGAATCATTCCTTCATTTGGCTCTGATAAAGGCATCGTGTTCACGATCTGTGGCATTATTCTGAAAATATTTGCATCTGATTCAATTGCAACAAAAATATCCGGACGTACGCGTCATGATCCTCAGATTTAAATAAAACATTTGGCTGTAATTGGCAAAATCTGAAAAAAAAGATAATTCAAATTCAGACTTGATTCATCATTAGCCAATTACCTATCATTTGGAAGTTTAAGACCGTAATTATGACGAATTTGTGGAAGCGGCTGCAAATTTTTATCATTTGCCATCTGAATCATTTTTTGTCGATCGGGTATTGTGCTTTTCAAGACACCTACAAAAACGATTATTGGGATTTCTCGATTTTTTTAAAATAAAAACAAACAAGTGAATACCTAAAATGTCGCTGGCTGTTTGTACATCTTCTTCTTCGATCATCGCCTTTCCATTGTGTTTCGCTAATCCATTCGCCATTTCCAAAACTTTTACGGTTAAAGCATATTGTGCCTGAAAAAAAACCAAATTATGTATAATAATATGAAATCTTTTTTTAAAACAAGACTTCTCAAGAAAACCTACTAGAACTTTTATTTTGAAATAAATTAATTATTGCTGCGATTGTAATTGATTTTACAACTTCCTCTCTTAGAAGCGCGATTGCAAATAATTATAAATAAGAAAGAGCGCAAATTTTAAAGAATTTCAAATTCAAAAAAAAATCACTGCGTCATTATACATACTTGGTTTATTTTGTATATATATATATATAATGTATTCAATTAAATTCGTCTAGCGAAACCATAAAACAACCCTATATGACGATTCATAAATCATTTCTATTATGTCGATGACAATTCTTTTTAAAAATTCGAAAAATTAATTTGTTTGAAGACTTTTAGAAGGTGATTTTTGAGGTTTAAGTTTTTTTCTCTTCGAGGATTCAATTATACTTCCAAAATTTCGATAACTATTATTTGAATCCAACTTACATCCATAAGCATTCCAACAACTCTCGGATCATATTCCTCGACCCCACAATCCGCTAATATTTCTTGAATCGCCGCCACTTCTATGCTTCCATTTCCACCTTCTCCCATTGAGGTATCCATATCTTTTTCAGCGTCTGCCATCTAAAAATTATGGCTCGACGAACTCAAAACAACAATCGATAGAAATATATAGGCATAGACTCGCGAACAAATTGGCTAAAAACAAAATGAGTTCAATATTTGTGCTGAATATTTATTTAAACAAGATAATGCATAATGCCGATTTTATAGGAAATCAGAAGGCCAAATTGTGTACTTACATTTCGACAATAAATATTGTGTATATGAGGCAAAACAAAGACATTCGAAATGAATGAGCATGCAATTAAGAATTAAAGTTGATTTTTTGTTGTGGTATGACTTTCAACCAATAATTATGAATTAAATGAACACGTTATGAGTTCATGACGGCTCGCACAAAGTCAGCGATGTTGACGTTGCCATGAGAATCGTTGTGTCCCGCCAAAAGTTGATCGACGTCTTCGTCAGAGAGACGTTCACCTAAATTATTGCTTCAATATTATAACCAAATTTAAGTTTTCATATTTTCAAGGACGGTCGAATTTTTTCTCTGATTTAACATTAATGTAAAAAAGTAAAATTAAAAAAATCTTTTTTTTTATACTTTGATTAGAAAACAAAAATATCAAATGATGGAGTAAAACACATTTTACTTTATGGTACCAGTTAATTCAGAAAAATGTAATTTTTTCATTTAAATGAATTATGCGCGCACGTTTTTCGAAAAATTTCGCGTGTCACGTCGCAATTTAACTACTGTAACTTTTATATTTTATTTCTGGTTTATTTCTTTTTTTTTTCTAAAATCCAATGTTTGGACAAACACAGATGTAAAAACAGTGAAACGACAAGCATTTTCCCATGTGCATAGAAAATTTCAATGGAAAATTTTGATTATTAAAAATTTTTTTTCATCACATGAATGTAAATAAACGTTAGAAAATTGAAGCCACCGAGATGCTAATATAGAATAAACTAACCCAGAGTCGTTAGGAGATGTCTCAATTCAGCTACGTTGATCATTCCGTTGCCTTCTTTGTCGAAGTGCGACAATCCTTCAACGAACTCCTCAACAGTATGTTTCTCACTATAAAACATGTTTTATTATTAATTGCTCTCAACTATTATTTACCGATTCTTGCTGACTGATTGAAAGATTGGGACGAAATCCTCGAACGAAAGACGCGAGTCTCTTTCATACGAAGCCACACATCTTCCGATTTCGGCTTCCGTCGGATTTTGTCCCAAAGCGCGAAGGACATCTCCAACTTGTTGAACCGAGATCCGCTCATCGCCTTTATTATCAAAATAAGCGAACACCTCGCGACAATCAGCCAAATCGTCCATGATCGTCTCCTAAAATAAAATAAAACGTATGATTTTTAGGAATCACGCGACAAATCGCGGGAAAACGAGTAAATCGATAACGTGAAACAGCAAATCAATGTTTTACGGAATATGCGCATTTGAATGAGAGAAGAAATAGAGGATTGCTGCGGTACTGGGCGCCAAGTATGACTGTGCTGGAGCGAAATGAGAGACCATGGTAAAAAGGAGGCGTAGACGCGTAACGGTGAACGAAAAGACACCGAAGAGAAGAATGAATGGAGACTTCGCGCGAAAATTGTGTTGACCATATCTACATATAGTCATCGGGGTGTGTTGAACGGCTGATTCGGGTGCCGATATAAATAAACATTGAATGAAACATTTATCCTGGAATTTTAAGCTTGGGATTGTAATGATGAGTCATAGTTTTCTATATTTCGAAATAAAAAGTAGAAATCACAGCTTAAATTATAGTAAATGAAAAATTAATTTTTTTCGATAGTTTAAACTATTTCGCAGGAATCATCTAACTTTTGTTCTATTTTTAGTTTTCAGATATATTTTTTCAATGCAGATATTTTTATTGTTGTTTGCAATGTAAATAATTAAAGTCCAGCCAGAGAACAGTTAAATTTTTGTATTTAGAACGGAAAAGTAATTTTATTTTTTCATGATAATTTTAGAAGCTGGTCGGGTTCGTTTCAGACTTAAATCCATTTCCCTGTGAATAAGTTTGGCGAGTTGAAATTTTCATTAAAATTCTCGTATAATTTTAAAATGTATGGTATAAAGTAATCAGCGAAGTACAAATAACATAAAGCAAACAAAAATTGTCGGCACGAAAAATTCAAATTTTTTCCATTATAAAAGTTTGACGCAATATTGCGTCTGGAGCACTTTATCTGACGCAAATTCTCACAGTCACTTGTTCGATTTCGCTCGCGCGCGAGACAACAAAATTTGTTTCCGAGGTGGCAACTTCCAGAACTTTCTATATTCTGTTTACGTTTTTGTTTATAAACACCCCGTTTCTGAACAAATTATTGAAAAATGCTCTAAAGGCCTTACTTGTTGTCATATTTGATATTAATATATTTTGGTTGACAATAATTTCGGAGATTTCAGAATGGACCAATACGTATTACTTCTGAAACAATTTGTCAGTGCTTGCACTGCAAATCCCAATCTTCTACATGACCCTAAGCTGGAATTCTATCGGGATTACCTCCAAAGGTAAACAATTTATTAGCTACGCTCTTGTAGAGCCGAATTTGCAGCCTTGGTGCCACCATTCCACCAAAAACTGAGAAGGCCTCTAAATCAACTCCGAAAGAAGAGCCGAAGGAAGAGATGCCAGCTGAGGAGGAGGAGAAGCCTAAGCCAACGGAGATCCCATTTCCGGAAATTGATAACTCTGGTGTGATCGAGCCGGATACCGATTTCGATCTACCAATGGGAGATGTTACGAAACAAGTATGACATTTTTCTTTTAAATATATGTTTGCTATTAATTTAGCCAACTGATGCTGATTTGGAAAAGGCTTCCGAAGAACGTGACAAGGCTAACGAAGCTTTCTCTAATGGTGATTTCGACGCCGCTCTCAAGCACTTCACCGCTGCTATCGAAGCCAACCCGGGATCAGCGATTCTGTACGCCAGAAGAGCCAAGTATGAAACATTTGAAAATAATACGTAATGTTTTTCATTCTCCGAGATTTCAGTGTTTTGTTGAAATTGAAGCGTCCGAATGCTGCTATTGCCGACTGTAACAAGGCGATTTCCATCAATCCGGATTCTGCAACTGCCTACAAATTCCGTGGACGTGCCAACAGGTAATAGTGGTGATGGTAGGGCACTTTTTAAAGCATGTTAATTATAGACTTCTTGGAAAATGGGTTGAAGCTAAACAGGACTTGGCTGTTGCTTGCAAGATCGACTACGATGAGACCGCGAATGAATGGCTGAAAGAAGTTGAGCCAAATGTAAGGTTTTCTAAGCATTTAAAATTTCGGGGCTTCCGAATAGCATCTACATCTTTATTAAAATATTTGAATCTCGTAGACAGTTCTTAAATTCAAAAAAGAAACTGAATAATTACTTTTGCCAAATCAATAGACAAAATTAGACGAAAAAAAAGAAAAATTGTAAAAAGGAAAGCAATAGTACAACCGGTGGGGAGATCAGATCAGTTCTGGGGTGGTTTCTTTCTGCACAATCGCTTGCCGTTGGGTCCAATCGGCGCCTTTTCTTTCGGCGGAAGACCCATTTTTTCGCGGCAAGACAGATAATAAATATGGCATTTTTGTCCAGATCCGTCTAAAACATGTTTGAATTAATCGGTTTATCAACTAATCTTACCTCTCCTCGCCATCGTTCCTGAATGATCTTGTTTAGTTGACCTTGGTTCTATACCGGAGTAACATGATTTCCTGTATTTGCACATTGATTTCTCGGCGACGCTCAATTGAAGCTCTTTGATTGCTTCGTCGTCATCGTGTGTTGCTTCTTGTGTGACCTTCTTGTTTTTCACCTTCTCATCATGATCGTCATCATCCTTGTCGTCATCATCGTCTGTGTCTTCTTCAGATTCCTTCTCAACCTTCTTATGATGTTTCTTGTGGCTCTTACGATCTTCGTGTTTGTGGTGATGATGTGAAGTTTCTTGTTCAGTCTTTGCTTGTGATGCAGGTTCCTTGATCGGTGGTTTTCGTTCTTCCTCCTTCTCAATGATCTCCTCGCCATGAGAATTAGTATTAATTCCCATCTCACGATAACAGGATTTTCTATACTTACATCCCAAAAGGGTTTGAGCTTGTTTAGTGGATGCAATCGTTTCGGTCAAAGTTGGAGCATCATTCCATTGTTGAATAATCGGAATCACTCCACTCTCATAGCAAGACTTGCGGTATTTGCATCCAAGCTTCTTATCAAGTAACGCGTGTTCCTCTGAGATCGTGTGCTTACTATGGACCTTATCCTCTTTATCATCGTCATCATCATCATCATCATCATTCTTTGGAGAATTTTCGGTGCGTTTCTCTTCTCTTTCGATAATCTTCTCACTTATTGGAATGTCGCTGGTCTCATAACAGGATGTTCGATATTTGCAGGCAAGTTTTCTGTTGGCCATGTCAGTATCTTTATCCAAATGATCGGGAATTCCATCTCCGTCTGAATCGCGAATGTTGAAATCGTGATGTTGTTGTGAGGACGGAGCTTGCCAGAAGAAAATCAGATGATGAAGCGAGAAATCATATGGTTCAATGAGTCCGCGTTCTCCAGTTTCATAGCAAGATTTTCTATATTTGCAATGAAGCCGGTGGTCTCTCTTCGGGTCATGCTCATTGTCGAACTCATTGCCATCGTCGTCCTCATCGTTGTCCTTTTCATCCTTCTTACCATCGTTCTCGGTCTTTTGAACAATTTTTACCTCTGGTTTTTCATCAACTTCTTCATTGTCATCACTAGTTGTTTTTTCATCCTTTTTATCTTCTGGTTCTTCTGGATCATTATTTCCGTTCTTGTCGTCGTCGTCATCATTTTCTTCAATAACTGGTGGAGCTGGTGTTGTCACAACAACTGTTTTCTTCACCTTCTTCAATGACTTCTTGCTTTTTACTTTTTCTTTTGCTTCTTCCTTTTTTGGTTGTTCCTGCTTCTTTGGCGATTCGGCTTCCTTTTCTTCAGCATCGACCTTCTTCTTCTTCAGTTTGTCTTTTCTGTTTTTAGATGGTTCTTCCTTCTTGTCTCCGTTTTCATTATCATCATTATTATCGGCGTCTTTTTCATCTTGCTCAACTTCCTTAACTGGCTTCTCCACTTTTGCTTGTTTTTCATCATCGTCATCACTCTTTGCTTGTTTACCCTTTTTCAAACTCTTCTTTTTCTTCGGGGGTTCTTCATCGACAATTTGAGCTTCGACCGTTTGAGCAAGTTCTTCCTCCTTTTCCTCTTCTTTTTCAACGGGCTTCGTCTCTTTCTTGGCTTCTTTCTTTATCTTCTTTGCCGACTCCTTCACTTGTGTTTTGAAGGATTTTGCAGTAGGAACTCCTTCCTTCTTTCGTGCTTCCTTTGATTCCGCCATTTGTCGCAGCTCATACTGGGTCTTCTCAACCGGCTCACCTGCTCTCGCATGATGCAAGATGTGTTGCTCGAGAAGATCGGGACGACGTTTATTCATTCGGCGGTGTCTTCGGGCTTTTCGCTTCCTGACCTCTTTTTCGACGAGACGACGCTTCCTGATGGTTTGAACAATTTCTGGAGTCGATGATACGGCGACTTCTTCGTAACAAGACTTTCGGTATTTGCACAGAGCCTTGAGATCTTGAACTGTCGATGGAACTACCTTGCTGACTTCTTTGGCAGCGATCTTCTCAATGAATTCTTCGTCCCGGTTGAGATCTGGCACGACTCCAGTCTCATAGCACGACTTTCTGTACTTGCAACGTTCTTGAAGTGTGAGCTTTCGAGTTTCAACTTGTTCTGGAATCTCAAAGATGTCACTGAACGAGCTCAAGATGATTTCAGCCTGGATGTCAGGCTTCTCTCCAGTCTCGTAGCATGATTTTCGGTATTTGCAGTAGAATTTCTTCTCGTCTTCTTCCATCTCGCTGAACTCTTTCTCGTCATCTTCTTCATCCGAATCTTCACGTTCACTGAATTGCAAAAAAGTGGGAACCAAATTGTATTCAGCGATCTCCGGAACCTCTCCTGTTTCATAGCACGACTTTCTGTACTTGCAATCAAGTTTTCTTGTGAGCTCTTCTTCAACAGCTTGAAGCTTCTTCTCTACGATGACAGAATTCGGAACAGGACGATGTTTTGCTTTGTCAGTTCGTTCTTCTACTTGATGCATCGCCTTGTGGGCGATGTCTTTCAGAGTTCTTTTCTTTCCTTGAGGAACTTGAAGTTTGGCAGACATGAAACTACGCTCGCGCTCTTTCTGCTTGTCCGATAGTGGTATTTCATGTTGCTTGTAGCACGAAGTGCGGTATTTGCAAGCATATTTTCGAGCAACCAGATCGATGTCGTCATTTTCACTATCTGGGACCCCATCTTGATCAGCATCTTCTGTCAGCGGTAGATGATGTTGTTGTGATGGCGGAGCTTGCCAGAAGAAAATCAGATGATGAAGCGAGAAATCATATGGTTCAATGAGTCCGCGTTCTCCAGTTTCATAGCAAGATTTTCTATATTTGCAATGAAGGCGGTGGTCTCTCTTCGGGTCATGCTCATTGTCGAACTCATTTCCATCGTCATCGTCGTCTTCCAATTTCATTTTTTCGATCGATTCCATCGTTTTTGCAACAATTTCCTCAATGTCATCTTCAGATTCTTCAATTTTCGGCTTCTTCACCTAAATTCAAAATAATTAGTATCAATCGTTAAATAGTTTAATTTTTACCCGATATTTGTTGGACTTCTTTTCTGCGCTGACGAAAAATGAAGAGAAGTGAATGTTTGAGGCGCGATGAGACATTTCAATTGGAAAAATTTGGTTTTCTGATTTGAGAAGTTGTGAAATTTTCGATTTCATCTTAAAATGTAAAAAATTTCATAGGTTTTTAATGCTCCCATACTTGATATTTGTTACAAATGAATACGGTATTGTCATCAAACTTTTCAATCTTCGTTGTCGCCCAACAATTTGAAAACTGGCTTAGAAGATTGAGAGTTTCATCATTTCTTTCACCTTAAATTTAAAATGTGCCCTTCGAGATTCTTTCGTTTTCTTTTGTTTTTTACCAAATTGCACCACGAACAGAGTTCGCTCGGTTCTCGCAATCAGCTCAATGATGTCCAACTCGTCATCGGACATTTCTTGGAAACTCTTGCTACAAACAACGACTGTTGAAATGTTCTGGTGCATTTCGGCTCCTCGCAAGATTTTGACTCGCGTATCCGGAATGATTGATTCGCATACTTCTTTGTTGAAAATCACTATCGATGAGTCGACGAGTTCTGCAAAATGAATGCTCCAAGACGATTCAAGCAGAATACTTGCAATCCCTCGCAATTTTCTCAATATTTTTTATTAGCCGCAGATGTCAGCAGTAGCGGCGGCGGTGATTCGAACTTTTGAAAAACTTGACGATGGTGAGGAGAACATTTCAAACATATGTGCTTACTTATTACACAACAGCAAAAAAGTTGAATTCGAAAAAAAAGAGAGAGAGAGAGAGTGAGTGAGTGAATGGTACCTGCGTAAATTTGATGATAATCTCTTATGAATCCATCCAAAAAATCATTTTTTGCGTGCTTGAATTCTTTTGATCCTGCGACGATGACAGTTGGATTTGCTGAAATAGTTGAATGACACTAGTTCTCCTCGCTATTTTTCATTTTATTAATTTAAAAATTTATCGGGCTACTCAGTTCTTTCATAGTTTCTTTTTTCTTGGAATTTCGGGCTAAAACAGCGCCAATGCAGAAAAAAAAAAAACGAGACAAATAAGAACAGTTGTTCCATTATTTATATTGTTTTCCATTGAATTTCTAGTAAAGTGGCATATTTATAAAACACCTGTAAATTACCTTTTGCATGATCAATGAAGACCGCAAATAATAATAGTTGTAATGTTGTAAATAAATTGAGCATCACTCCCGCGGCATGGGTTAAAATGTATGAAAAATTGCCAGCGCCGATTTAACACAGATAAAATGTAAATAGAATATGATTTGTTGACTGAGGCGGCTCTCTCTTGAAAGGCAAGAGATATGGCTCTCAATAATTCGAAATTTTAAACAGAAAAAAAAGAACTGTTGAATATGATCGGGGGGTTCGTTTGGCTCCGTGTGTTCGGGCCTACTGCTGGATCGGTCAGGAAGCGAGCCGAATGCGGGTCTTCACTCTGTGGGTGCGGTGGCGAAAAAATTTGCGTCGTCGATCGAACAGGCGTCTGTCGTTTCCCGTTTCCCGAGATCCTTCTCACACGCAAAAATTCGAGTTGTTGTGATGTTGTGATGCATCCTTCTTCTAGTTTTCTCGAGCATTACTGCTCTATCTCGAGCTATGCCGACTCCTCCCGCCGCCGGCTGCTGCTGTTGCGTCCCTGCTATTGTATTGCGGCGATCTTCTCCTACTTGTGTGTTTTTTGTTGCTGATATATCTTCTTTTTGCTTTCGCCTTCGTCTTCTTCTTCTTATCCCTGATGATGATGATGGCGACGGCAGTTGCTTTGCTTTGTTCGAGTGCGTTTGATATCTGTTAGATTGTTTCCGTGATGTTCATGGAAAATTGTGGTGTTGTTGTTTTTTTTGCGGAACGGTCTTATTGGTTGGCAATTTGAGCAAGGATAGAGGCACAATGAGAGCATTAGACTTTGCTTGAACACTCGCATCACATTTTTGCTCGAGTGAACTTTGTTGTTTACATTTGGTAACATGACTGACAAGGGAAATCTCTTAAAATCTGGCAAAGTTCTAAATTTAAAACATTTAACTTTGAACTATGATAGTTTTTGGCTGCCTCTAGACTAGTTGCGATCAGGATGTAACAGAATATTGAGGGTGGATAGACAAGTTGTCAGAGATCCTTGACGTCAATCAATATGATATGATGAGAAATTCATTTGATTTTTTGTTTAGTAAAATAATTTCATTAAAAAATCGATTAATTGATTCAATTTCCCTGCAAACTCAATCCAATACTTTCATTTTTTTCCCATCGGTTTTTTGTTTGGCAGCTGATTTGGTGGGGGGGAACAAACATTGATGTTCAACTGACGGCTTTTACGAACGCTTTTTGTAGGCGCACAAGATCCAAGAGTACAATCGAGCTGTTGAGCGACAGAAGGAGGAAATCGAGTTGGCTGAACGACGCGAGCGTGTTCGTCGTGCACAGGAAGCGAATAGAAAGGCGGCTGAGGAAGCTGCGAAAGTAAAAACTGATTGGGGAGGCAATTAAATAAACGAATAATGATTTTAGCATCAGCAAGATGATGATGATTTTGACTTCTCTTCTATGGGAGGAGGTGCTCCAGGAGGTGGAAACCCAGCTTTCGACTTGTTCAACGACCCAGAGATCACTGAGGCTCTGAAGGATCCTGAGGTTCTTCCAGCTTTGATGGATATCATGAAAAATCCGGCGAACTTGATGAAATATGTTGGAAACCCGAAGGTTGCCGCTCTTCTCGCCAAAATGCAGGCAAAGGGAGGAAGTATGTGTGCTGGTTCAAATATATATTTTATAATTGAATTCTTTCAGTGCCTGGAATGTTCGGAGGGCCATCATCTGGCGGATGCCCGGGCGGCGAATGCAACGATTCTGGATGCAAGCCAGCTCCGTCGAAGGCCCCGGAACCCGATTTGGATTAATTAAACCCGGTTTGAATTTATTAATCATCTGTTGTTAATGTTACTGTCTCAAATATTTCTATACGATATTACCATTTTCCCCAGTTTATTGAAATGCCGATGAAATACATCTCATAGTTTGATAATAAATCATGCAGAGAATCGAGTTGCACCAAATGGCGTCGAAATTTCGTTCGTTGACGCAATAATACGCAATGGAGTTTTGAGATGTCGCGAGAATCGAGGAAGAATAGCTGAACCAACGAGACAAATGGTGTCGATTTTGAGGTCGAATAGTAGATTTTGTGGGAATAATTGGAAAATATTGCGTAGTATGCCGAGATGAGTCGCTTCGAGAACCGAAAATAATGAGAAAAAAATAAAAATCGTTGATAAGGATTCGAAAAACCTCGAGTTCGGAAGAATTCTCAACTCCAGTTGATGAAAATTGCGCATTTGAGCCTCTTTCGGCAATGAAAATCGGATTTATTTGAAGATTGTCGGGAATTGAAACTTCTAAAAAAAGAAAATGTTGTTTTGATTTAAAATGGCGCCACCTTTTTGATCCAATTTCGAAAGAATTTCAACGAGATTATCGTTTGAATAGATTTTGTCCCTATTGATCTCCAGACACTTCTAAAGATGGACATTTTTAAAATGTTCTGGAAGAAATTACTTTTTTCCAGTAATCGCCCCGCCCCTTCCAAATAAACCAATATTTCGAAATGTATTATTTCCTCCTGTTTTTGATTACTTTTTTCTTAATTTTTTTCTGAATCTACCCATCTTGCGAATTTGTTTTTGAAAAATTTAATCACTTCGGACCAACAAAATGTTTCAATTACGTCAAATTAAAGTAACTAAAAGTGCATATTTTTAGGATTCCATGAATCTAAACAGAAGTAAAAGAGAAAATAGACAATTCTGTCAAATCGGATCTTGTTTCTGAAAAATGAAAGGGGCAAATGGGGACGAAGTCAATATATTCGTTTCTTCACTCAATTTTGAGACCGGGGGGATTCGTAATGGATTCGAATGTTCGCCAATTCAAGATTCGGAATGAATTCTCGGAGTTTTCAGGAAGGGAATTCTCAGGCGGCTAATTTCAACTTCATTCTATTCCAGTCTAAAATCAGAAGGGGGGGGGGTCGAATATTGGATTATACCATGAGATGTACATACCTTATACATCGCTTCCAACGCATTTCCTCCATTCATTGCACAAGCTGCGACGAGTCGATATTTCGACGAATATGGAACATTGACAACCGTCGGCGGTAAATTTGTCACATTTTGACTGACGAGTGCACATAATTGAGCTGATGTGCCAATTATCAAATCTAATACTCATTTGAATATTTTTGGGAATACAAAATAAAAAGCAAACATGCGCGATTTTCGGCGAAATCCAACGAAGCGACCGATGCTTGCAAATCGCCACTTGCCACGTGGCACTTCGCCCTTCGCCATTCGCCAACCACCAATGATAAATCTTGAGTAATTGTTGGAAGTTCGACATTTGACGGAAGGAATTGCTTGATGTTTTCTTGCCAACAACCATTATTGCAATACGCCCAACTATGGGCATTGTGTTCGCTCATGAAAGCAATTTTGGATTTAGTCAGATAGCAGGAAAACAGTTCCATGATAGTCCCGCATCGGTCGAAATTCTAAATGGATATTGATATTGATAAAACAAAACTAGACAGAATTATCAGAACCTTCAAGTCTTGGATTTTATGAAGATATGCTAGAGTGGCTATTCCAAATCCGGGATAAACTCTTCCGGATTCCCATTTTGGCAATGATTCAAGAAAATGTTCATCGTCATATGTGAACATCCAATTGTAAAGTGGCGAAACTTGAAGATTTTCTGATTTTGGAATCAATTATTAATCAAATTTGAATCACGATTCAACCGAGATCTTCATTAATCGATTGACTATTCCAGAGGGCAATTCCATGCATTTGGCCACAAATCCATACATCAGTCACATTTTCATCGAAATTCTGAATTTTCTTTTAAAAAACTCATATCATTCGAACACTATCAATTTTTTTAAACCTTCAATAAATCCAGACAAACTCTGAGAATTCGTTTCGAATCTTGAATCGCCGAACACTCGAATCCATAATTTTGGCGGTATTCTTTAGTGATGCTGAAAACGAAAAACGCAATTAAATAAATTTTTATGTAATTGCTATGCATTTTTCTGCAGTATAAATAGCTTGAAAATGTTTCGATTATTTCAATTTCATATTCATTTTACGCATTGTTCAACGACTGACATTCCATTCTTCGCAATTCCACAAATTTTCGCTGATGACGTGCCAATGTCGATGCCAATTGCCACGTGTACTGCAGACATTTCAACCACTGAAATCAATCGAAATTTTCGAGATAAGAGCACACGAAACATCGAATAGTGTAGGCATTCTCGGAATTGATAAATCACAAAATTTTCTAGTTATGCTAATTTTTGTTCACAAGCCCTCTCCTAGATCAAATAGCTCACGTACATATGTGTGCGAATGTATTTGTGAATGTGTGACTCGGAAATGTTGCATTTTTTGTTGCGATTGATGCATGTTCTATTGGCGCGTATTCAAATATTTGGGGTGTGCGTCATAAAGTGGGCGGCAGGGTTATCAGATTCCGTTACCAATAATAGTCAAGCAAAAACTTGTGCATTTGATAAACGACAATAACAAAAAGAAACAAAATGGGAATTGAAATCGATTATTTTTTTTTGTTCGAAATGATCAATGAGTAATCACGGATGAATCATTGCTTCAACTATTTAAACCTGCACAGGCAGAAGAGATTAGTTAGTTCGTGGCAACTCAAATCGTTTTCAGAATTCATTTTAAGCAATTCGTTTATTTATTTTAACCTTCGCCAACTATCAATTTCTATTTCCTCAAAATCCCATTTGAAATGGACATTTTGCGAATTTCATGTGAATCATAAAACATACATACAACATACCAAGTTCGAGTCATTTCATTTCTCCCCCCATTCATCAGTTTCTTTTTTAGGAATTTCATTTCACCTTTTCAAATAATTCGGAATTTAAGCGCCAAATCATTTCTGAAAATGCTATAATTATTAGACAATTCAGTAAGAAAATCCAATTTTTATTTTTGACCATAACTTTTCGATAAGTTATGTAAATTTAAAACAGACTTGTCTGCATTTGGAATTGTATTTTCGGCAATTTGCCAAATTTCCGATTTCCGCACAATCCTTATTTGGAAGTAATGAGTTGTCTCTCCAAATAGTAAGCAGGTCCCAAATTTCCTCACAAGGGTCCCACGAGCTGCAAATACGTCATAATCAGCAAATTTCGAAGGCAAAGAAGTTTGACTTCAGGAGCAGAATACACTTTTCGCGATCTAGACGCCACTCCCATTCCTTCCCTCCTCCATCGCCTATCACAATCAAATGTCTCAATTTCATCATTTCATAATTTTTGATGAGAATTGTCATGATTACACATACACACACACTCATGTACAGTCACATACATGCATTTCGCTGGCACAATTCCTAGAACGAGTGCCGTCGTTATCAGGAGTGCCGCGTAATATACGGCTTGCCTGATAAAACTTGCCTCACTCTCGGCATGTATTTGCGTTTCATCTTCCCGTTTCAAATTTCAGTCTACTTCTAGACATTTTTTTTTGCTCAACTTTTTCGGATTTCAGTCGAGATGGAAGACGAAATCGCCGCTCTCGTTGTTGACAATGGATCCGGAATGTGCAAGGCCGGTTTTGCCGGCGACGACGCTCCGCGCGCCGTCTTCCCGTCGATCGTCGGACGTCCACGTCATCAGGGAGTCATGGTCGGAATGGGACAGAAGGATTCGTATGTCGGCGATGAAGCGCAATCGAAGAGAGGAATCCTCACCTTGAAATATCCAATCGAGCACGGTATTGTGACCAACTGGGATGACATGGAGAAGATCTGGCATCACACTTTCTACAACGAGCTCCGTATTGCTCCAGAAGAGCATCCAGTTCTTCTTACTGAGGCTCCACTCAACCCAAAGTCGAACCGTGAAAAGATGACTCAGATCATGTTTGAAACCTTCAACACTCCAGCCATGTACGTCAACATTCAAGCCGTCCTTTCGTTGTACGCTTCCGGAAGAACTACCGGAATCGTTTTGGATACCGGAGATGGTGTCACCCACACTGTCCCAATCTATGAAGTGAGTTAAGAAGCAACATTCCGATTACGAACTCGTGTCATTCTAGGGATATGCCCTTCCACATGCCATCCAGCGTTTGGATCTTGCCGGTCGTGATCTTACCGATTACATGATGAAGATCCTCACCGAACGCGGATACACTTTCACCACCACCGCCGAACGCGAAATCGTTCGTGACATCAAGGAGAAGCTCAGTTACGTTGCTCTCGACTTCGAGCAAGAACTCGCCACAGCTGCTTCCTCCTCGTCGCTCGAGAAGAGCTACGAACTTCCGGACGGACAAGTCATCACCATCGGAAACGAGCGATTCCGATGCCCAGAAGTTCTGTTCCAGCCGGCCTTCATCGGAATGGAAGGAGCCGGAATCCACGAGACCACTTACCAATCGATCATGAAGTGCGATGTCGACATCAGAAAGGTATTAGGAATAATTCATGCGGAATTGAAAAACACTTATTCGATTTTCAGGACCTCTACGCCAATACAGTTCTCTCCGGAGGAACCTCGATGTTCCCTGGAATCGCCGATCGTATGCAAAAGGAAATCCAACACTTGGCGCCAAGCACGATGAAGATCAAGATCATCGCTCCGCCAGAGAGAAAGTACTCCGTGTGGATCGGTGGATCAATTCTTGCCTCGCTCTCCACATTCCAGCAGATGTGGATCTCGAAACTCGAATACGACGAATCGGGACCATCGATTGTTCACCGCAAATGCTTCTAAATATCAATGTACAATTCATTTGTTTGCTTTTAAAATTTGGTTTCAATAATATTTGTTCTATTTCTGAGTGTTTCGATTTTTTTAAAGCCATTACAATTCCTATTCAATTTCAGTTGTGTAGGAAAATATTTATGAAATAAACATTTGTAACCCAGGGAACGAAAGAATTGAAAAAAAATGAAGAATTGAGGAATGTAGAGAAAATGTCGACTTGAATATGGATTCGGAAATTAAATTAACCACAAAATTGACAAATCGGAAACGCATATGCCTTCCACTCGAATGATTCCATCTCGATGTGAGCCCGCCAGACGAGCTCCAGGTGACCTCGTTTTCGCATTCATTTCGAAATGTCACCTCTACAAAGAGAGCACTTCAAATGTAAGATTTAATTGCAAAATAAAAACTAAATCAAATTTACTTTTTAATTACAATAATAAATGATAAATTTTAGTGAAGAAACATACTCGATATTTAACAATTCATCGGCTCGCCGAGCAGAAAAGTTGGCATCGACTTGCCTATGAATATCATCTGCGAAAAGAGAATCGAAAAATTCCAAAAATTGTCAGGTATCGTTTTTTTTTTCTTCAATGCGATCTCAAATATATTTAGAAAGCGTTTTTTATTATATCATCTGGAGCAGCATCGATCACGAATGAAACTCAAACGACTACAATTTGAAAATAAAGACGAAAATTTATATGTAGCGGTAATACTGAATTCTCATGGGCTTATTCATGAAATTCAAAAAAAAAATGCAAAAATTACATTAATTTTTGTTTTTTTTAACATATGTATATGCGTATTTTTCCACTTTTATAGGAATCTTTTTTATTAAAAAAAATATAACAGATATTTTTCAGAAACAATGGTATTATGTTCTTGAGAAATATCCATTGAAGCCAAGAAATGAATGGAGTTTTCAACGAGTGCACAAGTTAGTTGATAAAATCTCAAAAAACAATTCGCCGTATTTTTTTCAAGATTGAACACAAGGAATGAACAAATCGCGAAAGAACTTGAGGAAATTCTTGATTGTTCCGAGCGATTCGCATTGATTCAGCACTTTCTTGACGGATTTGAGAAAATGACCGAAAGCGATTTGAAAAAATTGGAAAGTAATGCGAAGAGAATTTGGCCAACAAAAACAAAATGAAATTATAACGGAATTATTTGCAGAAATCGAACAATTTCAATCAGGAATCATGAGAAATCGCGATTTTCTCATGAAATCTCAATCGCTCGCAGCAATGAAAACGCGTCTTTTCTTCGAGCAAAGGTCAACTTTTTTTAAAAATCATTTCTAGAATTTCGAGTTTTTCCAGAAAAGGCCTCATTTTCAAAACAAGCGCTTTAATCGATTCCGAAAATGGACAAGTGTCAATTAAAAGACTTCGAGAACTTATCGTTTCGAAAATTTCGACATTTCACAAAGAAATTGAAGATCAGTAGGAATTTTGGAAAGACGTTACGATTTTGTTTTTTTTTTCCTTCAATTTTCAGCTTATTGAAAAACGATTTGAAAAGTGAGAAAAAGAAGAAGCTCGTTATGAATAGCATAATGCAAGAAACGACAAATGCTGCATTCAACACAATTCAAGATTATTTGAAAACATTCAAAACAAGAGTGATTTGATCTAAAATTGAGCTATAATTCTAACAAATTTTTATTTAAGCATTCAATGATTATTGTGGAAGGCTCAATAGTAGACAAGAAGATTCATATCAATTGCGACCAAATTCGGTATTTCTTAAAGGTATCGTATTCTTTTTTAAATGATCAAAATGTCGATTTTCTAATTAGGACCCTATTAATCAATTATGCTCGATGGACAATGTGAGGATTCCAGTCGAAGATTCTGAAAATTGGCAAGAAGAAGTGGCATCAGTCGTCGACGTTTTATCCCATGAATTTATAATTGCACACCCATTGATTAAACCGTACGCATTTCTCGTTGAAGATTACAAAGTTGCTTCGAAATACGGTGAAGAAGAATTGATCAAAATGTACGACGACTCGACGATTCTGCAGATTCGGTTATCGAAAGTCGCAAATGTTTGTTTCTCAGAATATCTCATTCGAATTATTGCGCAAGTTTTGGTTTTCAGGAAATATCGATTCGGTGTTTTATAATTCGCATTGAAAAGGTTTGGAAGGAAATGGAAAGAAGAATTCGCAGTTTTAGAAATGCTCTGAAAATGGCGATACGACGGAAATTTACGTCGTAAGTCAATAATTCATTTCGCAGTTTTTTTTTCTACGGAGAATGATGATTGTGCTTCAGAACACTTAACAAACTGCTTCAAGATTTTCGGAAATATGATCGTGCACTCCAGTATCGATCGATCGACCCATCACTGATGCTCAATAACAAAGTTTTCTTTTTCTCGATTTTTGGACATTTTCATAATAGTTTTACGAAATATCTGAAATTACTCTTCAATCATTTCATATTATAGATACTCTTAATAATCCCGTATTTCACTGGAACAAGATCATATTGCTTTTGGTCATTCATTTAGGGGCATTTTTATTGTTTTCTTAGTTAATTTTTTTTTCTTAGTTTTATTGTTTTCTTAGTTGCTCATTCTCGAAAACTACATAAGACGAAATTATTTAATTAAAAATATTTTGTTGTGCTCAGAGCAACAACTCGTTTGTCTCTATAATTAATTCTCATGACTGAAAAAAAACCTACTTCATACAGAATACGAATTATAAAAAATAGGGGTGATATCATGATAAAAATAGGAGGTCAAAGATAGTCGAAGTGGTTTCAAAAAGACCAAAAAAGAGACATGAATCAAATTTTTAGGCACAAGTCGATTTGATGCTTCAAAACGAGATATGGCCAAGTGTTAATAACTTTGTGCAAGCCTATGAGAAGATTTTTGAAATCACACAAGTAGGAATATTGGATATATTGAGAAAAAAAGCAGAATTTTAAGCATGTTTCGCTGGACACCTCTCAACTCGACACTCTACTCAATATTGCTTCTCTTCGATTATCACTTCCACAATCAATCAACGACCACGCGCATTTCTTCAATAAGCGAATCTCAACATTTTTGCATTTTGTCAACGTGAGCCCTTTTTCGGAATATCGAATAATTAAGCAATTGAAATGTGTAGAAGAAACAGACAAGAGTAATGGCGAATGTGCAAAAAGCAATGGAGAAACTCAAAGTTCTTCAAACAATGGGAAATCCACAGGAAGTTGATAATTATGTGGAACAGATGAACAAATTGAAGCCAATGCTTGATGTTCTCATCAAAGAAATTGAAGATCTCAATAAATTTGAAAAAGTAGGCAGTTTGATTATTGATTTCTTCGCGATCATGCAAATCAGGTTCCCACATCAAGTCCCCACATTGGAAGCGAAGGTCCCCACTTACACATAAAGTGGGGACCTTTAACTTCACATTTGCAGAGTACAGTGCTGGCCATAATTCTATCCAAAACCGCATTTTCAGTCATAAATTTTTTCAAAGTTGGCCGATTGATCTGAATTTTTTTGACAATGTTTCTGACGCTACGTCCAACTAAATCACCAAACCACTTCTTTAACTTCACTTTTTGCAGAGTATGTACAGTGCTGGCCATAAAGAAATCAAAAAGTGGTTTTTTGAGCATAACTTTTCTAAAAGTAGTCCAATCACTCTGAAATTTTTGGAGTGTGTACGCAGCATCATTACGCACAAATCCAGACAACAAATTGAATCATGCTTGAAAAAAAAATTTTTTTTTTGGTATTTTTTTTAATTTTTTGATTTTTTGATTTTTTCACACTTTTCAAATCACCAGCCATAGTTTTTATTATTGTGCTGTATATTTAATAAATCAAGTTGGGAATGTTTCCAGATATGGGTAGACGTCAAGGAGCAAAAACAACATCTGTAGAGATTCAGAAAGCCATCGTCAACGGCTTCAAACAAGGGACATAGGCGAAAATGCTTACTCAGCAATTCGTACTATCCATTTCAACTACTTCGCGAATCCTAAAACGATTTGATGAACAGGAAACATTTTTAAAACATATTTGTACAATTTTAAATGTCTAGAACAAATATATTGTTCGAAAGTCTCCTGGAAGACCGCGTGAAACAACTCGAACCATGGATCGCAACATTGGTCGGGCTGCTGTAGAAGATCCTAAGAGAAACGCAACGATGATCCAGATGATTGTGAACTCTCCAAACGATCCAGCACCATCTAAGAGAACCATTCGTAGACGTTTGCAAGAGATGGGGCTCCATGGGCGAAGGCCAGTGAAGAAACCATTCATTAGTCTTAAAAATCGAAAACATCGAGTTGAGTGGTGTAAGGCTCATCTTCACTGGGGACCACAAGAATGGGCAAAGCACATTTGGAGCGACGAATCTAAATTTAATTTGTTTGGAAGTGATGGTCTTACATGGATTCGCCGCCCTATTGGCACCAGGTATCGGCCGAAGTACCAACTTCCAACGGTCAAACATTGGGGTGGTTCAGTAATGGTATGGGGATGGTTCTCCGCGAGTGGTATGGGGCCATTGAGACGAATCAATGGAACGATGGATCGGTTCCAATATGAGGACGTACTGGAAAATACAATGCGACCATGGGCGCTTCGGTTCGTGGGTCGTACATATGTTTTCCAGCAGGATAACGATCCAAAACATACTTCACTTCATGTGCGCAATTGGTTTCAACGGCGCCGTGTGGATGTTCTTGAGTGGCCAAGCCAATCCCCGGACCTAAATCCGATTGAGCACATGTGGGAGGAGCCCCAGAGACGTCTTAATGGGGTCAGAGCCCACAATGCGGATCAAAAATTCGCTCAACTCGAAGCTGCGTGGAAAACCATCCCACAGTCCGTCATTACCACACTTCTGGAGTCAATGCCGAGAAGATGTCAGGCTGTCATCGATGCTAAAGGCTTTGCCACGAAGTATTAAGCCTGCATACATCATTTTATTACCTGCTTGCAACTTTAAGATCACTTTAGATCTTGTTTAAAACGGGTCACTATTTACCGGTTTCTGTTGATTTTTAATAAATTGATCTTTTCGTTTTAATTTTTCGAAACAATTAATAACTTATGTGTAGAATTTATCACTTTCATTGTTTTATTTGTTGTCTAAAAATTTCAGAGTGATTGGACTACTTTCAGAAAAGTTATGCTCAAAAAACCATTTTTTGATTTCTTTATGGCCAGCACTGTATATCGATGTGGGTACCTGTTCTGCACTGTGGGAACCTTATCTGCACCATTTTTTGATGGAGTGGAGACCTGATCATCCATTCCAGACAAACCTGTAGATTCCCCCAATGAAGTTAGTGAAAAAATCGAAAATTGACTGAAAATATCGATATTTCATAAAAGTTCGATAATTCAAAACTACCTCATTAACGTTATACTAACTAAAATTAATGGAAATTTATCATTTACAATGAGCACTTTTTTCCCTGAAAATATAGATGTTTCACCATTTTTTTTAGAATGTCAAGAGAACGCAAACTCACAATGAAGCTGTAATTATAGAAAAATTTCGGAAATTAGAAACAAATTAAATGATTCGCTTTTAAAACCGTTAAAATTAGCAAAAAATGAATCGAATAGAAATGAATTGGCGTGCGCTTGGCATACTGTGTGTCAACACGATGACGCCAAATTGCACAAAATACGATTTACATTTGCAAGAAATATATTTTGACAGCGGGGGATCTCTATTGCATTATGTGGGGATCTTAAATGCAATTTTCCCACGGGGGCCGTTTAATGCACCGTGTGGTTGATCAGAACGTTAGCCGATTTATTGATTGCGACACTTGTTTAGGCGGTTGATGTGCCCGTTTCCGATGTCACCAAAATGCGGCAATTTGTCAGCGAAGTTGAATCGATGGAGAATTTGTTTCTGGCGACAAGCGGCTATTATAAGCATGTGAAGTGTGTTCGATTTGATTCACATCATCCACAATTTTGATTATTTTGAGCGCGTTTTTCGAATCTCGACGAGCATTAGTCAACATTGAAGCAACTCGAGCCTTCATCGAACAATTCACAGTGCAATTATCAATATTTGAAAGCTCGTTGTCCAGCCATCGCGCCGCGAAACATTTCATCGCATATGCGAGAAATGAGGTCGACAATTTCAAGAAGAATTTCGCCGTCGCCGAGGTAATGTCATGTCGGAGACTTCTCGACGCTCATTGGATTCGAATGTCGGAAATAGTTGGTTCGGAGAATTGTGAATAAAATTATTATCAAATTGGCCATTTAGGATTTGATTTAACACCGTATGCGAATAGCTCAATAGCACAAATATGCGAATTGGGTCTTGAAACGCATTTGCAGAAACTTAAGCCGATCGCATTTTCGGCGGAACGAGAAGCGACATCGGCTGATCAACTCCATGAGATCGTAACCTTCTGGAGTCATGTAAGAATCGGCGAATCTCGATGCAGATGATGTTTCAAATGTTCAGGAACCACTGGAAATGACATGCTATTCTCAGTGGAAACTCTCGTTGGCTTCTCATCTGCCAACGTTGGTCGAAAAAATTCAAAATGACAACTACATTTTGCGGCATATGACGAATGTTGAGAAGATCACTGATGACTCATTACCGTATGAATTGGGGGGGGGGGCAAATTTTGTGAAAACAAAATCAATGAGCAATAGTATTCAGGCATTGGATTGAATGGAGTCAGCGTGCCGAAAAAATACTCAAAGATTGGAATGAAACTCAGGATGAATGGAAGCGAGTCGCCAACATTTTCGTGACGTGTCGACAAACCCTTCAATCCGAATTCGAATTGCTGCGAGTTTGCGCTCAATATTGGATGAAAATCGAAAAAGGCGTTGCGAAAGATCCAGCCATTTATCGATTGATTCATTTGCCGCACTTGCCGTGCTGGATATTCAAAATTCGCTCGAATGTCTCCATTATAATCAAGGCTTCTTTCTTTCTTTTTTTCGTTTTCTCGAAATCGCTCTTATTCGTCGATTTTCAGGGCGTTCGCAATTTTTTGGAGAAAATTCGAATATCCAGCGCGAGACTTTGCCTTTCCTCGGAACTTCATCTCCTTCAATTATTCTCAGCGACATCCGTCGAGATTCGACTGAAACTTCTTATGAGGGACTGTTTTCCAAGTCTGAAACGAATATGCTTCAATCGGCGAAATCAGCTCGAAATGGTGGACTCGTATGCCGAGAAGATCACACTGGAATTGACCAAGTCGGAAATTGAGAATCTTGATCCCGTCGAATTGATCAAGGCGATTGAAAATGCGTTCGCCGCCAAACTCACCGAGATCATTACTTATGAAAGGCTCGATCGATCGAAATCGGTTAGTCGAATCGGATTAAACGTTGCCGAAGTAATGGAAACTCGTGGAAGCATTGACCCATTATTTCTCAGCCGAGTGGTACGGACCATCATTTTGAATTTAGTATCATTTTTTTTAATTTTAGGATAAATCGTATTTTGTTCAACACAAAAGCATTCAAAAGCAATCACAACTCACTGTCGATTTCGTTTATTCGACAGAAGTTGCTCGATTTGTTCCGTAATCAACTCGTCGCCTTGAATTTTTCGAAATGAACTGAAAATTATTCCAGAAAATCGCTGGCAGACGCTTGGTCGAACAATAAAATAATTGTGCTTGTCGGCGAAGTTTGTGCAACTCGTCTGTTTGTCCTCAAATTGGCCAATTCATTGTGTTCGAATGTGCGAATTGTGAACTCGCACGATCAACTGCACGAAATGGTCCTGGAGAGAATTTTGAAGGTCCCCTCCCCAATATTCAATTAATTATTTTGATAACAAAATAGTATTTGAGGTGAATTCAATGTCCAGCTGGTTTGTGCTCCTCGAGAATATCGACTTGCTCACTTCTCAGCTTTGGTTCAAACTTTTCAAAATTCTTTCGAAAGAAGCGACACGTGAGATTTTCAGCAATTTCTCTGCCATCAATATTCGAGTTTCAGCGTTTTCCCGAGTGTTTTTGTCAACCACAGAAGAAATCAATTCGTCATTGCCTTCCAATGTCAGCGTCGAGCCACTCAAATCGATTCATCTTGCCGTTTCCGATTCACAACATCTTCACGACGAGAAATCAAGTAGCTCGTTTGTGTTCGAGGTATTCCAGATCATTTGATATCAATGATCTGCATAAACAGATGAATACTGGAACCCCAATGTCAAGTGTGCGATCCATGTCGTTATCATCGAATCGGCAAGTCACCAATGCACCACCATCATCTCCACATGCTATTTTACTGGATAAGATCTCATCTCAAATTAGGAATCAGTTGGGAAATATTGATATTCACAAATTATTAATTATATTGATTTTTCAGTGAAATCTCTGGATGCACTGGTTCGATGGCAAAATACACACTGAAAGAGGTGCTTGGTCAGTTTGCTGAAAAGGTTTCCCCGCTGGATATGTCTGATTCCGGTGAATTTGGTCTTAGGTGATTTGGATTTACGTCGATGTGTTCACACGAACTCAATTGATCGCTTCTCATGACGAATTTGCCGCCTCTCCGTCTGGCATCATTTTCGACGTTCTCTATCCGGATGCTGTGTCGGCAGGAGGTGACAGTGAACGAAGTTATCATTCATCAGTTTCGACTAGCTCGATATCGATTCAAACGATTGTCGTTTTTTATGGATACTCGCAGTTCTGGAGCATATTCCCATTTCTGTCGCCACTCTTCAATAAGAAGGACAGAAATTTGCCGGATAAACCGTTTCTGACATTGGACGACGGTTCGACGTTTTGGCCTCAGGAGAACTTTCAATTTTTGATGTGCATTCCTGATGAAGAGGTTCGAATGGCTATCGTCTTGTGGATTAGTCGTAGCTATTTCCAGGGATACCATTTGAGCACTGTCACCAAACATGATATTCCGTGCAGCACGATTGTCAGCTCGACGAAACAGGAAGTGGCGAGATGTTACAAGAAGGAATGGCAGAAAAAGTTCGCCGAACTCTTCAATGTTTCGATTTTTGCTAGCAAAACACGTTTGAAACGTTCGCGTTTAGAAAATCTCGCTAAGCGAAACAATGGATGAAATGGTTGACCAAGTGGTCGTTCCGGCCGTCAAAATTGCGGCCGCCGAATTTTTTTGGCCATCAATGCTATTTCAAGTGATTTATCAAGACCTAACCGAAATTCTGCCGCAGTGTCGAACGAGCTCGATGAACGACGCCGTCCGAATTTGCGTCATTTTCGCCACCTCCAACTTTTTGGCGATTTTTGTCTCGGATCGCTATCAACTACAACAGCAGATTGTGAAAAGTCTCGCGAAAATCAAAACGAAATTGTCCATCCAAATTCCAGATGATGTTTGTAATTTTAAAATCTCTTTACAGGTTAGATGATTCAATAATAAATGAAGGGTTGGATGTAGAATTGTTTAGGATATTACAAAGTTGAATAGCTGGGAAGACGAACCCTTTTGTCAGTCGTCAATCGATAAAGAGAGTTCGATTGGAAATATAATGGTTTGAATCAGTTGTCTATTTGTTTTTTTACACTTCAATTCTCGAAATTTTTATTATGCCTTTCAGATCGTCACCCCTTTAATTGATCGCTTGCTATTTTACGCGTTTCGACTTCTACAATCGAACCAGAACATGATTGTTCACGGACCATCATATTCGCGAAAAACGACGTTCGTCAAAATGATCGAAAAATGTTTTCCGAATCGCGACGACGTCGAATTCGTCTGGATTGATGGGAAAAGCCGCGTCGGAAGTGAGGTGGCGCAGAAAAAGTTTGTCGAACTGATCGAGACGTGCGAAAAGAGATTGGCTAGCCAGCAACTGGTAATTCATTAATGAGCAATCGATTGGCTCAAAATTTTGAATTGCAGTTTGTCGTTTTCGATCGATTCTCATTTACTGAACCGCTTCTACCGATCATCGAGTTCTTCGTAGATCATCAGACATTCTGGAAGGACGGAACACTTTGCAAGTCGAATTGTCAGATGAGGGTCTCGAAAAGGTAGCTGCAGAGAATTCAAGTCAATCGTTTCAGATGATTATAATCACTGATGACGCCGATTACACATGGCTACACAAGACAAACGCGTTGTCGTCGACTTTTGTCGGAATTTCGATGCCTGAAACAAGCTTCAGAGATCAGAAAACGCTTGTTCAGAGTTTGATTGCAGCCAATTTCAGCGCCAAGTTTGATTCGCTTAAAATATTTCGAACGAAAAATATCACTGAAATCAATTATTTTTTAGATCATTCAGCTCTGAATATCATCATATTCTTGAGAATTTGTCCGAATGCATTGTCGAAATTGTCAGAAGACCCTATGTGGTTTGTATTTATCTTTTTTTTTCCTTGAAATTTTTCGTTTGATATTTCAGAAAAATCTGTCATCGATGGCGTTGTCGACAAGATTGGCGAAAGCATTCTTTTTCGCATTCCCTGACAATTGCCCGGACCCCGATGCCCTCATTCGGCTATTTATTCATGAAACAACGCGCGTTGTTGGCGATTCCATCGGCACTATTTAGAATAAATCGATTTTCACGCAAAAATCGTTTTTCAGATCCCAACAATCGGGAAGAATTTGCGAAGGAATTCGAGGAAATCGTCAACGCCCAATTCTCGACGACGACTGTTCAAACGTTGCTCAAATCAATCATCTGTGTTGGGGAAGACGATACCGAGATTGAAGAGGTAGGCAATGACAAATTGGAATCGCTTATGATTCACAATGTTCAGATGCAACAGAATCTAGATATTTACGATCTTGCTTATTCGGAAATCGATGCTCATGATGTTGTCGACGGATTGAGCTACGAGCCAGTCGTTGATCGCGTTCAATTTCAACGAAGTATTGAAAATTTCCTATTTGAGCATCATCGGAATCATCCAAATGATCGCATCCGATTGTATATTGATTGGTTTCCATCGAATCGGATAACTAGCAAGACACGATTGTTATTCAGGGAAGCAGGGTGTTGGGTTCAGAGGGTGATGCGAGTTATTCGGCAGGCATCCGAGCATATGGTTCTTGCGGCGAAACCGGGCAGCGGTAGATCACAAATTGTGAAAGCCGCGTGTGTTGTGTCCAATTCTACAGTAATAATAAATGTGGGGGATGAACAAACATGGATTTAATTCAGATGATGCATATTCAAATTGACGCTTCTTCGTATGAAACCTTCATCCAAAGATGGGAGTACACATTTAGGTATGATGTCGTCAGAAACTTCTTCAATTTTTTTTTCAAATAAAATATTTTAGTCGAGCAATTAACATTATCGCCAACACCAATCAACATGTTGTCGTGCTTTGCCATTTTGATTTTTGTGTAAGCGTCGATAATTTTCAACGACACCACAGCGAATCGTTTAGTATGAGAAAATCGAGCCTCGTTGGATGGAACTCATCAAATTATGGATCGAGTCGCCAAATACTCAACATCTTGTCAGCGACGAGCAGCTTCATCTAATCGGCGAGCAGTTGATCGAGTGCGAGAAGAATTTGGCTACTCAGATGCAGACTGTTGGCCTACGACTTCCTGGGTAGGATATCGACGATTCTTGTTTCAAACTGCGCTCTTTCAGCCAAAGAATGTGCAAATATCTTCCAGTCGAGACTCTTAAAGACCCTGTAATTTTGCGAAAAGTATTGGAAGCTCGTATTCTTGACGCCTTGCACATTGTATTTCTAGTCGATCCACAATTTAAATACGATTTCTCATGGTGCACCATATTCCATTTACCAGTTAGTTTTAATTAGCAATTTTCAAAAAAGAAAACTCTGATTTCAGATGATTGAACGATCTCGAATGGTTGAAAAGGTTCGAAAAATTACAGCAGATTGCAAAATTGAAGCTGCTGAAATAATAGTATCCACATTCTTCATCGGTAGATCAATCAAACGGCGGTTTTCATTCAATTAATTTTCAGTCAAAAAATATTTGACGTCTGGCTCTCATTTTATGGTTGGAACAACATTCAGTCAGCTTTTCGAAGTTGCCGACAATTTTCAGATGATTTACACGCAACAAAAGAAGTGAGTTTGAAAATTCTTTATTGTACAAGACAAAGATGAATGGATCACGATTACTTTCTGCGGGTTCCATCCTCGAAGAAGACTCCGCCGTCGATGGCGCAGTACTTGGGGCAGATTCCCTTCTCTCCAGCACCTCCTGGCTGTCCTGGCTGTCCTGGGGCTCCTGGGTTTCCATCGGCTCCTGGCTGTCCTGGGGCTCCAGATGGTCCCTTTGGTCCTGGGGCTCCTGGCTGTCCTGGGCCTCCTGGCTGTCCTGGGGCTCCGGCTGGTCCTGGTGGTCCTTGTGGTCCAGCTGGTCCTGGGGCTCCTGGGGTCTGCTCGCTCTGGGCATCTTGTCCTGGCTGTCCTGGGGCTCCTGGCTGTCCTGGCTGTCCAGCTGGTCCTGGGGCTCCCTTTGGTCCGGCTGGTCCTGGGGCTCCAGCTCCCGATCCTTGTCCTGGCTGTCCTGGGGCTCCGGCGTCTCCGGCTGGTCCTGGTGGTCCTGGTGGTCCTGGTGGTCCCTGTGGGCATGGCTTGCATGGTGGTGGGGTGATTGGCTCGCATGGCTGCGCTGGTGGTCTTCCTGGGTTTCCTGGGAGTCCGGCCGCTCCTGGCTTTCCTGGACGTCCTGGCTTTCCTGGAGTTCCAGCTGGTCCAGCTGGTCCTGGGAGGCAGCATCCCGAGCAGGATCCTCCTTGAGCTTCACCTCCTCCGCTGACCTCAGCATCTCCGTATCCGGCCTGACGGGCGAATCTGGTGGCGTTCTTTGGCGAGGCACGGATGTGGTTGACCTCGGCGAAGATGTCTCTGGCCGAGTGCTTGCAGAAAGCGATCTCGTGGTTGATTTGGTGCTTGATTCCGCTCACATAGTTGTAGACCATTGGCAATGTGATGCAGAGCTGAATAAGCGAGCATGAGCACTCGAGACGTGATCATCATCACTTACCGAAAGCACGGCGACCACCGAGAAGGTGACGGCCGAGTAGGCGACAAAGCGGTACGCGTGAAGTCTCTGCTTCTCCTCCATCGAATCGACAGATGCCGTTTCCTCGCAGATTCCATCCTTTTATAGCAACGCAATGCGGAAGAAAATAATTACTACAAACCAAATTGTAATGGACAGCAGTGAAAAACGTAGGCTTCATCGTGACAACGCGTTGTTTGTTAGACGATTTTACACCTCGCAGGGGCTGTTTCGACGGAGAAAAATAGTATGAACAGTTTGCGATGCCGTTCACCTTCATTTCCACTTAACATACGTTGGATGAGCGTCATTTCAGAAACACGGAATATTTTTATTAGGTAATGCAGTCACTTAGTTACTTAATGCAGAGAAAATTGAAAAAAAAATATGAAAAATTATTGACATCGCAAAAAATGCACGTTGACAAATTGTGGACCGTCGCACTTTTTCGAGGCGGTAATTCAAATTCGAATTTAAATTGTGAGAATTCAGATACCGTACTCTGGATAACCTGTGAATCAAACTCATCGAAAGCGTCGTAGCGTGCTCGTTATTTGTTTGCGAAAAAAAGTATTTTCGGCGTCGCGCGACTTCGGAAAATTGGCCAAATGCCAAAAAATCAATGACAGTGGTCTTGGCGAAAAATTAATATTTTAGGCCTACGGGCCAAAGTATAACGATAGGTTAAAGGGGAGACTTATTTTTAATATTTTTTGGTATTTAACCAATTTTCAGCAATCGCGCCACATCGATAATATAATTCAAACATTTCGAATCTCAACCATCATCATCAAGAGCAACGAGTTTTTCGGTGGCTCTTCTCTGGTATTCCTTGTACTTTTCCTTCCCCATTACGTAGAAATGATGAACATCTTGAACAACTCCTGCGAACCGTTATTTCAATTATTTTGTTAAAAATAATATTTTACTATCGCATCCCGTGAATGGGCATAATATTGTGTATCCATGCGGTGGACGCGAAACAAACGAGAAGTTTGCGAGAGCGTGAAGCAGATATTCCTGAAATAAGAACGAATTACGCGGATGAACAAATTTGTTATTTTCCTCAAAGCGGCGAAATATTGCCAAAGTCAAACGACTTCTCTGGTAACTCAAAATCAATCGGATCCGACAAAATTCGGCTCCGGAATCCGATTGGTACTTCTAGGGATAAAATTGGAGAATTGTCGGATCAGATTGGTTATTTGTCGGATCCGATTAGATTTTCTTCGAATCCGATTGGTAATTATTCGAATCCGTTTTGTTTTAATACTTCAATTCGAGACTGAGCCGAATTTTGTCGGATACGATTGGTTTTGAGTTACCAGAGTTGACGAAATTTAAAAAATTCTTGCCTATATGCCAATGCGTCTCGAGGCAGCAGGATTGCGTACATTGCATTATAGCGTACGCGCATTTAATATTCAGTCAATGATTAATTTAAATCTGCACTGATTTCGCGAATTTGAAGGCCAAGCCTCAATTCAGTCGTTTGACGCCGACAATATGTGCGTTTCGCCAAAACCGAGAAAACTCACAGTGCACTGTTTCGCCCGATGAGTTTCTAATGCAGAAGGGTACGAGGAAACAATTTTTCGATATCGAAGATATATCGTAAATCACTTTCTCTATCCATTTATTTATCAACTCTATATAAAATTAGATCAATTCATGAATTTAATAAAAAAGAATTAACAAAAAATGCGTGGCAGTTATTTAAGCTTACTTCAGAGAATTCCGTATACAACTGAAAATTTGTAGAATAAACAAATAATGTGAAAACTGGTAGCCAACAAGAAATGAATCTTCGACAATTTCACAAGGTTTTATAGTCTGATTTTATCAGATTTTAAGAACCGCTCTCCTCTGACAATGATTTTTCGCAAAATATTAAAAAAAAAACGATAAGCAAATTGCATAAGTGAACTAGGAAAGAACAATTTGTGAATATAATTTCTACGAAAAAGATCGCAATTTCACTTTCATACAGAAGTGAAATTAATTTATCTCCTGCATAGAAACGTGCAGTAAATTGTGCATACATCTTCCGCAAAAATGCACCACTCCCGAAACTGCGGTGGGGATTAAACTGTGAGTGAAAAACCGGTAGTGAAAAATAATTGACAGATTTGAACTATGAGAATTCGTGTACTGTACTACGAACAATCTGCAAATCAAAATCACGGAAAAATACACAAAAATTTAGACATCTATTTATAAATATTTTAAATTTCTTTTCATTCCACGAAAAACTCAATTTTCGCTTTACTAATTGCTTTATTTGAGAAGCAAAAAAGCGTTTAGGGGTTAGCTAACGAACAAATGAATAATCTCAAATAAATCATAAGCATTCAGTGAACATTCAACCTTCACAGATGAAACAGAGTTAGTAAAAAACCGAACAAATCAATCGCTTGGATGGGTGAAATGCGTTTTGGGGGCGAGTAGCTACTTGGGGAAATTTAGTATCGCGATCGATTTCGGTGCTTGTAGATAATCGAGAACTGCGCCATTCCAACTCCGATCGCCCATCCTTCATCAATGTTGTCGCTCATCCTACCCTGAAGCTGCATGAAGTTATTCCGATCATCTCCTTTCCCGCATTTGCCAGAAGGCTTTGTGATTGGTTTCCCTGTTGACCAGCTCTCGATCAGCCTTGTTTGCTCTGAAATATCTATGGTCCCACCGTTATTCTCTCCCTCCTCTGACCTTCTTTCGCTGCATACTGTCAAAATCCTTGTACCATTCCGGTTGGCATCAATTGCGGCTTCAGCACCAATTGGAGCTCGGCTCCTTTCCGGAGCTCATCTGTTTTCGAGCGCCTTATTCGAAGTGTTACCGCTTCCATTCCAGATCTCCTATCTTCAAACCCACCTCCGATGCTCTCAGCAAACGAAAGGATTGCCAAGACCGCTGTGCGCTCGCCGTCTGTACCTGACCAGTTTCGACGTGCCTTTTCTTGTGCTTCACCGGTTCCTTCTCTTTTAACGATGCTCTACTCCAACATCTCCCAACCGTCTCCTATACATATTTCGGAACTAGAAATTCAGCGCGGATGCCGTCGCCTGCCGCTCTTTCCCTGAAAAGTTCGGTGGTGCTCCCTCCCTCTCATTACCTTGTCTGCTATAAAGCCCAATCTCTTGACATCCGCCTGTTCCTCACGCGTCCGCTCGTTCTCATCGATCCGTTTCCAAAATCTATTGATTGCACCGACGTAGGATGTCCTCGTTCCCTCGCCCCTGTCGCCCTTTATGGATATCCGCACGCGTAATGGCCGACTTCCCTATTTTTCTTGCCCACCCGAGTCCGCACCGTACTCTATTTCGTTGTGGAAAACCCCGCTTGGTGTCATGTGCCTTTAAACCACGCGACTGTATTTTATTTGATTCATTATCGACGTCACGCGATTGCTGAAAATTGGCTAAATGCCAGAAATATAAAAATAAGTCTCACTGCGTGGCAAGCTACATCCACGTTAGAATTAGAATGATGAACTGTATGTTCGACTGATCTTATATCCAACATTTTGGCTATAAAACCCATTTCTGGTCATTTCGGAATTTGAATTTAGTATGTACAGGGTGTCATTTAAGTTCCCGCACAACTTTGAAGACGTATATTTCTGAAACTAAAAGTCCAAATCAAACGAGACTCGAAATATTTTTTATCTATAGTACAACAAATAATTATCTATTAACTCTTTTCGATTCGGCCTCTTTTCGCAGCTATGACTTCGCGGAGACGCTTCGGGTAGGATGTGACTGTGGTACGCAGGTATTCGATGGAAAGATTGTCCCATTCCGCCAGTAATGTCTTCTTCAGAGCCTCTACACTTGAGTGGGGTTTTGCGTTGACCTTCTCCTGCAAGACCCCATCACGGAGAAGTCAAGCGGGTTCAGGTCTGGGGAGCAAGCAGGCCATTCGGATGACTTGATGAAGTCGGGAAAATGGGTCTGGCACCACTCCTGAGTAGTTTTGGCAGTGTGGGCGGGTGCTCCGTCCTGTTGAAAGACCCATATCTTCCCACCGAAATGCGTTTGGGCCCAGGGCATCATATGCTT